ACGAGATCTATTCTTCTGTAACCATCAAACCTGCTCTGTTCCGCTCATCACATCATGTCGGTCTATTTTTGAGGTGTTGCTAAACTGTTCTGTGGTTTCTTAGATGGGTAGACACCGATTTTTAAGGACAGTCATAGTCAGAGCATGATCGTCTTTTTGATGGAGAGAGCTTTCTTCAGCGAGCAAGAGAACAAGAGAGTGGGTGACAGACATGAACATCAAAGCCTGTATATTTTCGGAGGACATCATGTTCTTGGGTGTTTTGTTTTGAGCCCAGCGAGGAGAAAACATGGACCTGTGTCGTTTTGCTTACGGACTGGTCGACGACATGCAGGCTTCGGGTAAGAAAAAGAGTTCTTGGCCTCCATCGTACTCTATGACTTCACTGTAAGGCTGTCATGGCTTCTACTAGTACTTGACTGTTCCATGATCGCCCGGGAAGACATCCTCTGGAGACAAGCATGATACTAAGAGGTTTGAAATCAGGTCTCTGATGACTCTGGCAACTACAAAACAGCCTGACATCTCGATGGGGATCATCAACACAACCTCTGCGTCCTTTCATCATGATCTTTCATTCTCATTTGAGGTACACAGGGGAGGAGCACGATCATTACGAAGGCTGAACGCATTTTGAATAGTATAGCGGTATCTGTCGAGCATCCCGCAAGATACGCCATCAAATACAATGGCTCTTATTTTGAAGTCATGCAGAATGGTCTGAAAATATTCTATCTTGGTGAAAAGGCGGGGAGCCGAGCGGAGAGGACATTCCTTGTATGCTACTGCATTTTTGTCCTAGTACGGGTACTCCAAAGAACAAGAGTACGTTGAGAGTTCTTCCCGTGGTGCCGAACATAAGTGATGAATGCAGTGTTTTGTTGCAGCCGCCTTCCACAGACATTTTATCTCCTCTTCCCATTTTTTGTTCTTTCTCGGCAGAGACAGGCATGATGAATTTCATTATAGTTTTGAGAATGAGAATTTGAACTGTCGGTATGAGTAAAGAAGAGCACAAGAACTCAGTTTTTTATACCTGCTCAGCGCTATGAACGACTGACGCTCGAAGTAGAGCGTCTCGTTGGTCTGTGGCGTAAGTGCATCCGCTCAGTTTGAGGGAGGTGCGGTATGCAGTCACACACATTACCTAGGCAATACAACACAACAGATAGATGTGACCTAGAAGTGCTCTCATTGTCTCGAAGAACTCGCGCTCATTGGTGTTTGTGGATGTAACTGCCAAAAGGCACCAAATTCGCAACCATGGTGTCTTTTGAACTCATTCACAGGCTTCCCCTTCTCTCTCAGCTACATCAGCGATATCTGGAGGGGTTCATAATTTACAAACATGGTGTAGATAGAATGCTAGGCCTTTTGCGTGAGCGGACACTGGACATAGGTATCGATCAGCCGGTTTCAGATTTTAGACATGTCGAAAGCGGGAAAGAAGCAGCCGACATGAGTAGATTCGACTGCATTTTGGTAGAACAAATATGTATTGTTGCGGATAGAAACAAAGTCAGGCACATGGTGAGGTGTATATATATACTGGTGAGAGGTTAAAAGACCCGCCGGTAACTGCGAGAGACAACAGTCGCCTTTCGTTTCCTCTACGAAATGATCACTTGAACTTCTTGCAGATGCTACACAACAATCAATTTGATGTTACTCTCATTTTTGAGCCGCTTAGCGAGAGAGTCTGGTTCGTCTTGTTTTTGTGCGCGTGTTTTGGTAGTTTGAGAAAGCAGACGCAGATGCCAGCTCATGCGTGAGACGAAGTAGTTGCTTGTTGATAGAATGGCAGAAACACCCAGGCAGAGTCATTTGGAGGGTGCAAGATATGTTTTGGCGCTAAACAGAAAAGTTTGTGGTTGTAAGGAAGTAAGAATAGGCGACCCAGGAAAGGTTTATATACACCTTTCCCGGCTGAAAGAGCCAATATCTCTCGCCGCACCAGCGCATCAAGTTGAAGGGACGAAGAGAAAAGAAATCCAAGGTTCAAATTGACGTCGCTTGTAGTTTTTGGTACCCAGCGACTCGCACATGGCTGGTTGATGACAGGTATTCACTTTGGAGTGCTGTCAGGACACAAAATCCGTATGCTGCGGCCATAATAGTTTAGAAGCAGAGGAGTCCAGTCATGACAACTGGCAGACTAGTTTTTAGTGTGGAGACAGAGGAGGCACACATGCCCAAGACTTCCACTGATTTGTAGTAAAGATTGAACGAAGTGTAATGGAGAAAGAAGAACCGCACAGCGGCAAGGTGAGCTTTATACCCGCTTCTTCTGCCAACAACTCCCATAACTCAGCATCGACGGGTTTTGAAAAACATTGCTGGACGAAGCCACGACTAAAGACAGCAGTCTGATGTCTGGTACGAATTCCTGCCTCAAAACAGACATTAACCTTAATTTGCTGCTTTTGAAAATTCTCTACGTTCAACAAAAGCACTGCTAAGATGTCATACTATGGTGTTTCCGCGTATCCAGCCAGACGGTACCAGTGGTGTACTTGGAGACAGCGAGAGAAGGCCAGCATGTAGTTTTCGGTCCTTTTTTTTCTCGAAGAGAGAGAATAATGAGTCGAATGTAGAACAATGAAGACAAGAAATAGCCGATGAGAACGGAAGGCTTTATATAGTAACCATACGCCAAGCTTTGATCCATGTGGTGTTTGATGGTGCATTTCCAAGCCAGGGCTGGGAATTAATTTGCTGGAAGTATGCTGAGGCACATATCGTTCCTTACTGTAAGCTTTTGGAAGTCGAGCGCTCGCATACATCGCCACCACCATCGTTTTGGAAGTTTGAAAAGGCAAAGAGGGGAGAACTCATGGACTTGTATCTCCAGGCATTTTGTTTGATAGTACAATGGGCACGCATCAATATTTGTTGACATGCTTTCGGATACTCGGCAAAGAGCGCAGGGACGAGCAGAGCACATTCCTCGATTGCTTGTAACTTTTTGGAAAAATGAAGAAAGGTGTAGAGTGTAGAATAGAAGGATCCAGCGAACAGATTGAAGTTTTTATACTCTCAAGCTTGGCCCGTGGTTTGGGCATCTTGCTCATTTCCCACCATACTGCGACGGCGATCCAATTTGAGAAAAAGAGCTCTGATTGTTCCTTTCAGAAAGGTTTTTTTCCGACTGCTTTGCAAAACATGCGGATCAGACTGCTGTTTTTCGACGACATGCCGTAGACAGGTAACGATTTTCGGACAAAGACTCCCCAGATAGTTCCCATAATGTTGGGTCTGGTCAAATTTTGACCTCCGCCACCGACATAGGTATGGCGTTGTGGCGTTTGTTTCGAGAGCCGCAGACTGCAGTCATATAGCGTGTTGGTTCGTCTTTGAAGGACAGAACAATTGACCGCACATAGTCAACTACGGTTCCTTTTTTTGGTACGGAGGTACGTAGAATCAGCCGAAGGAGGAGGCGAACGCCATACGCAGCCCGCCAATCCATTTTGGAGAGAATAGAATGAAGAATGGATGATAGAAGACCAGAAAAGAAGTATGGAAGCGGAGAATTTATACTTCACCAATAGAGCCCAAGCGCAAGTCACGAGAAATAGTTGGGACGGCTCAGGGTGATCTAACATCTTATAAAGTTTTGAGATATTTAGCCTATCATACTGTAAGCCATAACAATATTTTGGTACACATAACCGCCTTCACCTCGCCCATAGTCATGTCATCCAAACACGAATCGAAGCATCCCTAGCCATATCAGCATCTACTTCTTCGCCTTCCCTCTTGATTTGCTTCTCGTGTTCCGACTCGGCGGCGGCGTATCCTCGCCACTATCCGCAGCAACATCCACGCCTGAACTCTCGTCCTTACCTCCAATCATCCCACCATCGTCCTCCTCAGTCTCCCTGTTATCAGAGTCAATTCCCCTGTCTACACTTCGCCTGCGATGCGCATCTTTAGCCTTGCGCTCAGCCTCCCAGCCCTGCACAAGACGCGTAACGTCGTCTTCGCGGGGTCTCTCTTTGCCATTCCACGCACTACATCCACCGCATCGCCATCGACCAACGTCTTCGAGGGTGCGGGCGCCGGGCGGTGCTTGTCCGTTAACGAGTCGGCACTCTGAGCAGATCAAGACGAAGCGGTTCTTAGCCTGTGTTTCGTCTTCGCCGAGGAGAGCGTCGAGAATGCGGTCGTACCAGTGGGTTTGCGTGAAGGCGGCGGGCGAGTCTTGTGTGTACTGCTTGGTCAGGTCGGGACCACCACTGAAAGCATTGGGCGCGAATTCGGCACCGGGAGCCTCTGGTGGGGGTAGATGTTGCGTCGGAGGCGGGCCTTGGGGTGATGAGACGTTGGAAGGAATCTCTTGTGGAGTAATTGGGCGGTGCTGGGACTGAGGTCGCTGGATGTTGGCCGTTGGGGGAGGTGCCATGCCAGTGCGGGGTCCTGGAGGCGGCACTGACATTTGAGGGCCTTGAGGCTTCTTGCAACCGGGAGAGTTGCCCTGCTGTGGCTGCTCAGGTTTCTTGGGCGATGCTCCATACTTCTCGAGCAATTGTTGGGTAGAGTTGTACTTGGTGGCTTCCTTCAGGCGCTCGATGGTAGCGTCGCGTTCCTTGTTCAGCTTCTTAAGGTAGATCTCGGTATTGCGAATGCGGTAGTCGAAGTAGCTCATGAGCGCGTAACGGATGCCGTAGAGTCTGGAGAGTCAGATTTGTGACCTGAAAAAGCAAAGTGTAGACATACAGTACTGGCCCTCCAGCGACAACACTGCCCTCGATAGGGCCCCAGTTCTGCCATCCCGTCACGAAGGTGAGAATCATCGCAGCCAGAATGTAGGCGAAACCGGCATACAACGTCCACATGACGCGTGCGCGTCGCGCGAGCTGCTTCTGTTTGTCATTGCGCGCGGCGGCTCTGTTGATCTTGCCGGTGAGAGTGTTGAGCGTCCTCTCGAAAGAGGCGGCGTCTTCGCTACCCTGTCACAGTCAGCAATTGAACTAGCGCGTAGTTGGAACCGTCTTACCTTCCAAGGCCAGAAGGACACCATGTTGGCTCTGGTAGATCGCAGCCCGGTGTGGGAGCTAGAATTCTACCGTTGAGGCCAGCGAAGCGTGCTCGTGTGTGGACCACTTTCAGCCTTCGCGACGTCAGCGGGTGTCGGATCGTCGCCAGGGATCTTCCTAGCACGAACGATGTCACGTGCAAGCAACTTTCCTCGCGGAACTTCCGAACGGAACTGCATCTTTCAATACGCTTTTGGTTTCCTACTCACACCCCCGACTTACACAAAATGGCGCTAGTAGCTTACCGGAACCTGCTGCGATCTGCGCGCATCGCCTTCGAGGGTATGCACTGCACTATTCGGATTACTTCCGCAGCTCACACAGCACAGGCGACATGAACACCCTCTTCGCCGCCCGCGCCGAAGCCCGCAAGAAGTTCGAGTCGAACCGCAACCTGCGAGTCGGAAGCGAGGAATTGCAAGCGTCATTAGTACATGCCGAAGAAGTAGCCAAGTTCCTACGAGAGAACGTTGTTCAAGGGCAAGCAGCGGCGGAACAGGACAGTTACAGTACGTTCGCTCAATTATGGTATCTGAATCGAATGCTGAAAGTTGCCAGAGCTACGGATACACGAGCACACCGAAAGAGGCGACAACGAGGATATCAAGAAGGGAAAGGGAAAGACTACATTGGGAGGAACCAAATGCTGTTCCTCCTAGGCTTTTATCCACAAAAAATAAATCATGATACCCGTACATTCCAAAACGCCGACCCAATGCAGGAGATGCAAGCCTAATTGCCGGCCAAACTGGCGTACTGCACATCGTCGTCCGCTCCTGGCGGAGGTGCCACAACCATGCTATCCAGACTGTTTTGTGGTGCCGCCTCGACAGCAGCTTGGGAAGCAGCTGCCCGTCGCGATGAGCCTGTCGCCTGTCGTCCTTCCTTTGCATATTGCATTCTGACATTTTGATCCAAGCTGTCCAACTGCTTGGGCTTGCCCCAGGTTACGCGCATAGGGCAACCCTTGATGACCACCTTGCCCTTTAGTGTCCCTGCTGCTGTCTCGGCGTCCTCTCGTTTTACATAGTTGACGTATGCGCAGTGCGCTCGGTGCGAGCATACTAGCGACCGAAGTTGACCGTACTGTGAAAAGTGCTTGCGGAGCTCGTGTTCAGGAAGATCGTCTTCCACGCCCGTGACGAAAAGCGATGCGACGTTGGGGTCCGAAGGTGGCAGCCAGTCTTGTGGGTTTGGCTCAGCGGATGCACCGCCCATGCGACCTCCTCTTCCAGGCCTCATGCCTCCTCGTGCAGGTGTACCTCGCGAGTCTCGTGTTCTGATCGGACCAGGAACGTGACTGCTCTCGCCTCCTGCGCCGCCACCGCCCGGCGCTGGTAACGCCTTCTGGCTGCTCTCGCCCTCTTCAGCCTCTATCCGTCGCTGCTTCTTGTAGTAGGGTTCACTCTGTGCCAGACGCTTGAGCAAGTCGCGCGCCTTCTCGTCCGTCTTCTCATACGCCTCCATCGCTCCCCGTCCCTCCTCGATCTCTCTCTCGTGCTCCTGCGCATAGTACTGGCGGTTGATGTCGCTCTGTGGGCCGGGCGCTACCATCTTCAGCGCAGCATCGCGGACTACGATGGGCAGACCGAACGACAGATCAAGCATGCAGTGTTGACAGCAGTTCTTCAAACGGGCGCATGTGAGGCAAATGTTGGTTCGCTTTTGTCGCGCGGTGCGGTCGGCTTTCCAGCGGAAGATAGTGAAGGGTCGCGTGCAGATCTTGCATTCTGCGCCATAGTCCTCCTTCAGCATCTGCACGTATTGGCTATCCGGCAGGCATTTCTCGCAGACGGACGGGAAGTCGGTTGTCTCCCAACCGGATCCTACACAAGTCAGTACAGATTACTTGCGGTTAAAAAGAAGAGTATGACGTACGGTTCAGGTCGGTTTTGATTTGGGGTGGCATGGTGAGTGTAATGCGCAGGCTGTAAAGTCGTGGAAGGAAGTCGCAACGTAATCTCGCGACAGCAACGGACGTATCCTGGGTCGTGGAGTACGTGATAGTGGGGCGCAGTGGTTGTTGCGATGGCAAGTAGTGGCTTCAAGGTGAGTGACAGTAGAAATCTAGGCACTGCAGTATACGGCACTTACGGTCTTGGCTTTCACGCGCTCGGGTGGCAACCACCGACCGCTAGCTCCGTTGACCAGGGCCGCGTACAGAGTTAGTCGTGATTGGGCGAGGCCAGTTACCCCCTAAGAAATTCAAGTCCCAATCTCCTACCCATACCGCTCTTTCCTCTCCAGGGTTGTCTTTATAAACATTTAAGGGTCCTCTCGCTCCAATTGTTTATTCTGATATCCGTTCCATTCACTTCTCCCCCCACATAACCTTTTATCACTCTTAATACCAACCATGTCTCCCGTTGCGCTCGAAAAGGAAGACCATACTCGCGATGCCGAGTTCAACAAGGCCATGCACGGCAAGTCTGCAAAGGCTCGCGGTGGTATGACTGCCATGTTGCAAAAGGACAAGGCTGCCCAACAAGCTGCTGTAGACGAGTACTTCAAGCACTGGGACAACAAAGCCGCTGGCGACGAGACCGAGGAGACACGTAAGGTGTGTATATGTGGCATTTCAACAGCGTACACTATAGATACTAACAAACCCAGGAACGACGAGACGAATACGCCACCCTCACAAGGCACTACTACAACCTCGCAACCGACCTGTACGAGTACGGCTGGGGACAGTCTTTCCACTTCGCCCGCTACGCCTATGGCGAGTCTTTCTACAAGGCCATTGCTCGCCACGAGCACTACCTTGCCCACAAGATGAACCTCCAGGACAACATGCGCGTATTGGATGTTGGCTGTGGTGTTGGTGGCCCCGCCCGTGAGATTGTCAAGTTCGCCGGTGTCAACGTCGTCGGATTGAACAACAACGACTACCAGATCGAGCGTGCCACTGCCTACGCCGAGAAGGAGGGTCTCTCAGACAAGCTCAAGTTCACCAAGGGTGACTTCATGGTAAGATTGACCCAACCTGACCCCCCTCTGTGCCCCTCACTGACTTGTGTAGCAAATGTCTTTCCCTGACAACTCTTTCGATGCCGTTTACGCCATCGAGGCGACTGTCCACGCGCCATCGCTCGAGGGCATCTACAGCGAGATCTTCCGTGTTCTCAAGCCTGGCGGTGTCTTTGGTGTCTACGAGTGGCTCATGACTGACAAGTACGACAACGACAACCCCCACCACCGCGAGATCCGTCTTGGTATCGAGATTGGTGACGGTATCTCAAACATGGAGAAGATCGAGGTTGCGCTTGATGCCATGAAGGCTGCCGGCTTCGTGATGGAGCACAACGAGGATCTGGCGGACAGGGACGACCCCTACCCCTGGTACTGGCCTCTTTCTGGCCAGCTGAAATACATCAGCACCCTTGGCGACATTCCCACCATTCTCCGTATGACCAAGGTTGGACGTGGAATCATTCACAAGTTCGTTGGTGGTCTGGAGATGATCGGACTCGCTCCCAGGGGCACCCAAAAGACTGCCGACAGTCTTGCTCTTGCAGCTGACTGCCTCGTCGCTGGTGGACGGGAGAAGCTTTTCACACCCATGTACCTCATGGTTGGAAGGAAACCCGCCGACGCATAAGCCTTCGATTCTTGCTTCCCTTTGCATTAGACTTCTCTTCGCATCTAGGACCCTGTTGGTCTGCAGGCTTTTCCTTCGATATAGGAGCATCTTCTCCTAGCATTTGCACGACGCGCTTGGGAGACGCGCATATATACTATAATAATTGGAAGTAGGGCACGGTCTAGGGACGGTCATGGTAACGCGAAACGTGGTGATCATAGAGAATAGAAGAAGTAATCTGCTCATCTAAGCAACATGATTGAAGCATGGCCCAAGTGATTGACTCCATCCGTAGTCTAACCAGGAAGAGTGTCGTGATCAAAGCAAGATGATAGTGAAGAACGAGAGTAATCTATGAGCGTCCCAAGTGTTGAGACGGAATCCAAGATGCAGGTCGGGTGTTCTCGCTATAGTGGGGGCCGTGCACCAGAGCTGGATTGTTAGCGCGTTCAGGGCCCCAACGACTAACTTCGCATCCCCGAAGTCCGAAGAAATTGTACAGCAGAGCTCAGCGGCCATCACTCGCCCACGGCAAAACCTCACCACACCTCCACCCTCACAAGTCACCCACAATGGCTGCTTCAAGGCTCCTCCGACCGGCCTCCCGCCTCGTCTCGGCTTCGCGGCCAGCGCCCGCCTTCCGACCAGCTTTCCGCGCCGCAGCCATCACACCGTCAATTGCAAGGAGAGGATATGCGTCGGGCCAGAAGGAAATGACTGTGCGAGAGGCGCTCAACGAGGCTATGGCTGAGGAGATGGAGCGAAACGAGAAGGTCTTCGTTCTCGGAGAGGAAGTCGCGCAATACAACGGAGCGTACGTGCCCACCACCACCACTACAAACAAGACGGATGTGACATGTCTGCGATAAGAAAGAGGAGGATCCAATTGGGGAAGGAGCATATCGCAGGGCATGCACAATGAATATCAAATCAAGGGCGGTGCTGACTGAGCCACAACAGTTACAAGGTCACAAAGGGCCTGCTCGACCGCTTCGGCGAGAAGAGGGTTATCGACTCTCCCATCACAGAGTCTGGTTTCGCTGGTCTCACCGTCGGTGCTGCGCTCGCTGGTCTCCACCCCATTGTGAGTTTCTGAGTCGCCTCCATGCCCTGAAAAAGCAAATCTGACAACGACAACAGTGCGAGTTCATGACCTTCAACTTCGCCATGCAGGCCATTGACCAGATCATCAACTCTGCCGCAAAGACACACTACATGTCCGGTGGTATCCAGCCCTGCAACATCACCTTCCGCGGTCCCAACGGTTTCGCCTCTGGTGTCGGTGCTCAGCACTCCCAGGATTACACTGCGTGGTACGGAAGCATTCCCGGACTGAAGGTCGTCTCCCCATACAGCGCCGAGGACGCCAAGGGTCTGTTGAAGGCAGCCATCCGTGACCCCAACCCGGTCGTTGTTCTCGAGAACGAGTAGGTTACAATGGACATGAGATGGAAGGCTCTGTTACTGACAATGGCAGACTTCTGTACGGTCTTTCCTTCCCCATGAGCGAGGAGGCCCAGAAGGACGACTTCGTCATTCCTGTAAGCTACCCCGCTACCCTCCCCACTACGTACAGACACTGACAAAACCCCTCAGTTCGGAAAGGCCAAGATCGAGCGCCCCGGCAAGGACCTTACCATCGTCACCCTCTCCCGCTGCGTCGGCCAATCCCTCGTCGCCGCCGAACAACTCAAGTCCAAGTACGGCGTTGAGGCTGAGGTCATCAACCTCCGCTCCATCAAGCCCCTCGACGTTGAGGCTATCGTCAAGTCCGTCAAGAAGACCGGCCACATGCTCTGCGTAGAGTCTGGTTTCCCCTCATTCGGTGTCGCATCTGAGATTATGGCGCTCACCTGCGAGTACGCTTTCGACTACTTGGAGGCACCCCCCGCCCGTGTCACTGGTGCTGAGGTCCCCACACCGTATGCCCAGAAGCTGGAGGAGATGAGCTTCCCTACCGAGAGCTTGATCGTAGACTACGCTGCTAAGCTCCTCAGGGTATAAGGTTGAGGAAGGAATATAAGAGAATGGCGTAGTGGCTTTGAGCGTTTTGTGCTTGATCGGTACATTGCGTATGCAAGGCGTAGGGCTAGACACGAGGATTTGGGTTTGGTAACTGAACTGGATTTGTATGATCAGACGATTGAACCTACTTTTTCGGCTGAGGTAGACGGCATTTTCGATTGCATGTACAAGTATTCTATTGCAACTCCATCTAACGATTCAATATTGATAACCAGGGTGAGTGCAAGAGAGAAGGGCTGACATGTGCGGATTAAGTGACTTCAGACGAAGTATGAGTGTATCTCTTTGGTTATGTCTTACTATCACATGCTGTTCTCAAGGCTTAGATCATCAGCACCTTACCAATATTTTGTATCGACCAATACGTGGACCTCACTTATTCCATAACTGGAGGTTTGTAAACAACGCTTCTTCCCTCATTCATCCATTCCACCTTTGTCCTCTCAGTCAGTTTCTTCTTTTCTTTCCAGGATGTGCCCACTCAAACAAGAACGAATTGGCACACAGCATGGTACTTCGTTCAAGCTGGGCAATACATGCCATGTCGCCTCACAATTGCTGGAAAAGGGTGCAGGGAGAACATCACTGGCTGCAAAACGGCTAGGTCGGCAACGATGAGGCAGCTGGTTTTCATCTTCACCTTCATCGGTGAATATGTATTCAACGATGATGGTTGCTGCCGCCTGACCCAAACCTTCGTCTGGCATCACACTCCTTTGAAGTTGTTTTACGGACGACAACTGCAACACGGCACTGTGCATGCTCGCGAAGCGAACCCACGATGTCTACTGACGGGTTTCCCGCTGGTGGGCGATTCAACAGCATTAAGGAGTGGCAGCGGGCTCTTTCCCAGTATACGGATGACCTCGGGCAACAACATCATAATCAAGATGATCCATCGAGCGAATCTGAAGGACAGGCAGATTCTGTACGTAAGGTCAAGATCTTGTGCATAGTGGGGACTAATGTACGAACGATAGGAGATCGCAGAGTCAACTGGAACGATTGCGCCAGAAGACAAAGTACAGCTCACGAAGACAATCAAAGAAGGCATTGATCGTTGCAAGCAAGCCATGGAAAACAGCAGTGCCAAGTTGGAACAGGACATTGAAGATGCGAACCAATCTTTTCATGCCGAGATTGATTTGATGAACGAGTGGCACGAGCGCATCAAGGCGCAAGACCTCATCTTGGACAAGAGGAAGGAAGTTCATGTCCGCTTGCCTACGAATCAAGTTGTTACTCCGGCTCACAACGCATTGGTTGACGAAGATGCCAAGGAGGGTATTCTGATTGCGGAGTCATTCGGGGCTATCAAGACAGAAAAAGCCAACATTCGAGCAAAGCTAGCCAACCAAGTTGAGAAGGCCGAGGACGCATACAGAAGAGACCCCGTTACACTCAGCACGCAAATCAAATGCCTCCGCAATGTCGCAGAGTTGTCAGGTGTCGACCTTGACACGGGTGTTGATGAGTATATCTTTTACGAACCGGTAGCTCCGGTAATCGGCGTTCAATCGTCGACTCAAGTTCAAGGTTCTTCATCCACTCGATCGAAGCAAAGTAAAACTGCCAACGTACACAAGCGCCATAAGCCTACAGTGCCAGTCTTCAATCTACCTGAGAAGGGCTGCTCCAACTGTAGTCGTCTACAAGAGGAACTGTCTACAGTAAGTAGAGTCAAATCCAACCTTGAACTACTCTAATCATGACTTAGGCACATAGAAAGATTGATCGAATTCAGGCTGCTGCTCCAGTACCGGACATGCGAAAACTTATCAAACATGGCGAGCAAATTCTTTCTGAACTTATCCATCAACGCGATTCAGCAGACGGGGCAGCAGCCAAAGAGCTAGAAGACAAGAAACTATCCACGGAAGCAGCTCTCGAAGACCTAGCCAACGAACAGGCACGCATCAAGAAGATTCACATTGGCATTTGTCATTTTTGGGACCATGAGAATCAGGACGCCTGGCAAGAGACGTTTGATTTGTGTCGCGAGGAGTTGGTCCGCATCAAGAAGGAGCAACAGGCGCTTGAGAACCATGACTTCAGATGTGATGAGAAAGTAAACAAGCGTCAGTGGAACTCAAGGGAGCTTCTTGTCAAGCAGATCAAGTTCTACGACTCTTTGCTGAGTCTGGCAAGGAGCCATGTTATGAACCGTTGGGGAGATCTGATCTTGTCGGATTCGGACTCAGAGTAGGGCCAGAACTTTCATGCTCTGATGGACGTATATAACAGAACATAACACGCAAAGAGTCATGTCAGTTCTTCGTATGCAGAGTGTGGAAAGTGCTCTTGTTCATGCGTTTGTGTTCACCTTCACCTTCACTTATGACCTGCTAGTTTCCACGCTAGTCGATCTCGTCCTTCTTATGAAAGTTTCTGACTCTGACCTTAACAATACAACCATTGCACCCACCTTGAACGCCATCGCGAACCCATCAGCGAGTACTGCGCAAGCCCACCATGACACCAATCGAGATCGCCGAAGGTCTAAAGCAACGAAACGCTGTCAGACTGAGCATGCTTAAGGATACCAAGGAAAAGTTCAACACTATCGTCGACAGACTTATCGACGAGCACCTAAGCCAAAGTGATGAATTCAGTGAGCGGACAGAGAAGCAGAGGCTTGTATGAGGACTGTTAGTTGAAGTTGTGATGTAAACTAACTGGGGCTTATAGGGCGAGTCTACTACTACCACCAAAACTGAGCCCCCGTCACCGGATTCAAAAGAGTTTCTCAGAACCATGATAAAGAACGCTAGGGACGATTGCGAGGCTGCTTATAAGCTAAGCGTCTCTGCACTTGGGGAAGCTCGAAAGAAAGCTTCCGAGCAACGCGAAGCTGATGTGAAGGCATGGAATGAAATATATCAACTTCTCGTAGCCGACGCGGTAGACACCGATAAAAGGCAACGCTACGGGGAAGGCTTGTTGTACTCTCCAGCCACCGCGTCGATTCGCAAACACATTTCGGATGATTGCAATAGTGGACTGGCTTGTATGAAAAAATCCGTCCTGATCAGTTCAGTGGAGATTGACCGTATTGAGATAAGATCCAGAGAAAGAGTAGGGTTGGCATGGTCGGGATATATGCGAGAGGAGAAGGCATACATAGAGCACCTGAGCAGTCTTGAGTTCCAGGCCTCTAGCGCAGGGATTGATCTTGGCTGTGAGACGACGGAGCAGACATTATATAGGTGGGTCGAGGAAGTTTCCTCAAAGAAGGAGCACTACTAGCAGCGGGAACAGGATTAAAGATCATTTCTCAGAGAAATGGTAAGTAGTCACAAGCCTGGGTCTTTGTAGATCAGCTCAACAAGGGTGGCTCAAGAAGCCAGCAATGTATTACAGTTCGATTCAACACTGCATGCAAAGTGCGCATTGACTGTTTCGACTAAGGCATTTCCCTCTGGCATGTCAACAGTAATTAGAATAGCGCGGATGCACGGGTAATACAAATGTAACAAATACAACTCGAAGATGCTCATGCCCTGACGAGGTGTGCATAATGACATCTCCATGAACCCTTGATCAACTTCGACCTCTGGTTGACGGCATCCCCACACACGGTACCAAATTTCGCATGCACAGTCAAAGTGCTTCCATCCATCATGCTGCCGATATTTCCCTGAGTATTTCCCACTTTTTACCTTCTGACTCCACTCTGAACCTGTGACTGTAGAAACGGCACAAAAGCTTCGCAAGAAACTCTCAACATGGATTGGGTAAGTTCAGCCTCTCTATTGTCCTCACCGCGATTAGTGAGCCAAGGCGTGAATCATATCATGCAAGTCTACCACCGATGCATGCTTCGTCACCGCTGATCATAAACACTTGATACTAACAGCAAGAACAGATCCGTAAGCGTCGTGATGAGCGCAAACGTAAAAGACTGGCAGCCCGCCGGACCTCACTCAACAATTCCCAACTCGAACTTGATACCGAACAAACGCAGAATAAACCAACAATGGCATCAATGTCGACGAGGTTTTTCTCGATTCGCCGTCAACGAGGTGTGAATACTTGCTTGACAAGATACGATCTGCTCGAACAAACTGGCGAAGAACCAGAGTATGCAACCCCAGCAACAGAAGGAGAGACAAGAGCGAGACTACAGCAATCGCTTCAGTCGATGGGGATAGACAATAGAGAAGAGATGCTTCGCAACCCATTCGTCACACCAAGTCCATCACCACCACTGCAACCCACCAATTTGGTACCAACTGCCGGCCAGCAAAACGTATCTACCGCCTCAAGGTCATCAGAACAGCTACGACCCTCTGATTCAGCATCGGACGGCGGCCAGCGACCGACACCAAGCTCAGAATTCGATGATGCTACAAGCCAAACCTGGCTTGAGCGAGTAAGCAGCACCATCCGCCGCAAACCCAACATCAAAGCTTTGCAAGCGTACAAGAGCGGGAGCATCCGCTCAGCCTGGGCGTACACTCTTCCCAGAAACTGGAAGACGCGTAACACCGCGGCCACGAAAGCCTGGGTTGATAGTGCCGCGGTGGTTGATGAGCCGCAGCCCACTAGATCGATGGATGATATGGATATCGATGACGAAAGGAGAAGTCCGCTTCCAAGTCACTGGCGTGATGGTGCAGAATTGCAACAGACCTTTACAAGAAGGACAAGCGAGGTTGTTGGAGGTGACAGTGAGGTGGGGGACTGGAATAGTCCTAGGGCATCTGGAGATAGGGACGCCCAAGAAGTCGACGAAGAGATAGACAAAGAGTTTAGAGACTGGGCGAATCAGCACAAGATGCTGGTTGAGCGGTATGATCCACTTGCTGAGGCAAGTAAACGTGTGTCGGTTTTGAGTCAGACGCCGAAGAACAGGTACAGTGACTATTTTCGGGGATCGTGAAGGGCGGATTGGGACATCGGATTGACCACGGGACTGGTTCTCGAACCGTCGATTCCAACTCCAATACAGCACTGACAGCATTTATACCTTTTTCATCCTTCTAGTGTTTCTTAAGGGCGCAAGCAACGGTCGAAGTGTGCAGGAAACACCCCGAATCGGTTAAACATGCCACACGTGCTCTCGACGAATTTGCTCAGTGCGGATTTGTCGATCATAACACCATGTACGACTACACCTTCAGTCGCACTCACACCAGGAGCCTACATACTGTTCGAAAAAACGACCCGGGACTACGACAGCAGCTGCTGAGAGTAACTTCAATGGGCATTCTGTATGCGAACGTCGCGGACATCCAACCTGGCGTATACGTAGTGCAGGTGAAGGTGAAAGAGCCGCAAAATCCATGTCTTGGTTTTGCATCAACTTCTTATTATCCGAGTTTTGGTTGGCGTTCGAGGTGAAGAGAAGACATGTACCTGCGTTCTGTTTTTAGTTCTCATTGTAGATAGAGGGTGAAGATCGATACGTACCTTATTGTCATAATACTAGCTATTATTGCCATCTCATATTCGCACTGGAGGTCATGATACTTCAACAGCTCATCCCCCTCCAGCTTTTACTCTCTAGCAGACACCACAGATATCTGCTCAACATCAAGAAACCGCTTCACAGCACCAGCACCAGCAACACCAGCACAATTCCCTTCTCCTCTCCCTTCCACCACGACCACAGCAACAGCAACAATGCTGTCAACGCTGAACAAGCTGCGCGTCTTATTGAGCCTGGTGCTCATCGCCATCTTCGTCGCGAGCTCAGATGAGCTACGCATCGCAATCGGCACCCTCTTCTCTTGGGCCCTAGGCCATGTCCTCATACATCGTCTCGCGCTGTCGATTAGGTACCGACAAGCCCTCAACACCTACATCCTGGTGTCGTTTTGCCTGCTGGCAGGCCTAAACGACCCTTTCTACCAAAACACCTTCGGTCGCCTCCTGGACCTCTTCTTCGAGCGAGACCGCTGCGATCCAGACGTGCCTGGGTCGGGCTTCACCGACTGGCACGAGACGTTCCGCCGCCGCAAGGCTTACGAGATTGATCTCGTATGGCAATTCCTCCGCGCTGTCTTTTTTTGGACGTTCGTGGCGATCTCCCTCCCGATCATCATTCCGCTCGCCCACTGGCTTTATGCCAACATCAACAAGGAAACGGAGCTGGAGAGGGCTTTTGCCTACATTGAGAAGCATGGCGAGCGGCCGCCGTGGTCGTACAAGCAACCGGAGGCCACAGTGGTGTCCAAGAGGGACACGAGATACAATCTCATGAGCAGCGAGCTGATCTTCGTCTGTGGTCCTGGTGGAGGGTATGAGACGGTGATCGATGGCGACATCGAGGGTGCAATCTCGCGCCGGCGTGCGCTGAAACCGAGATTCTCATGAGCGCTGGTCGCCATGCTGGTGGGATTGTGGTGTCGGCAGCGAGCTGCCTTAGCGCTGGTCGCTGGAGTAGCTCGATCGTTCGGGTGTTCGTTCAGTAAAACTCAGGGGTTGGTACTAGTTTGAGGTTTTGTCTCAAGTTTTACGATCGGTTATGTTTATGAGACTCACTCGGTTCGATCTGGTCGCAGTTGTCGAATGTATGTTCTTTCCTCTCGCTATGCCATTCTCCTCAAATCTGCGTGAAGACCTCTACCAACCTCCTCTTCATAAACGAATCGCGTGTCTGGGCTCATAGGGTCGTTGATCATATGGATGGGCATTTGAATCGCTTCACACATATGTCTCATCAAGTCAGGAAGTAATTCGTTGACCTTGGCCAGTAGCAGAGGTATAAACTTCGAGGAGCCACCTGGCAGCTTTGCCAAGAGCAGCATCAACTGTGTCAAGTAATCAGGGGGACTAAGTTCCACTTGCGACGCTGGAAAGGACACAAAAGGTAGGACATCCGCTAGGGCGCAGGCGATGTCGAATATTTTCTCAGTCTAGTTGTGTTAGCAGCAACGTGAACTTGGATGGTAACAACGCACCATGCCGACCCCGTGAATCTGTAGACTCTGGATAGGCAGCTTCATTGAAAGGATGGTCAAGTCCCTGGCCACCAGGATAGGGTACCTAAACGTCAGACAGTCATGGACAGAATCTGTAGAGAGATAACCAAAGCGAGGAAAAAGTTCCCACAACTTGATCTGTAACCAGAATTGCGATATACGGATATTCGCGGTCTCTTCGTTCGAGATCTCGAGTACCACAGGCAACGCAGTACGAACATCACGTTCGAGTTTCAGCAACCACTCTTTACTACAATCTTCAGTAGATCCATTCCACACTGCGAAGAAGATATCACTAAGGGGCCGAAAGACTGATGTGAGGTAGCGTAATCCGAGCTCTTCATATGCGTCGAGTGGGTCGTCGAGTGGGTAGGTGGAGGGCGTGACTGGTAGAGTGATTGGCCGATTTCTACGGACACCATGTGCTCTGGAGAATAGTAAGCGCCATGCGTGAACTCCACAATCTGTCCAACCTACCTCTCGGAGACCACTAAGATCCAGAACAATCGTTTCCGTGTCTTCTTGTCGAACCAGTCTTGATCCTCGTCCTTCAACATCATGAATAGGGTCGTTGCTTCTCTCAGATAGAACCATGCTTGACGGTAGTTTCCTTGGCCAGCGTAAGCTCCGTATAAGAAGAAGGATATGTAAACGGATCGAGGGTCAGGCTGTGTGACCCTGGCTCGGTCCAGAGAAAGCAAAGCATGATCTAAGTAGTAAGTTTTCGAGTTCACCAGTGAAGACTGAGTAGGCCCCCAGCTGGCATCGTCCGTATCGCCAAAATTCGCGATATATGCACAGAAGGCAAAGATGAGCTGACAAGATATTGGCGAAACTTGCATTCTTGTAGCTTCATCTCGCAATACATCGACAGGTAGAAGAGATACCAGTCGATATATACGGTTCTCGTAGACGCCGATGAACTCTCCGAAAACGCTTTGCGTAAATTCTACAGGCGTTGCTGTGGCCGTTATAGCCGACGACGATGAAGCATCCTGCGGATCTTCGAAGTTGTTCTGCGAGATTGACCTCAACTCATTGAGTACGGTAGCTCTTGGACCCCTGTTGCCTCCTTGGCCTCGTGGTGCATCGAATGTACATGCTAGGTTTGCTGATAGACATCCTGCGCAAGGTTGCGAGCCGTTACATTTGGTCTTGCGGCGGCGGCACGCGTCACAAGCCTTCGGAATGACTTTTCGCGCTTTGACAGGGATATTTTGCATCAAGTTCGTTTGTCTACGCGCTGTTTAACAAAATTAGGAGAACAGACGGGTGGGTTGAGCGGCTGGTCAGACGCGTCCTGTGGTAACCGAGGTAGATTACGTCACATCAACAAGCGCGTACCTTCTGTCTGGTACGCGTTGAGCGAAGGAGGGACTTCACGAAGACTGCGCTAAACGATTGGAAATTACTCAATTTCTCGATATGGTAAGGAATAGCACCCTACAACCCGCGTCTATGACCCTTCTTCACTCCTTCCACTCCGGGTTCGCAGCACCCTTCTCATCAGCAACGCGTGCATGCCCGTACGGATCAACTTGAGTGCTAGCAAACTTCCTGGCACTGACTCGCTGCTCAAACAACATGTCGAGCTCACCGTACGTCCGGCCTTTCGGTTCTGGCAGTCTAAAATACACCCATACCACAACGCAACCACAGGTACCAGCCCAGAAGAATGCCGTTTTCGCACCCCAAGCCCAATTGGCATCGCCGAGCTGATAATTCGTCAAAACGTTGACGACAATGTTCGAGATGTTGTAGAGTGCGCGGGCGAGAACGATAGTCTTCGCTTTCAATCTCGTGGATGACATCTCCGAAACAATTGAGTAGGTTACTGGACCGATCGTGAAGTCGTACACGAAGACGAAAAGAATCAGAACCGCTCCGATGGCCCAATTAGACGCTTGCGTGCCAGCGAAAGAGCATGATCCGACGATGATAAGGATGACAAACAGTGTGCAACCACCCGAGAAATGGATCGTTCGCCGGCCAAACTTCTGCATCAACCACCAAGAGCCAGCGGTACCGATTAGGCCAAGGGCTAGCGAGATCATTGACATGTTGAACGATTGCACCGTTGGGAGACCTGCTTTCTGCATGAAATACGCGCTACTCGTTGTTAGCTAGAAATCTCGCTGATCTCAAGTCCATATACTGACAAGTAGCCCATGATATTGGTCCCGCAAATCGTTTGAGCGATCCAGGTAAAGCATACGATTTCGGTCCGTCGGAGATCTGTCCCCTTGAACAAGTCCGTCCATCGTGTTCCTTCAGACATGTTCTTTTCCATTTCGTTGGTATGTTCAATCATGGCGATTGTCTCATCGGCGTTGAAATTTGGGTCCTTGTCCGGCGAAGTCAGACGAAGCAATGCAGCTTTAGCACCTGCTTTGTCTCCTTTTCGAACATGCCACCAAGGACTTTCAGGTGCGAGGAAGACACCGACCATGATTGGTATGGGCCAGACCCACTGTATAGCGAAGGGAATACGATAAGCCCATTGATCCGGACGTTGAACGCAGCCGCGATTCACACCCGCAGCAATGAATTGTCCCATTACCCAGCACCTTGATGAGTTAGCAACCAGCTTTGGAAGGAACAATTGATCACGCTTACATGTTGACGAATGTGGTCAGGATCGGCCTCAGGCGTACAGGCGCGACTTCCGATGCGTACTGCGTTGTGAGAGTCTGGAACATGCCCCAGGGTATCCCGCAGAAAACCTCGCCAATGACCAGTGTTTGAACGTTGGGTGCAAAGAAAAGGATGAAAATGAAGGCAGTCATTGACATCAGAGCACCAATCATGGTCTTCCGATAACCATAACGCTCACTGACGAACCCGTTGATGAACAGGCCGATCACTTCACCGGCTCGTGCTCCGTTCGATCTGATGCAGTCAGAAAGTGTGCTATAACTCGAAGTTGGGTTCATGTGAGACTTACAGAGCACTCTGCCAACTCGCCTGAACACTGTACTTGCCAGTAGCAGCGTTGAACACTCCGTACTTGCGATTGAACTGAGGACTGCCGTACAAACTTCCCAACAACGCAAGATCATACCCTTCCATGATCAGAGCACTCGAGAGGACGACTGACCAGCCGACCGCTTTTGGATAAAGCTTGATCGCTTGGATGAGGGTCATGGATTTCTCATCATCAGCAGCATGTCGCGCCTCCTCGTTAGGCGCCACGAGCTGTGTTGCCATAGGTTGTTGGAGGTCCTTTTCTGCCATCGTCGAGTTGAGTGGCAGGTGCCGTAAGGGAGAGGCTCGAGTTGATGCAATATCACTAAGGAAATACGCTGGGTTTATAACCATCTACGAGCACAGGTGATCATAGTCAGACTAGGGTCGTCTTTGATGCGGGTTAGCGAGAGCCCAGCAACTTGGACCCCCCATGGTGCCCCAGCTCTGGTAGTAAAACCGCTCACGCTACGCTCTAGATTACTCCAACGGCACAAGACAACGCCACTCGAATTGTGTCTACGAGTCTTTTCGCTGCTAAATGATCGGAAGGAACGCGGAGAACCTGGATCTGTGCGGCAAAGCATTATGTTTTCACGGAGCCAAGGCGGAGGCAACGCGGGAGCAACACGGATGCTGCATTGCGGGGCTGACACGAGTCGCGCAGGCATGCCAACCATTTACGAGCGACTCTTATAACCACGAATCAGAGGTATTCTCGCAATGATGTACGTGGGTGGGACTATTAGAGGGTCGGGAAGCAGTTGGGATAACAGGTCCCGCGAGTTTGCAACCTTCTGCCTCTATCTTCCAGCTAACCAATGCTTGGAGCTGCCACCATATTGCTACGACTACTCAGTTATCATCGATCAGTTCGTGCAAAGTCGACTGAACATATCAAATCCCATTTCCTCTTCGTTTCACACTTTTCTGGCTCAAAGTCATCCTAAGCTTAGCACGGATAGCGAGCTCTCTTCTATCATACTAACATGTCACCACATGTAGACCTTTCATATCATAAACGGGTTTGGTGGAAAGAAGCAACGTTTTACCAGATCTATCCCGCGTCATTCAAGGACAGCAATGGGGATGGTTGGGGAGATATTCCTGGTATACTCGAAAATATCAACTATATCGCATCTCTCGGTGTCGATGTAGTGTGGCTGTCGCCCATGTTTGACTCCCCTCAGATCGACATGGTAAGAACTCTGGTGTATGAAATACATATGAAGCCTGTACTAACTCACACACCACAATGTTAGGGCTACGATGTTTCTGATTATGAAGGCGTATATGCACCATACGGCACAGTGCAAGATGTCGAGAAGCTCATCGAAGCTTGCCATGAAAATCATATGAAGATCATTCTCGACCTTGTCGTGAATCATACTAGCGATCAGCACGCTTGGTTCAAAGAAAGCCGAAGTTCAAAGGACAATCCAAAAAGAGATTGGTATTTCTGGCAGCCTGCGCGGTACGATGAGCAAGGAAATCGCATGCCGCCTACCAACTACCGTTCATACTTCGCTGGTGGAACCTGGACTTGGGATGAGCACACAGAGGAATACTATCTTCACCTCTATGACAGATCCCAACCAGACCTGAATTGGGAAAACGAAGACTGTAGGAAAGCAATATACGACTCGGCAATGCGCTTCTGGCTCGACAAAGGCATCGATGGTTTCCGAGTAGACACGGTAAACAAGTACTCCAAAGTCCTTCCCTTCGCCGATGCACCCGTCACGGACCCTACCAGTGACATCCAACCTGCCGCCCAAATGTGGTGCAATGGGCCTCGGATTCACGAGTTCATCAAGGAAATGAATCACGACGTCCTTTCCCATTACAGGACCTACGATGGCCAACCAGTCGTGACAGTAGGCGAACTCTCCATGTGTCCAGACCCTGAGTCAGTCGTCCCGTACGTCAGCGCAGCGCAAAAAGAGCTAGATATGGTTTTCCAGTTTGACATCACACATCTAGGCCAAGGTCCACCAGGCTGCAACGACAAGTACGACTTTGCTAAATGGGAGTTACCGGATATGAAGCGCATAGTAGAGAAGTGGCAGTGCTTCATCGAGGGAACCGACGCATGGACGACCGTCTTCAACGAGAACCACGACAATGGCCGGAGTATATCGCGTTTCGCCAACGATACTCCAGAGTGGCGAGAGAAGAGCGGCAAGCTGCTTGCTTTGTGGTTGATCGGTCAGACTGGATCACTATTCCTCTATCAAGGCCAAGAAATCGGCATGATTAACGCTCCGGCTTCTTGGGATGTGAGCGAAGAGTACAAGGATGTCGAAAGTCAGAATTACTGGGCTGAAGCCGTGAGATTAGCAGACAACGGTACGGATCCTACGCGTAAAGAGAGGATTCAGCGTGGGTTGCAGCTCATGGCTAGAGATCATGCAAGATTACCTTTCCAGTGGGACGAAAGTGTAAATAGTGGGTTTTCGACAGGTGAACCGTGGATGAGGGTGCATGATGAGTATCCTGCTATTAATGCTGCAGGACAAGAGAAGGATGCAGATAGTGTGCTTTCGTTCTACAAGCGCGCGCTCAGATTGAGAAAGGAACACAAGGATATTTTTGTATATGGGTCGTTCGAACTGGTGGATCCAGAGGGGACGGAGATGTTTGTGTACAGGAAGAGGTTCGAGGAGAAGACAGCGCTTGTGGTGCTCAACTTTACGACGAAGGAACAGCGGATTGAGTACGATGTCGAGGGCTTGAGGCTGCTGGTGAGCTCGTACGGGAAGGCGATAGAATCTGTGCTGCGACCACTCGAGGGGAGGATCTACGTCGACTACTGAGAAGGCGGAGTCAAGTATATTGGCGAGAACTTGTAGACTTTGTCGATGCGCTATCAAGGGTATACTACAATGCAAAACTCGCATGCTACTTTCCGTCTATTGTCCCACCCATTTACCAACAATTGGGAGATACTTGTATAGTTCGTCGTATTCCTTGCCTACCCAGCCCACCATCTTGCCGTCTCTTCCAACAACACCCAAGCCGCCCGCTAGCCACAATGCCGTGAGAGCCGCACTAATTCCGTTGATGGTATACCATCTCCTCTTCCTGACTAACGCCCGGTCCTCTTCTGTCATCTTAACTTGGCTTGGTGCCCAGCCCAACCATTTGGCCGCGCCCCAGACGAAGTGCCATACGCCAATTCCTACGAGTGCTGTGAAACCAGTAAACGAAACGGCTGGGTGTAGTGCGAAGCCGTGAGAGATGTATTGGAGGTTGATCAAGGACGAATCTCCGTGTGCGTATAGCGGCAGAATACGAGTAGTCCAGACATGGAAGCTAGCAAAAGGTACCAAAGCGTAGCCCAATGCACTTGTCCCACTCAGTTGTGGCCATGGAATTGTGCGCTTGTCGGTTCGTGTCTCCGCACCATATTTCTTCAGAGCCTGTCTCCTTCTCCATAGCCGTAGTGCGATTCCAGATGTGACGTGTGCAACGAGGGGAAGACCAACGAGGAGGGGTTCGGTAAGTGCAGATTGGTAGTATGGTCGTGTGAGCAGGAGGTAGCGATTCGATTCGAGGACAGAGCGTGTGGCAAGCGGTATTATGGAGACATTGGTTATGTGGAGGGCGGCGAAGGCGGTGAAGGTGTAGGAAGAGTACTTTTGTATGCGGAGAACTACAGAGCAATGTCAGCATTGCACCCCTCAACTTCGTGGCAGTGAGAATACGTACGCCACCAAGCTGTTCCATGATCACCCAATCGCAGTCCCAACGTGTTCATTCTTCGAATTCCTCTCATCTCCTCTGTTTCCTTCTCAGGTCGTTCCTGTTCGGGGAAATAGCCTTTTTCTCTAAACTCCATCGGTGTGTCTTCGACCGGCGAAGGGTCGACTTGTGTAAGGCCCATGACGCCCATCTCTTCGTCCTCTACCGGCGGTAGATCTGGATTGATCTCCATCTTGTGATCTGCGTCGTGGTGGTGCAGATTGCAATGGTTGGGGAAACGCTACGTTGCTGAGACATTGAATGACGTTGATTCGGTGAGAGAAATAAGTGGGCCTTTGTTGGACCGAGGCGCGTGCAGTTGAGCCGCAACACCAAACGTTCTATCACCACAACGACGCGACTTTACGACCCCGCAACCCCACATTCTACCGACTCGCTTAGATACCGCTACCACTGGTAGTGTAGCGCGCCAGTAACGCATTCAAAGACCGGGGCACATCATACATAGACGCGACCATGCCTCCAGTATGTATTCATCCTACTCACTCTTCCTCGTGCATCCATTGATACAATGCGTAGCGAAACAACCCCCTACCGGCGGCAGTCCGCCTGTTCAACTGCACAATATGCGATAAAGGCTACCCGCGCCAACTCGACTACGAGAACCATCTTCGCTCCTACGACCACAACCACCGCCAACGTCTCGCCGATATGAAGAAGCTCACTGCTTCGAACGAAACCGAAAGCAGCAAGCCAAAGCAGGGCCTAGAGATGCGCAGTATCGATGTCGAGAACGCGAATAAGAAGCCTGGTGTTGGAAGTCGGTTTACCAAGATTGGTGGAGGTGGTGCTGTGGGTGCTGCAGGTGGCAGGTTTAAGAAGGTTGGTGTTGCTGTTAGTGGGAAGGAAGGTGGTCACGAGGATGTGAGTGGCAAAACTGGAGAGGATACCAAGAAGGTCGTAGATAGCGTAGAAGTTCCTGCTGCTGCTGCTGCTGCTGCTGCTGCAATGCCTATCGTGGATGCCGATGTCAAGAAAGAAGAGAATGTCGTCATGGCAAATGATGAAGAGGGCGAAGAGATTACTTGGGAAGAGTACGACTTCACAAAGCCAACTGGATGCGATCATGCGAGCTGTCCGGGATGCAAGACGGATGGCATATGGAGCGGCGAATGGATGGCTGTGGATGCCGTTTGATAAGGGGTGTTTATTGTTCTCATTCTAACTCTGACATTGCTACTGCACTTGCACAACGAGCAGATATCGCAGTACTCGAGAGTTTGTCATATTGCATAGCGCCGGCGTTCAAGGAGTCAGCACACGGTCCATACTCATGGCAATTTGGAGATTTGTAAGTGTGTTGCAGTTGTTTTACGAAGTTCGTTTTTTCAGCTGTTTCTTGTTTCCTAATACCCCGGGTTCAATCATTAGATCCTGCTCTGCGATCTTAAGCAATAGAGAGTCTTACTGATCTCTTCAAATCCCTCCCCATAGTCTTTGGTTGTCCAGCTATCGTATCCAATAACTCATCTGTGTCCAGCGCTGGCCCTTTCGAAGACGTTCAGGCAAAGGCACCAGACAGATGATGTACTGATTATTGAACCTGGCAAAGTGAGCACAAGGTTGGTGTTCTCTGATGCATCTTCTATTCGCAGTCTCTTGAAACCGGCCGCCTCTGCTACAATCGATTGGACCAGGCCCACCACGGACGAGCAGACTGTAAACACAGCACCCTCCCGTCACGTATTTTGCCACATCGTGTGTAAGCTCTGCGTATTTTCGAGCTTTCTCCTCGGTGGACGACCACGTCTTTTTAAAACGTCGCTCAAGCTCGGCCCGGACTTGGCTAGGAAGGTCGTCCATGTCTTTCCACATATCGGAACCCGACAAGCTGGGAATCCGCAAGTACATCTTCAAGTCTGCCGGTTCGCGTATATCTTTCGCTTTCGATTGAACATTAGTCTCGGCTTCCGCATCTTCTGCCTCGCTAGTAATCTCGATGATCTCCTCCTCTTCCTTTACTAGGACTTGCGCCGCACTCTGTTTGGCGTTCTGAGCTACAGTTGCATCGATTCTTGCTCGCTTCGAGTCGTCGGCAATCGCTGTGGAAATACTCCGCTTATTGGATGTAGTGACAAGTTCCTGAGCAGGGACAGGATGCATAGCCAATGGAGCATAAGCGACTGGTTGCTCTTGCAGAACTATAAGAAGTAGGGTCGGGTTAGCAAGTTCACCGAAAGTGGCGATGTCGGACGTACCTGGAAGTCCAGCTATCTCGCGAAGGAGAAGCAAGAAGGCATTCTTCACTTTTCTGGGAGGGAGATGTTCCACAATATTGCTGCGGTCCGCTTCGTCCAATCTCAGCAAAGCCCTCACTAGGCCATCGGTGTCGGCGTTGACGTCCATGCTGCACTTATGTGACCGAAGACGATCAAGCACTCTCCACGACGGATTAGTATATCACAGTTGGTAGAGAGAGGTAAGTGGTAGGGCGTGTGGCTGAGAGACGATGTTGTTTGGAATGCGTTTGTCGACAATTAGGCAACCTTGGCATCGGATCCTGAAGAGGAAGCGGTCAATCAACGGTCACTCACCTCACCTTCCCTACAAAGATGGGAGAAGTGTTTGGAGATGGCGCACTCCGTTATAGGACGAAGTGATTCTCAAACTACATAGGCACAGGTTCGCAAAGCTGGATGGCCAGTAGGTTTTCTTTTATTCTTTCGATCTCTGGTTACTACCTCACACGCGCGGATAGACTTTGGGCATTGCCTTAGCCTCTGAACGTTCAGCGTATAGAACTTCTCTGCTTGCCCAGCTATTTTGCCTGTCTCTCAAAATCCTCGTTGGTCTTGTGGGCTTGCCACCGCAAAGGGGTCGAAGAACGCCGATTATTTACACTGGCTCGTCAGCAAGGTACAGTTCATTGTGGTCGGCGTGCTTACTCTATCCAATAGCTGAGCTCAGTCCAGACCTTGCCCACCCGTCTCCCTGGGGGCAGGGGCACGAAACATATATTCATTGTACCGTCGGCCCATTTGACAAAGTGTGCACAAGGATAACCACCTGTTATGCACTGGTCGTCCGCTGTCTCCTTAAGACTGCCACCTATAGTATAAAGAGACCTACTACTAAGACGAGTGTTTTTCGAAACGATCAAGGACCGGATACATGCAGGCATGGTCATGTAGTACTCGGGATTTTGCAACAATTTCTCATAGTTATCAAGTATCCATGGCTGTGACCTCCATACTTCTGCAAACCGGGAGTGAATGTTTTGTTGAACGTCGTTTGGTAGTTCCATAAAGGTCTTGTAGACCTGTTTCCCATCAACCCCCCGGATAAGAAGGCATACAGGTAGATTGAGATGTCCATGGTAGTCCGCTGCAGTAGTATGGACGAAACGGGCTTGTGTCGAACCTTCTCCAACAGGATGAGGTGGTAGAAGCATGCCATAACCACTGCCCCCGATACCATCTTGCACTGCTGAGGACTGACGAGATGATGTAGCCAGGCTGTTACGACTGCTACTCCCAGAGCTAGTTTGTGTCTCTGGAGGTTCGATGGTTTGTGTCCTTTCAAAGTTGGGTGATATAATTGGGGCCGAGATACTGCCAACTCTGCTACCAGGTTGCACTGGTGGAGACTCCTCTCGTTTTATTGGATTATTTGGCTGGACAACAATATTGGAATTTTCCCACTCGTCGTCACTAACAAGATCAATTGTCTCATGCTCTTGCTTGACTGCCACTGAGTTCGAGTTATTCTCGACGACTTCGGTCGGAGAACTATCGGTCCTGGGTCGTTTGTGGTTCCGCAGAGTCACCGCGGTGTGTGCTCGATTGGTCACATTGCTAGGCTCTTCGCGTGCAACATGTACGGTAGGCTCAGCATGAGGGCTTTGATTCAACTGAGTCTGAATGGCAACGTTTTCTGAGAGTGTTAGTTGACATATGTTTGGGATCGTGGTGGTCGGACCAACCTCGATCCTGGTCTCGTTCTCGAAGAGCGACCTTGAGAAGCGCAATGAGGTCCTCTTGCGGCAGAAAACCCAATATGCGATCACGGCCTGCCTCAGTCAGTCGCTGTAGATCGCCCAGTAGACCGTCGATCCGATCGGTATCACTCATACTGCAAGCTGCATGCTGTGTGATGTGCTCAGATGCCCGTGTCATTGATCGGACCCAAGACCGCCGCGCGATCACGTGATACACACGCTAAAGGGGTGGTCTGTGCAGGAACATTGAAGTTCCATTTCATTGCTCTCTCTAGTTGGATAACGTCGCATCTCACAGGTAATACAAACTCAACTCCGAACCACCACCCGTTACACAAGGATGGTATGGTAGGAGAACACATTGCTTTAAAACTGGTCGTGAAGGTTAGCATAGAGGCGTGTTATCAACCTTACCGCCGTGACAATAGCTCTTACCAAAGGAATAAACATGGTCTAGTCAAACGCTAATTCTTCTACTCAACTTTACTACCCAGGTTTGCTTCTCACTCGAGCCTCGTAGCATTTTCTAACCTATTTAGTGAACCGCATCTTCGGACTAGGCAATTTCCAGCCATCCCCATCAAGATAGTCGCAGCAAGTAGCAACCGCTGAAGACGGCTTAGTTACATGTGGAGTACGCAGATCATACCTAGCGTAAGGTTTTACGGCCGTAAGGTCCAAAGCGAGTGTGGACTTCACGTAGTTTGCGTAGCCGCTAGGCTGATGCTATCCTTGAATTTTACGTCATCGCAGACAGATGTTCAGCCGTTATGTAATGAGGTAACTGAGTAGACTCTCCTTTCTCAGCCAGGACTATCTAGTCCTCAGAACCCAGTAGACACCGCGCAGCAACAAAGCAAGAGACTTAGGCTCCAGCGTTCGTGCAAATGCAATATTGAAAATCACTCATTCCGTAATGACGAACTATATGCTCGACTACGGCTCAAAGCCAAAGCATATGAATTTGTATATCTAACAACGTACTTAGATAACACCACAAAGTCCTCAAATGATGCTATAACTTATGATCATCGCAATACGTGGCGATAGAGCAACGGAAGAACTTCCGCCTGCCACTCTTGATCTGCAGACAGCGCATAGCTTCACAACAATGCCAGTAACACAAAACTCGGCTACTAGCATACCTAGGTAATCCTGTTTCGCATGATTCGACTGTCTAGACCATCATCCCCTCACCCTTACGTACGTAGACCGGAGGGCGAGGCTTGGAGCGATCGAGTCAATCACTAATCAGCCGCAAGGCATTCTACCAGTTTACCCAGGACTAATCGTGTTCAAGGATCATGCTTTTGTCGAAACAGTATGTACTGCGACTGAACCACAGCCAGGTGTCTATTCGCTCAAGAAACCTGCGAAACAATATATAAAGCGTCTGAACTTCTCCTGTCTACTCACGCAGAAAGCTATCCCTCGTCAAACAGCCAACTTCCAATTACAATGCCTCTCTGGAGAATCTACGCCCATCCCGACACCTTCACTCTTGATCAGAAGAGAGGCATTGCCGCCGCAATAACGAAACATTATGATGTCCTACCAGCCTTTTACGTCGATGTCATCTTCGTCGATTGCAAAGAGGGAAATGTATGGGTTGGTCCAGAACCAAAGACGAATTTTGTTCGCATTGTCGTAGAACAGATTGCACGGGCGATGCCGAGTCCAGACACTGCAGAAGGTCGAGCATGGCGTACTGGATGGATGGACAAGATTAACGAGGTACGTGGCTGGCATGCGTTGCATTACGCAAAATACTCTAACCTCTTACGCAGACTCTTCGTCCATACATACTCGACAGAAAGGAGCTTGACTGGGAGATGCATATCTCAGAGACTCCGCGGGACCTGTGGCGTGTTCAAGGCATCGATCCCCCGCCAACGGATTCTGAGGCAGAAAAGTCTTGGAAGGCAAAGAATTACGCACATCCCTACTAGACTCTCGATACTATCGGGCATGATCGCCTTAAGTATCGAAATGATAGAAGGGCCAATCTCATACATGATAACCACGATTTTGCGCTCCTCCAGCAACATTGCTCCCAGTGAAAACTTATGAAATCTTCATGTTGTGCTGCGAGACGCTGTACAAACCGAATCAAATGCCAGCCCTGCTCGGATGCAAGACTGCTATCTTTATTAACCTCGACCTGAGTAAGCTTGTTTTGCCGCCTAGGTGATTGCCTTGATACATTTGTTGCTTGCGAAATGAGTCGACATACAAGGCTGTGTAGCAATTCTATCTTATCGTGCTGTTGCTATAGCAAGCCCAGACAAACTTCTCGCATCGAAGAAGCTATTGATATGTTCAGTCTCAGTTCTAGTCTCATTCTTCCACTTGACCGGACCGCGCACTTGGAATATGACGACAACTCATCCACATGAATCTGCCCTTAGCACTAAACGCATTACAGCGTATGCTGACACACTCCTCAGCTTGACGAAAGGCAAACAAATGACTAATCACCCGTGTTTCTGTCTCGCGCGTACTAAAGCCTTCATCCACGAGCTAACAGACAAGCAACTTGATTATGTCGTCGCCAGACTCTTACAGCTCGGTCATGATGAATTTAGGTACTCATTTGTAGGCGCGATTAGAAATTTGGTGGGCGACTCGGACAAGATTGAGTTCGGTGAGCGTAAGTAGATCCGACTACGCTCATAGCTCTAGAGTCTGTGCTGACATCGTGTTTCATCCTAGTGAGTGAGCGGGAACTTGGCGAGAGAATAGCAACGTATTGGAACGAAAAAATTGACGACGCCAATGGCAGAACCCCCGCTGTGAGGAGGGTCATTAGGGAAACAGTGCTACTCGTTTTACTTCAGAGTTGTGTGTCGAGCAACATACTTGATTCGACACGTAGTAAGCCATCCACATAAGCGAACGCGGATTTGATACTGACCATCAGCAGTGGTCACATCGCCCGAAGATAATCCAGACTGGGCTGCGATATGTGCTAGGAAGATTATGGACAGGATCGTCCCAGCAGAAACGGACAACGGTGCCGCAATGACAGTGATAGTGACGCAGCAACCAGATCGGGGAACAGGGGCTGATGGTAGACAAGGATGGTTTGGCTTTGATTCGAACGGTGATCGACGAACAGAAACATAGCTCGTACGCTTGATGAAAGTGCTAGTGGAATCATCCGGGCGATTCAAAAAATCTCATGCAGACTTCCGATAACTGCTCTTGCTTCGTCTTGCAGACGCTTCACCAGACTTCCAGCATCCTCGACACTATGCACCAGGCCGACTGCAGCCCCGGCATATGTAGCTAGTCTTCCCTCCGGTCCCCATCCAGCATCTCCCGACTTCTCAGCTTCGTCATGAAGCTTCTTCAGCTCCTCAAACGAAACACCCGCTTGGTGATCATGCCAGCTTTTGTTCGTAATGCCGCGGGGGCTATACTGCTCGGGCCAGCCCATAGTGCCTCGTAGATGGTTGTACAGCATCGTTTTGGTCGTGCTTTGAGCACCGTCCGTAGCGCGTACAACTTCGTTCTGATAGCCTTTGCTGATGCGGGCTTCGGTAGATGCGAGGAAGCGTGTACCCATAGCCACGCCACGAGATCCAAGAGCAAGTGCAGCAGCGATACCGCGACCATCAGCGATTCCTCCGGCGGCTATCAATGATATTCTTGAATCGCGAACTTGATCTGCGACTTCGGGGAAGAGAGTCATGATACCCATGCCGTCTGTTGCTCTTCCATGACCACCGGCTTCCGCACCTTGGATGACCAGTACATCTGGTCGATGAGCGCTATTCGCAGCCTCTACACTCTCCTTCAGGGTACCAGTCTGGATCCATATGTGGATACCAGGCGATGCCTCACGAAGGCTGGCTGTCCATTCGTCCAGTTCGTCTTGTCCCCTTCGAGGAGCGAACAACCATGCAGCGCAAGGATGATACTCTCCTACTGCTTTGGTTGCTGACTGAAGATCTCCGTTCCAGAGCTGGAATCCTACACCCAGCGGCAGTGTCTTCCCAGATTGATATGAGTCTGGAAAGAAAGACCCTGGAGTCTCGCTCAGCAGTTCGCGTACCGTTTTAAGGTCTTTAGCTGTATCTTCAGGCTTAGCACCGGGGCCAATGAAACCCAAACCACCAGCTTTAGACACTTCGAGAGCTAGGCGGGGACCAGCCATGACGCGCATTGGTGCTCCGACGATGAAGGGAGAGGTGATCCAAGGGAAGACATTGGTGAGCTTCGTGCGCATCCTGCCGGAAGTCATCGCGTTGCGTATTGGATTCATATCCACGCTCTGTTTTTACGAAGAATCGGGTGCTGATATCATTTATAGTCATGAAGCGAGGTTCATGGTCGTAACGTGAAGACCGGTAAGCGCAGTGCCTACGTAGGAACTCTGATGTACGAATTAGCTTCGTACACCACTGTTCCAAGCTTTACCAAAGACCACATATTGCGCATTGAGGTGTCTTAGGACTTTGCAATTCCTACCAATGCTTGGAGACTTTGGGACTTTTCCACGGAGAAAGTGTGTTCAGCGCGTTTTGGTTACGTCAAAGCACGCGATGAGAGGAGCGCTCTCGCGTCAAGGGCGCGTTCAGATGACTCGCGAGGGGCACGGGCCTACTTTTACCTCCAGCACTCGATCAAGCACCTGTACCTACCAAAGTAATATCGCGCAGTCGCCTTTGTGAGTATGGGTGAAGCCAGACTCAGAAATAACGGTATTCAGATGTGACAGTCGTGTCATAGACTGAGCGGACCGAACGAAATCCTCCCGATCTTCCTCCTTCCGGTTTCGTCCGCAGTTCGCGAGTAGTAGTCAGAACTGTGACGACGAGGAATCAGAAGGAGCTTGGACAATGGAGTGTCGAGAGTAGTCAAGATAAAATCTGCATGCCCCGTCGTTGTGCTAGCATGTCAGAAATGTCAGAACGTCAGAAGGCGTAGGATTGTACCCCGGTCGGCCTGACCCGCGGAGTCAGTATGGACGCAACTCCGCATCTTGAGTACGACGTGATTGTCAATTGAGGCCAACGTAGAAGCTTGTTCAACGAGTGTTCCGCACCAAATGTTGGCTATGGATACTATCCCTGCACAGCTTGGAACCGGACGAACACCCCGCGTCCTTCCTACTACTTATATATCGGTCGCACAATAGACTTTCCCGAGCCATCTTCATCAGACAATACCACGATCTTGGACGAAAAGCAAATCAACCTCCATTCAAACAAAATGGTTATTAAAGTAGGACTTATTGGTCTCAGTTCCGTCACCACCAATGTCTCCGCCAGTCCAGGAGATAGTTGGGCCGCAAGGTACATACACTACCTTTCGAGTATCCAGCTAGAGTCAAACTAACCCTTGCACTTAGCGCCCATTTACCATACCTACTCGCCTCGCCACACTACGAGATTGTAGCTCTCTGTAACTCAAGCGTCAAGTCAGCGCAAACAGCAGCTCAGCGCTACAATCTACCGTCCAGCGTCAAGGCATATGGTAGCTCTGAGGATCTGGCTAAGGACCCTGATGTCGACCTCGTCGTCTGCTCAGTTCGGGTGGATAGGCATCATCAGTTGATGATGCCTGTCATCAAGGCAGGCAAGGATGTCTACGTCGAATGGCCGCTGGCATCCAACCTCACTCAGGCTACAGAGATGTACACCGCAGCCCAGAAGAGCGGCAGCAAGACCATCGTCGGGCTGCAATCCCGCTCGAACCCCTATATCCGAAAAATCAAAGAGCTAGTAGCAAACAAAACCGTGGGAGACCTCCTCAGCTCGACACAGGAATTCACTCTCGGTTGGGTCGGCGACGTCGAGCCCCCTACAGTCGAATACTTCACGAAGAAGGAAAGCGGTGGCAACTTCCTCACAATTCTCTTTGGTCACACTGCAGACCCCGTCTTTCATGCGTTGGGCGGCTTAGAAGAACTTTCCGCGCTATTGACGACTCGCTGGCCCGAGACCAAGCTGTTGCACGCAGATGGAAGCTTCAACCGTATGATCAAACGCGAAACGCCCGATCACGTTATGCTGCAAGGTACTCTCAAGAACAATGGCGCACCTATCTCGATGACAGCAAGGAGTGGTAAGGGATTCAAGGATTCGCCAAACCTTGTCTGGAGGATCTTTGGCACCAAGGGCGAGATTCGCTTGACGTCCGCTGCTATGCTTACTCTTGCGCTTGGTGGAGAGAAGATTGAGGTATTTGACCATGAGAAGGATACAGTGGAGGTGGTGAATGTGGAGTATGCTGAGGCAGTAAAAGACTTGTCGCCTTTTGCCAAGGATATCGGTATGTTGTATGAAGGCTTTGTCAAGGGGTGGGGTGTAGAGGAAGGGTTCGTCGACTTTGAACAAGCGGTTGGTATGCACACGATTATTGACTGTATGGAGAAGAGCAGCGAAGAAAGGAAATACAAAAAGATAGCGGTCTGATACAAGGCCAAGTAGGATAACATGAGTCAAGAGGAATGGATAGAATCATCAGAATCAGCTCGTCTTGAGACAGGATTTTCCAATCATTCACATGAGCGGATAATGCGCATATACATTGAGTTAGATCTAACCAATATCCAACACTATCATCACATCACCATTCGTGGTGTAACCAAAAATCTCTACCACTATCCATGAATAATCATAAAATGTCTGCCGACCTCAAAGTCGACAGCTAGCTAGCGCCGTGCTCAAATGGCATTTGCCAGAAGGGTATCCAAACCTTAAACAGAAAAGAAAAAGCAAATCATCGCCGCTCATTGAAGTGGTTCGCCAGAATCATAAACGTCGTAAACTTAGTAAGCTTGATAAACTCCCTGCCGCACATGGTCAGGAACAAGTTCTCTCTACTCGCGCAACAAGCCGCCAATGCCAAGACCTACACCTTGATCGAGCCGTCCGCGCTTGGGCGGACTTGTTTGAGTGCGGAGATCCGCTGTCGAAGGCATGCGACCGCGCTTTAATTCGCCTGCACGGGTGAGGCCGGAGCCTTTCTTGACTTGGCCGAAGATTTTAGTTTGCACGAGGTTCGCTGGTTGAGCTAGTGGTGGAGCGGACATCATGCCCTTGGCAGGTGGTGCTCTTTGCAGGAGACTTCTTGCCATCTGGCTGGCTTGGGACTCGGGCACCTCATCTTCTTCACGGTCAGTGAAGGCTTCCTCTTCATCGGCACTGGACGCGGTAATGGTCGAGTTGCTGCTTTGACGACGCGTGTTTGATGGCTTGGCCTGGTAGTGCGCTGGGGGAGCTGATTGTGGAATGTTGGTTGGGACAAAAAGTGGCGGTGTGCGGGGCACTTCGGCGCGGGGGAACGCAGCTCTTCTGTTTGGTGTTTGTGGCAGCGAGGACATGGACTGTGCGCCTCGCTGGTGACTGAAACGTGATCGGGGTGCATGTTGCCTGATGGGCGTTGTGGGAGCAGTAGCTACCTCCTGGCTCAGCATCTTGTCGGCTAATAGAAGAGCTTCGAAGTTGTTTTGACCTCTGCTTTCCTCGGAGAGGTGTGGCACTCTGTTGAGGACGTTTCTGGGAGTTGGCTGATGTGGGGTTCCGTAGTTTGATCGTGGCGAGGATTGCTCGATCTGCTCAAGAAGGGGTGCGATGTGATCGCGGTTCTTGCGAATCCTCGTCTTGAGTCGATCATTTTCATCCAGGACGCTAGCAAGCTCGCCTTCTCGGTGCTCGGTGACACGCTTTTGCTGCTCAAGCATATCGCGAAGCTCCTCATTTTCGCTCTGCAACATCTGATTCTGGCGGCTCATTTCTGATAGCAGAACTGTGTTGGCTGCGTTTGCCGACTCTTGGTAGGTTTGTTCTGGGGTCACCATGTTGTTTCGGCGTTTCTCTTCAGCTTGTTGTAGAACGTCAAGCTCTCGCTGAGCCATAGCTAGCTCGACAGCCATTCGACTTGCAGACTCCTGGCTCTCCATTACAGCCATATTGTACTGAAGTTTGTAGTGCGCTGCGGAGAGCCGCATGTCGCGCAAGGCGTTAGAGATGTTGTTGACCATGGTTCTCAGCTCCTCGGCGGAGGCACTGTTGACCTGGTCTTGTGGGTAGAGACCTGCACCCATGTCTGTCAAGGCAGACGGCTGGTTGGGCAACTTGCTGGTTGGTGGGGGAGATGTGAGCTGCGGAGTTGGAGGAGTAGGCGTCCTCATGGCTGCACGAGTACCAGGAATCTGAGAAGAGGGTGGAGGGGTCATAGAGGACGTAGTCCGGGGTGCGGGGGAGGTGAATTTGACTTGATCTGGGGACGCGAGTTTTGACATGGCAAGTGCTGCCGACTCAGCGGGCGACGGAGAACAAAGCTTTGGTGGTGTTTCAGGTTGCGCATTCTCGGTGGTAGGCATCAATGAGTCTTGCGACGGTAGGTAGTGCATTGCTTGTGGATCCATTCTGCCTCAGGCGCAATTGGCCTAAGCAGTGTGCGACAATCAGAAAGATGCAGAGGCTGTGCCTGGTCGGAAAGATGGCGTGTGGTCGAGAAGAAATTTGCTTTGTGCAATCCAACTCTGACACGCGGGAATTGTGGTGTCAAAGAGCTTGAGTATGTAGCGTTGGCGGTGGGTGACGCGGTTTAGCTAGGCGACGAAGACGATAGCGGTGGTAGCAGGGGTGCGCGTCGGTGCGCGTTTGCCAAAGAAGAGTCGCGGGGATTATGCGACTGTGATAGCGTCCAAACGGAAGTGAACGGGTGTTTGCAGAAGACGTGGCTCTTGCGGAGGGTAGTGTTGGGTGTGTGGAGGGACAATGTCGTCGGTGCGGAAGGCGCGTGGAGCGAGGTTGGAGCGTTGGAGGAAGGACCCGCCGGTCGTCCCTGCTCAACCAACCGGCGCTAGGCCAGACCTGTCAGTGTAGTGGAAACATGAACACTCCCTCTGGTTTCACGGGGCAACGGTCGCCTCCCGCTCGCTCAGACGCCCCTCTGCACCCGGCGCGGAGAATTGCCCGTCGAAAAGCAACCTGGCGACAAGTGGAGGACCCTTAATCTGGTTGGACGTGTGTTTCGCCTGTGCCGCGCAGTCTGCATGAACGACTTCCCAGCCCTTAGGCGTTGCATCGTATAGCGCGCGACACCATCGCCATGGACCCGTCCTCGTCCGCATCGCGCCCGTCTGGCATCCCCAGGCCGGCACCGGCCTCGAGGTTACCAGTACTCAGGCCTTCCAACAGCCATTCCCAGCTACGCGCACCCGCGTCGACGGAACAATTACGCAAGAAGCCGTCTCTCTCGTCCATCTCGCGCCCAACCACATCGACACTACAGAAGAAGTCATCGAGGGCATCGCTCGCCTACTCCAGCAACCCCCTGACATCATCGGCTTCTCCTGCACCTGCGCCTGCCAACTCGGGCTCCAACCGGACATCCGTCGCTTCCTCCTCCACTTCTTCCCGCCGAGTGAGTGGAATCCCTAGCTTTGGCTCACGACGAACCTCGACTATCGCCCCACCTACCAACGACGCGCCCGTCTTCAAGCGGCCATTCGCCCGTCCACCATCGCGTCAGACGAATGCTTCGCGGCCCGTCTCCTCGTCAAATACTCCCAAGGAAGATGATACACTGGGGAGCCTGGAAGGCTTTAGGTCAGCCTCGAGGGCTTCCTCGCGTGCCAGTTCGAGGGCAGGGTTCCGAGACAATGAGCACTCGCCCGAACTTGTTGAGACGGCCATCGATGATGGGCTCATCAGTCCCGTGAAGCCTGAGAAGAGGAAGAGCCGGCCGTCGCTCTCGGAAAGGACGATAGAGAGTCTGTCTAACCTGCCATCGTCGCCAGCACCGGGAAAAGGAAGACGCCGCTCAAGCTTCTTCAATGCCGACAATACCATGGCTCCGCCGGTTCGACCGGCTTCTGCCATGTCCAACAGCAATGGCAGCAGGCCATCCACCAGTGATGGTGCCCCGCATCCAATACCCGCTACACCGAAGCGATTCGGTGCGCCCTCAAACAGACTGTCCATGACTGCACCTGGAAAGAGAAGCGTTAGTGCGCAGGTCAGCACACCTGTCGCGACCCCCAGCAAGCGTTCCTCGATCCTACAGCCGGTGTCGACCGTCAAGAAACAGCCATTGGCTCCAGCGCAGAACTTGCAGAACACGCCTAAACCACGCCCGTTGACGAACAGCAAGAGTCTCACTATGCGAACACCCAAACCTCGGCCATCTCTGAACAATGTCTTCGGTCAAGCGATATCGCCTCCCGGAACCGCTACATCCTCGCCTGCCCGAGACACCCCTGTGAAGAAGACACCCGATACCGTCCGAAGAATGCCGAGCTCTTCCACAGCCCTTCGTGACCAGATTGCGAAAGCGAGAGCCGCGAAGAAGCAAGATGTTGAAGAAACACCAGCCGAAGCAGCCCCCAAACCAGCAAGCTCTTCTAATGCTCTGAGGGAACAAATTGCAAAGGCCAGGGCAGCTGCGAAGCAGCAAAAGACCGAGCCAACTAGAAACAATACACCGCCCACCGATATGATCATACCTGACCCCGCCGAGATTGCGACCTTTGACTTTGGCCTCGACGACGACCCCTTCAATCAGCGCTCCAAGGGTGGCAAGTCTGTCCTACGCAGACGCATTGATAGCGCTCGATCAGACGGTCGCTTGAGTATCGCCGCGATGGGATTGAAGGAAATTCCTGACGACGTACTTTCCATGTACATTTACGACCCCAACGATACCAAAGTAGCCTGGGGCGAGGTTGTAGATCTGTCTACTATCCTAGCTGCAGACAATGAGCTTGAGATACTTCCGGACAGCATGTTCCCGGATGTATCAGTTGAAGACATGATTGATTCAGACGAGGCAGGCCCTCAATTTGGAGGAGTGCAGAGCATCGATTTTCACGGTAACATGCTGCGAGAGCTGCCTGTAGGCCTGAGACGACTGACGCAGCTCTCAAAGTTGAATCTGGTAAGTTTCAACATGGAAAAAAATTACAATCGCTCAGCGCTAACTTTGATAGTCACGAAACAAGCTACCCATGGAAATGTTGGACGTTATCGCTCAAATCCCGACTTTGCGGGAACTGAAGCTGGCGGAGAACGATCTCAGCGGGGAACTCTCCTCAGCGCTATGTAACCTCACAGCATTGGAGGTTCTTGAACTGCAGTCGAACAAGTTGACAAGTATACCTGCAGACTTTCAGCGTCTGACGCAGTTGCGGATACTCAATGTGTCGGAGAACCAACTTCGATCCATTCCCAGCGAGGTTTTTTCTGCGACTCTCATCGAGCTTCAAGCATCGAAGAACCGTCTTGAGGGCGCCCTTCTCAGTCTGGACTCAGTGCCTCACCTACAGGAATTGAACGTCGCGCAGAACTCGTTGACATCTTTGTGCAATGAGGACTCGATCGATCTGCCTGCTATCAAGACGCTCAATATCTCTATGAACCGACTGAAGTCGTTACCCGAAGTCTTTACTTGGGTTAGCGTTACCACGCTCTTGGTTGGGGAGAACAAACTTACAACTTTGCCGGAAGGCTTTACGACGCTCGAGCAGCTACGCACTGCAGACTTTACGGGCAACGATCTTACTCAACTTGACGAGAAGATTGCTTTGATGGAGAATCTGAACCATCTTACAGTCGCAGCGAACCCATTGCGCGATCGCAAATTCCTGACTATGGGCACCGACGAGATAAAGCGCGATCTGGCATCGCGACTGCCTGCTACTGAGCTTCCACCTGATGCGGATGAGGACTTCGAGAACGGTGTCACTGAAGAGGCCCAGCCAAAATGGCAGCTCACACCGTCGGGTACAGCAGACCTCGCAGACAAAGATTTGTCTGAGTTGGAGTTGGATGAGATCACCCTAGAGGTCTTCACCAGCGGACTGCGACAACTACAGCTACAGCGAAACAAGTTCGACATCATCCCATCTATAACAGCGCAGTTCGAGCACCTGACATTACTGGATCTGTCCAGGAACAGCATTGAAGTTCCTCTCTCAGCACCCATCGAACTCCCTCAGCTTCGCGATCTCCGTCTTGCCAGCAACAAGATCAACTCTTTGACGCACCTCACAACCTATCTCACAGCGCCTATGCTCGTTACGCTTGACGTATCAATCAACCGTCTCGCTGGTGCCCTTCCGACGCTTCACGTAAGCTTTCCCTCACTCACGACCCTCCTTGCTTCCGACAACAAGATCTCCGAAGTGTCTGCCGAAAGCTTGCAGAATCTCAGGATCGTAAACCTAGACAACAACGATATCGAGCGTCTAGAACCTCGTATCGGAATGCTACAAGGCACGTTGACAGGCTTTGCGGTGGAAGGAAACAAATTCAGGGTACCTAATCGCCAGGTCCTTCAAAAGGGCACGGATGCCGTATTGACCTGGCTCCGAGATAAGATCCCGAGGGAGAGTTGGAAGAGTGCGGACAGTGCCTCGACTGAGTTCTTCGATGCAGACGACGGGAGCTTTTGATTCTTCATTGTTACACTCTAGGGCTGTGGTATGGGTATTCTTTTCGTGTCGTGTCTTGTTAGTATGGGGTTGTTCTAGAGTGCACTGGTATAGGTTGACTTGTTTGGATACACTGTAGCGTTTTATAATCTCTTCGTGTACATAATGTGCTCGATACAAAAGGGTACTCTAGGGGTTTCTCGGTTGTTAGTTATGGTTCGTTCCGAAGCAAATGCAGCAAAATATTTCTCAGGACGATGGTCTCAACATTAAATCTTAGCAGAATAATTGCAGTTTCATCGTGGCGACTGTATTGAGTGACTAACTTGGCAGGAGATGTACCATGCAGAATGACACATGAGCTGCGAATGCGACTTGAAAATATTAAGTCACTGTAGTCATCGCGTGGTATCTCGCATATGACCAATATCCGAAGTCCTTATTGTCTGGACTACAGTTAGTTCTGGTAGCCCACTAATGTTGTTGGTGTTGCACGCAAGCCTTAGCTTTAACCACGCTAACGCCGGCATAACGTATCGCCGAAAGGTCGGTTCGCACACGCTAGGCGCCCTTCGAAATTGTCGAACTTCGAGATTTCCTTCCGACAGCCGCACGAAAACTAACCCACAGGTCAGCCATCGCGGTACGTTTACCATATCCAAGGAGCGCAATCGATCGAGCGCAATCGCACACATTCGCCATCGAGACTGCGCGCCTCTCCAAGACCACACGAGCGAAGGACAAAGGCTGATTAGGGCAGACAATCCGACACAATGGCCATCAAGCACAACCAGCAGATCCAGAAGAACCATTTCCACAAGGACTGGTGAGTTGCATTGGAGTATTGGGCACGTCAAAGCATCGTGCTAACTTACGTCAGGCAACGCTACGTCCGCGTGCACTTCGACCAGGTAATTCCCCTCTCACGTCGCTGAGAGTAGTGGCGCCTGTGTGCAGATATCTGACAGTGCAATAGCCTGGCAAGAAGTCCTCCAGACGCAATGCTCGTGTTGCCAAGGCTGCGAAGGTAGCCCCCAGGCCCGTCGACAAGCTCAGGCCCGTCGTCCGCTGCCCTACCGTCAAGTACAACCGCCGTGTCCGTCCCGGCCGTGGTTTCTCTCTCGTTGAGCTGAAGGGTATGCCCGATCTTCCCAACTGCGCAGAACGCGTCTAATGCATCACAGCTGCCGGTATCCCCCGCAAGTTCGCCCGTACCATCGGTATCTCCGTCGACCCTCGCCGCCAGAACCTCTCCGAGGAGGGCCTCAAGGCCAACGTCGAGCGCCTCCAGGAGTACAGGAAGCGCCTCATCCTCTTCCCCCGCCGCAACGGCAAGACCAAGCAGGGTGACGCCTCCGCCGAGGACGTCAAGGCCGCCAAGAGCGCTGACAACCTCGTCCAATCCACCGCCGCTGCTCTGCCCATCAAGAACGTCGCTCAGTTCGAGGAGGGCCCTATCGGCAACTACGAGGCCACCGAGAACGCCTACAAGACCCTCCGTGCTGCTCGCTCTGAGGCCCGCCTTGTCGGTGTCCGGGAGAAGCGCGCCAAGGCCAAGGCTGAGGAGGCTGACTCCAAGAAGAAATAAGCTACTCGCTGAAGTAGTGGTTTGGTTCTTTGCTATGGCTTACGACAATACAAAAGTCAGGATTACGATTCGACAATGGGTATACCCAGCGTGGGCTTTCCCAGCATGGGCGGCGTCATGGTTAGGTCTGTCAAAATAAATGACAGCATGTGAATGATACCTAGTTTTGCAAATGCAAGCCGTGCCTCCCGTTATTCATGTCGTTGTGCTCCTGTCATACCGCCAGACCTTGTCCACACCACTAGCCACGGCTTCGTCGAATCACCGGTGCGATGTGGGTGATTCGTCTGCTGTTACTATGAAATTGAAGCTGCATCCATCCTTTTGAAACGCCATTAACTTTCTCAATTTCGATACTTGAATGACATTTGACGCTGCCCCCAGCGCGAAGACGTCAGCTCACAAGACTGAAGAGTGTTAATCGACAGGCCGTGATTTTCTTGCAATACTCGGTGCAGCAATCCCTGAGGTAATTGGCATTCACCCAGAAATACATCAAAATCATCAATCACTCTGTATCTAATCGTTGCTGATCGCTTCTTGATAAAGGGACGAAGTTGCTTAGCGGGGCCCTTGTTGCTATGATAGTAAACCCCACCTCGACTTCTATCGCAACGTACCTCACCACACAACAAAGTTCCAAGATCGATTGCAAGTATACCCGAGCTTGGACTTTGCATACAGTGCGACGGTTCTCTTAGTAAAGTAGCCGTCATTGCGTTTGAAAAGGTAGGCTTCTCGCGCATCTTGTGTCTTGAGTACGACGTCTTTGTTGTATCATTCACTGGGTGCCTTCCATATCTTTGCCGAATCTCAGTCACTTCCTTTTGCCTCGAACCCCATTCCTGTCTAATCATACGATTACTCATTATTTCCTTAGATATCATCATCTCTTTCGCCTTTAAGCTTCCATACCCGGTTAGCTCATACAGGCCAACCACAGAACTATTAGTTCATCTCATCTTTCCTCTTCTAAGAGAAGAAAAACTCAAAACCATAACGGTAACCAAGAAGAAACGACTCGCTTTAACACAGACAAAGACTTATTGAAGCGCCTTCAACCATCGAAGTGTCGGGTGATCTCAGCGAGCCATCAATCTCCAGTCATAGCGATATCATTTGCACAATTATCCAGAACCCACAGCAGACAACATGACCTCTCATCCAAACAGCAAAGACCCTTCGCCTTCGATCCAGGCGAGCAAAGCAACACAAACTGCCGATAGTTCCTTCACTATCACGACTGCATCTCATGGTTCCATCCCTACTCTCAAAGACCCCAGTTCGGCCAACATCAGCAAGCGCGAGTACATTTACTTCCTGCCCTATCCGCTTCCTCCAAACACCGAAGTTCCCTACTCGATCCATCTCCCCGACAAGAACCCTCTAAACCTACCCTCCCACCAACTCGAGCCCACATCCACCGTGGTACTAACAAGCCCCAACCGCACTTTTGTCGACATCCGCATCTACAAGTCGTTCAAAACCACCGAGCCAAGCCCCAACCAAGGACACTCTCAGAAACTAGACTGGGCCTTCGCCGGCACCTCGTCTTCCGTTCCGATCACCCTGCCGCCCAGCGGTCCGCATCACGGGAAATCTAAAAAGCGGCTTGAAGAAGACACATGGGAGAACGTCACGCATTCTACCTGGACGCACTGGGTCGATTCTCGGTATGCAGTTGGTAGTTCTGATATTCCTGTTGATGAGGGAGACATGTATCCTATCGCACCGGAACTTACGTTGGAAGTGGGGCATGGGTTTCATCCTGCGCTGGATGCGGTCAAGACGCACGAGGAGATGTGGAAGGATGAGGACGTTGTGTCAACGAATAAGGCTGGAAGTAAGATCTGTGTCGTCATGAGGTGTCAGGTGGATGCGGTGGGGGTGAGGGGTGTGGTTGTTCGGTTAGGGCAGTATTGTCAGGGGGTTATGATGGCTGGTGAGAAGACGACTGTTGAACGGTGGGAGTGGAAAGATGGGGAGAATGGAGAGGGTGAGGTGGAGAAGTGGAAGCGAAGTGTTAGGATTGGTGATGGGTTTGTGCCTTGTGGGGTTGCATTTAGGCCTGAGGTATTGGGCGTTGGTGCTGTGGTCAAGTTTCATGACTTTGAGTGGGTGGTGGAGGAGGCTTGGGAGTGGAATTAGAGGATGTTAATCGAGGATGTTAGGTGGAGGACAATGGGATGTACGCTGTAGCATAACAAAAGATATATATTGAATGATGGCGAGTACAGGATGCCAACAACCATAGAGAAACAAGCCATGAAAATACTCCGACTCCTTCCTACCCTGAGTGACAATCACGAATCGTACCCCCATACACCCTGCATCCCTCTGCCCAGGCCCTCACCCCCCGAAAGTGCCCTCGCAACCCTAATGCCCTCACTCAGAAAACCCACCGCGCCATCCACACCTGCATGCCCCGTCCGAATCGTCCCCGGCATAGGCGGATCAGCATCCCTCTCCATGACCCCCCTCATCATCTCCTCACTCGCCTCCCCCTCATAGCGATCAAGCACCAGCCTCCTAATAGCCACCTGCCATTTACTCACCCACTCCTCCTCACTAACCGTCGTATACTCCTTAATCATCTGACTATCAACTTTCGAAAATGGCCACTCAGCCTTTACGACAGCATATCTCTTCGTCGCAAAGAACAGCACCGGCCAGCTGAAGATCCACAAAAAGGTCAAGTAGAAGATCCAACACACCCACGTCTTGAGCCTCCAAGTGTTCACTTTCGAGCTTGTGTAGAAATCGACATGCTCGTCCTCAACAGGGAACGTGATGGCGATGTTACCACGATAGTTCGTTGATCGGATGATCCCCTCGAGCCTGTTCTTGAGATGTTGTTCATCGAGCCCAGTCACCACACGCCGCAGCCGGAAAATCCGAAGGGCTCGGGGTGAAGCACAATATCTATGACACCATTCCGTCAACCCCGCTTTTGGCGCACCACCAACTTCGATATCTTGTGTAGATCCTGGAGCCCTACATTTGAGGATGGTACCTCGATGCGTCTTCTCGCTGTTTTCAACGGTCGTGAGAAACATTGTTGAAGTGTCTCTGTCATCGAAGTTGGGACGGAGGTAGCGTTGTAGGTTTATGACGAGCCGGAAGTCAGTGATGTGCTGGGTTTCCTTCTTATCGCCCTTCTTGACTGTCTCGCGGTGCGTACCCATTATATAGACGAGAGGGACTGGGGCGACCTTTGCGAAGGAACGGATGGCAGATTCGAGTTCGGAGGGGTTGGTGTCGTACTGGGGTTCTAGGACGTTTATGGTGGAGGTTACGACGGGTTTGCCGTGCTTGAAAGACGGGCTGTTGTGGTTGGTTCGTGTAGTTGGGGGTGGGACATGGCGGATGGGAATGTCTGGTGTGATGGTGGTGCTGTTTCCGGCCTCGCTGTCGGTGTATGAAGGAGGAAGACCGGAGATTTCGGGAGCGTCATCGTAAGTGTAGTCGTCGGGGGTGGTGTGGAGGGAGACAGCTTCTGGGTCGTCGCGGTAGCTGGGTGGAGGGTCGGATGCTCTGCCCATGATGATGTACTAGCAAATGCGAAGCGATATCAAGTGTGAATATACAAAGATAACGACTTCAGATGTGAGGGGTGGTTGTGAGAGCGCTGGATAAGGTAGAAGAACGAACGACGATACTTAGTCGTGGTTGAGGCGTCCAGGGGCCAGTGAGACGGAGCACGAGTCTCAGCCTTCCTCCAGGCAGCCACCTACCCATTGGCCTATGAGAGCTGCCAATGCATACACTCGACATCTCTTGTTACGGGGTTACACAGGAGCATTGATTTTGCCATACTGTGTGTGTTGACACTACAGAGTCGCAAAAGGCCTGTTTTCACATGCTTGTCACGCATGCTGGGTAGTGATAGTCGGCGCGGGGAAGTCTGGAGGGTCGCGCGGTGACGCTAAAATTAAGCTTAACTCCGAAGCCAAAATTTTGGAGCTCGACGCGACATCGACCGTGGATGCGCCGTGACTCTTTGCACAAGCCACAATTACCTCTTGTCTTGCACTCGCCCCCAGCGCGACCTTCAATCTGGCCTCTATCACATCTTGGATACGCTGTCTACGCACACCTCGGATCCTTCCAAGTTTCCCCCGCAGAGCATGCGCCATCAGTAGCTCTTTCGCACGCGCATTCCACACTTCCCTCACCATGGCCTCGCCTGACGTCCAGATGACCGACGCGGGCGCGCAGACCATCGATGCGACGCCGCAAGCTGGGCAGCACATCAGCCACGAGGGAAAAAACTACACGACGATCAAGGAAGGCCTGGCGCATATTCTTGTCCCTCAAGGCATCCCCACGTCTACTGACCCAAAGCTGTCGAAAGAGGAGACTCAGAAGCAACAGGTCTTCTACAATCCTATTCAGCAGTTCAACCGCGATCTGAGCGTACTTGCGATCAAGACATTCGGTCTAGACGCAATACAGCGAAAATTGAAGAAGCATGAGCAATTCAAGAAGAAGAACGAGCGGAGGCGAGAGCGTATGCAAAAAGAGCGCGAGGCAGAAGAGGCTACAAATGGTGTGAATGGGGCGACTGATACTTCTGGGGCAGAGGATGCATCAACGAACAAGAGGAAGCTTGCAGAGGGAGATAACGGGGAGGGCGCTGCCCCTCTCAAGAAGCAGAGGACATGGCAGAATCTCAAGAATGAGCAAGAATTGGACGATGCAGCAGCTGAGGAGGAGGCTGCTGGTACAAACGGTGGACGGACACCCTGGAGACCACCCTTCAGCATTCTGGACGCCCTGTCTGCGACCGGTCTTCGTGCTGTACGATATGCAAAGGAGATTCCCTTCGCGACCGCCATCACGTCCAACGACATGTCGCAGAATGCCGTCGACTCCATCAAGCTCAACGTCAAACACAACAAGCTCGAAGACAAAGTTACGGCTAATACAGGCAATGCAATAGCCTACATGTACAGTTTCTGTGACAAGAAGGGTTATGATGCCATCGACCTTGATCCATACGGCACCGCAGCTCCCTTCATCGATTCAGCCATTCAAGCCATCAACGACGACGGACTACTGTGCATAACGTGCACTGATTCTGCCATATTTGCATCGCACGGCTACCTCGAGAAAACTTATTCGCAATACGGTGGACTGCCGTTCAAGGGTGAACCTTGCCATGAAGGTGGAATCCGTCTAGTCCTGCACGCCATCGCATCTTCGGCTGCTCGATACGGCATGGCTATAGAGCCGCTGCTGTCGCTTTCCATCGACTACTACCTCCGAGTATTTGTAAGAGTGCGAAAAGCCCCCACCGACGTCAAGCTGCTCGCCGGCAAGACCATGCTCGTTTACCACTGCGAAAGCGGTTGCGGTGCATGGACTACGCAATTCCTTGCACGCAACAAGGTCACAAAGAATAAGAACGGCGACCCCATGTACAAGCATGGCTTTGCCCAGGGGCCATCCGCGGACCAACATTGCGAGCATTGCGGCCACAAGACCCACCTGTCAGGACCAATGTACGGCGGGCCGTTGCATAATGTCGGATTCATCGAAAGAGTACTAGCGCAGCTGAATGAAGTTGACCGTGAGACGTATCCGACCATGGATCGCATAGAAGGAATGCTACACACAGCTCTGGAGGAGATCACGTTTGGCACAAAGTTGGACAAGTCGAACGGGGCGCCAAAGACTCAAGTCCTAGACCCCCTCATTCCGAAGTCCGATCCTGCAGAGATAGACCACCACCCATTCTTTTTCATCCCAAGTTCGGTAGCGAAAATAGTTCACTGCTCTGCACCGCCGTTGGCGGCAATCCGCGGAGCGTTGCGACACGCGGGGTTTAGAGTGACAATGAGCCACTGTAAACCGGGCTCTATCAAAACGGACGCGTCGTGGAGGGATATCTGGCACATTATGCTCGAATGGACGCGGCAAAGAGCGCCGCTGAAGAATCTGCCCAAGTCAGGAAGCGCAGGCCATGCCATATTAGCCAAATCAAGCGGGAGTGGGTATACAAAAACGTCAACTGCCGGTACAGCACCTGCTCAAGTACCGGCCGATCCGGCGCCTGGAGCGCAAAATAACGCAGAAGATGGCGGCGATGCGTCGGCTACAACAACCGCAAAAGATCTGCCAGCTTACCTCAACACCAAGTTCGAAGTCAACTTTGACGAGAAGCTTGGCAAGGACCACGACAGGGGCAAATACGTCCGCTACCAGCTCGCTCCAAGGGAGAATTGGGGTCCGATGTCGCGCGCGAAATAACTGAAGCAACAAATAATGACAATTCAACTATAGCACCCAAGCTCATAATTTGCCATCTCGAGGAGTACGCAATGCGTTTGTTTAGCTGCTGCTCTCCAATAATCGTCTTGCGTAGCACCATGATGTTCGCCGTTCGTCAAACATCGGCCGGAGATGCGTAGATCTAACGTCATCGTCGATTGCTTAGGTAAGGGTTATACATGCATGCAAGTTGCATCGGAAATTCTCATCTTCCTTGTCCATCTCGCAGATGCACGTTATTTTTTCGGGGCAGGCCTGTAATGTGCTCGATCCGCACGCCCCAAGATTTGTGGAGAGCGCTCCCACGAGCGCATCGGTGAACAGCCAAGCGGAGATTTGCCTGCTTCGGTACCTGCAGATAGTAATGTTTACCCGGGGCCTGAGGCGACTATGCGATTTGAATTACTGGGGTGGCCACGCGAGGCTGGCGTTCCGCGGAGGCGAGTGTCCACAAGTCGAGAATGCGTTCAATTTCTCAGCAACAAATGTAGGCCCGGGTGTAAGCTTAAGCGTTAAGCTACTCTCCAAGAGCACTGGCGACCTGCCAGAAGCCTTGGAAGAAACCCGGTTTGTTAGTTGTGGCTGTTGATCTATTGCGGGGCGGGAGCACTAGCGGCTCAAAACTTAAACAGTTCCACCATGTCATCACGTCGTCACGTTGTTTGAATGCGGCAAATCTTGGGAAACACAACCCCTGTACGCACGCGTTCACGCAGCGCCCAGCATTTGGCACAGGCATTGAAGAGCTTTGATCAGGAAATGTTCAGCAGCGCATCCTCTGATTCGCTCGTAACGACTTCCCGATGCCAGTCCCGAGAATCCCATGTCGTGGCCGACTTTTCGATAATTGCGGCCTGCACTGCCGTAACCGTAAAGTCATGAAATCATAGCTCTTTAACCTATTCGGGCGACAACGCCTGTAGTCATCGATTCGAAATCGGTAGGAATAAGCGTCGACGCGATGCGGTCACTGATGCTCGACGCGCGTATATAACCATTACAGACGCCGCCCATTGTTTGAACCGCACAACACTTCGAACCGCCAACCGACTTCAAGATGTTGACCAAGAGCTTCCTCACCTCCTCGATGCTCGCAGCTCTTGCTGCTGCCGCTCCTGCTCCCCAGGACGGCTACAGCGTGGCGCCCCAAGAAGTTGGTGACGTCGCTGGCTACACCGACGCTGATGCCAGCTTCTCGGTCACCTTCATGCCAGCTGGAACTCCCGCTTCAGTTTTCGGCCCCGACTCCCAGGTTGCTGCCATTCCCACCGCACCTGGGTCAGCTCCTCCCCGAAGGAGCTCAGATGTCACTGGCGCCACCAGCCATGGACCCTACGATGGCACTCCTACCACCACTGGAGCTGCTAAGGCACCTACCACAATTGGCACTGTCATCCCTCCTCTTGGCCCTGCCCCCACGGCTACCTACTACAACACCGACGGCAAGCCTCAGAACCCTATGCCAATTCCCTACCAGCCAGCTGGTGGTCTTGGCACCAACGGAACCGAGCCTCGCTACATGGTAAACAGCGACTTCGACTTCGAGTCCATCACCCTCGGTCTCTACCAAGAATGGATCGAGCTTGACTCGTTCAACAACGGTCTTGCCGTCTTCTCCGAGCAGGAATTCCTAGACGCTGGTCTCACTGCTGAGGACCGCGCCTACATCGCCTTCATGGCTATCCAGGAAACTGGCCACGCCACGCTCCTTACCAACATGCTTGGCGAGACTGCTCCTCCCCAGTGCACCTACAACTACCCCTACCGCACTGTCCGCGAGTTCATCGACTGGAACATGAAGCTTACTCGCTTCGGTGAGTCTGGTGTCTGGGGCTTCCTTGCCCACATGGACGCCCGCGAGGTTGCCAACCTCTTGTCTCAGTCCATCGCCACTGAGGCCCGCCAGCAAATCTCTTTCCGTCAGATGCTCGGCCTTCCTCCTCAGCCCGTATGGTTCGAGACTGGTATTCCCCAGTCATGGCAATGGACCTACCTCGCTCCCTACATCAGCTCTTGCCCCGAGAACACCACTCGTCTCGCATGGCAAAACTTCCCGGCTCTGTTCATCGACAACCAGCCTAACCCCAACCGCTTCTCTCCCAACGACACCAAGCCCCATGAGGTTGCTGGCGACCGCGTCGCTGACCCTGCCGACTCTACCATCCCCGCTGATGAGAGCTGCGTGAACATCAACGGTACCGAGCACCCCGGCTACTCTTGCGGCCCTGCTATCGCCCGCAACCGCTCTGAGCCCCTTTCCTTCCCCGGAAAGCTCGTGAACCTCACCTGGGAGAACCCCGGCCTTGCTGTCGGTCCCAACAACTCCTACATCACCGACACTGCTGCTGGCGCCCCTGCCTTCGTCGCCTGGGTCTCGCAGCTCAACTTGACCTACACTCCTCTTGAGATCACCGGCAACAACACTGGTTACACCTACCAGCCCGCTGGCGAGGTCTACGAGGGTGACCCAGCTGTCAACGACACCATGTTCGTTGCTCTGACCGACGCCAACCCTTTCCTTACTCCCTTCAACCTGAGCATGATCAACCCTCACGTTGTCGCTCTCGGTCTTTACCAGGCTGGTTAAATCTGTTCGCTAGTGTAGCAACAGATTTAGGAGATGGACGATGCTACTGCAGCATTGTTGAATTAATCTAGTGGATGAGGCCTATGAGCCATGTAATTAGATCAAGGAATGATTTGTATGATAGCGGAGATGAGGAGATGGCGGATAGTAATGCGTAATGATACCAATTTGTCATCATCAGAAGATCTTTGTATTTCGTCCATGGTGAATTACATGTGTGTGGTTTTGTTTGCATCTTCATCCACGCTAGGCTTTGCATATAAGAGGGTTATTGATCCAAGGTCTTATCCTTACTCCAATACTCTAAACAATCGATTCATATTTCAAAAAAACATGACAAAGAACCAACTATGTCTGTCTTTGCCTGTTCGCCTTCCAAAAACTCAGAACACGATGCTTCGCTGTACCACAAAATCCTCGACTTGGGAAGTTTATGTTGCTTGGAATCCGAAAAAAAACTCTCACCATTTAACATGAGAGAGATGCCCTCGCCTCCAGGGCGTTCCAAATTGAACCAACCTCTTGGTCGCCATATAATACCAGCTCATTCTTCTACTTCCACTTCCAACCTTCCACTCTCCAAGAGTGTGCCAGAAACTCTCAAAATCAAATCGAGTAAGACGATATGGTCTCTCTGCTCTTCTCCTGGTTGCCTATAATCTCGCCACAAGAGGATTCACTATATCACCAAAACAAAGCTAGTTCCATTAATGTTCTTTTCCGAAAGCTCTCAATGATCAAATCATGTTGAGAGTTGCGTGCTCGCCGTCTACAAAGCCTTTGGGAACCGTATAAAGGCCGCTCGTTTTTCCCTCTCCACGCCGACCTTATATCACTTACACTCTCATAATAAAAACCAAGAACTCAAAAAAGGCATACCAACCCCTCATGAGAATTGTTCTTCTGTCTTCCAAGATAAGTATATACCCTCTCTGCACCACCAAAATCCACCCGCCTCAATGACATGTCTTTGGAAAATTCAACCATCGATTCATATGATGTATGAGGGACGCTCTCGCCTTCTCTGATACTTTTCAAACCTGAAAGTTCACAAAAACATATCTTCTTCCACATTCAAAAGAATAGAGGATCATAATCATGAGAGAAGTGCGCCCGGCGTCTCCAATTTTCCTCAAAACAACAACTGCACCACCAATGCCTTCTTCCAAAGTCTGCCACGCATACAAATATCAGAACTAGCATTTAGATCGGCAGCGTAGCATTAGCTGGCAAACAACTTCCCCTCTCCATCTCGATCCTCGCCGTAGCGTTGACCACCAACCCCGCCAACGAGCTGGTTCCACACTTCAGACCTAGTACAAAAGCCTGGCTATGCTGTTACATTTGTTAGTCAAAGAACTCGAACGTTTACTGAAACAATGAAGAAGGAAGAAATGTAGGGAGAAGACAGCAAAAGAACCGCCCAGGTGCTCATGGTGGGAAAGACGGTGGAGAGAAAATACATACCACATCCGCCAAAAACGGCGCCGTATGCGTATGATCCATCGGGTATTCCTTGTCCACTACCTCCTTGCCAAGCAACTTCTGTGCTTGCGCGGCGTAGCTTCCATGTTGCACGAAATACACATGCGCTGCTGGACCACCGAGTTCGAGGACGGACAACATGTCGTAGTAAGCAAATCTTGACTGCTTAAACGTATAAGTACCAGATTCCCAAACATTAGTGGGGAGTTGCTCCGAGATTATGATGCCAGATGCGCCTAGGTCCAGGAACTTGGAAGCTGCAGTTTTGATGTAATGAGAGAAAGTGTACACGGTTTCTGTGACGTTGCTGTTGCGTGGACACATATATTAGCCATTGTTACTGATCGATGCTATTACTTGGCGAACTTACTTGAAAATCACTGTACATGTCTCGTCGCCTACACCTGGACAAGGCGGTCGGCCTTTGTCTCCCGTTGAGCTCGTCGAGCCATTCGTGAGCGTTCCTGCGTCGTTGATGCCGAACTCGATGATCACCCAGTCCCCAGGTTGAATTGCTTGCGCTATCCTGTCAAAACGACCTTCGCGTGTAAACTACGTTTAACATGGGTCAGCCTAGTCTCTTTGAACTTCCGTGCTACATGATGAGGAGACATACCGAGCGTGCGGATCGTCCGGCATAAGCAGAGTTGTTAACGCGGGCGTTGGTGCCGAATGAGTACTGGAGGTACTGTCCCCAACCTTCCGTGCCATTGTGCCCGCCATCGGGTGCAGTTGTAGAGTCGCCGGCTACCCAGATTGTTGGCACGGTCGCCCTTGAAGCTGCACCTCTGTGACTCTCGGTAAGGCTCTGTGGTAGCGCCGAGGCTGTGACGCCGAAGCCGAGAAGGTATGGTAGGGATGACTGGAGTTTCATGATGATTGCTAGTGCTAAGCCCTTTTTGTATTTTACCAACGAGCTGGTTCAGGAACAAGTGGACTTAACAGGACAACGTTCTACTAAACATTGCGCCAAGTGTCCGGTTCTTATACTGATGCTAACAGCCCCCCAGGCTGTGTACGATCTACAGCGCCACCGGAAGATGTCATCTCCAAAATGCGCCGCAATTGGATCAAAAACGCCGTCTTTAGACTAGCTTCATCTATACGATTCAAAGACGTTGAAACGTGCGGAAATAGCATCGAAAAGTGTCGCCGGTGCGGAGTCCCCGCAGAGTCGGGGTCGGTTTACATTCGGCGATCGGAGCATCACCCGCCGAGCTAAACAGATCTTCCGTCGCATGAAAGGATGAAGCCAAACACGATACCGAACAGAGAAGGAGTTATATGAAAGATCAGGCTCGAGGGCGTTTGCGCAATGCGACGCGAAAACAAGTTGGCTGACGTCACCAGCACGTGGCTCTAAGCGAGCCTCAGAGGAGGTGCTGGTACAAAGCCCTCGTCTTTCGACCTTGAGAATCCTGTTCTTTACATCACACTTTGCTCTATATAAAACAACAAAAAGCGCTCTTACCGGAACTATGATCGGCGCGACTTCCCTTTGGCGCTCGAGATATCTGAAACTACAACAAATACACAACAAATACTTGCATGGCTTCTTCGTCGTCTTAAATCAACGTTCAATGGCACATGACGGTTGCGTCTTTTGCACAGAAACTCTGAATATGGCACCTATGTCGTCAACCTGAAGTTTGTTGACTATAAAAGTCTCTAGTTTCCGATTTTTGTCCTCCTCAACACGACAGAATTGTCGTGCACATCTTCCAAAACAGTAATGGAATACGTGCATGTCGTGGTGCCTTGATTGTGAGCTATCGCCAAATATACCGCCATCAAAAGCTTACGATGCATTAATCGTGTACCGCTACAGCTTAAGAGCTTTCGAAACTGAAGAACACTTTTCTGTGGGCTTGCACAATCGCTCGAAGATGTGCGATTGCAATTGCATGGCTGATTGTCTTACCCACTACAACAATGTTGCCATGCAACGGAAACCCGGAAGACATGTTCCATGCTTCTCGTCTATTTGCGACTCATATCTGTACTACTAAAACGGGAACATCAAATCCGCTGATGCATTTGCCATCTTCGAAAGCGGAGTACATAGCTGGGTTCGAAACTCAGAGAAACAATGGTTGCGCTTACGGCTTTTCTTCATCCAGCAGAAAGTTCCTGAAGCAGATGTCATGGTGTAAGGTATCAAATAAAAAAAAAGATCTGGAAACCGAAACATGATTCATGGTATGTTGTACTGTGCAGGAGTTCCCAATCTTAACGAAATACCGTGCCGCCCGTCCATGTGATATTGCAGCCAGCAAACCAAGCGCCTCCAACGCCGCCAAAATATACCATCATGCGCACCATCACTTCCTATCCAGCCTCTAGGTTGAGCACGTCACGTCACCAAGACCCGACATCTCTCTCACAGCATTCTCGATATCTCCCACACTCATGCCACTCAGGAACGTTGCAGTGAACGTATCACCTCCAGTGAAGCTGAACGAGTCATCACCAAATTTCTCCTCAAGTGAGGCTTCGTCACCCCAGCCAGATCCAGTGACCTCCCATTTACCACCACCCAAACCCTGTTCGAGGACTTTGCATGATGCTGTGTTCGGTGGAGGTGGGGGTGGAGAGTCTGGCTGTTCTGGTTGTTCTGGTTCTGGCTCTGGTTCGGACTCGGCAGGGCGGTTATGGACGTTGCAGATTTCCTGTAGCATGGTCAGTTAATAGTCTCAGCCGAGTTGTGCGGAATGCGACGAACATTCTTCAGGTCCTCGTTGGTGACCGCGCCATTCTCAACGATTGGACGACCTGGAACAGACTGTTCAGGAGTTGGTGCCCTCTTGGTGAAGAGAGAACGCTTCGCGTTTGTATCCGGAAGATCACAAAGTCTAAGCTCGTATTAGTCTCATGGTAATCTGAGTGAGAAGATATGTCGTACTGGTTAAGCGCCAGGTTATATGGCACCTTGAGACTGTCTTTTTCAGGCTTTGGCGAGTTCTCGTACTCATCGCCGTTGAACGGGTCGTCGTTCCTGACTTCAGCATTCTTCAATATGAATGCCTTCATGTCTGCTGGTACACTGCCGTCGTGCCAGTTGCTGCGTAGTTCAGGGATACTGAAGAAGTATGCAGCGAGTCCGGCCTGTTGTCGTTAGCACATTGCAGAAGACTGGAGAAGATAACAGCGGGTGCTTACTATGGCTGGGGCCGCAGCGGATGTCCCGGTCGCTGGTGTGGTGGAGTCATCTTCTCCATCATGCTTTGCAGCGACAACATTGACTGCGTCCGCGTATATGTCCACTTGACCACCTTGGCCGTTGCCTTGAACCGTGTCCCTGTAGTATTTACCAGTCTGGTCTACACCGCCCACGGTGATCATGCTGAATCTATCATCGGTGCCAAAGGCTTGCGGAGTGAGGGTGTCTAGAGTGCGAATTGCTCCTTCGTTGCCTGCGGCGATAACAAGCGTGATATCTTTGTCCTTGCATTTCTTAAGAGCGCGCTCCATTATGTTAATTTTACCTTGAGCACTCTCTTTAATCCAGCCTAGACTTCTAGTCAGTATGGTTTGCCATAAGCCTTGCGGATGATACCACTTACCATATGATAGATTGATTATATACTTCGCATTAGGGTCAGTATTCTGGCGTCTTTGTTGTTCGATATCTTTGAATGTCCAGCTTAGAGCAAATTCCAGTCCCGAGTCCGTAACCCCACGGGGTACGAGCTTGTCACTTTCTGGGTTCTGAGGGTTTTTAGCCCAGTTTCTCATCTTCACGACAACAAGGTTGGCCTTGGAAGCCACGCCACTGACGTATCCAGCCGCAATACTTGCGACCATGGTACCGTGACCATTGATATCAGCCATATCTTCTGGTCCTTTTTGGTCATCGCTGAGTGAGCCGAGAGCGAGTGTGTGTCGATTGGGCACAACAAAGTCCCGAACCTCGCGCTCAGAGGCATCGAATTCCTGATGACTCTTACGGTAACCAGTATCGAGGACGTAGATTGTTTGGCCTTGCCCAAGAGAAGGCTCAAAGACATAGTTCGGTAGCTGTGCCGGATCGTTCTTCTGATTCCTTGCAGAAAGCAATCTGAGATGAGCCGCACTATCGTCTCTCTGGTTGAGTGATTGAGGCAAGGTAGCCCTGGCGTATAGTGAGTTCGTACCACCGTGATTAGGGATGACGAGCGCCTCGCCATCCTCTTCAGACATCGGCTCGGCCCATGCTATGATAGGGTCTTGACGAACGATAGCGGCCTCGGCGTCAGTGAGGTTCAGGTATTGGCACGAGACCCACTCGACTTCGTCGAAGGCGATTATGTCGCCCTGCTTATCACCAAGTGGTGGCTTTTTGGCAAACTCCTCGTACTGAGCTTGAGTTATGCCGTCCACCGTGGTGACTAGATAAGGTCTTGGAGTATCTTCGTCTCTCTTGGCACGTTTCTTGGTGTCCTCTGATACAGTCTGTACTGGAGTGCCATCTGGGTTAAACTCGCATGCCTCGTTTTTGGTACTATCTTGCGCCGAGACAGCGACCGAATCGCATGATTGTTTGACTCCAGGGTTGAATGAATCGTTAGAGGCCACAGCTTCTGCTCCTGGTTGATCGTTTGGATTCATTCTCTGGTGAAGATGTACGACTGGTTGGGTCTCAGCGGTTCCAACAGATAGGTGTGTGAGGAAGACCGCAATCGCTGCCAGAGTGACGTGCGAGACATAAACCATGACGGATGCCTTGGCGAAGCGGGGAAGTCTACAGCGAATCGGATAAAGAGACGTTCAATTGCCGTATACGGTGTAGTTGAGAGAGCAAGAACTGGAGGTATCGCGAAAAGCACAGTGTATAAAGATGATGAATGAGTTGTTGTTTGAATGCGTGTGTATGATCTGGTGTTTGAAGTGCTGCGTTTCTCTCCATCTTATACTCAAGAGCATGAACAGAATATAGAACACTCACCTCAACTAGCCTTCATGAAGACGCGGAACTGTATAATGCCAAGAGAGTAAGATTTTCGTTTTGATACTTGACGCCTCCCTCAATTCAAAACTGGTTGACCTATATTGGGCCCGAAAGGCGTAAGGCATACTCGATACGACTTATCTTTGGACCAAAACGCGATACCAGATGTATGGCGTGGAGGCATAGTATGCAAGATTGGCGTAGATCACAGTGAGCTACTTTACTTACGCGAATATGAACTCATGGACGTGATCCGTATTCAACATCTTTAAGCTCACAAAGTAGAGTGGTGTCGTCCACCAAAAACGTCCAAGACCGTAACCGAGCAAGCCAGACAAAGGGATTCGATAGAGCAATTAGGCTAAGCTTACAAGGATCTGTAGAGAAGGATCACTTGAAACTTAGGCTCGCTTCGCCGTCCCGTATCAGGTATATGTGTTCGCTGATGTCAGCGGAGCATGTTGAGCAGACATGAATAGCGTCAGCGTCTCGCGGAGGCAGATTGCGTTCGTATCCCATGTACTGTTTCAACACTCTGTATACAGACTACGTTTATTACGTGAGTGTTTGCGATGGTCTCGGTGATCGTAGTGTCCCTTCCATCTCTTTCTCAGGCTTCATGTCGCGAAATGATCGCCCATCATACGCGCCGCGCAACTCGTATCGAATATCTGTTATTTCCGTTCAACGTTACATGGTGAGCATATGTTTCCGCTGCTGATCGACGCGACGGAGGTGGACGCGATAGATCGCGATGGGAACTAGACGTGGAGAGTGTGTGCAAGTACAACGCGACGCGGCTCTGCGGCAGGATCGATGATGGCGGGGAATTAGCGCCAACAATGCGGAGCCTCCGCGCGCCGATAGAGCCACAATTTCTGAAAAGCTCTGCCAGCGGACGGCATCGGCGATCTTGAAATGGGCATGGAATCTCAACTTGGAATCGTGGCAGATATGTCCTCTTGACTCGGCCACGTCGCATCCAGAACAGCCATTACCTGAGCCTGACAAGCACACCCCCTGATCACCTCTTCACAACAATCTTACTATCACTCCAAACCAAATTCAAAATGGCGACAGATGACATTACGATCCCACAACACGTGGCCATCGCAGAGGCACCCCGCGATGTCGAAGCCATTAAGAAGCAAGAGAAGGCTGCTCTGCTCTCACACTGGGATTCTGATGTTGCGTTCAAGCTCGGTTGCAACCTCCGCACACGCCTGCTTACCTTTGAGCGACCAGCTGTTGTAGATATCTCTACCATCAGCACACCAGGCCATGTGCTTTTCCACGCCGTGAGTAGCCTGAACACGTCGTTACCGAAAAGCGACTACGAGGTGTAGAGACGTGTTACTAACCCTAGATAGACAACACACTCTGGCACCGCCCTAGATAACGACTTCTGGGTCAGCCGAAAACGCGCAGCTGTGATCCGCTTCAACGCGAGTACATGGCGTCTGCAGAACCAATTTGAGGGCGACGAGGAGAAGTTCAAGGCCAAGATGGGACTCGGTGAGACGGCGAAAGACTATGCAATTCACGGTGGTGGTGTGCCCATCTTCATCAAGAACTGCGATGGGCCCGTCGCGGTAGTTGTTGTAAGTGGCTTGAAGCAGTGGGATGACCACCAAGTCGTGATTGAGGAGCTGGGTAAGCTTTGCAAAGAGATGGAAAAGGGAAATGGCAGTACACCAGTCTAGAAGGTTGACGCTATATAAGTACCTTCAATCATGACTGACTTCTTCACCTGATACACTTCCTTCAAATCTTCAAACTTTGAAAAAGAATGGCGGAACAGCTATGGGAACGAAAACGAAACTAATCCTGGCCATGCGTCTGCAGTCTTCAGAGGAGCATTCCTCAATCCACTACCCCCAAGAAGCAGGAAGAAATTTAATGGATCGCTTTGGCGTCAAAACAGCCAAGGAACCAAAACCAAAACCAGGCCATACATGTGCGTAGCTATGTGATTTCCGAGCCCTCCAAAATACTGCGAAAGCCGTCTTCATGACCACGACGAACAGTTACACAACGACTATAAATCAGCATCGTCGTTGCTACCATTACTTTAATCAGACACTTCACAAACCTACAATTTTCAAAAACCCGAAGAAAACAACGGATGACCAGCTCTTTCTGGTTCACTCCAATCCAGATTTTCTTCCATCCCATCTCATGTTGTCTGACATGAATCATAACGAGCAACAGCTATGCTCAAGTGCACAGCTCCCTCAAAAAAGCATAGGCGCGGTCTTATGGTTTGTGATGCTAGCAGCTTGTGCAGTTCTGAAAACGTTAAGCAAACATGTGATGTCCGTCTGCACTTCCACTGGGTTTCACAGCCGCGCTGTAGCACTTGAAGAAGCATAAATACCTCTCCTGCCAGCTTTCTTCCACTCTATTATCCAAAGATACAATTCCAAATATCAAAAAATGCAGGCCGATCACGCCATGGCTGCTCTTTCTGCTCTCAAAGTTGGTGGAGGTAGTCCGAATGTTTGCTTCGCCGCTCTTCGTCCGTCTATCAAAAACTCTGGTCTGTCCGCTTCACGCAAAAAATATATGATACCTGAGATGCTCCAAATCGACCATCGAACAGAACGATGTCGTCTTTGAAACCACTCGTTCTTTTTCTGATGGGTGCGCTCCTGCTTTGCTCTGTGCCTTCAATAAGAGAAGTTGAAGAGGAGAACGTCATGTCTATTGTCATTGTGTAATTTCAAATGTACAAGACACCTACGCAGCTTTACCCCACCAACATCAGTAGGAATTTGAATCCTACGGGGAAACATCAGTATTGTGTTACATGGTATCATCGATTTCATCCGCGCGATTCAGATTGGTACTCGAACAAAGCTATGTGCTCTACAAGCTTCCATAAATCCCGTGAGGCGTATGAGGTGTTGCATGTGGATTTTCCCATTCAAGTATTACCATTGTGTCCTTAACATCACGCGAAATAATTCGAGCTCTTGACGATGAACAAGAAGGAGTTTGTGGCTGCTACCGGATCTAGCTATCTTCTGATGAGTGTCAGAAGTTGTTGCTGTTATGACTTCGAGGCTAGCTAGATAGAAGCAGTACGAGCTGTCTCCACTATCAGTTCCACCATCGCAGAGAGCGCATTTACCGAAACGTGACTTGATCCGAAGACGAAAGAGGAAAGAGCCAGTAGACATGATGAATGATATGCTAAATTTGCGATATTTGAAGCAAGGAATACAGAATGTAGCCGACCTCATCTCTATCGAAATAATACATAACTTTTCGGTCCTGACCAAGGGTGCCATCTTCTCCAAGACAAGGTCGGGGATCAAGCAGCTCGTAGGGTATACGCGAAGAGACCAGAACGCCGAAATGCAAAAAGGCTACACATGTGTCTACCGCGTAGACACTTAACCTTCCTCAGTATCCATCTGATCGCGTCCTCTCCTTGCACCCCCGCCACGACCTCCTCTTCCTCCACCTCGCCCACCGCGACCGCCCCTGCTACCTCGCTGTTCATGGTAGTCCTTCATCTCCCTTACGGCGATCCTCTGTGCATCACCAACACGCTCCGCATACACCATCGCCTCGTCCTTGTTGATAACCTCTTCCGGGATCTTCTTGCCAAGCGCGTTTTCGATGCGTAGCCAGATCTCAAGGTCGTACTGTGTGACAAACGAAACAGCCTTACCAGACTTTCCAGCTCTGGCTGTTCGACCAACACGATGGACATAGGTCTGGGAATCGCTTGGCAGGTCGAAGTTAACAACGAGGTCGACGGCGGGGATGTCGAGACCACGGGCTGCTACGTCGGTGGCCACGAGAATATCGCGACTCTTGGACTTGAACTTGTTGAGTGCACCGAGACGAGCGGATTGGCCTAGCTGACCGTGTAGAGGGATGGCTCCGAAGCCAAGGGTGCGGAGAAGAACGGATATACGCTGTGTCTCGTTGACCGTGCGCGTGAAGATGATGGTTGGGTGGCCGATGTTGTCGTTGAGGAGGTGAATGAGGTACAGATCCTTCCACTTGAAGGGGAGGAAGATGTATCTTTGTAGGAGGGTCGAGACGACTTGATGTGACGAGCTGCTGATGCTCACACGGACCGGGTTCTGCAAGGCTGCGCGTTGTAGACTCTCTACTTTGGAGGACATGGTGGCGGAGAAGAGGTAGGTGTGGCGTCCTTCCCTGGGAAGGACTTTCAGGATTTTGTCTAGTACTGGACCAAAGTCCAGGTCGAGCAGACGATCGGCTTCGTCGAGCACCATGTACTTGAGGCTGTGTTATGGTTAGCCTGCTGTCCAGTGACTGTTTTAGTCGACAAAACTTACTGCTTGAGCGAGAAGCCCTTGGTGTTCTCCAAATGGTCGAGCAGGCGACCTGGAGTAGCCACCACGATGTGCGGCCTCTTGGAAAGGGCGATAGCCTGAGGGACCATGTCCATACCTCCCACCAGCGTCGCGCACTTGACGTTGATGATGCTACCTAGCGCATCCACCTGCTGTGCGATTTGGTATGCCAATTCTCGAGTAGGCGCCAGGATCAATCCGAAGAGCGGTTGAGGCTTCTCGAGCAGCGACTGGAGTATGGGTAGGACGAATGCCGCCGTCTTTCCGGAACCTGTCTCGGCCAGTCCAATCACATCTCTGCCTTCGAGGGCAAGAGGTATAGCTTGTTCCTGAATGGGAGTTGGGTTCTTGTAGTTGAGACTTTCTACCGTGTCGCATAGTTCTTCGCGGATTCCGAGGTCTCGGAAGGTCTTCTTCGGTGCGTCTGCGGTGGCGGCGGTAGAGGAACCGGCTTCTTCCTCTGGAGTAGCATCATCCGCTACATCCTCTTCTTCTCCATCGTCCGTAGAGTCTCGGTCGGATTCGCTGGGTTCGGATTCTGGTGGTGGTGCAGCCTTCTTCTGGACTTTCTTCGCAGGCGCATTCGATGGTCGCGCTTTCTTTGAAGACGCGCCAGCCGCAACGGCGGCGTCTTTGGGAAGCTTTCTCTTTGTGACGCCTGGCATGATGTTTGTGATTAGTTGAGAAAAGTCGTGCGCAGTCTTCTTGCTCTCGAAGCATCGGAACCAACAGAAGTCGAAATCTTGGCAAAGTGGGACGGACCCACCTAAAAGTTCGAGCGCCAGCCAGCTCTAGTTTGCGACTGCATGCGACAAAACCATTCGTCCGACAACACCAGCACGCCGCCCCTCAACTCATAGCAGTGCAATACAAAGTCGAACCGGAGGGCTCAGAGAAAGTGCCATTCTCAATTCAATAACCGAAGTCGACAAGCAAGCAAACGAGTCTTCGCAATGGCTCGTGGAAAAGGAACCGCGAGGAAGAAGCAGTCGGTACGCGACAAGGAGCTTTCCAAGAAGCCGGTCGCAGGGACTCCGAAATCCATGGTCATCCGTATTGGTGCGCAAGAGTAAGTTGGATCAGATCGAAGGCCGACTTGGTCGCTAACGAAATTCAGAGTAGGAAGATCAGTCTCGGACCTCGTAAACGATGTGCGCCATTGCTTGGAACCTGATACTGCCATCCGACTGAAGGAGCGAAGAGCGAACAAGCTGAAGGTAAGACACAGATATTTGTCTGTATGACTTGAGCTGACAATCTTAAAGGACTTCCTTGTCATGTGCGGACCGCTCGGTGTCAGCCACCTTCTACTCTTTTCACGCTCAGAAGTCGGAAACGTCAACCTCAGGCTATGCCGTGTCCCCCGCGGACCTACTCTCCATTTCCGGGTGGAGAACTACAGTCTCTGCAAAGATATCCTCAAGTCGATGAGGCGTCCACGAGCTGGCGCAAACGACTACATGGTCGCACCACTGCTAGTGATGAACAACTTCCTGACAAGCGACTCGGAGAGAGAACGACTCGGCGACAAGGCACCGCCTAAGCATTTGGAGAAGCTGGTGACAGACATGTTCCAGGGCTTGTTCCCACCCATCCAACCACACACCACCCCTCTACACTCGATCAAGCGTGTCCTTCTGCTCAACCGTGAGCCTCCGTCCGAAGAGAATGGATCTGTCACAATCAGCCTACGACATTACGCGATCACAACAAAAGTAACAGGCGTACCAAAGGCCATCCGACGGTTATACGTAGCTGAGAAGCTCATTGGCAGCAAGGAGAAGAAGAAGAGTGCACTACCAAACCTGGGCAAGCTCGAGGATGTGGCCGACTACATGTTGGACCCTTCAGCTGCCGGTTATACGTCCGCCTCGGATACTGAACAAGATACCGACAATGAGGTGGAGGTAACAGCACCTGTGCGACAAAAGGTCTTGTCCCACCGCGAGAAGGAGAAGCTGAAAGCCGGCGACGAGACGTCACACGCACGTGCCAAGGGCTCAAAAGCTCGCGTCGAGAAGCGTGCAGTCAAGCTTGTCGAGCTTGGTCCTCGCATGGTGCTCCGCCTTACCAAGGTCGAGGAGGATGTCTGCGGCGGCAAGATCATGTGGCACGAGTACATCAAGAAGAGCAAAGCGGAAGAGCAAGAATTAGAGAAGAAGTGGACACAAAGAAACAAGGAGAAGGAGGAGCGAAGACGCATACAGAAGGAGAATGTGGAGAAGAAGCGCAAGGAAAAGGCTGCTGCAAGGGGAGAGACTGGCGAAGAAGAAGGCGAAGATGACGAGGATGAGGAGATGGATGACTTGGACGAGTACGATATGGATGATGATGTCTGGCAAGACGCTGCGGACGCTGGAGAGGGAGAAGAAGAGGACGAGGAAATGGATGACGAGTGATATGGTCTTATACAAAAGTCTTAATGATACCCCATTCAACGCTTCATCCCCAACTACGCTCGATCCGTGCTTCCATCCCCGTCACACAAGCACTGGGTATCAAAGTTCTCGCTCACGTCCCCTTTGGCTTTTTAATCAACACCTTCTCCCCATCAGCACTTAACTCCCAGCCCACCCCCTCACTGACCAACTCCTCCCACCTCCTCTCCGTGACCCTCTCCACAAAGCCCTTGTCCGCACTCAAATACGCTTTGCCCAGACACTTGAGCGCATGCACCCTCACCCCGCCATCAGCCCACTCCATAACACTCCTCTGATACCCATCCACACTCTTCCTTACCCGCCAGAATCCCACGTAATCATCTGCGACAAGACACTTCAGCACCTTCTCCACCCTCCAGTCCTTGTACCCATATGCCAACTTCGTCGCTCTTGCGCCCGCAAAATCGGATTGCCGACACGCTTGATCGAGGATCAACAGCCCGACGAATTCGTGCAAGGTAGAGGGTGACAAGGGATTCCGTGGGTGTATTGTGTTGAGCAGGGAGAGGAGAGAGGGGAGGTACGAGGCCCAGTCGTGGCAGAGGATGCTGACGTGGATCGCGAAGGTGTATGCGCGCAGGGCGAAGGCGTCGCTGCGGTTCGAGGCTGTTATTGCTTCGCGGAGTTTGCGCAGGGAGGCGAGCACTGTGGCTAGTTCGTTTATGGAGAGCGTGAAGGCTTTCTGGGGGATCGGGTGGTGCTGGTGTGTCGTAGATGTGTTTGTAGAGGTGGAGGCGAGGGGCGGGCGGCTGGCATATTGGTGCTCTGGGGGCGCGTGTTTAGAGAGGGAAAGCGAGGAGAAGGACGATGTGAGTTTGGAGTTTGCGGTCGAGGCTGACTTCGTATCTGTGGAAGTGGACTGGGGGACGCTGACTGAGACGAAGAGACGGTCTAGTTCATCGCGGTTGAGGGCGCAGAGCTTCATGTAGCGCTCTATGATGCGGTTGAAGTAGACTTCTTGCGTTTTGAAGTCATTGAGCCTGTGAGATCAGACATTGCGCCTCGACGTGTAGGGTGAGAGGGAGACATACCGCGTCTCTCCCTTGGAAGGCAGCCCATATGTCTCTAGAACATCTTCGCGAACTGGTTTCAAGCGGTTCCATGCACCTGAGGCGGCGCGACGGCTGCTGGGTCGGGCGGGATCTGATGACTTCATGGTGCTGGCGATTGGTTTGGGCGTCCTGGTGAAGGGAATAGGGGGTCAAGTAATGTCGAAAACCTTGATTATCATGGCTGTAGGTCACCGAACAGATTTCAGACTCATAGTGCCCAGGCAGGTAGCAGTGAAGGTAGTCGCGCTGGAGGTTCGGGAAGGTGGAATGGAGGGGCAGCGCCCAAGCTCGACGCGTCTCAGACCATCATCGTCACGACAGGGACACAGAGCTCAAGGCGTCTGAATGTCGATGAACGTGTTTAGCGGTAGACCGCTACCCTGTTGAAGCGATGTGTTGTTCTCGCAAGCCTCGCCTGACGCGGCGTAGTTCGCGCGTGGTCCCTGAAGTGTTCGCGGATTGTCCGAGGCCGCTTCATGACATGTGAACTCCTAACAAGTTCTCATATACTGCAAATCTTTCCCTCGCGTTCTGCTTATCCATCTTCTCCTGAATTTTTCCCGATATGGAAGCCACCAAGAAAGCGACCTCGAAGGCCGCAGAAACCGGAAAAGAGCTAGAACAAAAGGTCGAAGAAAAGTTGATATTACTATGGGACGAACTCTCCCCGTGGCAGCAGGACAATCACTACATCCAGTCAGGATACCGCGCTCAATCTAATTCCTACATCAAGTCCTGGAAGAGCCTGGGATATTTGCACAACGAAACCGTCAACATCTACACACATCTCGTCGGTGCTTTGATGGCTGCCGTATCCTCAATAGCTCTATACAGCACACTCGCGCCTCGCTATGAGACGGCTACGCAAGAGGACGTGTGGGCGTTTGGCTGCTATTTTGCTGGAGCTATAGCATGTCTGGGTATGAGCGGGACATATCATACGATACAAAACCACTCCCATGAAGTCGCTGTATTCGGCAACAAGCTCGACTACCTGGGCATTGTGTTCTTGATCTGGGGCAGTTTCATACCAGTTATATACTACGCGTTTGGCAACGAACCAGAGTTACGAAGAACGTACTGGACCATGATCACGACGCTGGCAGCTGGCACTTCTGTTGTAGCGACACACCCCAAGTTCCGCACTCCGGCACTGAGGCCATTTCGAGCGCTCATGTTTGTGCTCATGGGTCTTTCCGCTGTGTTTCCTGTGCTTCACGGCGTTCGACTGTATGGGATCGAACATCTGCGAAAGAGCGTTGGGCTGGATTGGGTTCTTTTGCAGGGCGCGCTGTACATTGCTGGCGCCGCTATCTATGCTGCGAGGGTACCTGAGAAGTGGAGTCCCGGGAAATACGACATCTGGGGCTCAAGTCATCAGATCTTCCATGTATTGGTTGTTCTGGCAGCAGCAAGCCATCTGGTAGCTTTGGTTACGGCGTTCGACTACGAACACAGCCACAGGCTGCAGGAAATGATAGGAGGCAAGATTTAGACGTAAGTATACGATATCCAAAGCATTCAGCTACAAGCAAGAACCAATACTATCTCTGACAAGTTTCTTCTATGTATCGTGAGATTTCGTATTGCAATCTGCCCTGAAGGAAGCGATCGACAAGGATGTATTTCCAGAATGCAGCCGAACGACGCACAGGCCGGGAGATGACGCCGTGGCTCGATCTGCCAGCCACCTTCTATGGGGAAGGTACTTTTGTGGGTCAGGGCGGCCAATCAAACCTCAGGACCGCAGCTTCCGATCTTCGAGCTCACTTTCCCAGCACTCAGGTTCCCGGCTTCCATTCTTCTCTTTTCTTCCACACAACCCGTCGCGTCTCTTCCCACTGCTTGCGCATCATCTCTACGCATCGAAGTATCCTTTTTAGCTTTACGCGCAGCAATTGCTTCCCCGCCCCGCTTTCGCGACTTCTCACGCAGGTTTGCGAAGCATAACGTCATCTCATACCGCCAGCGCCTACTGAGCTGTATCACACACAATGACTGACACTGAGATCCAACAAGGAGACAAGGGTACGTTTTTCTCACCTCTCCGATCCGAGACTTCCTCGAGGGCATAGTGGCTGTGCCTAGCATCCTCCTGTCAGGCGCATTGCGCGCCAGCAAGCGCAACGATTGTCAATCTCCGCGCGTTGCTATGCTCTCGATCGCATCCAATACAACCCCAAGAATCATCTGTGAAATCATTACTGACGTGCAATTCATCAGTCTCATGGAACTGGGGCTCAGGACAGCCCGGTGGTGAAGTTGCTGAGGTCAAGGACCAAGGCGAGATTGCTATCGAATCAAAGAAAGGCAACACCATCAAGAAGAACGCCTCACCTGATAACCCCGCTGTTCACGTCGAGCGCTCTGGCAACGACGTCGTGAAGCGCGCTTCCGAACTCCAGATCGACGAGAAGACCGACGGTGCCAACGGAGAACAAGCTAACGGCGACTCCAAGGAAGGCGACAAGGAAGCTGAGTCAGAAAAGACAGAGGACAAGTCAGCAGAGTCGGAGAAGAAGGACGACGACAAGCCCGCTGAAGCCGAGAAGAAAGACGAGGAAATGAAGGACGCGCCAGACAGTGAGGAGAAGAAGGAAGAGGCGCAAACCAACGGCGACTCCAAGGCCGAAGAGTCCAAGGAGGAGTCAAAAGAAGAGGCCAAGGACGACGCGACAGAAGACAAGTCCGACGAGAAGCCTGCAGCCGATGAGAAGGACGACGAACCCCAAGCTGGCGACAAGCGCAAGGCTGAGGAGTCGGCGGATAAGACCAACGGCGCAGATGCCGACGAGAAGCCCGCAGAGAAGAAGGCCAAGACTGATGAGGCCGAGGCCGAAGACGAGAACAAGGACGAGGACAAGGATGAAGCTGAGACAAAGCCCACTCCCAAGAAGGGCGGCCGTCCCAAGAAGGAGAAGAAGGAGCCTGCAAAGAAGAAGGCACCCAAGAAGGCTGCTACCGCCGACGGTACGCCCCGTCGCAGCGGCAGGACCAACAAGGCGTCGGTAAATATGGCTGAGGATTAGAATTCCCTTCCCAAGTAAAATGGCAATGGGCACGGTATCGAACGCGGCGCAAAACTCGGATGAGTTGGAACGGGCAGAGCAAGGACAACAATGATGGCATGAACGGATATTGGGTGGAAAGGAATCTGGATTCGGCGCTAAAAGGGATTGAATCTTGGTATCGTTCTCCTTTACTACGGTAGCAATCTTGCTTTTCCTTTAGTCTATTTTTTGTGTAACAGTACCAGTAAGATGAAAATCAAAATCGAAATCAACAGTACCTGTCAGCTTTCTCTTTGTGATTTCTTGGTTCTTTGCGCATGGTCACGGAAATGGTACGTGGCAAAAGTATGTGGCTTTACAAGAAACGAACAGGGTCCCATTAAATGAGATGGCTATGAATTTCTACAGACTATTCTTGCTGGGTGATTGTGATTGTGGTGTGCCTGATAGAACTTGTCAGCGATGTTGCACTGTAGATTATGTGGTGATGTAACAGGCGTGGATTATCTCTACTCAGACAGGAAATACTCATTCAAGGAAGGCCGTGAAACCTTCTCCGATCCGTCTTGAAACTTGTGATTTGTATTGTAATCATCATGTTGAGATGGGAAATGCTGGAAAGAGGAGAACTATAGCTTACCTGGTTTTTGCAGCGCCGTGGAGAGTTCTGCGGTTAGTGTTGAGATGGTGGATGCGCGTGTGTCATTCGTGATATATTGATCGCGCAGGAAACATTGCGTATATATAGCCTTCTTGGCTCATGCCATGATTGGGCTGTTGTGATCGAGGAGGAAGAGATTGAGAGAGCTGCAAGCTAGAAGGAAGGATCTTGCGCGTTTTGAAGCGAGAGCCTTGGCGGGGCAGGGACCATGTGTCCTGAGAGCTCTCCCCACCTTCTTCGCAGCAACGTTTATCATGCTCCCTATCTTCATCACCTTATAAGATTCAGCTTCTGTATTATGTCGATCTGGATGCACGATGAAAAGGATGTTTCATCGCCTTACAACAAAGAAGACTCAGCGACCTTACTTCAGCCTACTGCCTGGGTATTCCACGGCCAACTTCCAACGATCGAAGCACACGATTGCGCTTAGTTGCAGAATGCAGTCGTACATCCTAGTTTCAACATGCGGCTCCTAGACGCACGTACTTTTAGATTGAAGACATTCTTCAACAACATTCCGCCATATGCCATCCTTTCTCACTGCTGGGAGGATGAAGAAGTCGTGTTCTCGGATCTAGATGATCTAGAAGAGGCTAGGAAGAAGAAGGGTTTTGCGAAACTTCAAAAGACTTGCGAACTTGCTATCGAAGATGGATTTGAATATGCGTGGATTGACACATGTTGCATAGACAAAAGCAGCAGTGCTGAGCTTTCGGAGGCTATCAACAGCATGTTTTCATGGTACAGGAACTCTAAGCAATGCTATGCCTATCTCGCCGACACATATTTCACCAAAATAACGCTTCCAGACTTAATCGGAATTGGGGCCGACAAAGAACTGCCGGTTAATTTCGCCGGTAGTAGATGGTTCAAACGAGCATGGACGCTCCAAGAGCTACTCGCTCCACGAAGTCTCCACCCCGGTCGTCAGGATGGTATGAAATTCTATCCCGGTCGTCAGGATGGCATGAAATTCTATTCCAATGAATGGCTACTATTTGGAGACAAGATTAGTCTGGCTGAATCGATCTCGGAGATCACGGGCGTTCCCACTCGGTACCTAGAGGGGCAAAGCCTACAGAGCGCAAGCATTAGTATGAGGATGTCATGGGCCGCAGGCAGACAGGCGAGAAGATCTGAAGACATCGCCTATTCCCTCCTGGGATTGTTCGATGTTAACATGCCATTACTCTATGGCGAGGGGAAAGTGAAGGCGTTTAGAAGATTGCAGGAAGAGATCATGAAGTCATCGGAGGACGAAACGCTCTTTGCGTGGGAAAGTGCGCACTCCAGTACATCTTTAGACGTGCTCGCGAACGACCCGGATGACTTCAGTGAAGCCAGCCAATTAGTACCCTTCGCGTCCGACGTCCCAGTCCCTCCTTATGCCATGACTCATCGTGGGCTCCGCATATGGCTACCACTGTTCGAAACCCAGCAACTCAACGATGATGATCGCTTGACCATGCGGCCTCTGCGCTCACCAGTCATGATACTGGCTGGTGTCGACATAGTCTGGGCGGTCCTCCGATGCCACCTCATGCATGACTTCGATCGCATTGTGATCATTCCATTGCGATGTCTGTCTGCGAATGTCTATCTCCGAGACACGGATACTCGCATTTCCCTGATTTCAGAAGCGTCGTTACCTCCTACCATGTCTACCAAAGAGATCTACATGAGAAACAGTAGCACTGCGGCCATTTCGGATAGTGTCCGGCGGCGGTTCGGTTTTCTCATTCGGAAGCTTCCTGCAGACTCGTACATAAGTCAATGTTTTCCAAAGGAAGCTTGGAACGACAAGGACGGGATTCTACAGGGCAAACGAGACGACTCAGTGGCTAGCTCATGGAAGGCGAGCCTACAGCTGACATTCCCCTCGCTTGTAAATAAAAAGTTGCGAAAGGCCGGTTGCGTCGTTTCTCTGACGTTTGGGTGTACACAAGATGAGCATGACAGCGAAGCGAAGCCTCACGCGTGGTACAGCACCGACAAATATGGACCAGTGGACTACCATAAGGCAATGGAATCGAGTTTCACTCGACAAACCAATGCGTGGTACGCGACCGACAATGTCACCTCGTCAGACTTGGATCTGAAAGTGACTATCACGCCTAGGAAGATCTTTCTACAAGATATGTTTGTCGTGGACATTGAAATGGGCGGTCTTTACGAAAGTATTACGGTAGAAGAATTCAAGGCTCGGCGTAAACTGTTCAAAACAAGAGATTCGCAGGAGACGCTAACAGGTGTCGACCAAGACTGGTTCACACCGGACCCGCGTGGGACTCGAGTCTCGCAATCCTCAGTTTTAGCCGTCCTGGGATTGAGGCGCGCCCCAACAGAGTAAAGGTAGTAACGATTTGAGCACATACTTCTAGCGTCGATTCAAGTACATAGCCATGTGGTCTTCTTTTTAAAAAGCCCAGCTGAGTCTATCGCAGTACTGTACTGCTCACATTTCACGGGCAAGATCCAACTATGCATCAAAGCATAACAAAGCGTCAGGCTGCCAAGCAGTTGTACCACAGATCAAATGTTGCTCTGCAATATCATTTGAAGGAATTGAATCATACAGATTTCCCCTCCGCTGTGGACCAATGATCACCGCGAAGACATGCTATTGCTCGCTGCTAAATACAAACACATGGCCTTGAACCACTTGAAATTATACGGTCTACTATCACCGAAGACGTCCGGAGTGTAGATCGATGGTTTTGGCACGCGCAAACTAGATCGTGTTAGCAAGTTTGACTTTCACGAAGAGGTATGTACTCACTTGTGTCTTATGCCACAGCTTCCAGACAATGATTGGCACTATAAAAAGTGGTATGCCAATGTACGAGGCGATGAAATCACCCGTATTCCAGTTTCCCTTCAAAAACACAGGGAATCCTGTAATCAAAGTAATGATAGTGGACCCAATGAACCCATACCATGCGGTAAAAGGCTGGAACGGGCTCTTCCAAGGCAAGCTGTCTCGACTGTGTCCCTGCGCTTTCATGGCAGCATAGAAGCGGATGAAGCAGAAACACAATGTCGCCCAGGCAATCAATCCCGCAACAGTGCTAAGACTGACTAGCCAGCCGAACGCTTGTGCAGCACCACCAGAACCCAGACTGAGATATGCGAGAGGTCCAAAAGCCCAAGAAGCGAGGACCGCCCAGTACGGTACGCCGTTACTCCAGGTACGGCCGAAGAATTGTGGGAGCTGGCGGTCCGTGGTCATCGCGACGATGATACGGGATCCGACCCAACAGTAAGAGTTACCTGCCGACCAGGCAGATATGAGAATGCAGGCGTTCACAATCGAAGGGAGGGTGCTGATGCCTGCCTGCTTGATGGCGATGACCCAAGGTGAAGAGTTGGCATTTCCACTGTCTGACACGAGACCGGGATTCCTAGGGTCGACAATGATTCCAATAAGAAGAGCACCCAGAACATAGAACAGTGCGATTCGGAATGTAACCCGTTTGGCCGACTTTGGGATGGCAACGTGAGGGTTGATGCTCTCGGCAGCTGTAATAACCACCACCTCGACGCCGATGAAGGAGAACGCCGCGTTGACGAACGATGCCAAGAATCCCAGAAAGTGACCCGTTGGTCCAGTGATGCCATTGTAATCTACCCAGGCTCCGGGGTTGTTCCAGTAGCGGAATCCAATGGTCTCGCCGTTTGGTGCGCCTCCGGACGTTATGACAATAGAAACCAGGATCAGACCCAGGAAGCACGCGATCTTGATCGTACCTGCAGCGACTTCCGATTCACCAAACCAACGCACGCTAAGCAGGTTGATTGCGAGAATGAGGACAAGACTGATGGTAATGACAATAGCAGGTGACATGTCAGTCCAGTAGCCGACCAGGATTGCGGATGCCGAGCATTCGGCGGCGATGGATATAGTGTAGCAATAACCATAGCTTATAGCCAAGGAGAATCCGACAGCCGGGTCAATGAAGCGGCTCGCGAAATGTGGGAATGAGCCAGCAGTAGGAATCTAAATGATGGTGAGCACGATCTTGAGATAAATCGCCATAGGATACCGACCACCGTAGCCAGTTCTGCAACACTTTGCATGACACACCATAAGACACTTCCGACAACGATGTAGGCAAGCAACAACCCTGCAGGTCCAGCATCTGCATATGCAGAGCCGGTTCCAATGAAAAGTCCTGTCCCTATTCCAGAACAAAAACCAATCATGGTGACATGATAGTCCTTGAGACGACGCTGGGTAGCGCCATGACCACCGACGTTCAGTTGTGGCTCGATGATTGGCTTACCATCGTCGGAATGATGGTAGTCGATATGGGGCGAACTCTCGATATCTCGGATGTGGTCCAACATGTTTGCGGGGAAAGGGTTTGGAGACGCACAGGCAATAGGGTCCGCGGGTTACTACTCTGTGGCTACATTATAAAGCTTCCTAGATGATACGTACTCGTATGCTCTTATCCCTTGTCGATCAGGAAATTCTCTTTCGCGCCATCAAAGCACGTCATGTAAATCTACTGTAAGCCTGGACCACCCTGTGGTGGCGCTGCATGGAGTCGCTGAGTATCGTACGAACATCATAGAACATATCTTGCAACTTTGGGGGTTTCCTGGAGTATCTAAATGGCCAGGTAACTATGCATCGATCAACAGCAGCAGCCATGCTTGGTTTCAGACATTTTATCGATAGACATAGAGCATCGCTATATGATTTGTTAGACGAGCTAGTTTCCTGTAAATCGTGAAATTCCGGAATGGGCCGATTTTAGCGCCGCGAAGTTTTCTTTAGATGAACACGCTACCGGCTGCTGGTCCGTATCACGCTAGTTCCATCCGCTCAACAACAGAATTGTGGAGACGTGTGAGTACTTTCTGATGCTTGTTCTCTAGCATTACGGAGGTATCTATCGGATCGCTTATACTTTGACTTTCAACGTCCAACGTCTTCCTAAACACGCCCAGCGACTGAACAAGAAGCTAATCAACGACAACCCGAGGATTGCACAGAAGAAAGCTACCATAGGTTGAGGCCCGACAGTCTCAACGAGCTCTCCACTGATTGGGATGCAGACCAGCGTCGCAAGAGAAGCGATGAAGTACATGCTTCCATAGTATCGGCCAAACTCTTCTGCTCTGCATAGCTGTCCCACACATGCAGGCGTAAGAGCCATCCACGAACCCGTACCAAATCCAAAGAGCGCTGCGAAAGCGTACAGTGCTGGAAGCGATGTTGTACCAAACGGCAACCACAGGACCAACATCCAGAGCAAAGTGAAAAGAATCATGACGAACAGGGTATTGAATCGACCAATCTTGTCTGCGACATAGCCTGGAAATAGTCGTCCGAGGCAAGATACTCCATTGAGTACGGCGATGAGATAGAATCCAGTATCCGGCGGAAAGTCGGTGCTTATCGATGCATATGTAGGCATAATGCCCAGCCCACCAAAGAGAACGACCTCAAAACCGAAAACACTCAATGTGAACAGGCTCAACCTTAGATCACCGTAGATGGAGAGTGAGATTATTGCCTTCTTCTTTGCAGCAGCGGATGGTGGAATGCGAGCTTTCATCAGGATGTTGGCGACGATGAAGCAAAAGAGGAATACAAAACCCAGTATCCGGAGCGACCATGCGTAGCCATACTTTGGAAGGGTAGTGCGTAGGATTAAAGGGATTGCCAAACCACCAGCGGAGCTGCCCATCATTGCGATGCCTTGGGTGAGACCTCGTCTCGCTTTGAACCAATGCGCAACTACCGCAAGACTCGTAGTGGTCAGCATGGCGCCGGAGAATCCTCCCAGTACACCGCAGCAAAGGATCATCTGCCAAAACTTGTCGCACTCAGCAAGTAGGAAGATCATCAGTAGGAACATGACACTTCCGGTCAGAGCGATCCATCGTGGCCCATAACGGTCGAAGAGTGGTCCCACCCAGATGCCCAACGCAAGGGACAAGTAAACGAACACCGAAGGGATCCATCCAATATCACGCGCCGACATGTACGAGAGCTGATGCTGGCCCCAGTAGTCCTGAAGTGTGCCGATGGAAACCATGAAGCCAAAGGAAGGGAACAGCATCAAACACGCTGATGCGACAACGAGCCATGCACGCAGTCCACCCTCAGGAAAGTCATCCTCTGCGTCTACGATAGGTATTCCGGGCTCTTCGTCTAGCTCGTCGATGGGTTGCGTCCTATGCGACCGTGTACGCCCGTGCGATCGGATTTCCATCTCTTGATGAATAGACTGCTTCGCTTCGCTCCCCGTTTTCGATCGTCCTGTCATCTTCGATACTGTCCTCCTCAGCCCATCCCAAATCTCATCCGGTTCGGCATAAGGTCTCCCGTCGCTCGTAGTCATTCCGTCCTGCACCTGGACAGTCGGGTTGGCGATTGGATCCATCTTCGAACAAGGCCCTCGTCTTCCTCTTTATCGGATTGGATAGGAAAATACAGCAGAATTGCGTCAAGCGCTCGTAGCGTGGACCAAAAGTTTTCTTATCCGTCAGGAAGTTGTGTGGTCGTGGACCACGAAATCCGCTGCTCCTTATAGAGCAGCATCCGGACAGTCATACCTCATTGGTAGCATAGCTTGGCGCAAAATGTGCATCTATGACAGCGAAAAGATGCATAAGGCGTATCAAGCGTCAAGGCCTCTGAAGCGCGCCCTATCGGCGAGTGAACCGGCGTTGTCGGGACCTGCCCCGCCTTCTAGTACGTTCGGAGCTTTCTGAACACTCCGATGTACCCCTGGCTGCGCGTGCTGATACTCCGAGATCGCCATGTTAAAAACGATAAGGGCTATATGAAGCTTGCCGGCACAAGGCGTAAGGGCGTAGGTGGAGACGTGGAGACGGTTGTGGCTGCTGGTGATTGAAGTTGTAAGGCGCGACGAAAGCCCGCGGGCTTGGGGGATGATGACTGACTCATCCACTGGTTATTACATCAGTCCGATAAAATACTCAGCATCGCCTTTTTCAATTCATACATCGACTGACTATGGACTATCCACTAGCTACCTACAGACCTGCACCTCACTTCGGTACAGCCGCAATGACGGAATGGAACCTCACATCGTCATAGCAATGCACGTCCACCATCTTCAGTCCTGCGCTTTCAAACAACTTCGCCCAATCCTTCCTACTCCTTTCAATGCCGCCGAGCGCTGCCATCATCGCAAGATCCATCATAGCAACCTGCCAAGGTACCTTTGTTTCTGGTAACACCACCTCATCGATCAGGATGCGCGATTCTGGGCCCATTGCCGGGATGATGCTTGAGAGGATGCGCACACAGTCTTCATCCGCCCAATCATGCATGATATGGCGCAAGTAGTAGAACTTAGCACCACGAATCGGTTGCTGCGTGAAGAAGTCATGGGTTTGGAACTCGATACCATCCACTTTGGGCGCATGTGCAAGAGTCGAAGGGACATCTTGTACGACGATACGACCGGGGAGCTCAGGAAACTTCTTTTTGAATGCCACAGAATGTTGACCGAAACCGCCGCCAACGTCAACCAGAAGCGCAGATTCGTCTGCAGGCTCAAAGTCGCCAACAACTTGCTGAGCAGGGTATGAAGAGACCCAACTATCGACAGAGTCGAGCACCATGATGTGGCCGAGTGCTTTCATCTGCTCACCATCCTGCTTCATCCACTCGAATGGCGTCAGTTCCGTATTCATTGCCATATGAAATGGCAGATCCTTGGGGTTGGTGATGTCTTGGTAGTCGTGCCCTTTTAGGTAGCCAGGAAGCGCGTTTACAACCGGCAGGTGGAGCTTCGATAGATGTGGTGCGGCGCCGTTGACATGCGGATCTGCGAAGACGCGTGTCGTTCGGCTTGCTGCGAAAACGTCTTTCTCAACTTCTTTGATAAGTCCAAATGATGCCATAGAGCGGAGCAAGTGGGCAAGTAGGTTCGGTGCTGCGCCTGTCTTTTCCTGGAAGTCCCCGTGCGTCATCGGCGTCGCGGATGAGGAGAGCGTGGTAAAGATGTTGAGATCGATTCCAACATCAACAAGAGCCCATTGAAGAGGCTGATGACGTTAGTGAAAGGTATCCAAGGCGTGTGGAAGACTCACTGCCATCGCTAGGCTGAACATCATCTCCCAGTCGCTATAAAGATCCTTTTGCAGGTCTCGAACCTGTTCTTGGATTTGTTGTCGTTCACGAGCATTGCTCTTTGCGTACAGTTCGCGGATGTTCTGTGCTGCTGCTTCCATGACTGCAGGGTTATGGATGTACACTATGAAGTTGTTTATTGAGAGACGATGAGATGGTTGTGTTGATACATGTCTAATATTTTACCTTCGATCTTTATATCTTCCCTCTCTTCAGGCAACCACCTCATCCCTTTCGATGTCGACCGAATTGTGCGAGATCTAGGTTGGTGGTAATAAGGCCATCCGCAAGTAACAGCGAGATTGCCGAACAGACCGATTTTGCCGATGCGATGTCCGCGGTACATCTCTCCATAAAAAGTTACACACACTCTCATTGTAGCATCACCCGGTCTAGATTCTACACTTCATCTGATGATTGATTTGTTTAGTTGTATCCTCCGCGAGCTGGGGGAGGAGCGATTGTGCGAGTAATCTGACCAGGGATGCTGAACCTCGGCATGTCGATCGTTCCCCACATCTCCGGGCGTCCTCCGCATCACGCTTGTTTCGCGTTCCAGGAACATCAACAAACACGATAGGAACGCTCGAGAGATCATCAGGTTCCGCGAGTATCTATACAAGACACAACTGTCCTTCCTGCGAAGAACACCTCTGAGTTCCATCATCATGTCCGAGACAAAACCACTTGCAAAGACCGAGGAAACAACCTACTACGAACCAGATCCAGACTCCTACGTCAGCTATCAACGCGAAATATATGCCAGTCTTCGAAAGCCCAAATACTCAACGAAACCTGCACAATGGGAAGCAGCTGCTCGAGCTGCGGTTCCTGAACCAAATTTCCTTTATGTCAACGGCTCTGCAAGCAGCGAATCAACATATACAGCAAACGTGTCAGCTTTCGAGAGATACCGACTACGTCCATGGATGCTGGTGAAGGCTACTCGACGCGACATGTCTGTTGAGATCTTTGGACGAAAGTACAAAAGTCCATTGCTTGTGGCACCAATTGGTGTACAAGAGATTCTTCATCATGACGCCGAAGAAGCAACCGCAAGAGCTTGTGCTGCTGTGAAGGTACCTATGATCCTTTCAACGGCTGCTACTCGAAGCATCGAGCAAGTCGCCCAGGCCAACGGAGATGGCGACCGGTGGTACCAACTCTATTGGCCTAAGCCGCAAGCTGAGGAGCTTACGGCGAGCTTGCTTAGCCGCGCAAAGGCAAGCGGCTTCCAGGTGCTAGTTGTGACTCTCGACACGTTCATGATAGGCTGGCGACCAAATGATCTCGATGAATCATACATCCCCTTCATTTGGGGCCAGGGCTGTCAGATCGGCTTCTCAGACCCTGTCTTCAATCGCATGTACGAGGAGATGCAAGCTGCAGATACTCGTAGCATCAGCGAGAAGGTGTCGGAGATCTGGCAGATTCTGAAAAGACCGGGGAGCATCGGAGGAGCGGCGAAGGTCCTGAGCCATGCCAGCATCATTAAGAAGGCCATGTTGTTCACAGATCTGGTAGCGTCTGGGAATTACCGCGATTGGAACGATTTGAAGATTCTTAGGAAGTATTGGGATGGGCCTATTGTGTTGAAGGGCATTCAGACCGTGGAGGATGCGCATCGAGCTGTTGAGCACGGAATGGATGGCATCATTGTCTCTAACCATGGAGGACGACAGCTTGACGGAGCGATTGCATCGCTAGACGCGTTGGCGGATATTGGTGCTGATGACAAGATCAAAAGCTCGGGCTTGACTGTGCTATTCGACTCTGGTATCCGAACTGGGTCAGATGTTCTCAAAGCCCTCGCCTTGGGGGCAAAAGCTGTCTTGGTTGGACGTCCGTATGCATATGGCCTTGCGATGGGAGGCGAGGAAGGTGTTAAGCACGTACTCAACTGTATGCTCGCTGATACAGACAACTCATTGGCGAATCTCGGGAAGAAGAGTACAGCGGAGATCAGTCGGGACGATTTGAGGGTGATGCAACAGCCAGCAAAGTTGTAGTTGGCAACCTAGGCGCCTACCAATGATGTTTGTGCTGCGAGCTGTATAATAGTTTCGCAGATCGATGCATACCTGAAGGTCAGCGGTAGCAGCACTTCAAGGCAATTGTATTGTAAGCACCAAAAGGTCGAGATAGTTATCATCCGTCAAGGATGTCTGCAATCTTGTCCCCAGCGTCCCCGGCGACACCAGAAGGAAGAATGAGTGGTTGATGATAAACACCCGTGGGGTGTGATTTCCCAATCAGGAAGGTTTGGCTTTGAGCGTTGATGATGGCGATATTCGCCCAATGCCGCCCATGGTGCCCATGGTGCCTACGCGATCGCTGAATGGCGCCAGGGGCCGCTCAGTGGTGCTCACACTCATCCAATGCCTGCCAGCCATATATGCCATGCTCACCAAACGCCTGCAACCTCGACTCAACGAAATCTCAACGGCTAGACGCAGTTCCATATTTACACCACATAGCACGCACACCATATCAGGAGACTGGTATCATTTTTTGGCCAGCGCTAACGTTATCATCACTGATGGTAGACACAAGTGAGACGAGTGTCGCTTTTTATGCAGGTTGGTACAACAATAGTCCCAAATGGCCTCAGCACATCTACGTATGATGGCTATTGCGCATGAGGCCGACTTCGACACAAGCAGTAACGGGTCCGCCATGGCATGTTGTTGGAGGCGGTCAATATGCCATCTCTTCCAACCTTGGAAGGCGCGGACTTATGTATGCCTCGTCTTGTTACCATTGCATGACGCACGGAGCTGTTAAAGCCTGTCATGACGTTAGCATCGCGTTTGTGGCGGATTGCCAATGTGCAGCGGGCCGGATGCAACGGCTCCTGGCCGTACTTCCGCACGACTCAGATCGTTTTATTTCATGATGCTTCCAAGGTTTTGGGCGCCTTGCATAGAGGCAGTATATGTCAGTGCGTTGGTGGTTGGGGAAGGGTCTTTGCATGCGGGCACTACCATCGCTGGCAAGCTTAGCGTTCGAGATTCATGTGGAGCTCATTTTTCCGCCGACGCTTGAGAAATGCCACCATTCAGACAAACGCACTAGACTCAACACATGCAGCACCAAGCATTGGGGCGGCCTCGTAAACATGGCTTGGGAGGCTTGTCTTTGCAGTTTGAGCCGCATGGCGTTGTTGTGCGCGCAGAAGAAACACCACGAAAACTATCGCGAAACTCACGACGGTCGTCGCTCGTCGGTATGTTGGCCTCTATCTCGTGAACAAAGCCTAGTATCATCCGAAAACTACGGATGACTGGTGGAAGAAAATATAATCGGGTCTGTGGAGGCGGCCTATTCCCAAAGGTGGAGTCTGGGGTCGGGCAGGTTCCTCCACCAGATGATAACGACGCAATGCCGGGGGACTGTGTTGCCGATGGTGCCACCCTAGGCATTTGATGTTTCTATTCAAAAGCCTGCTTCACCCTCACCAAAGGTACGCCAGTCAACCTGCCGAGCTGCGACGACATAGCCAAGATGGTGTCCAAATTCTTCAAAAACCGCAGGGTCTATCTGCTGACTAGCGTTGCCTACATGGGCTCGCTGCTGTTCGGTAAGCACAAATTACCCGTTTCCTTTGACAAGAGCTGACAACAACGTAGGTTATGACACTGGAGTGATGGGTAGCGTTCTCGCGCTCAAGGCTTTCAAGGAAGATTTCGGACTGCCTACAGACTCATCTGGATTCTCCGACTCAAAGAACGCGTCGGTGTCATCGAATGTCGTTTCGCTCCTCACCGCCGGTTGCTTCTTTGGAGCCATCGCGGCTGCCTGGTTCAACGAACGGTTCGGTCGACGGCTATCTCTCATGGGTTTCTCCCTCGTTTTCCTTATCGGTGCCGCGATCCAGACTGCCGCCCACCATGAGATCGGCATGATCTACGCAGGACGCGTTATCGCTGGTCTCGGTATTGGAGGAATGTCATCCATCACTCCCGTGTTCGTCGCAGAAAATGCACCTCCAGCTCTTCGAGGACGTATCGCCGGTCTTTTCCAAGAATTCCTGGTGATTGGCAGTACCTTCGCATACTGGCTTGATTATGGAGTCGCACTCCATATGCCCGTCTCAACGAAGCAGTGGAGAGTCCCGGTATCGATCCAACTGATTCCAGGTGGTTTCATGTTGATTGGGCTTTTCTTCCTCAAGGAATCTCCTCGATGGTTGATGTCGAAGGGTCGGCAAGAAGAAGCTGCGGAGTCACTCGCATTCATTCGCTGCGAACAACACGACAGCCCCGAACTTCTGCAGGAACTGGCAGAGATTCGTGCGGCTGTAGAGGAGGAGCTCAACATGACGGAAGGCATTACATGGTAAGTTGTGGCTGTGAAGAGTGCATGCGAGACATACACTGACTTCGTATCTCCATCTTGACAGGAAAGAATGCCTTCTTCCTGGTAACCGATACCGTTTTATCACTGCTTTTGTGCTCATGTTCTGGCAGCAGTTTAGCGGAACAAACTCGATCGGTAAGAACAGAACGCCATCGAATGTCGAATACCTTGGTCTAACAATTTGCTAGGTTATTATGCGCCCCAAATCTTCCAGACTATCGGTGTCTCCAAGTCCAATGCCTCGCTCTTCGCAACCGGTATCTACGGAACCGTCAAGGTGATCACAACGGGTATCTTCTTGATCTTCGGAATCGATTTCATTGGGCGCAAATACTCACTCATGGGTGGTGCGGCATGGATGGCGGCCATGATGTTCATTATTGGAGCTGTTCTCGCCACCTACCCGCCAAACCCAGACGCTGACTCCGTATCATCACCCTCCATTGCCATGGTGGCCATGATTTACCTTTATGTTATCGGATACTCGGCTTCTTGGGGCCCCGTTCCATGGGTATACTTGTCAGAAATCTTCCCAACGCGGCTTCGATCCTACGGTGTCGGAATGGGATCTGCGACTCAGTGGCTCTTCAACTTCGTGATTACGAAGATCACCCCAGAGGCTATCAATCGTGAGTGTGCCCGTACGGACTCTATGTGAGACATACACTAACTTCGTACATCAGACATCGGCTGGAAAACCTTCCTTATGTTCGGTATCTTTTGTCTTTCCATGGGCATTTTCGCAACGTTCTTCATCAAGGAAACTAAGGGAAAGACTCTCGAAGAGATCGACATTCTCTTCGGAGATGTGTCAGCCGAGCAGCGCCTCCAAGATGTCGAAGCGGGAATGAAGGAGGAACAGCGGAAGCACTCGGTAAAGTACATGGAGGACGCCACCGAGCTCGAGAACAAGGCAGGGAAAGAGTAGGCAAGACTTTAATGATGTTAGCGAGGTTTGAGGCTCCTAGTAGACCAATGTGCATGCTTCAGCGGAGGATGCTCTACCTCCGCGATGAGCTTTGATAAAGTTCAAAAGACAATGAACGTTTTCCGATCATGAGCACATCGATGTTTTCATTCCTCCTGTTAAAACAAATGTGCGAGAAGGCTTTCCGGCGTTTAGGACAGCGAACGATTATTCCGAGATAGAAACAAGTGGGTGCTTACTGGATGCGCTAGCCTAATTAGGTCAGGGGCAATTCCATGAAGCCTCCAACATCTGCGTGCACTGCTCCCATCTCTTGGCCATGCTCGACATGATTGCCCCTAGAGAATATGCACACACCACACTAATCGATATACTGGAGTTATGAACCCCTCGTGCTCCGCATAAACTCGTGTCCTGCGACCGAAAAGGCGTTTTGATCATACGGCCACCCTGACGCCCTATGTGGGGAGACCTCCAAGTCAGCTCTCATGCGCTCAAGTTTCTTATCGTGAGTCTACATTCGATGCGCAATCTATCTCGCTTGTAGTAGCCAATGAACATGCTTGAGATGCAGTCTCGCAGCCATTAGCCTCGACCGTTTACCATGATGCCGGTACCAATGTAAGATCACGAACGCCACGAACGCACGCCGACCTTCTTGATATTCACCCTGCATCGAGAACACGAGACGTACAGCGGGAGACACCCGGGTAAATCCTTGTGGCTGCGTGATGACCGCGTGCCCGATATTAAGTTACTGCATCTGATAACCAGAAAGAGAAGACGAACAGGTGGCATCGTATGCAGAAGACGGGCAAAGAAAATTGGCATATGTTGCCTGTATTGCTTCATAGTTCTGGCCGTGATCAGCTTGAATGTTTGTGGGGCATCTACAAGTAGTACAATGGTGGAGGGTTTGCCAATATGGCCACAGGATACCCGTATAAGATGCTGTTGTGACAGCTTCCGAGAAAGTAAGCTCTTTTCTGTGAGCTACATCGTCTTTCTCGTACCGATTTCGCATCTGCGCTTCCCATGATGGTTTCTAGCTTCTCGCTCTCCTCGATCCTTCTTCTGGCACAAGCCGCCTTTGCATACAATTTCCTATACGAAAGCATACAGTTGGAAGAATCGGACGTGGCGGGCAACCCCGATCTTGCTTTCGGCGAAGCAACAGGAGCCAGTATACCCTCCTGCAAAAACTACCCAGGCTACGACGGTTGGCCGTCATCAACACAGTGGAGTGCCCTCAATGTCAGTCTCGGCGGCACGTTACTCAAGGGTATCCCTCCAGCTGCAGCGTGCTACCAAGGCGAATACAAAGATGCGACAAAGTGCGCAAATGTCAAGCGACGACAGTCTGATGCTCTCTTCTTGTATGTCCGGGTTGACACTACTCTGCACTGATCGCTAACTTCTTAACTTAGCAAAGAAGACCCACTGATACCATTCCTGTCATGGACGCTCGATAACCCATGTTCTGTTCCTACATCCAGCGCTGCGCCTTCTCAGTCCGAGTGCAAGTTGTTGAGCTTCCCTGCATACGTAGTCAATGTCACCACGACCAAGGATGTACAAATGGCTGTGAACTTTGCGCGCAATAACAACATTCGGTTGACGATCAAGTGAGCCTTGTCCACTATAATCTCAAACTCAAGCTGAACGATTCAGAAATACTGGCCATGACTTCCTCGGCCGAAATACTGGAGGCGGCGCACTCCAAGTCTGGGTGCATCGCATGAAGGCGTTCGAGTACTTGCCCACCTATAAAGTCGGTCAGTACAGTGGCCAAGCTGCTCGAGTTGGTGCGGCACTGGAACAGCACGAGGTCTTCAGCTACATGGGAGGAGCTTGTATCACACTGCTAGCTCCCGGATCTTCGACGGTTGGGGCGTATGGTGGTTACATGCAAGGTGGAGGGTTCTCGTACATCACCTCGAAGTATGGTTTGATGGCTGATCAGGTCCTTGCTTTGGAGGTTGTCACAGCAGATGGCAGGTTTGTGCATGCGGATCCGACGGAGAACTCGGACCTGTTCTTTGCTATTCGGGGTGGTGGACCTGGTACGTTTTCGAGTACTGTCGTGACTAGCTGCAGTGACTGACGTACACTCCGAGGCAACTTCGGCATCGTAACATCTGTAATTGTCAAAGCGTATCCACCCACAACGATTGCACGAAGCGACTTCACTTTCCAGACTGGCGCCGTTTCTGGCAACGACAAAACCACCGTTCGAGTGTCCAAAGATACCTTTTGGAAGGGTATGGGGATATACTTCTCGCATAACTTACGTATCAATGACGCTAAAGGTATCATGTCGAACTACATAACCACAACAGGCGGCGCTTTTACACTCTCTAGTCAGATTACGAAACCAGGCGTCACAGTGAAAGAGATGAAGGAGCTTATGGCGCCGCTAATCCAGGATCTCAACGACATTGGCATCCCTCTAGTCAACCCCGAACCAAAATTCTGGAACACATATGCTGATTTCGGCTCCGCGCCGCCAAGTGGTGGAATACAGAACAGCCGCCTCGTATCTCGCCTTGTCCCCCGCTCCAACTTCGAAGACCCGACATCCCAGTCGTTCAACGCTACCATGACCGCGATCCGCTTATATGTGGAAGAAGGCGGATACAGCTTCCATTCCGTCGACTACGCACCAACGCACGAAACAGCCGGCTATCCTGGCTCTAGTTCCGCGATATCGCCGCACTTGCGCAACGCAGTCATGCACATGACAGGTTGGGATACCAGACAATATGGGGCTGATCTCTCAGATGAGATCGCGAAGTCGTCGCATGCTCGTCTCAACTCGTATGTACAGAAGTTGAGAGATGTGACGCCACTCAGTGGCGCGTATATGAATGAGGCGGATGTTGCGGAGCCAAACTTCCAGGATAGTTTGTACGGCGCCAACTACGACAGGTTACTGAGCATTAAGAAGGAAAGAGATCCTTGGGGATTATTCTATGCGGTCACAGGTGTGGGTAGCGAAAAGTGGGTTGTTGAGGGAACGAGAGGTCTACCGACCCAGCAGGGACGGCTGTGTAGGGCGGACATGTAGGATGCGGCGGCTCGATGGTCTGTCGTATATCTCAAGACTCACTCTTGTGGAGCGATTTCTTGTTTACCGACGCTATCTTGCTGGGAGTCCACAAGATGCCATGTCTCTCCGTTGTCATCCAAACGAACTTTCGTCGACTTGGCAAAAGCCTTGAATTGTTTCGTGCCGGCCATTTTGTTGTCGGGGTTTCCGCATTGTAGAAGCGCAAGGCTCGACGATTTCCAAGGTGGCGCGTCGATGGTCCTTAGGATGGTAGCAAAAAAGAACGCAGTGATGCTAACATATAGCATAATAGGCATCAAGAGCCAAAGGAAGTTTACCTCGATAACAGGCTCTTTTGAATAAAAGATGCGTTAGTCAAACAGCTAGGGTGATGGCGAACGAGTTACGTACCTGTGATCCAGGCTGTACCATTCACAATGGAAGCTGAGCCGTTCTCGTTGTTTCTGAGTTCCATGCTTACACTAGCTGCTATGCTTTGTATTCTATTATTGAACGTGGTGAAAGCTTCTTCGTTGCACGCAGGTGGTCCGTCGTGACTGTCCTTTCGGATGTCGTCTAGTATGATACTTTTCCACGTTCTTTGACTTTCGAATTCTTCCTTTGCATCTTCGAAACCCAATTCACCCTGTCGAATAGTCGCAGACACGTTATATGTCATGAGGATTGATCGCGCAACGGATGAAAGTAGCGAATGTCTGATACACGTCTCTTCTCCAGTCGAATGAGGCGTTGTGCAGTAGATAGTATCGCTCGATCGTTCAAACGAGCCGTGCTCAAAGTAAGCGTACCAATGCAACTCGCTATTGGGGGTTTCGATTTCTGTACGCCAGTACTTTTCGTAAGTGGATGTGAATACTTGAGCACAAGGACGAAACGCAGCTCTGATCGCAGTCCAGTTTTCAAGGTGGTGAAGTCTGGCGAAACCTTCCATGCCACTGTTTGCAGCCTTGCAAGGATCATAAAATAATATTGAAAGGTTAGAGAAGGGTACCATGTTCATATCGCCTTCGTAATCTGGGAACTGGTAGTAGAGCAAGCTTTCAATATGTGTAAATAAGGACGTGTTGGGTAGGACAGCAGAAATCTCAGCGAGACCCTGGTCCAGCAGGTTTGGAAGGAAGATACTCCCGTTGTGATGAGCCATCATCGGAAGTAGGGTATCAGAGATATCTTCCGTCGTTGCGCATATTGACATGGTGGTATAAGGCTTCCAGGAACAAAAATCTGTAAGACATTCGCCGGTAACGTTGTCTGCGTCTATATGATCCGATAGGAGGGCCTGTACCATGGCAACACTTTCATCAGCGTCATATGGACCGCGAAATGCCTCTTTCTCTGAACCAAACGCTCGCAAAGAATGATATATAGCTTGTCCAGCACGTTTGAGATGAGTTGAGCTGTCTTTGGGTACCTTGATCCGCTGCGTATTGATGGCTACCGACTGCTGCGCAAATGATGAAAATGCTAGCATCAATATTACAAGTAGTGCTCCAAAAGATACCAGATGCGGACGTAGTCTCAGATGCCAGAGGAGCCTGAAGGCACCGTCTGGACCACGGCTGGCCGCGTCGAACCTATCAATGTCGATAGCCTTGCGATCTTTTCGCAACCACGTCCATTTTGATTGTCCAATAGAGGAGGAAACAGGTACGATGAGCGCAGACTGCGACAGCTGGGAGAGTGCAGCTATGAATGCATTAATTTGGATCTTTGAGTTCCAATATCTCTGCTGAACTCCATTGAAGCATATAAGGAGAGCGACGATTGCTATGATGCCGGCTGTACCGAGTGACCAGACATATAGCTCCCATTGCCATGTATGCACCAGATAGCGGAACGTCCTCAGAGAAAATTGTGCCCGGCCACGTACGCCTGATGTGCGATCGATGTGCTCGGTCAGCTTCTGATGTTCGGAATCTCCACACGGCTCGGAGTCTTCCGTAGTCAGTGTCAAGGATTGATAACCATCAACATCAGTCGTTTGTGAAGTTACCGGCAACGTGTTGCGAGTAGTGCGGCCGCTTCGATTACTACTTGTGGACAAAGGCCGTGAGTCCAGATGTGTAATAAAGTTGAGTTCAGCTTCAGCAGAATGATGTGAAACTGTGGAGGCTGGCCGATCGAAGTGGTCGTGTTCAGTGTACATCGTGAGAATGGAAGCAGGATGCGTATCGATGAGTAAGATGACCAGATTGCGCATTTATGTACGCCTACTCATGCGCAGACTGTGCTACCTCGGAGCGAGCAAGGATGCTCGGGCGACAAGTCTTGGCCAGAAACCAACAAGCTGATATCTGTGGCATTTGCGCCAAGCCAATGAGGTAAGATTTGTGAAACAGTAGGATTCGTAGCCATGACAAGCGGCACAGTTACTCTCAGGCGTACTGCAGCTGCATGAACGGAGACTATCTGTTATAAATGGAATTCGGGATGCATTAGCGGCTTCTCCCTTGCAGAGCGCTCTCATTGCGAATCCTGCTTGCGATCGTTGAACCACGGACAACGTATGACGTACCTCACCAACTCATCAGCAGCTGATAGTCCGACCAACTTGCTTCTGTATCTGCCTCGCCCCCTTTTCTATAACCCCCACAACACCACCCTAGTCAACCTGCCATCTTCCCTGTTCAACCATTTCAACCCGGTACAGCAAGGCAATCAAGGGTGTGCTGTTGGTCAGAATCACACAGAGATTTGTTTTATTCTGTAATACTATCTTCTTGTTGGTCATGCAGACCGTAGCCCCTACCTTTGAATAGCACAATAGATAGCAAATTCTTCGAAGGAAAGTAGCTGCCTACCTGTAGATGTCTCAATCGTTGGTCGCCTCTCTTCGTAGACTTGGGATGCGGTCTTCGCTCCAGCACGTTCAAGAATAGAAGCTATGTTATCTTTGCATCCAATCCGCGCTTGATCAAGAGGCGTTGTACCTTGGTCCGAAATGGTGTTCAAATCGGCTCCTTTGTCCATCAGCAGATGCACGCAGTCGAGATTGCCATTGTGCGCTGCCCAATGGAGAGGCGCCCAACCAAAATCAGTCTTAAGAGAAGGATCCACTCCGCATTCCAGGAGGAATTTTACATCCTCAGCATTGCCGCAAGCCGCCGCATTATAGAGTCTGGACACGCCCCAGATACCTCTGACGTTAGGGTTTGCTCCCTTTTCTCGAAGCAGATCGAGGACTTTCGGAATCATGAATTAGCTTAATTGAATCATCTTATAACAAGGTATTTAACCTACTGGCTTCTTTGCCTTGACCTGTATATGCATTGGCTGACCAAGCGGTTTCTTTGTTCATATCGCGTAGATCTACTTTGGCTCCGTTATCCAGGAGCGAGGTTACGATGGAAATTGAATTGCGTGAGGCGGCTCGATGCAAGGGGGTTTGATCGAGGTAATCGCGCATGTTAGCGTTGATACCTTCTTGTTGTAGTAAGACATTTACCACATCCGAAGCTTTTCTTTCGATGGCAAGGAAGAAGGCGGTTTCGAAAAATCGATCTCTGAGGGGTGTGGAATCATCGCAAGCTTCCAGAGCGCCGGAAAGATTGATTACATTGCAGTGAAATACTTCCAAAAGAAGTTGAATGAGACTTGGCGAAACTGCGGTAAGCTTCGGTGTGTGAGAACTTTCAGGGTCTAGCTCTTGACTGTCAACATCTGATACCGTTGACGACCTCCTACTAGATCCAAAGAGCAGATCCGAGATCCAGTCTTGGGCGCTCTGGCAATACCACGGCAATGACGAGCCCTGAGTCGCAATTGGAGGGTTGCTATCGTCCACGGCACTGGTAAGAATCGTCTCGACGATGCCAAAGTCGCTTTGCTGAGCTGCGTATAGCAGAAATGCATGACCGAATGGGTTCCCAAGGTCTACGGTTGCGCCGTACTTGAGAAGTACTGATATGACATCTGTATAGCCCTTTTTCAGAGCCACCATGAGTGGAGATTGTTGGAAAAAGTCCAACTCATCAACTCCTGGCCTCTCATCAAGAGACATGATGTGTTCAATCACTTCCGGAGAGCCAACAAAGGCGGCTAGGTGTAGTGGCGAATAATTAACGTAGCTGGTGTAAGATGGCCACGGCGTCTCTGCGGGTCGGTCGCCAAATGGAGGATAGCTTGAAGCCTCTGTTGAATGAGAACTCATTCTTCTATAGGGCGGGGTTTCCCAAGGATCTGTGTCGGTAGCTGTAAAAGCTGGCTCTGCAGATTGCTCCATACTATCGCTCTCCAGGTCTTCGGTCACTTTGAACAGTCTCTCGACAAACTGGTTCAAGGAGCTGTTATCTTCATCGTCGGAATCGCTCCAGGAATATTCTTCCGTCTCTTCTGATTCAGTGAGAAAGTCAAGAGGGGTTCTCCGGAAGTAGATATTCATTTCATCCAACAAACGGCAATAAAAGTTCCGCTTGAAGCGCTCCGTGATTAGTTGCTTTACTCGTCGCAGGACTTCCTCGAACTGTGCCGAAATATCCTGATTTTCTGAGTTGCCTCTCTGGATCTTCTGGGCTTTCCGAAAATGCTCGCCGAGAAACTCCCCAGCATAACTGAGAAGTGGATAGTGGAGAAGCTTTTTAGAGAAAGTCAGACCTTGAGCAGGTCTACCAACTCCAACCAGAAAGTTTGGATGCTGATCTACGTTGGGGCTGAATCCGACGCCATCCGAATCACTGTCGTCGCTTATGAACTCATCGGAATCAGGATACAGGTCCACTGCGAACGATATTTGCCGTTCGCTATCGTCTGGTTGCTCCAGTGATTTCATACAAAGATATGTGGAGCAAACGAGCGCGATATGGAGCTCGAAATGAGGAAACAACCTCGCTTTTGTGGCGTCATTGAAGTAGCCTTGAGCTGTGTAGTGGACCAGCCTCACAATCTTCTTCTTGGCTTCGAGGACCACGAGCCCACAACAGAACGCTGTGATGTCTTCTGTCAGAGGCATACGTCCATGGTTCAATGTTTCATCTTTGGCGCGTACAGCCAATGCGTGCTTGATCTCTTTTACCGACAAAGGTCGGCGCGCAAACACGACCCACGACAAGATTGTCTTCGCCATACTTCTCTTCTCTTCCCCTTCTTTCTCGATTCGCTCCATGATCTCATCGTACGTCTCGTTGATCTCTATCGGAAGCTTTTTCAAGTTCTCACGAACCGCATCCAGTGTTATTTGACTCGACAGTCGTTCGAGATGAAGGCGTGCTAATAGAAAACTAAACAAGTCATTCTTGGTATTCTTGAGAAAAGAAATTTACGCATATATACATGGAAAATGGCTTACTCACCTTCCATCTGACCTTTTGGTAACTTCATGTTTGATATCTGGCTCAAGCCTACGGTCGTATCTCATGAATTTTGCTAGCCGCGCGCTGTTGCCAATGACGTCGTCAATATAGCCATGAACGTCTTCTTGATGGGCTTCTATTACCACCCGACTAAATCCTTTGGAAAGATCTTCAAGGCCCTCGATTAGTCGGGATGTGAACAGCAATTTGACATGCTGATGAACCCGAGAAAGATGATTTACAAGCTTTTGTCGGTCCGTCGTCAGTTCGTCTAAGGCGTCCACAATGATGAAAACTTTCTTTTCTTTTGCCAACTCTGCAAGTAGCGTATCCAGCTGGTCTAGAGGTAGTGCCGAACTTTTATTCCCTCTTCTGACGTTCTTCTCCCACAAATCCTTCAAAGGCTTCGGTGTAGGAACTTCGTCTCCGACCAACTGTTTTGCAACGCTGCCTAGGAGCTGTACCAGGGGAGTCTGTCGTTTGTAGTTGAGGTAAAGGAAAACTATCCTTATATTCAGAGCATCTTTGAAACTCTGTCGAAGATTTTCCAGTCGCTGGATTACAATTGACCTGTGCTTTTAGTCAGGCTTGGAACGACAGAGAGACCAAGATGTAAGCATGACAGTGTTTACGTACGCCATGATTGTTTTCCCCGCCCCAGCTACGATCTTAGTTAGCTGCTTGATCAACTGGATTGAAAGATATGCGGCACGTACGTTTTCCGACACACCAGAGCTTTTCGACATCGCCATTCTCCCACTCATCGTAGGATTGCGATTCGAGCAACCAATTACCTGCGCCTTTGCGAGCGCGACTGGCATGGTCATCTTGCGCACTCGAGTAGTTCAGAGGAGACAGCCAATTCAGCATCTCATCCCGGTCGGTAGGTAAGGTTGAGGTTCTCTTTCTCTCGGTATCTATTCCTGATTAGACAATGCGTTGGTATCTAGACGTTTTGTTCATACGTTGATGAAATGTCTGGTTTGTCTGGTTGGCTGCTATGGATCAGTGTAGTTCACACTAAGATTCAAAGGGAGTCGAACCAATAATCGTCGCATTCGAATTCTCGCCGGTTAGCGAAAGGATACCCATCGCTATACCCTGGTTATCCGTCACAGAGCCAAGGCTAGCCGTTTGGTTCATGTTTGACATAGTGGTTTAGGTTTTGAGGTGTGTTGTAGAGCCGATTGCCCGACAGACGTAGGAAGAAAAGTATCCGTACTCGAAACGAAGACAGCTAATCTCTGAGTAGAGAATCAATTATGTTGTGTTGTTCAGAAGAAAAGGAAAAGAATGGAAAAGAAAAGAAGTACAGTGCCTAGCGAAACGTTACAATCATACAACCTTCATGAGGGAGTCGAAGGTCATTTGGACAATCTCAAGTAAAGCCACCTACTTCATACTTTCCGATATCGTTAGCGGCTACCTTCCATGTAGCCAATACTGCATCTCAGCAACCGCTCTATTGTTAGAGCTCTGGTGTGTTGTGGAGGCGCATTGAGTGGACTGTACCAGAGGGAGATTCGTCCTCGGTCGACCAGTAGGTAGGCTGGTCGCCCATGGATCCCTGCGACCTAGACCGCGCCACGTTGGAAGTGGAGAGGTATCTCAAGGTCCTGAAGACGGACAAAATGGCAAAAACAAAGGCTGATTTCGGACCATCGTATGGATTTGAGACCCAATACTACTGTTAATTTTCGATTAATACCAGCCGGTGTCGTGATGCTTTACCGATGTTTGGGATAGGCATCGAGCCCTCGTTGCCAGTACCCATAGGCTGAGGTTGACTCCAGGTTGGCCCCCAAAAATCTATTGGGGAGGGCTGATCTTTGGTGCGGAGAACTGGGCGCAATCGGTATACACCTGTGTTTTTTTAGTTTGCGCACTGATAGACTGAATGAACATGATTCGTGAGGATAGGTCACACAGCCTGAGAGGCACTGCTTTCCGGTTCAGCTTGGCGCACTGGGGCTGAAGTAAGCGGGCGCGGCCGGGGTCTCGAACTCCGGTAATAAGGTTTTAGGCTTTGAGCTGAGTTTAGGTGCATGAGGGACTACTTGAGCGGACTCAGCTCAAATGCGAAGCAGATGTGAGAACCGACTTTGTTCTGTTTTCTTCATAAATCACTTTCGTTAGAATCTTGTACAATGGCTGACGATAATGGACTGGGAGCTGTGATTTTTGAGCCATCGGAGCCCAAGAAAGCAACCGTCGAGTAAGTCCAAGCCCTACGTCTTTCTGCAAATGATTGATAAAGCTAGCATTGTTTTCGTCCACGGGCTGGGTGGAAACCGAATCAACACTTGGACCTATGCACCAGGAACTCCTGAAAAAGTATTCTGGCCGAAAGATCACCTACCTCAAATATGTCCGGAAGCGAGAATACTTTCCTTTGGATACAATTCAGCTTTCGCGCACTTCTATCCGTTCTATGGGCCCAAGAACATACCCGTGGGTACCACCATCGATAATCATTCCACAGCGCTGTTTCAAAGCCTGATTGGTCTCCGGGATCGCACTGAGAGCGTAAGAAATCTATCGTCTATCTGAGAAGGAAGCACAAGCTGACGCCACAGTGCAGACGGATCGGCCAATCATATTCATCGCACATAGTCTTGGAGGACTAGTAGTCGCCAACGCGTTATCAAGACAGCATGGCGCAGACGAAGCAGCCGTCTCGCTCGTGAACCATACTGGTGGAGTGGTGTTTCTCGGGACGCCATTCGAGGGCTCGAGCAAAGCGGAATGGGGAAGAACGGCGTTGAGAGTCGTGGACTGCTTCAGCGATACGAAGAAGGAAGATGTCAAGGATCTTGAGGAGCGATCTGCGAAGCTCGTCAGTATCAACGAAGCCTTCCTGAAGTTCCTGAAAGCTCGTGACCGCTCTGGGGCTCCCGTCGAAGTCGAATGCTTCTTCGAGGCTTTGTCGTTGAAGATCTTGGGCAAAAGGTTCCTCATAGTTCCCAAGAAGTCGGCAGTCCTCCCAGGTATCGACGGGCAGTCGATTGAAGCAAATCACGTCGACATGTGCAAGTTCGCGGATGAAGAGAGGAGCGGGTTCCGAAGTATATCCGAGAAGTTAAGTCAGTGGATCAAAGCCATGCACGAGATACCGGCAAAGACCGGTGACCAGGTGAGCAGACTCTTTGGTATTGGAGACCGTGAAACCTGACTTTAGCAGGACCATGGAGTGCACTTGACCACTACTTTCAATGGCGCAATTGACAACAACCGAGGAGTGGTCGCTGGGTCTGTGTATACACCTGCAAAGGATGGTATTCGGATGATTGGGACCCAATATATCAGGTGCGATGATGGGAACGTCCCTAATCAGTAATGTAGGAATACTTGAAGAAGAGATTACATTCATCATACGAAAAACGGACCGACGACCGTTGGCTAGTCGACTTGAGATTGTGGTGCTGGAAGTGAGGATGAGATCAGGCGGGGGATCTGTCGACGCAGGAAGGTACAGCATGCAATCTACTTTCAACCTTAGCGCGAGTTTGTTGAGAAGTGCCGAGGTCCGCCATCTGACGCGCAACCACTACTAGAACAGGCCCTAATTTCATCTCCCTTCCCGGTTTCTGTGACGTTTTAGCAGAGCTACATTTCGTTTCGGACCTTACATCTACTACTTCTCGTCTTATCCTCTGACAGCACTGTTGAGTCTGAAGTGCAGATGTCACCGCTTGGGTCTTTGGTTTGTCGTGTCCGCCGCTTGCCAGCGCAAGCGTGTTGCATGGAAGGCGTACACCATTCAGGCCTGAACCACCGCGGCAGATGTAGAGCGAGTTTGCAGCGAGTGCTATTCGTATAGGACTCCGTTGCCTGATTTCTGACAATCAATGCCGCGTCGATCGATCAGACCCAACGCAGCGTGGTTAGAAGAGATTAGGAGACGCAAGAGAGACATGCGTGCTTCCAATAGCGTAACGCAACGGTGGCAATGAAGAGCCTTAAGTCCTTTACCTGCACTGATCGTGAGTCTCGCAAGATTCTCCTTTGTGAGTACCTCACTCAAAGCCATCTAGTAGATCCCGGCGAGCACAGCAGTAGCGCAACCTCAGATCACAACAGAGCTGATACTCGCTAGTAGCATTGTTTCTCACTATATTTGATTGACTACTATGCGCAATGGCGCTCTAGACTACAGCATCTACTGCGAAATGTCGCAATAGGGTATCATAACAAACAAAAGAGATATCCAAAGAGATCGAAAACAATCCCATGAAGACACCACGCACGCCCAACCCGTACAACCAATCCAAACGTGAGTGACAACCAACCCATCGGCGTCTCAAGACGACAATTTCTCGGAGGAGACAGCATCAAAACAACACATCTATCGCATCCCAGAAAAGAACTTTTGCACCTCTTTAGCTTTAGGCCTAGACTTGCGCGTAGACTTATAGCCGTCATCCACAACGAAGGCGTCGTCATCTTCAGCATCCTCGTCGGTGTCCTCCATGTCCTCGTCCTCCTCATTCTTCACAACGCAAGTGCTACGTGTGCGCCGCTTGCTTACCTGCGGAGGGTCGGTGTTACGTGCATCAACCCGCGTCGTCTTCTTGGTCGTCTTCTTCACTGGCTTTGCAGGTACAACGACATCTGAGTCGACCTGATCGCTCATCTCAACATCTTTGTCTTTCCCTGATGATGTCTTGTTGGCGCCAGCCTGCATTGCTCGTGGAAGGGCTGCTGGTTTGCGCTTGGGCTTGATCGTGCGAGACGCCACAGGAGGTTGAGGAGGTTTCGAGGACTTAGCCTTCTTGGTAGGCGTCTTGTCTTCGTCATCGTCGTCGTTGGCGCGCGCACGCTTTTTGCCTTTGAGTGAAGCCTCATCATCGTTCTTGCCGGTTCCAGGAGGGGATGAGGACTTGCTGAGGTAACCAGAGTCGTCAGCACCCTGGTCAATCTTCCGCTTCCGCTCTTGCTTTGGGGCCTCAACAGGGTGCTTCTTCTCCTTGACCTTCTCCTCCGCTTTCCTCTTCTTCGAAGCCAGTTTGACAGTCTTCTCACGTTCTTCTTGTCGCTTCTTCTCCTGGGCCTCGCGCTTAGCTTGCTGTCGTACTTTAAGCGCTTCTTTTCGTTCGCGTTTGGTCCTCTCCGCTGCCGCTTTCGCTGCTGCTGCTCGCTCCTGTCTCATCTCCTTGTTGTGCTGCTTGACTTCGCCCAGGGCGAACTCCACAGCTTCAAGAGGATCGCCAAGCATCTCCATCAATTCGAAGTATGCCTTGTCATTGATGACCAGTACTTCGACGAGGTACTTCTTGTGGTCGAAATCCAGCTCAAGCGTACGGAACTGCGCCTCGTTCAGGAGGTTACGTTCGCTCATGTTCTCGTACGAGGCCTTGCTCTGTCGCTTTGGTCGCCTCTCTTCCTTGCGCGCAAAAGGCTTGGGAGGCTCGAGAACTTGTTGCTGTTGATGGCGAGAAGTCTTTTGTTCAACAGCCTTCGACACAGCAGGCTGGCGACGACGAGGTGCTTGACGACGCTCTTGACGAGCCAGTTTTTGGGCAGCCTTCTCACCAGCGTCACGCTCAGCAGCTTGTCTGACAGCCAGGGGATGTGGAGCTAACAACTCAGCGATGGTGTCATCAACGGACTTTGCAGAGTGGTTGGCATCACGAACGATAGTAGCTGGTTTGGGCAGGGGACGACGCGGTGAAGCTTCCTCTGGACCAGGGCTACTCTGCACAGGAGTCGGCAGGCGACGGCTGAGCGCTTTGGCGATAGGGGTGGAGTGTTTGGCAACAGTGCGCTTCTCGACTCTAAACGCTGGTGACGCAGTCGATGTACGCCTCAAAGTCTCTCGCTTTCGCGCAGGCTTCGGCGAACAAGGGGTGAGCGCATTGGCGACAGGAGAAGAGTGTTTGGTAGGAGAGCGCTTTGCGCCTTTGGACGCCAGTGACGCAGTTGATGTAGCCTTCGCGGTCTTGTGCTTTGGCGCAGGCGCTGTCTTGAACTTGAGAGTAGCCTTCTTGACGGGGGCTTTCTCGCCCTTGGCCTCGGCGATGATAGAGAGGAAGTCCATTTTGTTATGTGAATGTGCAGAAATGGTATAGGAATGGGTAATCAAGACTCAAAGGTTGTCTGATGGAGGGACTTGTTGTGGTAACTTTCGGTTATAGATGTGGTTGTTGGAACCGCGGGACAGGAATCTGGGGGTGATTGAGTAAGTTGGTTCACAATGTGCGGTAGGAAAAGCAGAGGCGAAAGGCGAAATCGGCCTAGTTCATCACGAGAAGCTCTCGTTCAAGCTTTGTTGCGCACGTGGTGTTGCTTTCTGTATTCTGGCCGTGAAAGTGAAAGGGTCGGTGGGGAAAGTGGACTGCACAGCTAGGGAGGAAAGGGGAAAAGTGTATCTTCACGATGTTGGGAAAGACCGAATCACCAGTGAGTTTTGCATCAAAGAGACAACTCGGAGTTTGGAGATATATACTTTTGATAAGAGACACAGTAGACTAGTGGTATTATACGTTAATGATTGAACAACTCGACAGTGTCAACAGAAGATTTCCTAACGTGCGCATTCGGATGCTTTAGAGTACCGTAAGCTTGCTCGCAATCAGATGGTTCAGAGTACCGTGACCCTTCTCGCAATCAGATAGTTCAGAGTACCGTAAGCCTCCTCGCAACCGTTGCGACCGCCCTATCCCGAGCTCAGCAGATCGCATGTTGCTCCGCTTCCACCAAAGCGCCCTCTGACAGATCCTTGTCGATCTCATCATATGCCGCTAATTGAGCTGCCCATGCTTTCTTGTTCTCGGTCCGCTTCTCGAGCCTTGCACTTGCAGCCTTCCTCCATGCCTCCTTCTCCGCTGTCACGAGGCAGACTAGACGCAGTCTCAATTTCCACTCGCTTAGGGTCGTCGCTTCGCCCTCCTCGAGCTTGCCCCTTTTGGCGAGTTCATGCTGCATTTGCAGTATCGTCATGTCGTTCCAGCGCCCGAGGCGAGAGAGTTGGGCGCCCTGGTGGTAGTATAGTGTGTCTGCTAGACAGTGCATAGATACTTTGCGGCGATGCTGTTGCTTCAAGATGAGATGTTGTTTTGGGTGTAATGTGCCGAAGACAGCTTGTAAAGTGCGCTCAGGAAGAGTTTCGAAAGCCATTTTGATGAGCTTTTCGGGCGACTGGGCACGTGCGAGTTTGAGTAGTTGACAAGACATCTTGTGGTTGTGTGTTGTGCTTGCTTGTGTGTCGTGGATGTGTTGTGTTTGGGAAGAAAACTTAGAAATGTACGTCTTTTGATTTCTTGATGATGGGCAGAGAGTGGTTTGGGATGATTAGAAGAGACGATCAGATGAGTTGACTTTCATACTGCTTGCTGTTACAAGAACATGGTAGAAGAGAAAATGATCACTATCGTGTGGCTGAGCAAGCTACCACAGTTGATGTACAAATCGACTTTGGTCTTCACCACTCCCAAGTCTCACATATTGCTTTCACCTCATACAAGCTGGTCACAGTGCAGGAAAAACAGTACCATACCCGTCTAACAATGAGTTTAACGGCTCCAAACCATGGCACATTGTGACTCAAGGCGGTGGAGACTGTGGTAATGAACGCGGTACGGGGCTCCGCGACCAAACAGCGACAACAAGCTGACAACTAACTCACGTGCTTGGCCAGAAAGCGACGCAACGTTACGTTGGGATTCCAATCTAACGACCAGCGCCCATTGGTAAAGTGAAGCTTGGAAGAAAGATTCTGCGCGAGGGAAACCTTGGAAGTGATGGTCGTTTACGGCGCGAGACATCCTGTGTCTCGTATATCGGACAACTCCCAATATGTTTCCACAACAAGAGACCATCCGTGCATGTATCGAACGATGATTTTGAACATTTTGTCCCTTACGTTCCCGCCTAGGCTTCACGCAAAGACAACCCACTCTGAACTTGTTGATGTAGTCTCCCGTTTACTTGCGACCCAACTTTGCAGACCTTTAGCTGAAGATGTCGATGGTGGTACCTGGTCTTTTGGTAGGATAAGTGGGACGTAAGGCCAATCAGATTCCCTCTTTGTCATCCATCTCTTTGAATTATATCTCTTTGGCCTTGAGATACCTAGGTAGGCCTGCACGAATACGATGATAGTCGGAATATGTCTTCCACGGAGCTCCAATTACCAGTATATGGAAAATCCAGGCATCAGGCCAATATGAATCCGTCTACTCGAATGCGTACCAAACGGAGCGTCCGAGGTTCAGTACAGGTGGTCCGGTATCGCAGCACATGATCGCAGCTTGAGCACGCGTACAATCGCGTCGCAACACTGTGTAGTGTGTTGGGTCCTTGGAGATATACAGTCGGTTTTTCGAAATGAAGTTCCAGCTTCAGCTTGCGAAAGACGATGCGTGATGTATGAAATTAGAAAGTCGCCATGTTCAACCATGGTACCTAGGTGCAGTACAACCGGCGGAACATCGGCAAAACGTGCCGCGCCGCCGATGACCTCGGTGTTTGCACTGTTTGCACCAGACCACCTAACTTTATGGCCAGACAGCAACAGTGAAACACCAACAAGCCACAAATCAGCATACGCCCAACTCTCACAGACTTACTTGCATTACCGGGACGACGCCTCCACGAAATCACTCGCATTTTCAAACCTTTCGAACGCGTCCCTTTCGGCGGAACGATTGAACCAGCGGTCAACGCCGCATACAGACGGACCTTAGAAGCGGCGGATAGACACAGGGAGACAAAATGGGCGGCTACTTATCGACATTCACAAAGCTGATATGGGCGAAGAAGGAGATACGCATATTGATTCTGGGGCTGGTACGAGCATCAAATGCCACGACATGCATGCACAGTGCTGACTACAAACGCAGGACAACGCAGGAAAGACGACGTTGCTATACAGATTAAAGGTACGCGACATCCCGCATCATGGTGAAGGAGCCGTCAAGACATATATCTTGGAGTTTGAGGCATGAACGCAGACAACTAACAGCCACCCCAGATCGGAGAAGTAGTCACAACGATACCAACAATAGGCTTCAACGTCGAATCAGTAACATACAAGAACCTCAATTTCAACGTCTGGGTAAGCCCACTTCCCCCCACCTACCAGTTATTCTCCCCTCCTAACACCCGTTTCAGGACCTCGGAGGCCAAACCTCGATCCGCCCCTACTGGCGCTGCTATTACGCCAACACCGCCGCTGTAATATTCGTCATCGACAGCACCGATATCGAGCGCCTGACCACCGCAAGCGAAGAACTCCGCGCCATGCTCAACGAAGAAGAACTCCGCGACGCTGCGCTCCTGGTTTTTGCCAACAAGCAAGATCAACCGGGCGCGAAAGGCGCAGGCGAGATCAGCGAGGCGCTCAAACTGGGAGAGCTGAAAGATCGGAATTGGAGTATCGTTGCGTGTAGTGCTGTAGATGGAAGAGGTGTACAAGAGGGTATGGATTGGCTGGTCAGTAACGTCGGGGATGGGCAGAACTGAGGATGAGGTGAAAGGATGCTGAGGTTGTGGGCAGAGGGACAAGGTTCATATGCGATGGGGATTGGGCGTCAAAGCGGAAGAACAGAATTCCGGGGTACATGACGCAGGGAGCCATGACGCGGCATATACGCGTCAGGTGGAATGATTATACCAGCATAATGGCGTCTAGGCGCCAGGGATTGTGAATATGGGGAGCAGATTAGCGTCAGTAATTGAATGCGCATCTTCCAAGTTGACACATATGCATTTCCTTGCGTGTATGTACGAGACATGTCTAATATTGGTCCCAACTCAAATCCCTCCCTGGCCTCAAACGTCCTTCTGTCCAATCCTTGCCGTAAACATATGTACTACTAATCTCCTCCTCGTCGATACCCAAGTGGTCGTCCCCATCTCTGCCTTGGAACCAGCCTAGCGCATACGTCTTCCCACTCTTTTCCAGATGTTTTGTCATCTGGTTTGAGGTCATCTTCTCCGTATCGATGAAGCTAAGTAGCATCTTAGATTGGTGGATGAAAGCAAGAACAGACGCCATTGTCCCGATTTGACGCGGCATGAACTTTTGGCTGCGTTTTGCGTAGGTGAGAAGGGCAATGCCGATAAGGTAGAGCAGGATGAGCATTGTGAGGGCGAAGCTCGACCAGAAGCTGCGGAAAGTTTGATCTGTGTTATAGCGATCATTCTCTTCATCTGACTTTTGGGTACTGTCTGTGCCTCCTTCTCCGGGAAGGAATTTTTTGCCGTCGACGCTAATCGAAGTCACGCAGACCGTCAGCATCTCGGCAAAGATGGATCCAAAGGCGACGAGCATAACGAGGTAGTGGCCGTTGAGGAAGGCTTCAAAAGGCAACCATAGTGGATTCGTGCCCGCGTAGTCAAGTGTCAGAGTCTTGGCTGGAGCATGTCGAAGCGATAGGAGATAGAAAGGTTGCAGCATGCGGACATCGCTGTTCATCGTATTCCAGAGTATGCGTATAACGGTTGCCAAGCCCGTCATCACCCATGGGAGTTTCTGTGTGACTAAACTTGCCTTCTCGACGAAAGTAAAGACTGGCACCGCTATGGTGAACACAACGAGAAAGCCGACGAAGGGGAACCCGGATCGGAGACGAAGCATGAGGGGTCTGGGGTCTGAGTTCTGCTCGTGGATCTTCTCCTTGCTCTTGGTAATGTACTCACCCTGCCAAAGCGAGCTTTTGTGCAAGATATATCTTCGTTGACGAAGCTGCTTGTGTATCTGGTTCGAAGATGCCTGATCGAGTCCCTTGAAATCCGCAAGAATATGGCTTTTGGTAGCCATGGCTGCGATGCCTGCAATTCCCTTGGGATCTGACTGCAAGCCGCTCTTCCGTTGCATTGCGTATATCAGTGCGCAACCACACCCAGCAACGATCAAAAGACATGCCGACAGCGCTCTAGACCAAGCCGGTTCAACCCTGATAGACCTCCATCTGACATCTTTGCGTCGTTCCTCTGGTGGCCACATAATGATGGAGGCGGATTGCAATACAGGTACAAGGCTACTAGCAACCAAGGTCCCTAGAGAGCTGAAGATGACGGCGTATTGTCTGTGATGGAGTGCCCTCAACGGTACCAGGAAACTGAGAAAAGTCAAATAGTCCATATTGAGCGACTCTCCTGCAGTTGCACCTGTCTTCTTGGATAGCTGATAGAATGGCTCTAGACGTTTGACTTCGAAATCTGACATCTGCCAAAGGACTCCATAGAAGACTGAGATGATGATAGGCGCATACTGCCACGTGAAATATTCAGTGACAGTCAGATCGCCTACCTTCTCAAACTTTTTCAAGCCTCCTTGTGCCGGATCATGTTCTACACTCTTCAGAGACTTCCGGCACAAGTATTCTTGTACACCAGCAAGCGCAAGTGCGAGAATGACGAGAATGGAGATCCACCACGAGCTCATAGTAAGAGGACGCCATGTAGGCATTTGGGGATCTGTTCTTATGTTAATCTCTGTGGATGAACAGTTGTACGAGACAATCACCTTCTGGGAAGAAGTAGCTGGTTTGCGCACCGCTTCTGATGAGTCCAGCTTCAGCCGTTAAGCTACTCATGGAGTCAAAATCACGAGCAACTCCTGCGAATTCGCTGATGTCGACTGGAACATCCGTAGCAACAGCAACTACTTGGCCAGTCTTCGTGGCCTTGTCCTGTGCCTTCTTCGCCTGCTCATCTGCTACATCTGCTTTCGACAGTATTCTTCGGTGGCCCGGAAAGTCGCCTGGTACTGGTCCAGCCGGAGTGTGGGTGAATGGATTGTGGAGTACCGAAGTCATGCCAGCTCCTAATTGCGCTTCAAGTCTTTCATACTCTGCGGCATGCCCAGCTTCGTCAATATTGTGGTCGCCTTCTCGCGCTGTACGTGTGCCTTGCTCCCTCAATTGTGCCTCAAATGCCTTCATAGGCAGACCGCCGAGCGAAGTCAGGTCGTATCCGACTGCTTCATCTGCCTCCTCGACCTCCTTGAGTCTTCTCCTATTTGGCTGTGATTCCTCATCATCTAGCCGGTTGTAGTATCCACTGAGCGAGCTTCCTCTTCGTAGCGATGCGATTCGATTGAGGACACGCTTCGTCCTACTATCGCTCTTACCCAACGATGGTGATGCGCGATCTTGAGTGAAGACACTTGCGACAGGGCTGTATGACGTTTCTTGGGCAAAAGACGGTGGCGCCGGGGCGCGGGGTATACGATATGAGGGCTCTGAGGCCGGCAGCAGAGGCGAGGGAAAAGATTGTCGTCTTGACGCAGGGGAGCTGCTGGGAGATGCGACCGAGGCGACCGAGGCGATCGAGGAAGGACGAGACGGGAAGAGTTGCGAGAGCCTGTCCGAGGCGCCGGACGTGTTCTTACGCTGTAGTGGTGGACGAGCATGAGATGGTGGGGCACCACTAGTTGGAGAACCAACGCGCAAAGCAAAAGGAACTGTGATATCAGACGGTCTTCTCGTTCTTGTAGGAGAGCCAATCTGGAGGGCAGGCGGGACTTCCTCCACATCTGGTGAACGCATGTTCAATGGTGTATGCGCCGCGTGCGCTGACGTTTGTAGGGTGTACTTCAATATTCGTAGTTCGTAGCAATTGCAAGGTGAAAGGAAACGAGGCCAGAAGAGGAGCAGGAACCACAAGAAACGCGATAAGTCACCAAATCATACAGGATGTTGCACACGGCTGACAGTACCTTGCAGCCTGTGCGTCGCACCGGTCAGCCAGGTTCCATCACACTAACATGCGCTCGTGAGGGCCTCCCCAGAAGTATTCAGGCAGGAATTCCCTTCCGAGGCAATTTGCGCGCTGCAGTCCGGCCGAATCCAGTAGACGTCGTGGAAACAAGCTCGCCTTGCCTTGGAGGCGCGCTGGCGTTGCGGGGCGTTACGAGCCGCTCAGCCTTGTGTTGATCGGCTCGCGTAACTCGAGCTTGAGTACAAAGACTGATGAGGTTTGGCGTCAGAAATATGGTGATGAGGAATCCTGTGGTAGCTGTGGAGGTGCAGAGGTCATATAGCTGTGTACAATCCGGCCCTGCAAACTACGATGCTATCATACAGACCGGATGGTCAACGATTGCGAGCGGCTTGATCTAAAAATATGGCGCTGTGCCGCTTCAGTCGCAGGGCGTTCGATTTTCGCCTGCTATTGCCGTGTATGGCATGCCGGTGGCTTGCAATGGGGGCTGAAAACATCATAACGTCGTATTGGGCACACACGCGGCTGAGCGATGGGATGCGAAACCGGCGATGTTGGTGTTGAGTAGATGGAGAAGGAAAAGAAGTGGAAGAGGTTGGAGAGATTGGAAGCTACTCTTGTCAGTGCCCCGCTAATCCGATGACGCAAAGTCGCTCAGGCGGCAGGTGCTGACTGCGACAGCAAGTCTTGCACAGCGGCATCAAGACACCAGGCTGTGCAACACCACCAACGACGCACAATGTATTGGCAACGACTATCCAGAAATAAATTCGATTGCAACTTAGACGAACACCTTCTACTTGGGCTGTACCACTCTACCTCCTTGTAAATCGGACCCTCTTCTCGAGAGTTTCTCCATCACAGCCCCCATCTCTAACCCTCCTGGGATCGGCCGAAGGGAGTCGAAATGCATACCTTTAGCCCTCCGGGTACTTCATGATTGAAGAACTTATCATAAGCCTCCGAGATATTCTCCAACTTATCCTTGTGCGTGAACACGAACGAGGGGTCGTATTGGCCTTTAACAACGAAGTCTAGAAGGAGTGGGAAATACTACAGAGTTCGGATCAACGGTTAGCAAGGTATCATTCATAGGAACAGGTATTTTACCTTCTCGGCGTATAGCTGCCCACCGCGTACGGTAATTGCCTTTTCCATCATCATTCCAATCGGAAAATTGTTGGTCGAGTAGAAGAAGTCGCCAATCAAAGCGATGTTTCCACCCTTGCGCGTCGCCTTGATCACAGCGCTCACAGTATCCGAGCTATCGCCCTCAATACCTAGCTTCCTCATGGTGTTATGGACGACCGAGTTCGTGCTCCTGAAGCCACTTGCTTCAATACCGCGGTCCAGGCCATGCGGTTCAATGGAAAGAATGTAGTCCGCCGGGTCCGAGTGCTCATTGACATTGACGGGGATCATGCCAAAAGATTCTGCAATCTTGAGTCGGTTGACGTCTTTGTCAACGGCGTAGACCTTTCGGGCTCCACGAAGCTTGGACAAACGTTGGATCGAGAGACCAATTGCGCCACAGCCCCAGACGCCAACAACATCGTCTTTGCGCACTTCCGCAAGTTCACACCCATGCCACGCAGTAGGTGTCACATCCGCGAGACCGACCAGCTTCTCAGCGGGAATATCCTTGGGGGCTTTGACGCAGACAAGATCTGCGTTAGGGACGCGGCAGTACTCAGCCTGGTTGCCAGGATATCCACCTGTGATTTTGGAATAGCCAAAGATACCCGAGAGACGGTGTCCGTACAGTTGCTCCATCTCATGTGATGGGTTGGTTCGGTCGCAAAGGGAAAACTCTTTGCGCTTGCAGTAGAAGCACTCCCCACATGCAATGACCGGCAAAATAATGACTCGGTCTCCTACCTTCAAGTCTTTGACTTCATGCCCAATTTCATCGACAATGCCGATCGCCTCGTGGCCCATGATCATCCCCTTCTCCATGACACTGTTCATATCGCCGTTGTACATATGCAGATCAGATCCGCATATAGTGCAATGGGTAATGTGCACAATGGCATCCTTAGGTGCAGTGATCATGGGTTTGGCGACAACGCCTAGCTCGATCGACTTTGCCCCAGTCCAGAGAGCTGCCTTCATCTTCTCACTGGGATGGGGCTTGTACGCGGTAGTGTAAACTGGTCTTTGACGAAAGGTCAGCCTTCTTATGGGTATTGATTTGCAGGTGAGAGGTATACTTTGCTACTTCCGCCATTGTGAGATTCTGCTACTCTTCTAGGGATAAGATGGTTGTTTAATATTCAATTCAAAGCGTTGCTATGTTCGTTCGATATCGTTTGAGAGTTCCTTGTCAGATGGTCATCATGGTGTTCGTGCAACTTATAGCCAGCAGAACCATCACTAGTTTTCATCGTGGCGTTTTGCTTTCGCTATTATGTTTTCATTTCGGCGTAATCTTGATGCTATGAACAGGACTAGTTCATCTCTTGCGGACCGACTCGCATCGTCATGCTTCCACCATCATGTCTTCATTCTTGAATTTGGTCAAACCTTAACAACTCTGGAGGCTTCGTTAGAATGATATTTGATGCGGAGTTTGTCAAGCTGACAACTCAGTTACGCAGCGCTCAAAAAGTAAGTCAGGGTATCCATGGTGAAGTGGCCCTGGGAGCCTGAGAAGTTCACAACGCATAGGTCAGGCTGTGGTCATTCTAACATCATGTCTTGGTGTCGCATACGACTGATTCTTACAGATATCGTGAGATGTTTTAGCTCTGTGACTCATCTACAGTTTGAGAGCCTGGAACCATCTTATGTCATGATGTTGCGGACGTTGACATGCTGCTGACATCAATTGGACCCTGACGTTTGAAACGACCCAACATCAATTGACCTCAACACCTATCGTCACTCTCACACTGATAGACAAGCCTTAGAATTTTCCAATCTCTCAGCATCTGTTCAGAGCGTGGTTACGATTTCATGTCGTGAAGTTTTGCTGTCTAGTTGGCGAAAGCGCGTCGAGAAATTTCTTAAGCGCAGCAAAATACATTCCTGCTTAAGTAGCCGTCAGCTGGTCTAAATGGTGTAACTTAGAACAAATAAGTCCAAAGCCATTTTAAGATGTTGTAGCACCCATAGGTACCTTTACAATCGTAGCAATAGTGATGACGGTGTTGGTGCTAGTCAATTACCCCTACCTCCCAAATGGTTGTCAATTGATCCTGTTCAACATTATTAGAAAACAATACTCACCTTGACACTCTATCTATGTAGCCACATACCTCGCTATCCATCACACCCCTGTTATCTATTAGCACGAAAAGGCCTGCGCAATAGCTATTCACCCAAGTCGTCACCTCCGGGGAGCGCTGCGGCCATGTACATACGAAGATTGATCAGTTTCAAAATCAATTGCACATCACGCATGAAATCATGAGCCACGTGTGACTCAGCTGGTTTATGCATCACTTGTAGTACAACGTCCCTATATTGTTTGACTCCATCGTGGCTTGCGCAAGCTCCTTCCTTCATGCATTAAACTCCTGCGCTCAACTGTCTACTCAACCTGTTCTACTCTTGGCCTATATTCAATTCTGAAGAACTTTATTATACTCAATCATAATGTCGCACCACTCGGACATAGAGTCGAACGTTTCCGCTTCTTCGAGAAGCTCTTCAATTTCTTCCGCCTCTAGCCTGAGCCAGACCCAGATGCGAGTCTTCCTCGTCCAGACTGCGAAGGGTCTGTTCTCCTCTTCAGGTGGATATAAGGCCAATATCTGCTTGTTACGTTATCTCGCCTCCCGGGGGCATTCGGTCTGCCAACTATGCTACTCGCATCGCGGCGAAGCAGATGCAGTTGTCCGAACTATGGCTAAAGGTGGTGGGCACGATCCGCAGCTACATAAGAGGCAGCTACATCTGAGAGGTGGATACGGAGAAGACGGGACTGATATTGCAGTTGATGAGCTTGTTATGGAAGATGGCGTCCAGTACTTGGCATTGGAGAATGAGGCTTTTGTTGAGGCATTTGGCGGTACCGAAAACCTACACAAAGCAATGCCTAGGGAGACAGCACGCTACATTGAAGTAAGCTGAATTGTTTTTTTTTTCCAAGTTCGACTTGTGAACTTTGATGTTCTAACCCCCGTGCCGACTAGACTGGAATATTGTCCGCACGGTTACATGACTTTGTCTCGTTCTTACAAGACGAAATCAACAAGTTCTCGCCTACGCACATCATCTTCAACGATGGCTTATCCATGCAAGCTACCTCGGCCTTGCAGATGCCTCGAATCAACGCCCGTCGCATTGCTGTCATACATACGGCTGAGCAACTCCCCTTTGGACCGTTCGCTGGTGGCATGCCTGGCATGTTGAGCTCGCCACACGAGTCTAAACTCCTCCAAGAGCTTGATGGTATCTGGAGTGTCTCCGAAGCCATCAAAAGATACGCAATCGATCACGGGAAGCTTCAGACCAGCTTCTTCGTACATCATCCGTGGACCTACCTCGAAGAGCGAAATCACGAGCTGCCTTTGCGTCTCGACAACTGGAACAAGAAGTTCATCGGTATGATCAATCCCTGTCCTGTTAAGGGCGCTCAGATTTTGGTTGGTCTTGCCAAATCCTGCCCACAGCACAAGTTCCTGGCGTATAAGAGTTGGGGGTTTGACGACAAGTGTGGCCGGCAGATGCAAGCCCAGAAGAACATCATGTAAGTTCATCATTCAGAGCCACACTTTTAGAAAGCGAGTTCAACTGATGTCCTGAAGCATTCGCCCCACATGCAAGGATACGGATGAACTCTGGCGGAACATCAAACTGCTTCTCGTCCCCTCTCTCTGGTTTGAAGCCTGGGGAATTGTGACAGTCGAAGCTCACCTTCGTGGTATTCCCGTCATCTCCTCTAATGCAGGCGCGCTTCCTGAGGCCATGCTCGGACTTGACCACGTTATCCCAGTTAACACTATGAACGGGGATTGCGACGAAGAAGGCGCATACATTGTTCCTGACCAAGATATCGCACCCTGGGCGAGCGTCGTCAACAGGCTTATGAGTGACGAAGATCAATATAAAAGACTGTCAGATAAGGTGCGCAGCACGACAGAACAGTGGCTTAGGGATGCGGATGAGAAGGCGCTAGAGAAGTGGTTGACAAGCTTGTAACACCGTACAAATGAGCGCGCTTCGAGCGCGCGATCGGTGTCGAAAGATCGGTGTCGAAAAATGATGGTGTGGACTGAAGGTGGGGTGAATAATCATAGTGACCCAAAGTAGACTAGCTCCTCGGCGAAAATTGAAGGGGTAAATCCAATGACCGTTGACATCATATTTCGTTCGCCAGCAAGTAAAGTGTCGCGACCCCTACTTGCATACGCAGGTTATGTATGCTCTCAGGTAACCTCAACGTGCGTTATTGGCTGACTCAGTACTGCAGGTTCTACTTGCGTCTCCGGTTGAATACGACTCAGCCTAGTTTTCACTGCCTCCTTCGCATCTGCAGCATCGGCCCCTTCCTCCCGGACACGAAAATATCGTAAATCTGGTACTGATCCTCAGTCTGTCGTCCAGGCTTTCCGTGCCGATCGCCCCCACCAAGTCTGCTCTTTGGATCGGCCTGAATGTCATACATCCAGAGTGTCTTGGCAATAACAAGACGCATCTCGAGCCAGGCAAGGTTCTTCCCGACACAGCCTCGGGTTCCATAGGAGAAAGCACAGAATCCATCCTCTGCTAGTCTAACGCTCTCGGCTGAGGAGCCCTCCTCTCCAGTCTCGTCTACGATCCAGCGCTCAGGGCGGAATTTGAAAGGCTCCGGGTAGACGTTGGAGTTGTAGCTGAGACAGTAAAGACCAGTGCTCAAATGAAGACCAGCCGGAAAGTAGTGATCACCGACTGTTGTTCCACCAGGGAGTACCTCACGACTTGGCTCGGCTGCGACTGGTGGTGTCATGCGCATAGCTTCCTGGAGGAACGCTGTGAGGTACTTGCAGGACATAATCTTGCTGCCAGATGTGATCTCATCGTAGCTTGAGAAGATCGATTTAACCTCTTGGGCAATCTTAGCTTGTACATCCGGTCGGCGAGAGAGGTAGAAGAAGGCCGCGGAGAGTACAACGGACGTCGTATCAGAACCAGCTATGGTCAGCAACTCGCACTCCGCGAAGAGCTCATTTTGATCGTAGCCGCGCTCGCCAGTCTCCGGATCGACAGCTTTGAACAGCCAGTGGAAGAAGTCCCTTCGAATCTCACCATCGGGCTTGGGATTCTTCTCCAATTCCTGTTCATCCCTGACTCGGTTTTCGAGGCACTGCCCAACAAAATTCTGCCAGTTTACGACTACTGGTGGTGAGGCGAGTTCGATTAGCTTGTTAAGACCGCGAGGCTTGAGCCATACCCACGCGTTGGCTAACGGGCCGAATGCAACCTGCCGAATATTAGCTCGGTCGATCAACGCATGATCTGAGACGGGAGCTTACTGGATGCAGAAGCTCCAAAAATGAGACCATAACCTCTGGGATATGCCGCAGGTCGCTTCCTGGCTCCTTCATGTTGAAATTTTTACCGAAGCACAAGTCACCAAGGATATCGAACACGAGCCAGTTCATCCAGTCACACATGTTGACTGACGTGGTCCACTCGCCATCTTTGGGCGCTTGTTGGCCCAGTAGCTCTAGCCATCGATCAATGTTCTGGTGAAGGAAGACCTCAGCATCTCGCAACGCTGCTTCCGAGAACGCGTAGTTCAACACACGACGCTTGCGTGCATGGACACTAACGGTGGTGCTGCTCCACGTATTGATTGTGTGCTCATTGCGTGGCCACACTTCGTAGTAGACAGCCTTCTTGACATTTCCTTTCGGTCCGAAGATCTTCTTGAAAGCAGCAGGAGTGTTGAGTACAACACCGTCCGGACGATAACGAAACTCAGGACCTGTTGCTCATCAGCAACTAGTCGGGTCTGGTAGGTTAGGTTACGTGGCCATACCGTACTTCTCCTGCAATTGATACAACCAAATGTGTCGGTCGCCAGTGCGAGTATGCCACCATGACGGGAATACAGTTACTCGAGCCCAGAACGGCCCAGGGAAGGCTGCGAGTGGGTGGAAATAGAGGCGATAGATACCAGTGACAATTACGTACGTCGATATTAAGAGAGATGACAAAAGGAGAAGGCCTGGATAGGAGGACCCATCGCCTTCGGTATCGTGGAATGCCATCATGCACCTCTGGCTCAATCAGAAAAGAAGGAAAGGTTAACAAGAATCCGAAAGCGAGATGCAGGGCGTGGGGTCTCTTGTACGCCTCTCTGTGATCGCCGACTTTTCAATCACAGGCATGGTCTTACGTCTTGCTCCGCGGTCTCTGGCACGTACAGTACCCATATTAGTGCCCGCTGATTGGTCCCCTGATATGTTAGTAAGCCCTTAGGTCTAACTAGAGGCCGCCCCGCCTGTCAAAAACGACACTGAAAGGTGGAGTTTTGCTTCTCGGTTGGGCTAGTCGAAGGGCCGATGGCGAGCCGCACCTCCCGCACCAGCTATCCTCGACTTACACTTCGACTAGCAGACAACTGCGGCTGCTTACTTACCCAGCGCCACTATCGCGCCGCATCATCGAGTTTTCGTTTTGTTTGATGTAAGCGTAGATGTGGTTCCTGGATTCTCGTATTGGTCAATGGCATATTTGCCGGTTGCCCGGACTGGTGGGTCCTCCGCTAACCCCATGGGAGTCGCACTGCATTTGCCCTGGTCAGGTTTGAGACAATAACCTAATGGGGGGAAGGAGTCCTCACGTTTTCGACAGGGTCTTCCAGTTTCTCGACTCCTCGCTACAGTGCTAGAACTACCAAGACGACGGCGTGTGTGGCTTCTGTATCCACCGGCTACTGGCAGCTTGTGAGGCGGCTTCCGCTTCCGCGATCCTGACTGTGCATACACGCTTGTTTGATTGGCAAACGGCCATTTCAACCAACAAGAACGTCGGGTCCGCACGCCACCCACCACAATGCTTGCGCCCACGTTGCGGCACAGTCTCGCATCACCGACCGGCGATTCGTTTTCAAAGGATTCGGCAATGCATAACATAATCACGATACCGCGGGAATAAACGCCACAAGGTGGACGACGATACTGCGCGTGAATGCGAGCCGCATCACGCCTGGAAATTCGTTGTCGGTTATGTTTGCCATCAATTGGCTCGTTTTTCATAGCCGTAGCCTCGTTCTGACTCGCAATGGACAAGGGAGCTAAACCAGTTATGCCCAAAATGACGGCCAGGCACATGCTCAACACCAAGGATAGGGATAATTTTGCCTAGGCCGACCATTTCCGGCAATGAACAGCTCGGCAATTATCCAGCAACGGTTACCCCGGAGCATTTTGATCGACGGTAGGTTGTTGTGCGAATCTTGGGTACGCGGCTCTCGCGTTTGGCTACACCTCGGCAGACACTGATCAAACCCCGCGGAAGCACATAAACAAATATGCTCTTGTTTCTTTTCTCGGTCTGAAGGTAGACTAATTACATTGCTGCAGTATTCCAGACTCGCTTCGCAAGAAGAGTGTGGGTGATGTTGAAATATCCATGGATGACCACTGTGGAGCGGGTTCCTATTTCGTTCCCGCATAGCACGCACGCCGTCTCCGTTAGAGGATGAGTCCCGTAACGACCCCACCCGAACCACTCACACGTGAAAGCGAGCGGCACTCAGGCCGACAAGGACCCCCTGACCTGTAACGACGCTCCACTTCCCAAGTCCTCCCCGTGTGTCAGTGCCATCGCTTTAGTGCTTCCGTGCTTTATACTTTGCCCAACAGCTCCAGAAGACCCTCGCAGATGTTCGGATTATGACTTATCATCGCCTAATTCTGCGTTCGCATTGGCCGATCATTAGCTAAAGAAGCAAGGCACGTCATGGGTTTGAAGGGGCCTAAAGGTGATCCCGCGACAGGGTGCGGCGGTAGTGGTAAGTGGATTGGGAACATCTGGGGAGTTTGGTCAGGGCGCTGGGATGTGAGAAAGGTTTTCTTCTTCGCCTGGAGGCCTCGTCTTGACATTGTATATCATGACTTGGTGTGCCGCACTGCTTTGTATTTCGTGTTCGTGCATCATTGTCAACGCCACGGCGACTCTTGCTCCTCTTTGTTCGTGATACCTGGTGTACTTGCGAAGGATAGATGAGAGTTGTGTAACTTGTGCATCATGGCACCGATTATAAATCCACAGGAGAGCCTGTAAGTCATTCGATCCTGTCTACTCGCCCATCATCGCTATTGGACCCTTTCTACACTCAGTCTCCGCGGTTCACTCAACCCATGTCATATCACGACCAGAAAACAGTACATTGGGTAACATGTCACTGACGAGCTCTCCAGCCAGTCCTACCGCCGTCGTCTGGATGGCGTGGCTATCTCAACGTACATCCTAATCATGCTACTCGTCCCCCTTAAGGTCTACTGCCGGAAGCGACACGGGGGATGGCGTAATGTTCAGATGGACGACTATATGTCTATGGTAGCACTGGCCGTGGCTAACGGTTTCTTCTACGTGTGCATCATTGGTACGTCCTGCTCCATCTCACCATATGAGCCGTAGGCTAACATCAAGTGCTTATCAGGCATGCGAGAGTCATTGGGACTACACATGTATGAAATCACCAACCCGCTACAAGCCATCGCCTTCCTACGGAACATCTACATCGGCCAAATCCTTTATACGTTGAGCATCACAACTATCAAGCTTTCCGTCCTAGCCTTCTACTGGCGGCTGTTTGAGATCAAATCCCGAAAGTTCATATATGTTGTTACTGCAGCGTCAATCGCATGGTGTATCGCTATTGTAAGCCGAACCTATGCCTCAGAATCCGATCGTATACAGCTAACACCCCTCACAGCTAGGCTGCGTAATCTTCAACTGCTACCCCATACAGGCCGCCTGGGACATCACCATCACAAACGGAAAATGCATTCAGACCCGCGACATTTACCTCGGCGGTTCGGTGCCTAATGTGATCCTCGACTTCATCATCGTCGGCATGCCTCTTCCGCACGTCTGGCGCCTGCACGCACCAATTGCTCAACGCATCGTTCTAGCGGGCATGTTCGCCCTTGGCACCTTCATCGCCATCGTCTCGCTTGTACGATTGATCATCTTCTTGCAGATCCCCATCTCGGGTCAAGTCGACCCTACCTACAACTTCCGCGAGATCATCGTATGGTCTATTGTTGAAGTCAACGTCGGTCTCACATGTGCTTGTTTGCCTAGTCTGAAACCCGCTTTCAGATGGATCGGCCTTGATAGACTCTTTTCTTTTGCTTCTTCCCGCCCCTCGGATATGCGGTCGCCTGGACCGAGCTCACATGGTGCTATGGATGACTTTGGGTCAAACCTGAAGAACTCTGGGAGGCCGAGGAAGAAGGGCGCTACTGGTGGCTTGTTCTCGACGCTAGCGGGCATTAGTCGAGTGGAGGATGAGGAGGAGTTCAAGTTTGTTGATGACGATAGGCAGGGGAAGCATAACGTCGAGATTGAGATGGGCAGGAGGGCAAGCGATGACAGTGCACAGAGGACTGCGGCTGGAGGAATTAGTGTGCAAAAGAACTGGAGTGTGCTTGTTGATGAGAGAAGGGCAGATCGAGATCGGTAGTAACGACTGAAACATGCATGGACAACCGAAGAAAAAGGAATGGATACAATAATTATACGACAGATAATGATGTCATGTCATAGAAAATCCAAACAATACACAATTCAAAAACACACAATCCTGTCTCGCTATATGGTCTAGTCAAACTGCTGTGTCGGAGTCGAGGGGCTTAAGTGTCTACTCGATTTTGGAGCGATGTTGCATCAAGATTGAGAAGGGGATATACCAAAGACCAACTACATTTGCGAAGCGGTGTGCGTGACAAACGGAGATGCGAAGAGAGATGCGGAATACGTGATATTTTCCAGGTTGCTAATCAGTTCCTAAGCCGACTTCTACTTCGACTGAACGACGCGAACGAACGCATGGAAATCTCCTTGCTCTTTGCAGGATAGATCGGATGCGGCGAAATAATACCTCAGATTCTCTAGATTCTCGATCGATGCGCACCGAACCCTCCATAGACATATCTTCTGGCAAGTGGAAGATGACAAAGCTGCAGTCAGCCTCGATCTTATCGCATATGAGGACAAAGAAGTCCTCACATGACTTGGTTCTTTCCGTGAGCATCAGGGTTGTGTAGGACCAAGTTGTGCCTGGGCCGACTCGAGCGCGTCGCTTTTTGCTGCAATAAAGTCGCAGCTCAACCTTGAAAGCAGGATCGGATGGATTCATGTTCCGATTGCTAGCTTGAGATGTTGCCCTGCTGTCCAATACTGAGTCTTCAGATTCATTGAAACTGTTATCCATTTCTCCCTCTACAGATTCTGTGCGTTGACTAGCAGTCTCGTCGTTTATGTTGTCAATGTCGCCTCTCTTCGTTTCTAATATGTCCACAGCGATTGTGTCGTCAGGATCAAACTCCAACGTTTCCGAATCATTGTGGGTTTTCATGGTATAAAACTCCGAGTCTGTCTCAGAGCTGGCTCCCTGGCAAAGCAAGATGGCTAGCAGGCGCTCTTTCAGGCTGACCTCATTAGCGCGTATCCTAGCCATCGATAGCTGAAACCCACATGGCGCTGTCTCGCGGATAGATCAGATCGCGGATATAGCTGATACCGTCCTGCGGTTTGAGCAGATGACGTTTTTCTCCAGGACCTGGTTCAGGCCATATCATGGGACCATCCTTCTTTAGAAACTCGTCTATCTTTTTGCTAAGCGAATTCGGATCTGATGGATCAATTAGATTATCCTGTATCTGATGGCGCATCAATAAACCGAAAAGAGCCTGCAGTCCAACTGTATATAGCGCAGAGACTGGCCTGTAGTTGGACATTGGGTTTCTTACTATGTGGTTGGGATCTATCCCATAAGTCTCCAATCCAAGAGATTGGATGTATTTGTTAAGTTCAACACAGTCAACTCTTTACTTTCCCATTTTTGCACATAAACAATGCTATCGCAGAGGCATAGGAGTGTTGCGGTTGTCCGCGGAAGCTTGCCACGAACGGCTGCAGACTTTTTCTGTTGTTCGTTCTCAAATGTCTTGATCTTGCATCAGAAGCTGTTCTGTTCTTCTTGTGCAGTGAAGGATTCTTCGCTTAACGTATTCGCTTGTCGTACGTAGAGTGGAGTATATGTGAGATTGATTGAAGAAAGATCTCGCGTTGTTCGGGATGCGAGATGTCACTAGGTGAGGTGGCCAATCGGACCCCTGCCTGCCATGCAGGCGTGGCCTGCTAGCCGGCTGCCGACAAGGCTCCTTCCCTCATACGTCAGAACAACAGCGAACCATCACCGCCTACTCCAAACGGTCGCTGTCGTGTAACCGTCGGGATGTCACCTCGCAAGCCTCTTATGCCGGTGCAGCCTCAAAGAGCTCGAAAGAGTGTGCGCACGCCCGTGTTGAAAAATCCATCAGCAAGCTCTAAGCGCGCACGCGACTCCAGCCTCGACGAGTCCAGCCCTCAGCCTGATCGCGAGATCCAGTCACAAATTCCTTCAAATGTGACAAGTGACGCCTCAAAAGCGCAAACACCGGAGAACGACGTGCTGCCGTTACGTAGTAACGTGTCGAGCGAACTAACTTCACCCATGATGTCACCTGGGCTGCGTGCACTCGACACGTCCCTCCATGAACAGGCTCGAAACGCCTGTCCTACCACCGCGTACGATTGCTTTAGCTCGCAACCTCACCTGAAAGGCCATTTCTACTCCGCAAATCAGCTCTTTCAACGAGGTGTCTGGATTGGCTACTTGGCTCCCGAAAGGCAAAACGAGTCATTTCGCGGGCTGCCCTCTTTCCACAATCTCAAGGTCAACTACAGCAAGTTCCGCCCACCATATCCTCCAATAGTTCAGGGTTCTCCCAGAGAGAATCGCAACGCTATCTGCCGAGGCTGTGCCAGGGACGAGTCGGCTCTTATTGCTCTAAGCGAGGTGCAGTTCGGAAAGAACGGCGTAAGTTGTACTCAGATCGGCTACAGAGTCATCAGGCCATCGTATTGACGAGATACAGAAGGTCGTGATCATGCCTCTCGATGGCGACGACGATGCTGGAGTTTTCGCAATCATGATTCCTCAAAAGAGTGACAGGTCTTTACATGGTCTCCAATCCTTTCGTCCTTACGAAGTGAGTCTCATGCCTATGAGGCTTATTCGAAACATATACTGACATACTGTTTGAACATATTCAGCTTTTCAATGGCGGCACAGGAGACAAATTTGTTAACAGTTACATGATGCTCACTCTCCGTAACCCTGACAGCGATGCTGGAACACTGGAGACCGTTCTCACAGTATTACCACCGAAAGAGCGTGCCGATATTGTTTTGAAGTTGAAACAATTGCCGACACGTGACAACCGTCTTTCCTCTACTCCCAGACTATCGAAACTTTCTGATGTGGATGCCACACCTCTGGCACCGCCTGTCATGAGTAAAGCGCACGTTGATGACAGCGATGCTCGAATCGATGAGCCTGCGACGCGGAAACGGCGCAAGATCAGCGACAGTGCCGCGAACAAGTTCGAGCCTGTACGACAAAGTCCTACAGGCTGCAGTGTTGACCTTACGCAGTCGCCGCCACCGCAGTCGCCACCGCGGCCACAACAAACGCTACGAGAAAGTCCTACAGGCTGCAGTGTTGATCTTGGGCAGCCGTTGCCACCGCAGTCGCCACCACGGCCACAACAAACACCCCAAAGGACCCCAACTCCTGCCGATGATGTAAAGCATCATGGTTCGATAACATCAGCGCCATCGAGGCCTCCATCTCAAGCTACCAGTGTTGCAAGTTTCTCGAACGTCATATCTCTTGACCTGACCGATGAGCAAGCTGCGCGAATCTGCTTCATCTGGACAGTAGTTGACGATGATATTGAATATGAATTCGTGCATGCATTGGTCGAGTGCAAGTCATTCGGAGGCTTGCTTGGTCTTTTGGAGGAGGATGCTGAGGCTATCCCATCTGCTGCCAGCATGATTAGCAGAACGAACGTCTGGCGACTGACGTACCGTCTCGGTAACGGTCCCAACAAAGCAGTCGTGCTGCGTAAAGGCACTGAAATTGCGTTCGATCGTCTGCAACTTACACTTGCCCAGGCTTCTATCTGGCAAGAGAATCCTAATGCTAAGATCGATATCGAACTCAAGTCGTTGAGCAGACCGGATCCTGTGTGAGCGACATCAAACGATAGGTAGCGACAGCGCCTCTTCCTACCCTTGCGGATTCTGATCTACCTACAAGCGTGCTTTCTATCTCTTTGACCAACATCTGGATACCACTGCAAAGTGTGTTGACCGCGTTTTGCGTTGATTTACATATACCCCGGATCAATGCCTATGGTCCTTGTTCAGCGGATTGGTCAGAAGTTTTGATTGTCGGAAACGTATTTGCACAATGTTGGTGTGCCCTGGTAGTGCTGTGTAGATGCAGTTGAATGTACGTACGTCTAGAGAATTCAGTTCTACCCTTGCACGGGTCTCGCCGCATAATCTTGAAATGCTCTTGTTTGGACATATATTTACGCCGCGGAAGGCGCCACAACGCAATGATTCCGCGTCGCATGCATGAAACCGAAAAAGCCCGCTATCGCTCAGCGGATGCCTGGTGCTGAAACAGGCTATGAGAAAAGCGCAAAGTATCCATAGAGCTCAGACTCATCAACGACGACCATTAGTAGCGGACTGGAACACACATGCAAGTCGCAGAAGAACAGCAATGTGCACAATACATTGTGTAAGTGTTTGGGGGCGATCGTCGTACTAACGCCACATTTCAGCCAATCGGCAAGAATTGCCCTGTGGTTCCGCCTGCCATCCCCAGGTGGGCGCCGCTAACCCTGTAAACGAAGCTTTCATACGCTATGGTTTCTTCATCTGTACTCTTATCATCTATCATATTCTCATTTCATCTTCGGAATGCCGTTCGTTTCCCTTGCGCACCATAGTGCTGACTCGTACATGCTCTGAGCGGCCCGTTTACAAGATTGCACCATCGTCCTCCCGCAGTCTTGAGAGCATCTGTATGTAATCATACCCGAGAAAATCAGCACTACACATCACGCTCCCCGGCAAAGTTGCGAAGCCACGGCGCTCGGTGCTCATACGACTACTTACAGAAGCATTGATAGCTTACACTCAGCTTACCTGGAGAAATATTGCGATTCATGCATCAAGCCCAGGCATCATGGACGGCTCGGCTATCACGTACGCAACGTCCAAGGACTGGCTGGACATCATGAAGAATCGATCAAAAGTGCGCATGCATGAGCTGATCGAGCGTCTTGGACTACGCGCAAAATGGTCGTCCAACAAACGCGGCAAGACAAACTTTGAATCCGCCCTGGTGCGCGAACTGGTCGCAGATATGGGTGATGTCGTCTCCACACTACCAAAAGAGCCGGATGAGCTTATGAAGTTTCTAAGCGACGAGGGAAGTCTGAAAGAGGAGGTTGATGGCTTACTTGAGAAACATGGCGCTAAGGTCTGGGGAAGAGTGGGGGACCGTGAGCATCTAATCACAGCGAACGAACCCGGGGTTGAAGAAGGTCTCTACCCTAGGGATCTCTACATTGAAAATGAGGAGGACAGGGCACTGTAAGTGAACCTCAGGGCAAATCCCTTATCTGGGAGTCCTTGGTATAGAATCGAACAATTGCTAATCGCCACCTAGAATTCACAAACTCCTCCATTGGTGGATCGGACTGAAAGCATGCAACGTCATTCTTGCGCGCGAACGTCTGGACCGCGAAAGAAGAAAGAAGGCAGAGAACCGACAAGCGCGAGCTGACGCCGAGTTTTCTGGTCAGCAAGAGGGTGGTACGCCAGCATCCTTTGTTGCGCTTGCACCAAATTCAGTGTTGCATGATGGCGACACAGCCTCACGTGGAAGCCCCATGTCATCGAGCGCTATGCTTACGCCTCCAGAATCTGGGGAGAGTCCTACTATAGGACCTCGAGAAGGAGTCGGGTTCACAGCTCTCAACGGCAGTGCACATGCGACGAATGGTAACGCAGCGTTCACGTCCACGAAAACACACGAACAGCAGGTTTCGCAACAGCCCAATAGTATCGTCGAGGGTGTCTGGAATAAGCTCGCTGCTGAGGCATCCAAATCTCGGTACCTTAGCACGTTGTCAGGACCTGCTCCCACCCAAGCCGCACATTCTACCGAAACCAAAGCAGCAGTACAACAGCAGATCGCAAACGCGACCCAAGCTGCTGCTGATCGGCAAATTAGTGTTCAAATGGCCGCGCTGGTCGCAAGCTTTCGGTCGGATGACGGTATACCAGAAGAGCTACCACAGCCAAACAACAGTATATCGTATCGTGGGTTGGACTACGATGGTTTACGAGCACTACGCCAGTACATCTACGGAGAAGAGCGTGGCGTCTCAATGGACGAGGAAGCTCTCCTTAACCAACTTGAAAGAACGTGGCGAGAAGGCGTCCGAGCCGACTACAACAGGATAATTGAGAATATCCCCGTCTTCATCGCCAGGGAACGAGCATTTCTAACATGGGTGGAACTGAAGCGACACCTGTCAGCTCTGTTACGAGCAAACGACCGTACGTCTCACCCAGCTGGAGATCTATCTAGCTTTCACATGCTTACTTCAACACAGGTTGGTCAGCCGAAGGCCACACTGCCGCCGAAATTGAGCGCCGCATTCAACAGCACCGCACACTTATGGGCTGCACACAAACGATCATCGCCAACTTTGAAGACATTGGCCAAGGCTTCGGTCTCGGTCCCAATGTCGCTGTGGACCGCGATGAGCTGCTGCGACAAGCTCTCGTGGTATTAGCTGGGGAAAAGTATGCTGTTGAGATGCAGTGGAAGCCTGTAGACTTTACGCAAGTCATGGGATGGCTGCACGACCACTTGGAAAGCTTCCGCAAGGAAGAAGAAGAAGAGGGAAAGGGTATGCTCTGGTATATTGGCGAGTCACGACGCTAGTCGCGATTACTACTATCCTGATACGCACGTATCATGTGCTGCGCTGGTGTAGTCGTAAAATCTGTGTACGTGGATCTTACAGGCGTTCAGGTTTTCAGGGTGCCGATCGATCAGCAGGGTTGAGGCCCCACTAGGCGTCCAATTCGGGAAAATAAGCTATTCGGGTAGGTCAGCCGTAAAGTGGTTTCAGCTACTTGATCATGTTACAGGACCGTGTAGGATTACACTAGCTCAGCTGTGCCTCACCCCATCACCATGCCGTAGGCAAACTATGCGACAAAGTAATTGCTTTATTGCGATCGCCTTGTCGAGATCGGATAGGGAGCGCGTGTGAGCAGCGTTCAATAGTTCGGCAACTAGTTTCCGAACGAATACACGGCTCGGCAGCACTTCGCAGTATACCCTTTCGCTTAGTCTACTCCCTGCAGCCAAGGGGGCGTGTCTTCAGGCTCCGCACTGCGCCGTAAATCTCCCTAATGCCACGTTCCTATTTTAGAGTGGAGTGACCGCGCCGCACATTCGTCACATCGCTTCACATTTTTTTCTTTCGAGCTGTGGCGTTGACACGACATTTCGCTTTACTTCCCATCAATACCATGCGACCGCGGTTAACAAAATGATGAAGTGCACAGTTGAGTAATCGAAGTTGGGTAGTACAAGCGTACCTAGGTGTAGATACGGCCAGGACAAGCGCGTCATAGATGCATATGTAGTTGTAACTCCTGACCACGATACCAACGACATGTATCCCCGGCTATACGAAACAGTGATAGTGCCGCTTATTCGTTCATGGCATGTGGCGGCTAATGGTGGCTTTGAGTAAGAGGATCGGATGTTTTGGCCTATGCGAGTAAGAGTTGTGCTGCTAGCGACAAATTCATTTGTACCTCGTGTATGATGAGCATCCCTGCGATAGATATGATTAGCATAATCCAGCAAATGACCACTTCGCTCATAGTGCAAGCGTCGTACATTGAACAAGCAAGGGTGAAGGGGCCCGCTCCGTAGGAACGAATGAGGATGGGGCGGTACTATGATTACACTCGATGGGGATTTATTGGCGTGCGAGTCATTAACTTCGGAGTGCAGACGCGTATTACCTCTGCACATGTTTTGTTGCGGCCCCTGCCGGATCACTGTCTCGCGTCTAGGCACCTCTTTTCTGGGTATCTTTTCGACGCAGCGTACCGTCGTTCGCCTTCTACACGTCACCGGCATCAATCATCATCACCAATCAATCTTTCGCCGCCCAACGCCCCCACAACAAACTCTTCCGTCCCTACTCAAGTGTACAGTTGCATCGCAATTTGTTCTTCCTGTGTGTACAGGGGCTTTGGTTCTTTGTCTAGACGGGTAGCACGATCGGCATCTGAGACTGGACAAAGTTTTTTTGGGGTAGCAGCAGCTGGCAATAAGAAAACTTTGTTCCAAGGCGGCTTAGTGGAACGTACTCCTTTTACCTTTGCCGAGCGAGCTACCATCAATCACCCCAACCTTGGAACTCAAGCGGATCCATCACATTTTGGCGCACGCGCCATTGATTGTCATCCCCATCCGCTTACTTTTCCATCATCGTTTTCCTGCTTCCTATTTCACTGTTGACGTACCCGCCGTCACCCATGTGGCGCCATGAGCTCAAAAGATAACTTGGCCCTGGATCTTGAGCACGGCGTGCGACGATGGGATCGCGCTCGATGGATCTCCGTCTTCAGCTCGCATAATCCGACTATACGCGAAGTGACGGAATGCTTGGGTCTGGGCCTATCCGCGTCTTCCTCCACCACCAACCGCGGCATTCCGAAGTTCGACAACCCAGACTACCGCAAGTTGTCGAGTGAGGTGACGAAACTATCAAAGGAATTACCAAAAGAAAGAGATGCATTGCTGGATTTTGCAGCGGATCCGAGTTCCCTGAACCAGGAGCTTGAAGAGCTGCTAGCGAGTTACGGACCCGCTATTTGGGGCAGGGATGCAGACCGGAGCTGTTTACTTACACCAGACCCGACCAAGAAGACGTACAACAAAGACCTGTTTTACGAAGAACCTGAGCATAAGGATATGTAAGTTGTGTTGATAAGCATATCAGGTGTCAAATGTCAGGATGTGCGCTAAACCCGATTCAGTCTCAAGATCCATTTGCATCGGTGGATCATCATCAAAGCGTGCTACTATATCCGCAACATGAAGCTGAAGAGGCCGTCGGGTGCGAACGAGTATGACCAGCTCGCTGACATCGATGGCGAGGGTCTAGTAAGTGATGATACTACCTTGATGCCGTCGTCTGGCTAACAATGGTAGTCGCCGCATGGAACGCCACAGTCACTCACTCCACCAGATCCGGAAACTGTTGCCACCACCGAATTTGAAGTTAAACCCATCAATCTGAAGAAGCGCAAGAGCAATGCTCACCTAACCATGTCTGACGATGACGAACTTGAAGCCTCCCCTGTGAAGCGGCCTTACAGCACGATGCCTGTGAGTCGGAAAGGCAGTCCGAGAAAGTCACTGAAGTCACTCTACCCTGCAGGTCCAGGCAGCACAGAGAACATTCCTCCAATGCCGACACATAGCCTTCTCCATCGATTCTCACCGGCGCCAGGAACCGCATCCGAGCCCGCTCGATTACAGCTGAGCCCCCTGTCAAACAACGACCTGAATGGCGTGTCAAGGCCTTCTGCTGTCACGCAGAATTCCACGAGTTCAGCACCTGGAGGTTTCACCGCAGTCAATACTGGAAGTTTCACTGCTGTCAACAACACGCCTTCTGCGAGTGAGCCACCCCGAGAACCAGTACGGGAACAAACAAGAGAACCTTCGAGGGAAGTGCATCGAGCTCCTCATCCAATTGGGCATCGTCACAGCAACAGCTATACAAGCCCATATGAGCCATCCTCACATAGTACGGCAATGGCTCGATCTGCTACAGACACACCTCGCTCTGCACCGCCAGCTACTCCTACACCGGCTCCAAATCAAGGATTCTCAGCAGTCAGCACATCTTCAGCAGCTAATGGAGCGGGCGCACATATGAAGAAGGAGTCTCCTGCCGTTCAACCTGTTCAACATGCGCATATTGCTCCACAACCACAACAGCAATCGCAACCGCCGCAACCGCAACAGCAGCCACCGCAAGCACAGCCACAAGGATCACAACAGACACCGTCTCATACTCCACATCAGCATCACGCGTCGCCACATGGGCAACCACCTCAACCGCATCATTCTCAGCATGCGCATCTCCCTTCTCATCCGCATATTCAGGCTCAACATCAGCCTCTACCTCGACCACCAAGTCGGGCTAATACCCCAAGCCATCCTTTCGGCCGTTCTCTTGCACCTCATCCCCGCAGTAGATCTAGTACACCACTTGCGCAGGCCGCACCTAATCAGCCGGCGACGGCACCTAATAAGCAGGTCACATCTGCACCCGCGATACAAAGCGCTCCAGCGTACGGCATACAGCTCGTACCGACACAAGAAGCACCTCCAGCACCATCGAGTAGGCAGCGACTGCCATCGAATCCTAGTCAACCTGCTGCACCACAACATGCGTCACCTCATCAATCTCATCAGCCTGTACTAAAAAGTCAACAACCGCAACCACCACCAGAAATGGCTCATGCCGTCCAGCCACCACAGACCTTCCCTAGGGGCTCAGTATCCACATCCACAGCCGACCTCCGGCTCCTCCAATGCGAAGTAACAGCTGGCCTCTTCACATTCTTCTACCCACGCACCACGATGCCACCAGATGAGCCCGCCCTGCTTGTGCGCATGCACACGCTCTGGTTCCACGGTGAGAGCCTCTTCCGCGCCGAGCTTCCTCAACACTTCGACCTCGTCTCCAAGATCCTGACGGCTTGGCTGCACGAACGTCAGGCCATCGCCTCATTGCGTCATTCTATGCAGGCGAATCCTGGTGTCTCGCACGTAGGGCTGGTAGATCGTTTGCTCGCCATGAACGATCTCCGGGCTATGCGACTGAAGTGGAAGAACATGAGTTCCATTGACGGACTGAGTCCCGAGGATCTGCTTTGCATGGCATTTAGGGTCATGACGAACACCGAGGGCTCGGAATACCTATTCAAGGACGGGCTGGCTAGGCTCGAGCTTGGCGTTTTCGAGTTCCTACGCAGCGAAGACTCGAAGATTGTTATGCAGAGGCGGGATACTAGGGCCGGGTGAACCGGCGGCCTGAGCACGATGTCGTTTGCTTTCTTCGATCTGTCTTTAGTTTCGTTGCTTTCTTTTTCTCTTTACAAGTTTGGGTCTCTCGTTTATCTCGTTTTACTTGTACCTGTACTAATGCAGCTGCCTACGATGGTAGCTTAGCGTGGGTTGGGCCCTTGCGTAAGTTCTTGCTTTTCACCATTTAGCGACGGCGTTTGGGCATTACCACTTTGTTTCTTTGCTTATCTGCAATACGAAAAGCGGGTGCGGTTTCCGATAGCTTGTGTTACTAAATTGGTACTACTACTTCGTTGTAATGGATGAAGAGTGTGGCTGGTAATGACTGTGGATTGGAGGGTAGCATGGTGACGGCAATGGCTTGTATGGCGCAGCCTTCAGCGAGCGAGTTGTAGAATGAAGCTTGCATCGACCATTCCATGTTTGTGCCTAGCCTGTGGAGGTGTGTCGTCGTATGCTGCGGCAGATGTTGAGACTCGATCTGATAGCCAGCCAACGACCCAATCAACAGTCTGTGAGTCGCGTCGATATGGGGCGGAAATCTTGTTGGGGGTTCCAGACCGATATCGTCGTCTGACCACACGTCTTCACGTGCGCAGTACACACCCCGGACGATGCGCATCATGGCGACACCCACCCACCAATCCTGCGCAGCATACCGACGACACCATTTCTACGCGTCTCGCGTCCTTGCAGCCCTCTTTCCGTCCTTCATGCGAACATGGCAAGGATGAGATATGCCCCCCCTGCGACGCGTCTTCCCGGTGGCCGCCCGCTGTGGCTGCCAGTCTAAGACATCCGTCTGCCTCATGTCTCATGACTACCCCCAGCCACGCCCACTCACCGTCACTGCCCACGCACCCCTACTGCCATGAATAGCCTCGTGGGTAGTTCACGCGCTCGCTGTAGCCGCACACCACTTCGCGACGGCGTCTGAAGATCGTTCGCATACAAACCTTAGGCGCCGACGGCCCCTAGACGGCATTGCTCTTCTCGCATATGACCCTATGGCCGGTTGCTTGCATCGCACCGCACAAGTAGTTTCGGCGCCATGGTGCTGAGACTCTTTGCGCCGCCTGGTATGCCATTGCAGAATACACAAAGTCGGAGAGGTTGCTGATCAGACGGTGCGTGCAGGTGAAGGCCAACATCGACTTGTCCCGAAACGACCGGATCCCATCGGTGCCAATGCGACCCTCCAGTACTCCGTGCTTTCCTCGACCGTTGTTGCCGCCGCCTATACGTCGTTCGCATCGAGATATAGTCAGAGAGTAACTCCGGCGCGGCCGCTGTCTAGGGCGGCTGTCTTCATACGGGCTTCGGCCAGACTGGGGGTTTGGACAGGTGTGGCAGGAGCGGCGCTCAACTGGTATTACTACTCGGCTTTCGCCAAGGTGGTAGTGTCGCAAAAGGTGCCAGAAGTCAACAACTGGAAGCTCTATGAGCGGACAAAGTCATACACTGTTGATGATGGCGCTTTGGCAGGCGCGGCATTGGGGCTGGCTGCCTCGGTGCCGTCGCTGATTATGCGCCGGCCTGCTATACCACGATGGACACGATGTTTGGGCATGATGAATACCGGCGCTTGTGCAGGCGTGCTGGGAGCGCATGCATACTTCCAGTACACTGGAGAGAGGCAGGAGGCTTATAAACACCTTGGTCGGCAACTCAAGCGAAGATCTTTCGAGTTCTGGGCCATCTTCTGGGACGCAGAGATGATGGCTAGTCTCGATCCCATCATGCAGCAGTACGTACGACACAATGGCTTCTGGTACACAAGATGGTTGCCTGAGGAAGTCTTCGAACGGGAAGTACATGCCAGCGAACCCTTCGCCGGCAGCGAAGTACCCGCCGCAATCACCGAAGCGCCTGTGGAAGAGCAGCCCTCGTTCTACATGTCACCCATCGAGTACGCCGAAGACTTGCGCCAGATTGACGTACAAAGCACCAAAGCTAGAATCGAAGCCATGGAGGCGGACAGACAAGAACTCCTCAAGGAGGCCGAATACCTCCTGTTTGTCAACGCACAGCAGCAGTACGAATACTGTCACTTGGATACTATGGATGAAGAAGAACGGCAACGACGACTTCATGAAATACATCTTGTCGACCACGCGTACGATCGCCTTCGTGCTGCAGCGAATGACATCGACGTCAAGCTCATCCATTGGCGCATGTCGCTCAAGCACAAGCTTGTTTGGGAAATAGCCACGACCGCTACCTCTGCCACCTCCTCCACCTCCACCAGCACGATGACAACTCGAACAGATGCCCTCGCTGACTGGCTACCTGCCCCTCAAGCCTTGACTTCCTTCGCGACGCACAAACCGACGTATTCGATGGGCGAGATTGAAAAGGTACATTGGCAGATCGCGGCTGAGGTCAAGACGTTCGAGGAGGGATGCAGAGATGAGAGATACCCAAAGGAGAAGAGAGAGAGGTGGAAGAGGGATGCTGAGGACGGGAGTAGGATACTGAGGGCGGCCGACCATGTCTTGTGGAGGCTGATGAAGGCGAGAGAAGGGGCTGACGATGGTGACGCAAAGAATGATGGGGTTGTGGTCGGGCATGAGAAGAGTGTTGCTCCTGTAGGCCAATCGGCAGTCACGACTGAGGCCGCAAAGCTGGACATGGCAGCTACTCCTGCTAGGAAGGAGCTCGAAAAGCCTCGTGTGGATGGCAAAGTGACGAAAACACGTACTGGTGCTCTGGATGCTGACAAGTCCTGATACCAACTTCTCGCACATGTATACTATGGGTTATGTTTTCTTTCATTCTCATCAGATGGGCGCTCTGGATACGGTGTTGGCGGTTAATGCTCATTTCTCACCTTCATCTCATCGGTTGTTCAAATTCACATTCACCTTTTTCTGACGCCCACGCGCCGTCACTCAACGTCCAACTTCTCATACTGCCGTAACAACATACAATCTGCCTACGCTAACTGATACCGCGATTCATACCCGTACCAAATACCTCAAGAGACACCAAGGCGATATCATGCACGGTCCGCTACCTGCAGAGGTCGCTGCTTCCTTGCTCGGTTATTCTAGTGCAAGTACAAGTAGGGTCACGCCTCTCTCTTCGCGACTAGATTCTACGACACGGCAGCTCGATCGCGAAGACGGAACTGCGATATCTGGACAGAACGACTCAACTGGGCCAAGGACAAATCAACCGCTTCACTCTCTTTTCGCAATGAACCATGCTACCTCTTCTACGGCCGTTATAGAATACCTTGATGAACTCGACAAGCTTCCGGACTGTGGAAAGAAGGACAGAATAGAGAAGAGAAAGAGGATGCTTGAAGCGCTGGATTATTTTGAATCTGAGATGCGTCGGTTCAGGCTCAATGATCATAAGATGTACGACGCGTGGAACAAACACAGGATGAAGGTCTATATGGAGGTGTACGATCGTTGTGCGGTCTTGACGGCTATGTTTCTCTCGTACCTCGACAATTTTGGGTCGCCACGTTTTCCGGAAGCTACCACACTCGATGCGATTGAAGAGTCCTTCTCCGAGATCGCTCTCTTCCTACCCGCTAAAATAGTAGGCAAGGACTATATCGATCACTTCCCTGTCGCTGTCGCCGCCTGGCTTACATACCGTCGGGCTATCCTCTCAGTCCATACCGCGCATACTACCGCACTTCTCCCATCGCAGATTCTGAGTTCATTCACTATCAAAATCAAGAGTTCATGTCTCATCACTCGATTAAGGAAGGCGCATCATGACTACCTGGCAACGGAGACTGGGGATTTGCCCGTTTATAAGATGCTAGCTGATGGATTTGTGAAGCTGCAGGAAATGCTTGAGAAGAGGAAGCTTGAGATGAGAATTAGGGAAGGACTGGAAAGTTTGGAGAGATATTTGGTAGGGCTGGGCGATGAGTTGGGTGAGGGAGCGGGACAGTGGATTGTTTCTCAGCAGATTTGGAATAAGAGATGCGAATAGAGAAATGGGTCGAAGATCGATGCGCTCAGGACGCTGAATATATGCCGTGTAGGCCTGCTGATCACTGAAGTCAGTTTGTCACTCATGTAAAATTGAAAATCGATTTTGAAGCCGGCCATCGAAAATTGACAAACGCCGTAAAAAGTCCAAAGTTCCAGCTGAATACAAGTATGTGTTCCTAGCGTCTCTCGACTTGTTCTATATAAAGACTGCTCCCCTGCTTGGATTCACTGTCCATAAACACACTCCTTTTTTGTACCAAAATTGGCCGCTTTGCACATATGGAGAAACTCTCTGCTGTGTCCAAAAAGCCAAGTTATACAAGCCATGAGCAGTAAGAACACTCTTCTCGTTTTCAAAAATACACCTTCCATAATACATGTGTTGTTCACTCCAGAAGATCTCGAAACCAGATCGCGCTAGACTCATGTGCGTTCTGATCGACTGTACAGTTTACCCAAAAACAGAGCTCGGGCTCGCTATGCCTCTGAGAACGGAACTTTTCCAAAGATGGCGCACGACACGAACATGTGAATAAAATAAGCTTGTTGAGAAAGTCGATGCGTGTGTTTCGCAGCATGGTCACAGGAGCACAAAATCCCCGTTCCGAAAGGCCATGGTCTTTCGCCTGATTCTCTCTCAATAGCTGATATCGTATGCTGCCTGCCCAATGACGTTCGCTTGGTGTCTGATCTGGCTATATAAACAGCTCAACTTGCACTCTTCACTTTCGACACCACTGCGCTATTTTTTATTCTTCAAACCGGTAAACAGATGTCTTATGTGGAGCTTGGATCTCCGTTCCCTGAAACAAACACTATCGGAAACTACGAAATGTTGTAATGATCCAAAGCTCTACGCAAATACGCATATGTGTTTTCGGCGCCTTTCAACTCACGCCATATGAAGTCTTTTTCCCTATTCCGACTTTCTCTATCACTACCGTCATCTCTTATTCCAAAAACACAAACAGTATCGTGCTATGGAGAAGCACTTTGACGAGCACCGAGGTTATCGAGGGAGAGCTAGTAGGGAAAGACCAAATTATGACCGAAAAGGACTGATGTTCGAGCAATCGTCATGGCATGCACACATGAGGGTCAGAGTCAGAAATTAACGACATAGATTCGTGACTGCTTTGGCTTTGGAGGTTATGAATCCCTCGGAGTAGGTCTGTCCTAAGCTGGGCATTGCTGCGGAGTAAGTCCGTCCCACCTGCACTGGAGCAACTTCTTCGCATCAACAGCCTGTGCTCTCCGCTCTCCTTGAGCCATCCTCTTCGCACCTTCAACCAATCCCCTCTTAGCCGGCGCCTGAGCCGGCACAAATGACGACGAGCAACCCGAGTAATTCACGCACACTGGGCCCTGGGGGCAGCTGTAGTTGGCACAAGCCTGACCAGGGCCGCAGTCAAGATCGCTCGAACAGGAAGGCTGAGTGCAGCCGGTAGCTGTGTCGCAAACGCCGTATTGCTGGCCACCGGGCGTGCGGGGATCGCAATAGCAGTTCGACGAGCAGCCTCCCATACCTCCTTGCATGTTCGGCTTGTTGCAGATAGGACCACGGTACTGTGCGACAGCCGTGACCGTCTCGACAATTGTCGTCGTGGTGGTGCTGGTGATGCTTTCGCTTGCGGTGATGGAAATTGTTGTGGTGGTGGTTGAGGTAGCGGACACGGTCGAGGTGGCGGTCACGGTGCTGCAAAAGTCAGGCTTTTGTGTTCGCTCAAGGCATGGTCTGAACTTACTCTGTGGCTGTAGCAGTAACCTCGACGGATGAAGTGGCCGTGACGCTTGTCGTTGTCAATGGTGTCGTTGTCGCTGAGACGGTGACAGGCGTTTCTAGACATGTGCACACGCTACCGACGAAGGACTTGGCTTGCTTCTGGACGCTAGCCCAGTGAGATGCTGCCTGAGGGTTGTGGCGTTCAACCAGTTGGTTGTCTTCATCTCGCTTCTGTATGATGGAGATGGTGTAGAACGTAGATGTAGACGTAGTCGTCGCTTCAACGTATCTACGAGGCCATTAGTTTTGAAGATTATCACTAGTAGTACTAAACTCACTCTGTGAACGTGGTGGTATCAACAGTGGTGGTGACCGATTCTGTCACTGTGTCCGAAGTGACAGTGACTGTCTCAGTGGAAGGAGTGATTCTATCACGACTTAGTCATTACAAATCTAGGAATGGATGGAGGACTTACGTTGCTGTGACAGTAGCGACTGTGGTGGTAGGACTCACAGTAGCAACAGTGGTCGTTACGGTCGATGTGCTTGCAGTCTTGGTGGACGTGATTTTGGGCAGAGGATATGTGCTCGAACAGAAAGTCTCAGCAGGTTCGTATTTGGTCAGGATGGCAGCTGCGATGGCAGGAATGCCACCTTTGCAGAAAGGGTTTGCATTTCCATATCCGGCCGCTGCAATGGGTGCAATAGCAGCAAGGATGCCGCAAGTGAGTGGTTTTGCGCCAAGCATGACTCGCAAGGTGACAATCAAGGTGGTGATCAAGGTGTCGAGTGTGATGAACGACGATGGATGTTGTAATACTTACCGTCGAAGGATGTACCAGACTCTTATACTGCTCATCTCGATTCCAAGTTCATAGAGATCAGACGTATACCGCGGAGCTACCAGCCATGACTCCCCACACTCCACATCTTCAGCTCACCACACGAAGACTAAATGAAGATCCAGCGCCTCATCCGACTGTCCTGATCCCGTCTCTTAGTCTCTCACTACCATCTTAATTACTGCAAATGATCTAGCCCCCAGGACAGCGCACTATTCGTACGGTACAGCGTGAATTCCATAGATTATGATTGGGTGTAAGTAAGGCCAGAAAGTGTATTCTACAATGCAAACTCCTTACACCCTGCATCTTCAGCTCACCACATAAAGGTCTAAAGGGCGGCCCCTGGCTACGATCTTACTTATTCAGGTACTGCGGATAACCCAGATTCCGGGACGGCGCACTTTCCGTGGGGTACAGCATGGACCACATGGGTTGGGTATGGGGAACCTGAAAGTTTTTCCCATGCCATATTCGAAGCTAAGGCTGTTGGTGTTAAGTGCAACAGGGTTGCATGCACCTTCAGACACACCGGTTCTGGATTATCGACGCGATGAAGACCGCATTGGGCCCTGGCTCTCCCTTGTTGTCCAAATCAGGTGCGGCTAACTAAAATAGGCTGAAAGTTAATATTGCCGACCAGCCTTGCCGTAGCCTCGCCGTCGATCGCAATGCGGAGATGGACATCGCTCAAGGAACACTGACACTAGCTGCTCCGTCATCGGTATAGTGCACACAAGAAGGCCTGAAGGTTGAATCATCCTAGGTTTGCGGGACGCACTGGGGTCTGCTCTAGGGCGGTGTGACATTGTCTGGCTCGGTGCGCACGACAGACATGGACCCATGACGAAGTAACCCTGGGTTTTCGTTACGCACCTGCATCGGCGACGCGGGGTGGTGAGCTAGGAATCAAGGCCCCGGCGTTTAACACACTATTCCCAGATACCGCTTCTTCGTCGTCTGAACGTAGTGCTAGAACTCCACGAGTAAGTAGAATTGCCTTTGGGTCTTCCAGAGGAGTCCTGGTTCGTATGGCAAAGGTCATTGACTTGTGCTTTGAGGACCGGAATGATTGTACGACTTTGGTGTTGTTTTGCTGGAGCTCATCTGGGTCACCGCTGTACCGCGGTTCTCGGCGTGCAGTGTTGAGAATCTAATACTGCAGGGGATTAGCAGATGATTTTCGAGATGTAATCGCGAATACTGTACAATCGCATACCTACAAAACAGCTTTTGCTGCCCCCTGTTCTATTGTTGGTGTTGTAGCTGGTGTTGTGATGTTGGAAATAAGCCTTCCTGTGGCGCGCACTCGCTGTTGCGCTTGCCACGCTATATCTACGCTACGACACTACTAACAAGTAGGTTACCATTCTCTCGCCTCTCCTTATTTCTTAACATTATTAGCGAAGGACTGCATGTAGAGCTTGGGTCTGAGTCTCTATATCCGGCTCATCGGTTTCGCAGCTAAAGTTAAGGAGAAACGAAATTAAGTACTGGGCGAATTCATAGATTTAGGAAGCCGCCACACGAACTATTTGGCTCCCTGCGGCCATGGCTTAAGCCTAACCTGGCTGCGCTACTTCACGGTTCGATGGATCTGTCTTTTGGTTCACTGGTAGATGCTAACACCTTTACAATCGAGAAACTCTCTCAAGCAGTCCATGACTTGTGTCTATTCGAAAGAAGAGGAAGAACTGCATATCATTCTCACTAACTGACTCCAAACTTGATGCCGACAGTCATTCTAGGACCAAACCAAATTAAGTGGAAGGGAGCTCGCGGTTCTAGAACAATGACACCAATCATCTCATGCTTTGGGTATAAAGCTTCCATAACGCATCAAATCGTCTACATCTGTTAGATCACTGAACCAATCCAGGTCATGAAGGAAGGAACAAATTACCGTATGGGTAAGCAACAGAAAGAGAAGCATCCGATCGCAGCCTTAGCAGTTGTAGTAGCAGACACCAGCGGCAGCGCAACCTCCACCACTTGGACACTTCAAGTCACCAGTGCAACACACTCCCGCTCCGTCACCGGAGCATGCCTTGATTTGATCGCCGGAGTAGAGACACATGTTTCGTCCAAGCATTTGTGCGTTGTCGGAGATTTGAACAGCAGAGTCAGGAACCGGGGAAGCTGTTGCTAGTGTGAGGCTGAGAAGCACAGAAGAGAGGATGCGAAGAGGCTGCATGGCGGTCGGGTTTTCGAGGGTATTATGTCAAAGTCAACTGAGTAGCTGGTAGATGGTAGATGATAGGCATTCCAGAAGAGCGTGTGTCCAAGTATTTATATTTCTGTTTGGTATATCCGTAGATCGATTCTAGTCTCTCTATACTGGTAGGCATCTTCGTCATGCCATGAGCCTCACCTGGGCAATCTATTAAAATGGGTCGTGGGTTCTTCGCCGTGCTAGATGGGCAACGATCAACATAAAGCCGTAGCTGGTATCTTCATCGTTATTTCCCGGTTCAACATGTATGGCATTCATGGCCTCGGTTTTACTCACTTCAGTGAATGAACATGTACATTTGCATGTAGCGGAAACCAGGTAGCCGGAAAACACACCTACATCACCATCTACATATGTATTCCTACATGATTACTGAACAGCAATATTCCTCCAATTCAGCATCACCATTGTCGTCAAAACCATTCCGTTTCAGATTCATTCGGGCCTTGGAGGAGAGCACTTATCCCGGTGCCTTTACGTACGTATTAGTTCCTGGCGCTAGCCAAGTCCGTGCTAGTGCTAGCGTAAGCTGCCCAGCCGGCAGCTGCGCAATGGGTCCACAACTCACTGTTTGCGACACTACGATGCTTCGTATGTCTTCTTCCGTACAGTCGCTATGCTCGGAAGCTCCTTAGCGGTAGCCGGTTTCCGGGTTACCGCCTCAATTGAACCCTGCAGCTTGGTCTAGTCCACCGGTACTTACGTACCCGACGACCACTTCACCAGCAGTTTGGTTCGGTACTTTGGCAGTAGCGCAATATCAACTCAATCATGAGAAGTCAGGCTATTTGCTCGCTGCCACTTGTTTGGTAAGAAGAGCATTACCCGTTTCCTCTTACACTGTACTCTATCATTCATATTCCATGGAAAGTCTTCACCGCACGACCCCTACTCTATTCTGCCTTCACGACGTGGCGAAATTGACTACCTAGCTTGAGCTAGTTGCGGATATATCGCGGCGGAAACCAAGTAGGAACCACAATTAATCCAGAATGTCCAGGTACATCGGTGAGACATTGTTGATGAGTGACCGCTCATTGCTGCTGGACAAGAATTCATCCGTATAAGATGGCAATATCGGGTATATATGTGTGTTCACCACACGACTAGTTGTTTGGTACACCCTTGGAGAAATAACGTATCCTCGTCATCCACTACCATGAAACTTGCCCTGCCAATTCTTGCGGCTATCGCTGCCTCTTCTGAGGCCGCTTTTTGTAATGGAGGATGGGGTTTACCGTCAGGGTCTTCATGTCCGGGTCCCTATGTGAGTACAGCACAGATCACTAGAAAGCCAGCACCTACTAACTGTTCGCAGAGCTGGTCCTTCTGCGTGAGTTATTAGCGAAGCATAAGAAGAACAAGAATCTCAATTCATAATACGCGTATAGTGTCAAGAACCAGGAAGTCCAAATCCGACTTTCCCTACATTTAGGAATTGTGTATACCCTGGTAGGGGTGGACAGCCCGCCCTCGACTCTTGCAACGGTAGCGGAGTAAGTGTTAGATCCGATTCCGAGCAAAAAAAAAGAGACTAACAGCTGTGACTAGTTTATCCAATGCGTAAGTGATTTGTGAATTTGTTAATCTCTGATATACTGATGCATGCAGTGCACCATTTGAGCATTTGCGTACTACACGTTGAATTATCGTAGACGAAACTGTGGATACCAGACTAGCATTACCTCTCTTGAAATATCATGCCATACAACCCCCTCAAAGACAGCACTCAGCAATACTCTTACAGTTAAACACATGCTACCCACCTCACTCCTGCTCGAGCTAACTCCCTACTTCGCACATGCCTGACCCTTTGCCGCCTGTAAGTTCTTCTGATTCTGCATCGTCCCATCCATGACCTCCTGCACCAACATCTTGATCGTCTCTCCATCCGCCGCTGCATTGCCCTTCAAACTCTTGACCTGATCAATCTCCTTGGTCTGCGCACCAGCTACAATAGCCAGTCCATCAGCAGCCGGGCTGTTGATCTCCTTGGCGAGTTTCTGGTTGTTGGCGCGAATGTCGACGCCGCGTTGTTGGATTGCGAGAACGGAGGTTTGAGTGGCGTTGAAGCCGGCGGTTCCGCCTTGAAGTTTTAGGGCGTACACGCTGAGGGGGTACCTGTCAGTATTGTGGAGTTTTGTGCGGAAAGGGAGTAAGCATACCCTTTTAGCTCTTGGGCTTGAATGTCGAGGTTGGCTTGGATGCCTTGCTCGAGCTTCATTTGGATGGCGGCGCAGTTGGTGGTGCCTGAGGCTTGGGGAGCTGGAGCTGCGATGGCGGAGGCGAAAAGGCAGAGGAGGGTGAAGGTCTTCATTTTGGCGTATGTGTGAATCGCGAATAGTAGATTTGAGATTAGATATATGTATACGTTGATGTATGTAGTAAATTGAAGTCTAGCTCACGCCAGGTGAGTAGCGATCGTAGAGGAAGGAACGAAGGAATGCTTGGAAAGATTGATGAGACTGATGCACCATTTGACAGACACCTGAGCGCCGTCTTATACTTCCTCGCATCCCGAGCCTCCGATTACACAGTCTGTCTGATTTACGGGCCGATGAAGTCACCTTTGGGCGCTGAGCCACGCATGCTCTCACAACCTGCACCTCATGAACAGCGCTCCCAACCTTATCAGAATCCGGAGAGAGGGAACCGGGATTACTCTTTGACAATCTACTCATGCGGAGTTCGCTTCTTCTCGTCCCATTCGTACGGTGAGAAAACTGGAGACGGCCGTGAGACTCGAAACAGGGTGTTCGCGTCGCAGATCTGCAGTGAAACAAATCGGTCCGCGGATTACGGGGCGATGAGCTTGTCAAAGCTTGTAATGTTGGCAGTGTATGTTCTGGAAGCTGCGCAAAATGCGCTCCTCTTGTGATGACATGTGCACAATAAAGTTGTGGTTGGTGTTGGGTTTGATGGTGCCGCAGGTGTCAGATATCATTAGTTCAGGCCGCGTCAGATTAGCGCCGACTCCAATGGCTACATACGATACTGCAAGTTGCCTACGAATTTGCATCGACAGATGAATATGGTTCCGAGTTACTTGGCTGCCATTCACCACCACCCTGAGCATGTCACCACGGCAACATATGCTCCCGTCCCGCCGCGTTCTCCACACATAACCTTACATCCTACATCAAACACCCATCCATTCGAACATAGCAGATGCAATTATACTTTTTTTCATTATCAAGCGGCATACTAAACTACGTGAGACGCCGTGCATCCTTCCTTCCCAATTTCCAAGGAAGGAATGAAAGAAAAACTCAAATCGACCCTCCGAAAGCCTACTAGGAGGTGGTCGCAGAGGGGATATCGTTGTGATCCTAATGTTACAGTGATTCCATTTCATTTTCCGCCTATTCCGTACGCAGATCGTAAGGTCGTGAAAGTGGCACGTATGGCAGTCATATCAAAGGGAGGAAGGATATGACCGAACGTTGCTTGTCGGTGGTGATTGGTAGCGAGACGCTTACAACTCCTGCTTAGCAGAGGCAGAGGCGGAGCTGGCGCTAGCGGCAGCAGCATCGTATCCGCTCTGAGCAGACTTTGAGGCAACAGACGAAGCGCTGGAAGCGGATGAGGAGGCAGCGGCGTTGGCGCTGGCAGCCGACTTGGAGATAGAGGACGAGGATGAGGAGGCAGCCTTGGCAGCAGCGCCAGTAAGGGAGGTGGCGCTGGAGGAAGCACGGGCAGAAGCAGAGCTGGCGCTGGATCCGGCAGCATCAGTAGCGGAGGCAACGCTAGCCTCAGCGAGACCAATCTGTTGCTTGATCAAGTCGGTGTAGTAAGCGAATCCACCGGTGGCAGCAGCGTACTGGTTACCAGCCTTGGAGGTAGCGGCACCGTAAGCGGAAGCACCAGAAGCAGAGACAGATTCGGCAGAGGCAGAAGCGCTGTCGCCATAGAGACGAGCGCGGTGCTTGCGGGCAAGAGCGATGAGCTCGTTACGCTTGGAACCCTGGGGAACCTTGATGCCGTTCTTGTCAGCCCACTCCTTGATCTGGCTGTCAGACCAAGAGTCAAGGAGGGCGTCACTGAGGCTCTGCTGGGCGTTGGCAGCAGCGGAAGAAACGGAAGCGTAGGCACTCTGGGATTGCTGGCTAGCAAGACGAGACTGGCGGCGGAGAGCAGCAATCATCGAGTCGCGGGTGCTGGGCTGGGGAACATTGTAGCCGCGCTCGTCGAACCAAGACTTGAGGTCAGAGTCAGACCAGGAAGCGTAGAGCCAGTCACCGGGGTAGTTGGCAGTCTCCTTGGCCTTCTCGGCTGCAGACTGGTAGTTGTCACGAACGGCTGCGAGAAGAGAGTCACGCTGGCGGGGCTGGGGGACGGGGATGCCGTGCTTGTCGGCAAAAGCCTTGAGCTGAGAATCTGACCAACTGCGGATTGTTAGCCATTGTACAGATGATGTGATACTGGCACTGGCACGTACGAATCGAAGATCCAGTCCTTGACGCTACCATAGGCCTGGTTCGCCGAGTCCTCAGTCTCAGTCCAGTAGACCTTGACCTGCTCAGCGAGGCTCTTGGCATCCTTCTCAGTGCCCTTCTTGGCCTGCTGGCCCTTGAGGGTCAGGTAGTTCGAGAGAGTCTGTGCATCCCAGCTGGTGTAGGGAGTCACAACCTTGTCGTTCCAGTTGGCCTTGACCGTCGACTGGAGGTTCTTGCGGTCAGAGGGGCTGGGGTGGGGAACGCCGTGGTCGCTGAGCCAGCGCTCAAGCTCCGTCTCATGCCACTTGTCGTAGACTGCTTCCTGACGTCAGTTTACTGCTGCATGACGCGATGGGCAATTCAAAAACAAAGGGGAGGGCTTGTTTACTATACGCACCGGCGCTTCCAAACCAACTGTTGGCCGTTGCTGTAGCAGCAAGCGATGCCACAAGAGTGGACGTAAGGGAAAACCTCATGATGTGCAGCTGTGAGAATGCTTAATATGGGTGATAGAGAAAAAGACGAGGGTCGAGATTTAGGCAAACTCGGCAGAGGTGTGAGGACTAGAGGTAATGGTGGGCAGAGCGTTTATGAGGGGAGGGACAGACAATGGCGGGTAGATTGTGTGCGTGGAAGTGACGTAGTGCTGCACGTATGGAGCTTGGACAAACAAGATCCCCAACGCGCCTGCCTCCAGAAGCAGCCAATGAGGAGCTATGGCCACATGCAACCGCGTCTTTTGACTGTGCGCAATTGTGAGATCGTCTTCTGCAAACACGGTCTAGGCCTTTGTTATGTTTGACATCTGACAGTCTGGGAGAACCCCCGAGGCATGTCGTCTTGTTTGCCATGTCAAAACTCATCATCATGGCACAAGTGGCACGAAATAGCTCCACTCGGCTGTGCCGTGTGTCGCCATGGCATTTCAAAAAATTCCCATCCCCATAATGCGGGGGCGATCACCACGCTAGCCCACTACGTCATCGGCCCAACATGCACAAGAGTTATGAAGCTCAGCCCTTCTTTTACACGCAACAACTCATGGGGAGCAAGCAAACACGTCAATTAAGCACTTGGTGCTTGATGGATGCAACGCATTTCCTGAGACTCTCGACAGTCATCTCTAGCTAATTATACATCAGGGTCATGTTGTTCGCGCTCTGCATAAGCTCTTGCTCATCCTCGTACGCCTTCAGATCCACTTCGTCCACCTTCGCCTGTGCACTTGTTAGCAACATATCTAATGCCTGTCGCTTTGACATAACGTACCTTTCCAGAAGCTGGCAGGGACTTTGTCTTTCTCTGCTTCCTCGTTGTCGACCTTCTCATGCGCCTGTTCCGCCCGGTTATCCATGTCCTTGTTGTGTTGCTTGACGTCCTCGCTCTCTTCTTCGGGTGCAGGAGGGTTTTCGTTGAGGATTTTGGGTTTCGCACCTTTGACTTCGTTGGGGCTGGGCTTGTTGTCTTGACCCTGCTTGACGGCTGGCTCTTTGCTCTCCTTCATCTGGCGTGCAAATGTCGAGAATTCGCGCTTGCCAGACTTGTTTGATGAAGGAGCTGGCGACTCTGATGAGGGCTTGGGGGACTCATTCTGGTTCGAGTTGCCGTCCTTGTTTGGCGACGACGAAGACTGGCCTTGGGCAACCTTGGGCGGTGCGGGGCCGGGATGCTCGAGGTTCTCGCTGGGGTTCTGGCCTTGCTTCTCTGGTGACTCTCCAGCTGGGTTGCCCTTACCGGAACCGTAATCTGAGGTCGCGAAGCGGACTTGTACACGGGCACGGGGGGCCGCCGAAAGTGCGGGCCGTAGAGCTGCCGAACGCAGCATCGACATGGGGCGAAGGAAGCTCATGATGTAAATTGGTACAAAGGAATTGAGATTGACAAAGATTCTGGTGTTGCGAGATGTATAGGTTTGAGTTAAGTTGGTTGTATGCAAGACGTCGAGTTCTGGAGCTGTAGTTTGTCTAAGCTCGCGTTGACGTCATGTCATGGTTTAGCCGCGACGCACGTCACAGGAGGCTCGAATAACCACATCTGCAACGCTGCAGCGGCGATCGCTTAGCCTTACAGCCACCCAAGGATACTGCACTCCTGCCCGCACTTAGAGCTGAATATGCCCTGTTGATATGTCTACAAAGCTTGCGCTAAATACGATCCAGACTTTGACCTTTACATATACATGTTCAGCAATACGAATAGCTATCAAAAGCATAACTACAGCCTCAGGATCGCATAATGATCTTGACTTCATGGTCCTACAGCCGAGCGGGCCCCGAATTTCAAGCGATCAAGGAGCTTTTTGAGCGACATACAGGAGCCTGAACACTACATGGGTAACGATGCTAGTACACCAGTGTGCGAACCAGACGTCTCTAAGACAACATGACCTCTCAAAACGAATGATGTTATCTCAGACGTAAAACCAGGTGCGTTGATTCACTCTTATGTTTCTACCCTCGTAACCATACTACCTGTTCTTATCGCACCTTATCTCCACCACCAAAGTTTCCTCGGTCATAACAAAATCAAAGCCATCAACTCGAATCGGGCAAAAGGCCACCTTGTCCGTTCTTACAGCAACGCTTTCTCGATCCGTCCATCCTGCTTAGTATATGGAGTCGGCTTGTTCTCTCTTCTCCACTTCTTGTGCGCCTCGCTCACCAATGGCGGTGGTATCAATCCTTGGATCTTCCACAAATCTCTCCGTGGTTCTTCGATATGAAATTCCCAATCATAGCCTTTATCTGCAATATGAGGCTTTATCACAGAGTCGATGTGATGAATCCACGCCTCGCGCTCCTCAGCGGCATTGTGCGTTCCTGCTAGCTCGAAGATGACGAATCGCACCATCTTATCATTCTTCACGCCACCGACATACTGGGATGGCGTTGGGACAAATGATACGTCAGTGTAAAAGGGCGGAATCATCTTGTATATTTTGGAGGTAACGTCCTTGGCAAACGCCTCGCGGGAGGCTTCGTCAGTGAAAGTTGCTGAGCCATGAAGAACGAGCCAGATGGGCATCTTTGATGTATCTTGCAGAGAATGTCCCGAAAAAGATGTTCAGTAAGAGAAGCAATGGTTCCGTTTGAAGACCTTGGACTAGTTAAGGATTTGTCTCAATCCAGTCAACCACCCTCGCTTTTTATGCTGCTGCTCCTGCTCCCTATACCTCGGTTCAAGCTACCTATGTAGCGGGGTTCAATGTTTGTTGTTCACCAGAAAAGTAAAAGATGATACAGCTTACGCGCGTAGGGTTTGATGTTTAGTATCCTGCTTACTTACCCAGAGTTTGGTGTTTAGTGATCACCCGAGGGTCAAGCTCGGAAATCCCCTCCATATACTACTTCATTCACGAAAGGTTGGAGAATACCTTTTTAGTCTCAGTAGCGATTCAATCTACTTGTATCTCAAACTAGCCTTTGCACCTATTCAGAAAGATCACCCTAATCACCTCCGATTAGGTGAGGTTGCTCCAACAGCTTTCAGTATATCCAAAGCTCATTACCTCATCGCTAGCGCAGAATGGCTTCCAAAGCAGTTCTCATGACTGGTGTCTCCGGGTTTGTCGGTATTCAGACCCTCTTGTGTTTCACGTCTGCAGGATATTTCGTTCGCGGAGCGGTGCGGAGCCAGAAGTCTGCAGCACAAGTACATACAGCCGCCAACAAGCTTGGAATCTCTGGTCTAAAGTACGAGCTGGTAATTGTCCCTGATATCACCGCACCAGGCGCATTCGACAGTTATCTCGATGGTGTCGACGGCATAATCCATGTGGCTTCGCCTTTCTATAACGGTGTCAAGAATTTCGACGATGTATACCTTCCTGCTGTCCATGGTACTCTTGGAATTCTAAAAAGTGCTGCGAAAAGGACCGATGGCAGAATCAAACGTGTAGTGGTAACATCATCATTTGCAGCTGTCTGTGACTTTTCCAAGGGTCCACGACCAGGGTACGTCTACACCGAGAAGGATTGGAATCCGATCACCAAGGAGCAAGCACTCAGAGTCAAGCCACTTCAATACGTGTAAGTCCTAGTCCAAAGAATCTACCGAGTAAGATGCTGATTGAACATAAAAGCGCTTCCAAGAAGCTCGCAGAACTTGCTGCGTGGGACTTTGTAGAAGCAGAGAAGCCAAACTTCAGCCTCGCGACCGTTAATCCCCCCATGATTTATGGTCCAGTCGCCCAGCTTGACTCCACTGCAAATTTAAATCAATCTGCGCTCGACATCTGGAACCTGATGACAGGGCACGTCAAAGAAGTTCCACCAACACCTCTGCCTGCGTTTTGCGACGTTCGGGATGTCGCTCAAGCACACCTTAAAGCATTCGAGCATGCAACTGGAGGACGTTTTCTACCAGTCGGCGGGACATTCCTTTTCCAGGATGTTTGTGCTATACTGAAAGATGTGGCGCCAGAATGGGCCGGCTTGGTGCCAGATCCAGAAGGTAAACCGCGACATGAACATTTCCTAGTAGACAACTCTTGGACAAAGAAGGAGCTAGGGATGAGCTTCAGAGGGTTAAAGGAAACAATTACGGATACAGTAGAGTCGTTCAGAGCCATGCAGGTAAGAAGTAGTTGCTTTGAACAAGGTTTTCACTAATTTGTAACAGGCAAAACCTAACCTCTGAACTTCGAATATTCAAAGTTAACTCAGGATCGAGTACCAGTATATCATATCGAACCCAAGAGGTATTCGCAACCTCTTGTTTCATTCGGTACTAGGTACTTGTACCAATGTTTGTAACAGATTAAAAGGAAAAGTTCCTTGATGGAGAACTGAAATTGGAAAGAATGTCTTATCAATAACCATACCTGCGTTTTACACAGAAGGGTCAGCATCACACACAAATAAACCTTCTTTACTCTCTTCGGCTCCTCTAACGCATGCTAACTACATTCTCTTAACTCGTTTTGCAATGTTTTCCAACAACCTATAACCCCCATCAGCATCAACACTTCCTCCAAACTTCCTCTTCCTCACCTCAGGCGCCACCTCCCCTTCCAACCCAGGCCCACTCCCCCAAGCCCCTTCGAAGCTCCACCCCCTTGTGAACTCTATCCTCTTCCTCTTGTCTACAATCTTAACATACCGCCACCCCTCGCTCTCCCAATATTCGCTCGGCATCTCAACCCCCTTTCTCAATTTCGCTACCGCCCTCTCCCACCGCGCAACAGTACTCGCGTACACGGTCGTTCCCCGTGCCGCCATATCATCCGTGATTTCCCTGTACTTTGCTTTATCAGATGCGAGTTGTCTGTACCAGTCTTCATCTGCGACGTCGAAAAAGGGGCCGTAGGACTTTTGTGGGCGTAGCAAAGGGCACGTTGGACCGCAGGCTCCGTGAGTAGCACGAGGGGTGCAGTGAACGCAGTAGAAGCCGTGATGTTTGTGCGAGAGGGACATGTGTATGCGTGTATTTAACGATAGTCTGATGATGGAGAGGGAGTCTTTGAGGGCGTGAATACGAGACAACATTTGGGGAGTTGCGTGGGGTGTGCGTTTGGGTGGTGGGGAAGAGCCAGGTGATGGCGGGAAGACGTCTAGCCAGGAAGAGTGGGTTTCCGTGGGTAGAGCGAAGAGTGTGCGCGGCATAGCTAGAAATGAGGTGCCTTAGTTGAGGTTGTGTGAAGAGTAGATTCACTGTGGTTGGCCTAGAAGGGAGTGAGAATCGGGTGTAAATAGTGATCTGTTAATGTAAAAAAAAAAAAAGTGTAGGCTGCACTTCGCGATACTTTAGGATGGTGTGAAACTGTAAGTGAGACTGATAATACATTGTGTCAAAGTTATAATGGTGCATTATGATAGGACTCTCATCTTGCTTTTGTGGTAGTCATGAGGAGATTAAAAGACGAATGCACAGTGTAGTAGAGCAAGCAGTTGCGTTGTGACGTTGCGTTTGAGTGTGAGCACATGCTAGCTGACAATGTGCTGTTGGTCTGGAAGTCATGTGCTCGACTGTGGACAGGATGGTGTTTGCCAAAGCCAGATGATCGAGCAATAGTATTGACTCTCACATCCACATCTTAGCCTTCTATGATATAGCATGTATATCTCTCCATGACTCTTACAGTAGCGCTGTGGGAATCTTTCGCTCTCCCAATATCTCATCGAAAGTCGTCAGAACGCGACGTCGCATCCTATCCAAGTCTTTGAGCTCTTCTTGATCGCGTTCTTCTTTGGTTGCTGGACGACCTTGCTCTTCCCAGATAGGTATTTGTGGTCGAGAGAGATTAATAGACGCTCGCACCTGGTGATTTGCTTCCGATACCAGTGCCGGTTGACGTTTTAGGTCTGTGGCCGCCGGAGTTATCGGAACGTATTCAAAATCAGGCGGGTCTGACAATCCGGTCGCATCGCTTGGGTCAGCGAGTTCGAAGCTAAAGCGACGTCGTACATTAGATGGTCGTGAATCTACAGGAGACTGGGCAGCTGGAGCATGAGCCGCCGCAATCTCTGAAGCGCGGCTGTTGTGCGCTGTGCTGTCGTGCTTCTCAATTCCGGTCTTCCTATCTTTCGTACTGTTGTGCTTTACAGCAGTACTACGACTCAGTCTTATTGGGTTGATGCGAGAGCTGGAAGTAGTGTCATGTTCTCCAACAGGAGAAAGAGGGGTCTCCATGCTATTGTTTCCAGGGTTGTCGATGCTACAGGTTTCGTAATGATCTAATGATCGTGGGAATCCAGGACGTAGCCATTCATGATACATTTGTGAATACACATCGCGTTGTTCATACCAATCTGACTGTGAACGAGTAACACGCCGCTCGTAGGCTCCCTTCACAGTTTGACCGCTCTGAGTTTTTACACTGCGATCAGTCATCTGTCTTTGGGGAGAAACAAACTGCGACGGTGGCATTCGTAGCATTGCTTGAGTTGCTAGCGATGCGTGCGGATCTCCTATCTCAAGTTCTACTCTTCGTAATGCCAAACCGGTGTGATCGACATCTTCATTGATGATAGCGACGACGACACGATCCCCTACTCTAACTTGTCTTCCTCGTTGTGCCATATTGGTGTGAATGAAACTTTGGTTGGTTGTGGTACTGGCGAGATATCTGATCATATCATGCCGATGGCGCTGCTTTTCAGGTTTGCAAACTGTTTGCCAACGACTGACATCGTGAAGGCGTATGGGTTTCCAGAAGATTGTGCGACATCGTGAATATTGTACTACATCCGGTATTCGTCATGGAGGTTCGAGAACCGTACGAGGTATTGGCATGCGGCCTGTAGTATCCGTGATGTGTATTCCGTAGGTTTCAAGATAGGACCAAACTTTATGGCGCATATCGTGTGAGAAGCCATGATGCACAATGCGCAAGTTTTTTGTCATCTTCCAGGCGCCTGCCTCAAGCCTCATCCACCTCTTCCTCCTTCCTCCTCTCGATCTCCCTCTCCAATGCTTCAACACTCATCGGACACTTCCTCCCCTCCCACCTCTTCTGTTCCTCCCTTGCAAATCCTTCCAGACTCAACATGCCCACACACAAGAACCCCAAAACCTCTCTATCTGTATCAAACACCTCCCACCACTCACACTCTGGCATCTTGATCCCCGTCTCCCTCGCCGCCAGATAGATAGCTGCCGTCGCCAGCGCCGGTGGCTGATGCGTAAGGTACAGGCACTGCGGACTCAGTAACGCAGTATTCAAATGCGCAATCGCACGTTTCGCAAGTTCGGATGCGCGAGGATGGGAGAAGATGTCGAGTGCTTGCATATATGTTATACATAGCGTGTACGGTAACTGGACGGCAACATTGAACCCAAGAGTACGAAGAATACGTTGTTCGGTCGTGAACAGCGTTGCGCGGCGCCGCTCGTACGTGCCCTCGCTCACATAATATCTCGCCGCATCCTTCGACTGCTCCAGATGGTCTCCGTCGAAATAGGTAACCGGTAACGAATCAAGATACGCGTACACGTTAACCAGACTGCGCGCTGACTTGGGATAGGCAGAGAGCTTCGTGGTGAGGTATAGCGATGCGGCTGAGACTTGTTCTGCGCCGAATTCTGCGAGACTTCCTCCTTCCGGGCCGAGCCAGAAGCGCATGGATACTACGATAGCTTGTGCGACGACTTCTTGTGGGAGGCGGAGGAGTATGCCTGCGGCTTGTGTGAGGCGGGCGCCGGCGAAACGGATTGAGTCTTCGAGATCAGATGGGATGCCGTCGAGTTGGGAACCGGAGGTTTCGAGCTGGGCTACGGTTGCCAATGGGTTCGCGAGGGGTGAGGGCTGCATTCTGGAGGTGTTGTATGGGGACTGGAAGTCTTGCGACAACGTTGTGGAGTTGTGGGAGCTTTGGCGCAGAAAGATGTTGGAGATGGAGATGTGGAGCTGACGGACTTGCGATGGGCGAGCCTCGGTACACTAACCTCTGTTATTTCTAGTCAACAACATTCGCTCCACGGATGTACATCGCACACGAGGCAACCTTTTGGACTTGATAAACTAGCCACCTCATTTGTTTGCGAGAAGCTGTTAACGCTCGAAATATAATTGATACTTCTCAAAAAACACCCAATAAGAAATCGTCTCCTTAGCTCAATTGGGAGAGCGCCAGACTGAAGTCATCAGTCACTAAATCTGGAGGTATCGTGTTCGATCCACGAAGGGGACATCACCGTGCTTGAGCTAGCTCAAGATATTTCGAACCATTCTTTTTGCCAATCCATCGGCCTCGGGTACCAGTATACGAAGGCTGGTACAGTGTGGGGGTGGATCTGCTACCCCTCTCTGCTCGTGGATCCATCGCTTCATTTTTGTGCATACTGGTCAAGCAAGGCGACCATTGTGCTGTTGCCACGTACTCTGGCGTCATGCATCATGATACTTGGATCGATCTCAGTATCTCTAACTGGCTTGGTCGTAGCCGAGATTAGTATGAGATCATGGTACAGAGTAGGAGCATGGGGTTAGTTGGTACATGGCTCTTGGTTATGGGTCAATGTCATCATCTATCAAGTTACTGTGCCCCGTCTCGCTTACTGTCAGCAAGCCTCGTGATGGATTACAAGCACCAAAGTATACAAAGCCTTTATAATCGGATGATATAATCACAATATCAATATCAACCTTCTCCACTTCTCATACACCATAGTTCTCTCCATCCTGCACATCAAAACATGGTTCACTTCGGTCCCTTTCTACTCACCAAGCATCACATCCATAGTTTCAAGTAGACTAGCGTATTCCATAGACAACAAAATGATAGCATTAACATAATAACTGATTAAACGAGGGCGTAAAGGTGGGTATCTTGCCGGCTAAATGCTAACCAAAAACCGCTAAATATCAACACGACTATACACACAATACAAAGAAAAAGTCGTCGCGATTGCTCGCGTAGAGGTGACCCGTGAAAGGGTGACAGAAGGGTAACTCTAAACATTCCCATAACCGAAAAAAAAAACAGAACCCTGTATCCCAAAATCCAGTAGTATCCCAAAGTAAAATCCAGAAAAATGCAAAGTCGAAGAAGTGAAAACGCTAGTTGAGGAGATGAAACCCAAGCAAAAAAACGCCGTCATTATGTTTTGGTTCTGCACAGAGTGTGCGAGAATGCGATATCTAGTCGATACCAATCATAGTACCATCGCACCTCCAGTCATCCACCTCGACATCCTGTGCCGCTGTGTTGGTAGCTTCAGGATCGATTTGGACATGAGTGAGCCAAGTGCCCACACGGTTCTGCCCGACTTTGCGGCCGTCGCGGGATAGACCAGCCATGGTAGAAGAGGTGACGACCTGCTGAGGGGGAGCAGGTCGAACGGGACGGGCTACAGGAACGGGAGCGGGAGCAGGCGCAGGGCGGCGTGTGCTACTGCTGAAAAAGGATCCGCGGGGTGTCGAGGTGCGGGTTGCGGTGCGGACAGCAGACACGGGGGTGCGGATAGCGTACGAGTCGTTCATGTGGTGGGCAGCCGCGTTACCAACGCCGTATACTGCGGCCTCCGGTCCATCGCGGCGGACGGAAGAAACGGTCGGCGTGGGGTTGAGGTGGAGCGAGTTGCGAAGGTGAGCAGATAGCCTGCGGGACTCGGGACGGGGGAGGTCGCGTTCACTGCGGTTGTGGGTGCGGACGCTGGGGCGTCGGGCCAGGGGAGGAGAAGGTTGTTCCGGGATTTCGATGACTTCTACGTCGGCGTAGCGAGCTTGTTGGGGGTAGGGAACGCGCATGTCGTTTAGGCGGTCGTCGTCGGGAATGTGTTGATAGTTGAACCATGGGCAGTTGCAGGTTTTCCAGGGAGCGGCGCAGACCATGCAGAATTGTGCTGTGCAGCGGCTAGAGACTACTGTTAGATCTTGTGATGTGTGCGAGTGACATGCTAGACTTACCAGGTCATGTGATTGCAACCTTCTTTCAGCTCGACTACAGCCTTGCAGCTGTAGCACCGTTGCCAACCCTTCTCCTTGGCCATCTCGACTAGACGGTTGGTCTCCTCGTCCTTGGGGCATTCGCGCTTCGTGTGGAATTTACTGTTGCAGAGTACGCACACCTTGGTGTTGCATGAGCTGCAGCGTGCGTACTTGCGGCCGTACGTTGGGTCCATCTTGATCTTTGAAGGCTTGATCCACTGGCCGCATCCTTTCGAGGGACAGTACAGGCGGTTGGCGGTTGTGTACTCTTGGAACTTTTTGTTCCATTGGACCTTGAACTTGTCATCGAAGAGTCGGTCGGCATACTTCAACGGGATGTGCTCTGAGGTGCAGCATCGGGGTGGCATGTGGGCAGGATCCTTGACCGAGAGGGTGAATTGGCGTTTGAGGCATCCGTAGCACATGCGGTGACCACATGCAAGCTTGACAGTCTTGCTGAGAGGAAGGTCATCGTTCATGCACACGAGACAGTCGACCCTGAATGGAGTTAGCACAGTAGAGACAACGTGATGTTAGTACTAACCTCTTCTCCTCATCCCGGTCCCTACGGGAAGACGAACGTGAGATGGGAGTAGGCTTGGAGAACAAGCTTGATAAGATGCCCCCAGTACTCTTACGGGCAGCATCCTTGACCGACTGCGTCCTGGTAAGCGGCGTAGGGGGTGGCGACTTGACAGTGTTGCTCCGCTGCCGTGTACCAGAGGGTCTGGCCTCTCTAACAGGCGCATCACGTGTATGTGCTTTTGGCTCGCGTGTAGAAGAATTCCTGGCCCTCATTAGTCGAGCTACGTGTACAAGTGGAGACGGGTCTAACCTGGTCAACGGCGGGACTTCGACCCTGCGGACTGACGCAGATCCAGAGCCAGAATGCGGAGTGTAGGCAGTCCTGCTAGAAGAATTGCCTTCCTCGCTTCTCTTGCGCGCCGACGATCGTCGCACAGTGACTTCTTCGACATGGCCCATGGACTTGGGGCGGCCAAAGACGAAGTCGTCCTCATCATCAGGTATCACTTCTCGCCTCTTGGGCTTCCGCGTGCTGTCCCGTCGCACGTCCTTTTCGCGACTGCTGCGTGACTTTTCCTTGACAGGAGCTGCCCGTCTGCTGCTCTCCTTCTCCATGCGACTGTCTCGGTCGCGCCTCCGCTCGGCCTCGTTGCGTGAGTAGTAAGATTCTCTGCGCGCCCTCAAATCTTCAATGTCCAGCTCTGCTTGCCTCCTCGCCTCATCCGCCCGTCGGCGCTCTCTGCGTTCTCGTGTGGAAGCTGTGGGTTCGTTGTCGTGGTGCTCGCGGGACTTGTGTCGGCGATGTCTCCGTTCTCGCTCGTCGAGATATTCGCCGTCGTCACGGTGTCGTGTGGCCCGGTCATCGCGTCCTCGCGCCATGCCCAGCCAGGGCATATGGCCAGTATATTATGTGCCTCCTGCCAGCCTCGCAGGTCACAGGCTCATTAACGCTCTCGAAAAACTGAAGGCAGCTGTGCAGGCGAAGCACAAAAGCGAACGGGTGTGTGGAGAGTTGCGGTGGGCGTGACGAGCGAACAGCAAGCACCTGCAGGTAGCCCAAGCCTGATCAGACCAAAGTCGGCCAGTCGCACGGGGCAAGCCGCCGGCGGTGTGCGCGCACTGGGTGCCTGTTGATCGAAAGCGTCCTCAGGGCTTTCGCTAAGACTCTTAGTCGGCCCAGGGGTATTCGTCAGGCGTCGACGCACTGGCTGCCAGCTGTCTTAAATACGCAGATGATGTAGTTTTTTCGCAGGAGGCAAACGGAACCATCGGGATTAGTTCTCATGCAGCGTTGCGTGCCCGCAAAAGCAAGGCCAAAGTCTATTTGCTTCATGGCGTCGCACTGCTTTTGGGCCAACGTTCGGGCTGCAGTTGAGTCTTAGTGAGCGTCTTAGGGAGACGGCCCGCCACAGGGGCTGAAAGATTTATTGCAGAATCTAATCGCGGACATGCAACGGCGCCCAGCGTCCTCAGTCCTTCTCGAGTGTAATTTGGGTTGAAATTTCCCATCTCTGCCCGCCGCTCCCGTATCCGCCGCCCAAGCGGTTCCGCACCATGCTGCCAATGCGATCGCGCAGACGCCCAATTTCCTCCAAATTCCTCACTCGAAGTTTCAGGTTCGCCTGGCAGAGCCCGTAGTGTACCTGCCAGAATTTTGCCTCCTCTACCGTTCGCACGGCTGGGTCCGTCTCCAGGTCGTACATGATGTCCGATACGCCGGGTCCCGAGTAGGACATGAGCAGCATCTTGCCGAGGGTCCATCCTTGAATCCATCCTAGCGCCACCATGGAGAAGGCAACTGAAAATGAGAGGGTTCGGTCAAGCCACACATACATCTGGATGCTCAGTAGGGGCAAGATTAGCAGGAGTGACGAGCACGATAATGTCAGAAAATGCGACGGGTTGCTCAGCACCGAAGGCAGGTTAGCGATCGCACTTAGCCTCATGACCTTGCCTATGCGCGCATGGTTCTTCAACAAGATTGCTGAGACCAGTGTCGAGACAACACCGCACAAAGCAGCAAGATCAATGCTGCCAGCCGACACTCGCTCGTGAGCGTCGGCGTGATGCGCCTCATGTCCTCCGGTATTTTCAAGCGCGTGCGTCAAACCATGCGATATGAGGTCCAGTCCCATGAACAGTAGCCCAACAGACATGCCTAGTCCTGCGATGACCTCTAGACGTTCAAAGCCAAATGGATGTCGTATGCTAGATCGCTTCCATACCTCGAAGTTGGATCCAACGTCAACAGCCACACACAGAAAAGCTCCAAGTGCATCGTAGAAGATTAGACGAGACAATACTGTCAGTGCCAGCGATTCATGTGCGCCCCATTGTACGAGGCCGGCTACTACCAGATGGCAGAAACACCATGCCAGCCGCAGCTTCTGGTCCTTGGACATTGACGAGCGGTACTCTTTGAACGTCGGGATCGGAAGCGAGGCAGGGAGCTGGAGCGGAGCGCGCGGTGCTGGTTCTAGAAATATCTGATGTGATACACTACTGTGTTTGTACTTGTGTCCTCGTCTTCGGCCGATGTCCTGCGGGAGTCAGTACGATTGCGTAAGATTGCGTAGAAGAACTCACATTAGCCTTTGTCTGGGGCCGCCCCGGCTGGTAGGCGACAGATTGGAAATTGAACGGATTGGGGTTCTCGGACCCGTTCGCAGAGGGCGGCTCAAGATTCATGGTTGAGTCGCTCGCGGGCGTGTATGGAAAGGTCGCGCTCGCGGGTGTATACAGAGTCGCAGGCGACGCCCTCTGCGAGACAGAATCACTGGGCCCGAGGGTCGCATACTGCTTGGAGGGGAACGTGGCAGACATGGGCGAGAGCAGCGCATTGTTATTAGGCCCCGTATCTCCAACAGCCAGATCGCTTCGGAATCCTAGTCCAACGGGCTGGGGCGCGTTCTCGTCAGGAGGCGGCGTAGGGGTCCGCGGTGGAGCAGGCAGAGGCATTTTCGAAGCCATGACGATGGCAAATGAGTGACGGTAATGAGTGACTGTTAGCGAAGACGCATTCCAGGCTTAACGAGATAAGAAGCGCAGTCAAACCCCGGACAGAAGGTGGAGGGGAAATTGAGGGAGGCCTTCCATATGCGGCGACCCATAGTCGGTGCATTAGCCAATCCGGACCCGACTAGCCCGCCTGCAAGGGAACCAGGACATGCGACCGGGGGTTGACGTTGTTGACAGCTTAGCTCCAAACATGACACCTTGATTCACCACAACGGCGCTCCATGGCAGTTGACGCACGTGGGAACCATGCAAGACGGAACTGCTGCGCGCAATGAGGGTCGTGCTGAAGGCGAAAGAGCTCGTGCTGACGGCGAAAGAGAGCATGCTTCGACGCGGCATGGGAAACATGAAGAACACGGCCAAGGGCATCAACGAAGCAAATCCGGAGGCATACTAGGCGCTTTCCGAGATGCCATTGGCAAGTCACAGTCACTATCTACTCAGATAGGCAACGACGAGGGGCACGACCAAGATGTGGAAGTCGCGAAGAGGGCATCTTCCATCGCGACTGCCCTGCGCCAAAGCCAGGGCAGGCAGAGGAAGGGATCTTTAAGGAAGGCGGCTATGGCGAAGATGCGTGAGCGGAGCAGCTCTTTGCGCAAAGCCAAACCACCCACAATCACCACTACAACGAGCGTGGACCCCTCGGACGAAGCAACGGCCCCGGGTCGCTTCAGCTACGAGAACGCTCCTCTCAATTCTTCGTCCGACAGCGGATGGCTCCCCGCTGTCCACCTGTCTCCATCGTCACCCGCCGTCATTTACACTCCACCCGACGACCCTGAACGTACCCTCCCGTCACTGCTTGCATCACCTATGAGCCCGGTGGCACCTTACGCTTCAACTACGGATGAAGACGACATCATGTCCTTCTACCGCCCCTCTACCTCGGGCAATGACTACTCCTTCAGTGGCCCGAACCAGGGCTCTGTTACATCTCTCTCACACCGCCGTTCAACTCGGAGTAACCGACGCACTTCCATTTCGGCAGTCCTGACACCTGCCGAGGCTGACCCCGATGACGAGTGGGATTACAGCGAGACGGAGTGGTGGGGCTGGGTCGTGCTCATAGCAACTTGGATCGTCTTTGTCGTCGGTATGGGCTCTTGCCTCGGAGTTTGGAGTTGGGCGTGGGACGTCGGCGAGACACCGTACGCTCCACCTGACCTCGAAGACGACGCGACCCTGCCCATTACTGGTTACTATCCCGCATTGATTGTTTGCACGGCAGTCACGAGCTGGGTGTGGGTTGTTGTTGCCTGGGTTGGCATGAAGTACTTCCGTCACGCCAAAGTGGGCGTAGACGGATAATCAGCAAGCAAAGCATCAAGCAAGCCACAGAACCATCACTTACCGACTACCGATCGCATGAACGTCCCAAGGTCCTGGGAACGACTTTTCTATTCTAGTGCTTTCGCTTAACCTTACCGCATGCGCAATATCTTCTTGGGCTGAAACACTAAGCTATAATACCTCTGTTAAGACACATCATAGCCTCGCTATACCACACTCTACGGTATGCCATTACTTCTTCCATTATTGTTCTTTCTGACACTCGCGCCAATATCTGCAGCTACCATCTTAATTATTGAAATCGCCGACTGTCTCGACAGAATAAGATCTGCCACAATGCCACATTTTTCGTCTGTCGCTTGTCGTGATTCAGCGGCTTGGACCACAATCTCCGCGCCCGGCTCCTCCTCTCCACCACAATCCTTCGACCCGCTTCGACCCCGTCACTCGGGACAAGGGCAGTACTGAACCTGGTGCGAACACCTCGACATCACCGTATCACCCTGTAACCTCCGATCCTGCAGAGTCGCAGCCAGGGTTCCACATGTTGGTGCAATTTTGACAGTGTAAGATGAGGGCAATTTCCCTGTCCAGGCGACTTCATAAACAAAATGGTCGCCAACATGTGGCTGATGGTCGCAGATTGTATCATGCAATTGGTCTGTGATGGCACTACACCAAAGACCACGGGGAAGTTCCAAGCTCGAGGAGCTACTACCAAGTTTACTCATCCTCAAGGGCTTAGAGTCTAGGGAAATCTCAAAGAAAGATGCCGAGTTCAGGCAAACGGTTCACGGGGCACAGCATGAACGGCGGACAAGGACGATACCGGCCCGGAAGCCTCAACGCACGCCGAATACACTGGTGAGCCAACGGATCACCAACGGCAGACCCTTCCGCTTTTTCGAACTACCGCAAGAGATTAGAGATGAGGTCTATTCCCATCTCGTCGTTCGCAAGACCTCGCGTTCCCTCCCCATCCTTGACGCAACAGCCATCCTAAATGACCGCAAGAAACGCCTCGCAGCACGCAAGTCTCGGGAGCGACTGAACCAACGACGGCTCTCAACTGGACAACGACCAGTATGTCCCCGTGCAGCAGATCCCGAGCCAATCCTGCACCTGGAACTCCTCCGAGCATCTCAGCGACTAGCTGGCGAAGCAACAGATTGCATGTACACCAACAACTGGTTTGCTATCTCGCTCAATAAGCTCCCGGTGCCTACTTACGAATTCCCGCAAGGCTGGGATCTATCACGCATCAAACGACTGCAGGTAGAACTGCAGTTGAAGGATGCTATACGAATGAACCGATACGTCGACTGGGCTTCTTTCCTCTCTGCGTTCCCGTCACTACAGTTTCTGCGTATTGTTCCTACGCTTCATCCAAGATACTACGAATGGTCGCATCCGGAGTTCTATGAATGGTCTAGCACGCCTTTTGTCCACAAAGCCTTCTTCAGAGAGCTACTGACGGCAGTACCGGGCTATGTGGATCTGAGGATTGGGCTGCCAGTGGATGGTGCGGCGGATGACGTGCAGATGCAAGGCGAGATTGCCGTGCATCGAAAGTATCTGTGCGACATGTATGCAGAACTCGGGAGTAGGGTTGATGCTGCCGGGAGGCGGTTGGAAGTGGGAAGAATTGTATCATAGGTGCTTGACGCCGAGATGGGTTGATGAACGGACGCTGCATGCAGTCTAAGGTTTTTGCGCAGGCAGAACCATGTATATTATGTCTCTTATCTAATGTTATTCGGAAGCCTATGGCTTTGCTTTTTCCTTTTCTCCTCAACGCACATGCATTGAACCGGTCTTGTGCTTTGTTATGGCAGGGGTTGTTGTTGCTTCCCAATATGCTTTTGGTGGTCAACAATGCACGAAGACATGTATGCCATGTCCGTAGTATTTGGCTGCGCCTCAACGACGCAGAATCCCTCTCACATGGCTTTAAATCCAGTTCGTTTTGGAGACGCAACTCTCAGCCATATACATGCTAGCTCATTGTTTTAGAGGAAAGGAGGACAACATAGTGAGAAGATGGGTCTTAGAAGAGCGAGTGGCGAAGAATTTATAGATAAGTTGCCACCGGTCGGGCAGAAATCCGCTCCATAGATAGTCCTGTGGTATGTTTTTAGATCGTTCTGAGGAAACACCTCCCATCCCTTTCTCCATATAAATCGCCGAGCTGGTTTTGGATATCGCTATATTCAGCACCAAACATTGCTCATATCGATGTTGTTGTAGAAGCACAGAAGTTTTGAAGCGAACCATGGCGCGAACGCATTGCAGTTTGAATCGCTGGGAGAGATCTCATGACTTTCCATTTCTGTGTCTTCTCGAGCCCAGGAAACGCGGTCATCGAGAGTCAGTGCCACCATTTTTGGTATAGCAAAGAATTGAAGTGTGGTGGAAAGAAGGAGACTTCGTATGCCGCAGGAGTAGGGATATTTATATACATCGTTTGAGAGGGACAAGCTCAGCATGCCACGGCACGGAGGTCGTTTCGAGACAATCATCGAGTCTTAAAATTGTCATTTCGGGAGGCCGATGTAGCTTTGGAATGTTTTCTTTCATCTCCTGTCAAACTTCGTATGTCTAGAGAGAAGTTCTACTCAGAGCGACAGGACATGAAAGTAGCGAGGCTTGTTTTTGTAGAAATCGGAGAACACTAGCATGGTACAAGGTGTTGTGCATTTTCGAGCAGACAACTCAACATCCCACAGCTCCCACTTTCTTTTTAGAGAATATGGGAAGGGTGCAGTAAACCAGGAGTAGTGGGATAGTAAATGTTGTAGGCTTTATAGCAGGCTCGTTGGCTGGCCACTAGTAATCGTCGGCAGTGTAGTTTCCGGGATCGTGGTAGGTGTCGTGCATATATAGGTATTCGAATCATTTGTGATAAGGAACTCCAGAGAGAAATCATGTCAATCTGAATTGACCATGCTGATCGTTTTTCCTAGAGCGCGTGCATTTTGGGAAGAGATTGAAAGAGGTTTTGTGATGTTTTCTGCTGGCCGGAGTCTCCATGACTTAATTGGCTCTTGTTTTTGGAAAGCCGGACGCAACCATATATTGTCGTCCATATCTTTTTGGTAAAAACGTGGAAGAAAGAGGGTTTTGTGAAGTAAGAAGTCGACGGCTGAGAGCGAAGTATCTATACACTTTGCTCGCCATCTAGCACCCTTCACAGATGAGCGATGCATCGGCGATCCAAGGATGCCGAATGAATAGACGAAACAACCTGGTTCCTCCACACGGTCTTCAGATTTTTAGTGATTCGTTCCCACAGTATCTCTTTCGACAGGTAGGAAATATTCTCGAACTGGATGGCGACTATCAAGCTTGCTTTCGAGATGCAACGAGAAAGTGTTTGTTTTGGAAGACTGCTGAACATCACCACATATGAAGCATAGCCTGGTAAACTGTTCGGAAATAGGCGAGCGTTGGGCACTCCAGATCTGTTTCCAGAGGCCAGAAAGTCTCCACACATAGTCTGATAACGGTGATCTTTTGAATAGACTCCCATAACCAGCAGGGAAGGTTATTTCGGAGAAAGAAGGGAGTATATTTGTATAAGGGCAAACAAAGAGAGAGAGGAGAAAGAAGTTCGTCTTTCTATATTGTGGATTCTCGGGTACTTGTCAGTATGAAGATGCGAATGTGCTGCCGGATGTGTCCACACATCACGGTTTGCACGTGCTGTTGCAAACGCAGCCCACAATGAACATGTCGTAAAGTATTCTCAGGAGAAGGGAAGCTCCACACACATCACACTTTCTCGTCATTGTTTTAGAAGCAGTCTCCCATGTCTGAGTTCCTTTGCTGTTTTGGAGAAAAAGGTTATGTCTCGACATGGTAGGAAGAAGAGAGGAAGAGAGGCAGCACAAGATTTTATACTTCAACCTCTTCCCAAGTTCTGGCATAAGACAATTAGGACGCGTTTTCGGACATAGAATAGTACAGCGGTGGTTTAGAAGAAAGAGGTGGAAGAAGCAGAAAGAGGTTTATATCGTTGTCTCATGGCGCTAGGCGCACACAGCTGTCGTTCATGACGACCTCTTGTACTGTTTCCCAGCAATATCTAGCAATATGTGCTCCAATTCTGGTGTTTCATTTCTCATGGATACGGAGAACTTATTTTTGAGGTAAGATGCACACCCCATGCCTCGATAACATTTGAATATTGGATCCAGAGAAAGTATTTCAGAATTGTTGAGTTTGTCGGTGCTCGTTCTCCCACATCCTTGCTGCTGGTACGATTTTCAATGAAGGCGAGGCCTTCTCACATTTCCATGAAGGTAGCGCATCTTAGAAGCAACAGCAGCACACCCCATATAGTGGTGATATCCGGATTCTGGAAATGAGGCAAATGAGGTAGTTGTGAGAAGAAAGCAGGAAGCCCAGCGAGAAGTATCGGTCTTTTATTTGCTGCGAGGATCATATTATAACGACTCTGGCTTTTGAGAGAAATTTGGAGCAAGTCCGCAACATAGCAAAGCGGATGTGTGTTGTATGAGAAGAGCAGAACGCGCGGCATGATATTCGCCACATTTGCTTTCTACGCCATAGGCACCCGGTGCAGAGCTTTTGAACAGAAACTCAGCCATTCACCATACCCTCGATGATTTTGAGAATAATATAAGGAATTGTAGAATAGAAGACAAGAAGTTCTACGATGAGAACGGCGAACTTTATACGTCTCCGTAGTCATGTAGGTTGTAGTCTACTGTTCCAGGGAAAGGTAAGAGCTCCAAAACGTAACACTTGGGAAATTATCTTTTTCAGAAGGAGCACAGTTCTCGCTCCATGTGCTTCCTGACAAATGTTTTTGAGACATCGGAAGATCTCGTTGGAATCCAAATGTATGATTTCGGAAAGAGTAGCAAGGAATCCAGAGGCAGACATTGGATAGGTGTCACTGATCTTCGACACTCATTAAGCTCGAGTCGTTCTCTGGACAGCAGGTCATAAATTGCCCAGGACGATGTTTCTGAAAAAAAAAAAAAAATGCTGCCCCCATGCGCAGGCCGTGTACTTATTTGGAGAATGCAGCCAAATTTGTGGAATGAAGAAGCAGAGTCTCCAGGCAAGAGTAGAAGACCTTATACACCTTGAAGATCATCAGGTCCTCATTGTTAGGTTTGTGAGAAAAGCAGAGGAGCGCCGCAACACTAAAGTTTTCTGCTGGTAGTTGTTGTCTTGTTTTTGTGTCGTAAAACAGATTCCCCAACTCCATGTAGGCGGCCGTAGGCCGTTTCGATGACCTTTAGATCTCGCGGTCTCTGCATGATTTGTGGGATCGTCCGTTTTGTATATGGGTGTAGTCGCAAAGCGGATTTAGTCATAAGAGGAGATAAGGGCTTTTTGATTTTGGTTCTCCAAAGGAACATACAGTCTTTTCACTGTATTCGCGGTGACATATGTGATTTTTGAACCACCCAGCCGACTCCATGGGAATTCAGCAGTGCATTTTTGTAGGAAATGTTTCCAAGTGGAAGTGGACGCATAAGTTTAGGAGAAGTATTTTGAACGTTGATTTCGAAGGGTAGTTGGTTTTGGAAAGACGGACTCTTGCCCATAAATATTGCAGGCGTGGTTTTTGGAAGAAAATATTCTCCATGGCCCAGAATGGCTCATTTTTTGGAGAAAATAGAAGAAAGTGTGTGATGAAGAGAAGCATAGAAGCCAGAAGAGAAGTTTATATACGCTCAGAAACCCAGGAAAACACGTGCACAGCCAGCCACACACTCTCAAAACAGCAACTATCGCTGCCCATACCACAGCGAAAACAGCAAAGCCAGCACGAAATGAAATGTTAAAAAGTATATTTTGATAAGTCTCCATCTCTAAGCCCACCTTATGAGCATATACACACCACTACACAATGAACATAGAAAAACGCCATAGTGAGCGTCGTCAAGACACCTTCACTAATGCCATGCTAAATATCTCCAGTCCAAATAAGAAAAAGACATTATACACATTTTTGGAAACCCCCTCACTCCAACATCCTTGGCTTTAGCGAGCATAATCATGTTGATCATGATATGCCATGCTTACAGGCCTTTCAATTAAAGTTCTACTCCCTCTTAAAAGACTGGAATCCCTGCTGCGGCGACCCCGGACTCCTGTACGGGTTATTCGTATTCGATGGGACCCTCGCCGGCGCATTAGCATTAGGTTGCCACTGCCTCTCGCCCTCATCCTCTTCCACCTGCGGAGCGCGCGGTCGGCTGCGTGAGCGAGGCGGAGGCACCATAGTCTGGTACGAGTACTCCTCTACCTGTCCCGTGGAGATGGAACTCGGCGATCCAGGAGCAGTACTGCGAGGCGGTGGTGGCAAGTTGCCTGTTGGCGGCTGTGCGTACTGGCTACCAGATGGTACTATGTTGAGTGGTAGAGGAGGTGGTGGGTTCTGACGCGGTGTATCGACGGAGACGCGGGATCCGAATGGTGATAGTGTGGTGCCACCTTTCCTCTTTCCGGCTGAACTGGCTTTGCGGAGTAGACCGCGGACTTCGTCGAGATCGGGCCTTTGGTCTGACATGCTAGGACGGCCAATAGTACTGGAGTCGTCGCGAGCTTCCCAGGTGTCGTCACGGATGGTGTCTAGACCGGGTCTCCTGTTGTTAAGAGAGGTGATTGCGTTGTCTTCGGTGCCCAGGTAATCTGTGCCGGTAGACTTGCCGGTATCCTCTTGGGCAGGGTTGAGTGGGTGCAGACGGCCGGCGTCGGCGTTGGCCTTGTACTTTTCGTATGCTGCGACAGCCTCCGCAGGTGGAACTGCGACAGACCATGTGGGCTTGTCTTGCGAGCCCAGAGCAGCATCTCCTCCACCTGGGCCGTTGATCGGAACCTTGCGCAAAGCAACGACAAGCGCGCACATGAACTTGGATCTTCGAGATGCGCGCAGTGACTCGTTGGACCAGTTGCTCTTATGACGAATCTCGACACGAAGCTCCAGCTTGTTCATCTCGGCAATGCTAACAACCTCGATGTCAATATCAGGGTGGAACTCGCGGGCGTTGACAGGGTCGCGAACGAAGCTCATCATCTCCAGCTTAAGTAGATTGATGTCTTCGAATGATGTACCAAAGTCGCAGAAGACCGAGACTTGCTCTCGCATGGCCTTGCTTCGTGTGATGTTCTCTACCCATAGAGAGTTCAGGACGATGTTGGGAATCTGGACCGTCTTTCCATTTGTGACGCGCTTGAACACAGTGTAAAGAAGAGCAATGTGTTCCACAGTAAGCTGCTCAGTGGTAATATCGACACGATCACCGATATCGTACGGGTGCTTGACGAAGAGAAAGATGCAAGAACCGAGGACTTCCTGGGCAGTCGTTGCGAATACGAAAGAGAGCGAGAGAAGAGCGGTCGCGGATGTGGCGAGTGTGGTACGGAAAGCGGGAGCAAGGAAAGCGACGAAGACGAAAATGCAGACAATGACGGCAATGGTCATGATCAGACCGTCGAGAGCGTTGATAGCTTGGTCAACATCGTGCATGCTCGAGTTGATCGACTTTCGCTGTCTGGCGTAATCAGTCACAGTCAAGATCATCTCTTCCAAACTGATGTCGCCGTTTCCGTCTCGGTCAATCGCAGCAAAACATTCCTCAGCCTCCTCCTGGCGACCTGGACCCATGACTTCGACGAGATCTTCCAGGTAGAGCTCGTTCTTGCCTTCGACGACCATGGACATCCAGATACGCCTAGCCAGAGCTTCAGCACTCTTGTTCCTCTCCAAAGCGGTCAAGACGACGGAATGAGCAGAGTTGGGATCAAAGACTTTCTTGCCAGTGATCTCGGAAGCGATAGTACCGAAAACTGATGTGATCTTATCACCAATGCGACCAGCGTCTCGGCCAACTTCTTGGATAAGACGCATGGGCGTGCGGCTACCAGATCGACCATGCTTGGCCGTTCCCTTCTTGCTACCGAAACCGAGATCAAGAATTGTGTCCTGGATGATGTAGTCTTCTTCAGCAAACTCGTTGCAGTAGGCGGGGAATAGCGACCGCGAAGTGTCATAAAGGATACCGAGGAGGTAGATGTTGCGCTTAGACTCCTTGATCTTGTCATCAAACTGCTTGCGGTGGTAGCTGATACTGATGAGCTGGATCAAGACGCGCTCAGCGAGGATGATGATGGTGCAGACGAGGAGGGCAAGCAGGACCGATTGCATGGTGTCCATCCAGCCCAGTCTATCCTTGCCGGGGTTGACTCGGACAAGCTACACCATGTTAGCACACGTTTATCTGTGGGCTTTTGGCACAACTTACAGCAGGGAAAGTAGCCTGGTTGACAATCATCCAGAAGACGAAAGAGAGAGGCTTCTCCACGGCTCTCAATAGCAGCGCATACTTCTTGACACCCGGGCTGACCACACCGATGAGGAACTCGAAAACGTTAGGAATAAAGTGTGCCACAATCTTCATGACCCAGAAACTGAGCCATATGATCTCGATCCAGATCCAGAATTTCTTCTGATTTGTGTTGCCAATGGAGCCCGTAATCGTGCCTGTCTGCGAAAGGATGATGGGAATGGCGAGTAGCAGCGCCACAGGAGCGACATAGATCATGTAGCGGGTGACAATGCTGAAGTTCAGGATCTTGGTGTAGATCCTGCCCATGCGATTGAGAGCCGTCTTCTCTTCACTTACGCGGGGAGGCAGCGGTGCTCCAGTCCTGGAGTCGACCACTGCCAGCTTCCTGCGTCCCCGTGAAAAAGTATGCCCCTTCTCCGACTTTTCATTTCCGGATGTGGGCGAGGACTGTGAGGGGGTGTGACTGACGACAGTCTGGAGGGGTATGTCGGTGGTTCGGTTCTCCATGTTCTCGTTGGCTAGAGGCTGGAAGCCGTGATTTGAGAGTCTAAAGGACCTCTGAGAGGATCGTTTGCTTGTCATGTAAAGGAAATCTAGAGGTTGTTCGTAGGAGCCGTGTCGTTACTGCAAACGCGCAGGCGGGGTATTGTGGGTATTGTGAATGGGATGCAGATCCCGGAGGCTTTTGCGAAAAAGAGAAGCTGGCGGAGAGCGTGCGTCGAGCACTTCCTTTTCAGGAGCCGTTTGAACGAGTAGTACAATGGAGATGCATAAAACAACAGCGATTCAACGAAGGCCTGCCGTCGATTCTCGGGGTGACTCTAGGAAACAATGAGATAGGGAAACGAGCGAAGAGGCTCTCGGGGACACAACAGCAGAGAAGTGAGGGTGGAAGAGCGAGTGAAGAAAAGTAGAGCAATGGCAAGGAGTTACTTTGACGAACAACGCCGCGCGCCGGTCCCCAGACCATGGCTAGCGGTATGCAGGGAGGGGTTAGCGGGAAAGCCACATGCCACTGAAACCGCTAGCTCGTCGCCACAACGAATCACCGAAAGCAGATATCGTCACCGCTGGCTGCACATGTAACTGCCAGGCCGGCCGTCTAATTACCGTTATGAATGCAGATCCAAGACGTTGGACAGAGGCATGCTTTGTTCATCGTCGTTCGTCGTGCTATCTGGCTACTTGGGTGTAGTTCCCTCAGCCTCACTCACTCACCCACATCAGGCATGATTCAACAGATCGGCCAACCCTGTCGTTGATCGGTTCTGGCCAAAATACCCGGTGCAGATGCAGGCACACGCGTATCGATACGCCTCGAGCTCAACAGAGCAAAATTGTCTTCAGCAGGGTAGCATCGCGATCGCGTCGCATAACCATGACCGGTTGAAAACTCGGGATACGAATATTACAACCGCGCCGACTGTCGAGCAGATTCAGCCGACGCAAAAGCAACTAATGCGCTTCTGTACAGGGCAGCCCTCAAACACGACGTCGTATGCCTGCCACTGGTCCACAGTCTCCTCGCCTATCCCCGAGGAATCCAAGTGGAGGTTCCCCAATTCGAGGATTTGTCCACGTAATCCCTTACCCCTGTCAAGGCTTGCATTGTGCCTGTTTCAGCCACAAGCAACCGACATGTAAGGTACATTCGGCCGTTGAATGGCTGCGAACCCTGTGGCGGTGAAATGAGCCCTTGGTACGCTTTAGAAATCTTTGGCCCTTGTGCTAAAGAGCAGAGTTGACAGCTGTTCGTAGAGGGTGCCAAAAAGATGGGTCTATTCTTAGCCCTTGTAGATCCCGAGGTAAAGCTTCTTGCGATCAACCGCTAAATGTACCCACAACCAGGGTCCAAACAGAACCGTCGTCGCCCCAAAGCTGTTAGGGCTCCAGAGTCGATGTTCAAAACCACGATCGATACGACGAATGGGCACGTTGGCGATGACGTGACGTGGCTGCGAGCGGGAGTTGCACTGGGACTGGGACGGAATCAACCCCACGTAGGTGGAGTTTCAGCCATCGATCAACACTGTCGATGACGTTTTTCTGGACTGCGGGCGGGAATAGCACTGAGCACAACATTGCACAAGTATTGTGGAACGCCTCCCGAGATCTTCGCACAAGACGTAGATCAATCAACTTCTTGGGTAGATTCCAATAGTACGGTACCCGCCCTTGAGGGCCTACAGACCCTCATCTCTAGTGCTATCGTGAAAGCCGGAGTCAGGTAGAGGTGTGCCCTACATTACATCCTGCATCTGAGAAAGAGAAGAAACAAAATGTATGTAGTAGATAAGATTCCATATGACTTTCGAGACTCATTCTGTATACGTAGGCGTACTACGTCTACTTTTCGGAATGGGACTAGAGCTTGACGCTGGAGTTCGATGAGGACGCGTGGCTGGGGAGTTTTGAAGAAGATATTTCCTTGGATATATCCTTATCCATGAATAACAAACATAAATTCTAGCTGTTCCCACAAAGCGCAATACCGGCAACAACACACCACCCCCAATTCCACATCGTCGCACTAACCAAGTCATCCACATTTAGCACCCCAACACCGGCACCCATCAGCACCTTCCACGCCTCATCTCGTCTGCCAATCGGCCAACTTGGAGTGCCCCAATACCTACTCTTCAGGCCCTTTGCATCCGCTGCTTCGACCTGCTCTTTGACCCTCTCGATCTGTCCTGATGACATGGTCGCAAACCATACCTTGCCCACTGCGCTGCTGAGGGCAGAAGATGCATAGTAAGAGTTCGTAGTGTTGTAATCATTTGAGACGGAGAGGAGGGGTGCATCGAAGAAGATGTAGCGGTCCGTTGCGGCGGCTTGGATGAGGTCAAAGGGAGTATTTCCCGTGCCGACGATGGTGAGGGGTCCTTGATGGAGAGTCTCACCGTCGTAGTAGGTTAACCAGTTCTTCTCGCGGAGTGGAGCGAGTTGGGAGAGTAGGACTGGCCATGTTGCTGCGCCGTCGGATTTGAAGTCGATGAGTAGGACTGTCGTTGTGGTTGGGTCCATGTCGAAGATCCCCGTCTTCTTGTCTTGCGAGTCTGCTGCTGTTGCATTTCTTTGCTCGAGAATGTTTGCCAACGGGTCGAGGTATAGGCTCTTTATCGTCCGCTCCTTGGTTGTAGACTCCCAGGAGTGACTGACTAGTAGCTCGTCATCCTCGGTCAGCCAGATATCTGCTTCGATGCTGGTACAACCTACTGCCAGCGCCGCATACAAAGGTACAGCGCGCCAGTAGTCATTGTGGGAGTGGCAGTTCTTCGGTACGATATCGCGGCTGAAGTCATCCCTCCATTCGTATTGGAAAGCTACGCCTGCATTTGGTTCTTCCCAGGTATCGACGATATGCTGGAGGCCGTTTTGCCTAAGAGAAGGAGCGAGTCGCCGTAACAGTACGGACACAAAGGCTATGTAAACACTAGAGTATGTTAGAACAATCCGTTCCCATGTGTAGACGAAGTCTTCTTACCCTGCCGCGATAGTACCAAAGATTGTTAGGACAACAACACTGATACCACACCCGCGATACCATCGTATCCTCCGTGCCCTTCTCTCGGCATCTGTTTCTTCGCGTCTTCGTCTGCAACAACCGAACCTGCTCCACCAAGTTTGAGATGCGCGATCTCGATTTGACTGTCTTTGAACCTCCAGATCCTCAAGGTTTATTGTGCTCGACACCTGACTCCCAGTCTCATCTTCATCATCATGGAATCTTCGCATGATCTTCTCGTCGCAAGGCTTGTCGGTGTACCTCGGCAGTACTTCTACCAGGAGATCTGACTGCCTGAACTCAACTAGCTGCGCCATGGTTAGAATGACAAGGACGAGATCAAACGAAGCTTCAAAGACAAAGATTTGCAAGAATGCGGGGAAAGCTCGACATGAAGATATTGCTCCTATGAGTGATTTGTGGCTGCAGTCTGGACTTGTACCATGCATGAGGGCACTAGCCAGACCGGGCAGGACACGATAGGACCTCGGATTCTACCAGCCACACCTGGACACGCTATCTTGGGGCTGAAACTAACGGGAATAATGTGGCTGCCACGTACCTCTGGTGGTGATGATGTCGTTGATGTCGCAGCTTCACTTGAAACCGTTTGTTCGCTGTAATTGAATAGCCATCATCTTCACACGAAACATAGCATTCTCATATACAGTTCATTCTGTACGCAGCCCCAAAGCAGATACCCACCATCTGTCTGCCTCGCACTCGACCATCGATGTTACGCCCGAAGCTTTTCGTAAGCTGTTCCATCTACTCTTGCACCGTGAAGCTTTACCCAGCAAATCTCGGCACTTCTCTTGCGGCTGCCTTGAACTACGACAACATTACACCTGAGACCCTTGCGTAAGCATTTCCATATTACCACTCTCGCATTCCGCCATGCCAACTTCAAAGAGAAAGGCTCGGCAATTTTCTGGTACTATTTCTCGCTGCCTGTAAACTCGGGGTTCGTACGGTCGCATCTCCGGGGCGTTTCACGCGAAAACGGAGTGAAGGAGACTATGTCAGCGATGGTTTGTTTAGGGGACGTAACGCGCGTCGCTGTGAAGTCGTGAGGTCAGAGCGTCTGTCCGAACTCGTACACAAACGTCGTTAAGTTTGGTTGACTATGCAAGCTTCGTGGGGGTCTGGGCGCGGCCCCGAGTTTGTCAGAAAAGCTTCGCAAGGTAGCTGCCGCCCAGCCGGGCGTTGACATTTGACAAGCGCTATCGCCATAAGAAAGCGCCCCGCGGTACCTCCGAAGTTCGCCAGCTGCTACAGTGTTTAAGGGTGGACCCATCTTCCTCCAGAAACCGAAGCCGTACAAGAGCATGAGGCCAGCGCCCAGGGAAATGCGCAATCCGGGATAAGATACTGCGCGCGCCTATACCAACTCCAAAACCAACCAATTATTCCAATGGGCTCCGAAGCGCAACCGGGCAACTACCCGCAGCCCGCGTACAGCCTCGCTGGCAGGTATAACCGTGGGGCTCAACCTCTGTCGCCCAGGGCTGCGGACGGCTCTGAGCCGCTCACATGTCCATGTCGAGTTGCGCCTAAACCTCTTGCAGCCTAGTTTCTGTGGGTTATGCATGTTGACAGGAAGCTACGATACAGCCGAGCAGATCACATAACACGGACACACCGACATTCAAGCACGATTTTGACATTTTCGCTTGCGGGGAGTCACGAGAGCATCTTTCCAGCAGCTCCAGCAGACAAGGCCATGGTGTGGTGATTGCAATGGCGCGTGACCAGAAAGAATGCGAGCAAAGGTGACACACAGGCCACTTTGTCCTGCTTCTTCCTCTTGTTATCCATATCGTAGCAAGACAATTGTTTTGTTCTAGACTAAGATTGGGAATCTAGTCGTATGCACGCTTCTGCCAACTCACCACACCGACTATTTCTTCACGCATACATATGGATCCTGGGGTCAACAAGATAATCATAATAATAACACAGACCCAGCCTCGTTTATTTTTCTCTGCTTATCCTCACATATAACCACACTGCTATCGCATCTTCACAAATCGGCATACTCGACGTCTTTTTCGCATTTCTCGTCCTTCTTTTGTTGGCGGGAAGAGATAGCGTTGGAGCTTCACGATAGCAGTAATCACAATACACGATACACGATACCACGCAACAAACATCACGGAACGTTCACCAACGGAACCCCGCACCCCACCCCACTACTACCACTACAACAACAAACATCCACACCCCACTCCAACACACAAAGACCTCGACCATGGGAAAAGAGTCCTCCTTCCGTCTCTGCATAGCCTTCCTCCTCATCGTCCAAATAGGCTGCTGGGCCCTCACCCTCCTCGACCTCCTCCACCCAGGAAAGCCGCACGCCATTATCCGCACAACCATGGATCTAGTCAGCATATACTTTTCCAGATGCTGCCAATCGAGCGCCGCACTGCAGCAGTTGGCGTATACGGATATCAGGGGACTGATGTACTAGGGCTGCACAGGTTGAACGAGTAAGAGGTGGTGGGATGGAAATGGGGAGGAGAAAGAGGAAAGAGAGCACGCTGAGCTTTGGCTTGGCGGTATCGCTCATGCATTGCGATCATGGTGTTTGGTTCCTGAACAGAAGAGGAAGGAGCAACGATATAACGACTTTTACGAAGCGATGGCATGATACCACGGCGTTTTGGGACACGGAGTACAAGGGATATGAACATGGTCATTGCGATGGCGTACAGATACGTTAAGCAGGATAGCAGCATGCTACCTGAACCAAGCACAGTGCACGTGATGACGAGTACCGAAAAGCACACGCAGGTCGTTGCAGGAGGTCCTTGTGTTTACTTTTACCGTTGCTATGAAAACCCATTTTGAACTATATATCCACAATACATGCTTGATATATGATAAGCTCACTAAAGTCCAAAAATCTCTCTCTCGCATATGGTTACTGCATTCAAAATGGTCCGTCTTTGTAGGAAGATGACATTCATTCTCTTTCTGTGATTCTAGCGGTGAGAGACCTCAGCACACCACACCAATAGCAATTTCATCCCCCCACCCACCCACAAAACACCTCACGCCCAAGCCCATGGAACCCGAGATAAGAGATATGAACAAGTATAGCGATTGTCTGTCAAATAAGAGATGTATCTCGCCTACGAGATGCATGCATCCATAGCTGCTCCCCTGCGCCATTGTTTAACACCGATCAGAATGCATAAAATGTAAAAGGGAGGAAAGAAGAAAAAAAGGGTTGTTGCTGTTATATACGAGGAATCAAAGAGTCTACTGCGTAGCCTGGTGATTCAACTCATGCATCATGCTTACTTCGCCAAGGTGCTTCTGGTCAAAGTTTGACGTGTGGTTCTGGGAGGCGTCCGACACAAGTTGAACAGGCGGCGCTGGACTAATCTCGTCGTCGTTCCCCGCTTTCGATGTCTCCTCGTTTGGCTTGAGTGTCATTGTACTCTCAGTCAGTGGGTCGGAGGTCTGATTCTCTGCAGAGCCTAAAGTCTGACTCTGGCCCTCTACACCATTTGACTCTTCAGCGGCTTTGCCGTTTACAGCAGATCTCTCTTCTGTCTTCGTCGTCTCCTCAACATCCTCAATGAACTGCGCCCTACCACTCTTGTCCTCATCCTCATGCGTAATCGCCTTTGTCAGACTTTGGAAGTTGAACATGGGCTCCATGTTTGTCGAATCCTGCGGTGGGGTATCAGTCTCGCCTTGACCCAAACTAACCCCCGACGCATTCGAGCTGGGTCCATAATTTGATCCAGGTGCAAGGTTACTCTGGTGTTCTTGGTGTTGTAATGAGTTTTGGTAGGACTCTGCGAACGACGACGAGGATGATGACGCATTGGAGATATTGCGGAGGACGGAGCGGTGCTGTGACTGTTCGCTACTGTTCTCAGGATTGAAAGGACCAGTGGTGTTGCCAGAGTCGGACGTCTCTCGCTGGATCTGCGCGCGACTAGCTTCGAGATGCTTTTGCGGGTCGTCCTTGGTAGAAGGGGTGTTGAGAGTCGATGTCGGTTCCGACATGGGATTGAAACCGCCGGCGCCACCAGACCGATCAACTCCTTTGCCTTTGCCGGCTGCTGAAGAGCTACTCGCTTCTGTTTCGTCAAGACCGTCAATCTCTATTGGGTGAAAGCCACTGCCAATGCTGCGTTGGGCCTTGGCAACTTTCTTGATTTCCTTCGCCTTCTTCTTGCCCTCCTTCTTGGCTTCTTTAGCAGCGTCCTTTTCGTCTCTCTTCTTGCGATCTTCTTCGGCTGCCAAACTAAGACGTATAGCTTCCATCATCATGAGCTCCTCAAGATCATCAATCCTGTTGCCTCTCCTCGAGCTAATGCGGTTGGGGAACAGGTCACTTGAACCTCCTGGCTGAGTGGATGAGCTTTCGCCTTCGCGCCGAGGCGTTCCATGTCCACTGCTACCGGCACTATCGCTAGTGAATATCCTTCTTCGTCTTCCCAGGCCGAATCGACTCTCTCCTTGCGGGAGGTTTCCCATCATGTACGCCGCGTTATGGAGAGCTGTGGCAGCGGCAGCCCTTCGCAAAGCATGCGATTTTGCGTCAGCCAGCTTCTTTGCCCAGTCGGGCCGCACCATGTCGGTTGTGATGACAGTCTTGTCGGTGACTGCAAGCGACGTCGCTCTTCTTCGTCCGGGTCCGGCTGCAGTAGGCGAGTTCAAAGACGAAGTAGAAGACATTGCCGATGTCGCGCTACCCATACCATTATGACCTTGGCCATTGTAAACGAGTCCTCTCCTAAAAGGCGGTGGCTCGTAGGTTACTCCAAACTCGGTTTGTGTGCAATAGGGACAAGCAGCTGGCTCTGACACTAGCTGAACCTCTTCCTCTGGCTCGGCAGGTTGCGCGCCCTCAGCGCCGGGTTCTCCATGATGCTCTGGGGGGTGCGGGTCGGGTCTCTTGATCTGGACAAAACATTCCGAGCAAATGGGCTGATCGCAGCACCGTGTCTTGTTCAGATGTGGTGGGTAGTACATGAAACAGATGGGACACTCAGAGGCGTTCTTGTACAGAAAAGCCTCGACCCGTTGGCCATTCACGTATGGGTCTTTGGGAAGGTGTAGTTCTTGTGGGGCCATGTCAGACTGCGAAGCGTTGCGGGAACCGGTCGCGAGGGAGGCAAGTGTTTTGGCGCGTCCACGGAAGAATGGCGAGGAAGAGGAGTTGTTTGCGATCGGAGACGCAGGCGAAGGGAGGGAGAAGGTAGGGTTCGAAGGGGAGAGGCCGCCTCCGCGCTCCGGTTCTTGAGACATGGATCGAGCGCCCATGGGCACCGTAAGCTTGTTGAGACTGGGCTCTGAGCTGCGGGGGTTCCATGCTGTGCTGAGGTGGTTGTTCGTGTTCGTTCGAGGCGGCTCTTCGGGAGGGATGTCATCTGCGGCGGGCAGTGGGCGGCCGTTGACGACTTCGACGAGCTGATGCTCCGTCCAAGTATCTTCGTGGTCATCGAGACCTCTCCAGAAGGGAGCAAGTCGACGCTCGATCTGGTGTACATTAGTTGATGTTGCTGTGGTGCAACTGAGCTGCATACCTGTAATTGCCGCACCATAGGCTTGCTGAAGTCTTCTGGTCCCGTATAGACACCCAGCGTGACCAAGTAGCCTCCGTCGACGCCTTCCTCTTTCAAGCTCCGCTCACGTTCCTGTGCCCGGAGTATGCGATCCTTCTCCAGCTTGCGGGCCTCACGCTCCGCCTTTGTTTCTCGCCGCGGTTCGAGGGCGGGGTCGCGTTCGACATTGTCTCCTGTGCGTATGCCAAGGAAAGACAGATCTGGCCTGCTGCCTCTGTCCCTCCGCGAGTTGCCATAGGGACTGTTCCCCGGCCTGTCGTGTGTTGATGCAGCGGGACCGGCAGCCGACGGAGAGGTGGGCTGGTGTGCACTGGAGCGGCGGGCGTGGCCTCTCCGCTCCGGCTGCGACTCTTTGCCCTGCGAGTTGCCCATGGTGAGGGTGGTGGGATGGATGGAGGAATTAGGTTATGGATGTTTACGTCCAAGGCGGATCGCGGCGGGCTCGTAGCAAGGCGGCCCGTCGATGCCCAAGTGCAGTGACGATGTCTGTGCGGGCAGGGATCAGGTCGTTATCGCGACGATTAGCGACAGCGAGGTGGTGAGGGTGTCCGGTGGGAGATAGCACAGTGTCACAAGGACATGGATGCTGGGGAACCTGGCCGTGGGTGGCCCTTTCCTCGACGCGTCTCAAGAAGTGCGACCAGAAGGAGGCGGCAGTCGCGATCGACAAAAGGGGCGCATGGGCAGCGGAGCAGCGAGGTGCAAGCGGCGACGGAGCGACGTCGACAGGTGCTGGTGTTGAAGAGCGAATCCTGAATGATGTCGTTTCTTGGCAGCAGGCCAGGGCGTCGATCGCAAATGAATGTTGCGTATGAGGTAGTCGTAGGGCCGAATGGGCGGGGCGAGGGAATCAGGCTTCAAGATCAGTCTTGGGGCTTTGGGCACGTCGCTTCACCATGTATTCATTCACACAGCACTGCCAGCTGGGAGCTGTATAGGGAGGTAAGACGGCAAACAGGCTGGCGACATCTGGGCCTATATGCAGCCATGCCATGCAGCTAGGTACTGGAGCTTGTGCCGCTTAGCCCGCGCCGCCACGATACCAGTACCAGGAACCAGATCGCTATTCCCGCCCGCGCACTCCAGCCCCGACAACATTGTCGCTTCACTCTTGCATCATTTCGCCCATACCGACCAATTTCTCGCCAGCTGACTGTGCTGCCAAGGTAGACATCTTCGCAGTAGTTGGACGACACGCGAGCACCACCACCCCGCCCAAATGCGGGGCTCCAGGTATTGACAGTTGGCCGTGGGTCAACGGGTTGCATAACATTCTGCTTACTACCTCTGCTCCTACGCACCTAGCCCGCCCGTTCCTGCCCTCTCAAACTCAACTCCCATCTCATGTCAGATTGTTCCAAACTCCCACGACGACTCCCAGTGGTACTTGTCTCCAGGGCCGGATATCTGCTTGTCGAGGCGACCCCACTCCGGACTGTTCAACAATATTAGCTTGCGGCCTTGCACGACGTCATCATGTACTCACTGGTTGATGCCATCAACGTAGTCTTGGGCTTCAATAGCAATGCAGCCGTCGCGCGGGATGAACTTGTCTTGGCCTGTGACGCCCTGGGTGTTCTTGAATTCGCTCTTTCCATCGTTCCAATTGCACGTGTACAGCACTACAGCATCTTGGTTGGTCGTCAACTTAGCCTCGATGCCGCTGTATGCGCTTGACAGTGTGAGTACAGCCGCGCTCTTATTCCTGCTCTCGTTGAACGCCCAAGCGCCGTTGTAGCCGTGGCATCCGTTGCCGCAGTGGTTTTCAAACTCGGCGTTGCCTGATGCAAACCCAAGTTCATGCGGCGCCGACCAGACTAGACAAAAATCAGTACCTATTTCATATGCGGTTTGTGGGAGGAAAACGCCTACAATCGTCAATGGCTCCTGCAGGGATCTGCGCAATCTCGCCGGTAGGGAGGGCGTTCGCATCGGCGACAAGGGCTCGCTTAGCCTCTGGCATATACACAGTATGGTTCCAGACCGTGCGGTTGTCAGGTCGTTTGAAAGCATCAAGCTGGAAGTAAGTGTGCTGCGTCAGCATAAGAGGCGTTCTTGCTTCTGGAGATGTGGCATCCATGGAGATGTGCCACTTGTTCTTTGAGACCGAGTATGTGACGCTCGCATCGACGCGGCCGATCATACCAAGAGAAGAGTTCGATGCATCGCTGATTGAGAAGGTGATTGAGGAGTTGGTTACGGCGCTAACATTCCACACTCTGAAGGACCAGTTGTTTGTGCCGCTGTGGAGGGTGTTTGGACCATCATTCTTTTCAGTGTGGTAGGTAACGTTGTCGAGGGTATATTCGCCATTGCCAATGCGGTTGACGTAGCGTCCAGGAATTGCATTGTAGACGGGATGTCCAGGGTCGACGGCTGCAACATGTTAAGTAATGCTAGGTGAAGCGCGTGACGGCGGGCTTACGGTAGTAAGAGGTATTGTCGTAGCCTAGAACTATATCTAGCTCTTGACCCGTCGGATCTGTAAATGTGTCAGTAGAGGCTGTCTTGCACTTCGACTGAAATCTACCTTTGACAAAGAGGTTTGTGAGGGTAGCAGCATACGGAATGAACTGCGCTCTAATCCCTTCTGCCTCAATCGTGTACCTTCCTTGTGCATCTGGATGCGGAGACCCTGGGTGTGCAAGCGCACCTCGCGCTGCTGAAATTGCAAGAAGAGCAGGAAGATACCTCATCATGGAATAGGCTGTCGACGAGTGCTAGAGTAGGAAGGGACGACCGCGCCAGTAAATACGATACCTACGGAAATCACATCTTTATACATCACAATTCACTGCCGCCCCTCTCAAATTGCATACTACTTCATTTCTAGAAGTTCACCTTCATATAAAACCTCATGGGGTGTCATGGGTGTATCCGGGGTTAAACGGGGGCTTGGCTATATAAAGCAATCTGTTTGAAATAGTACCCCAGAACTCCTGCGGGTACTAAATGGCTTAGCCGGGCGTCTCTAGGCTCCAAGTAGGTCTTAGAGTGCATTTAGTCGTCTTAAACTAGTTCGAATCTGTATTTACTGTTCGATAGAGTGTGGAGAGCTATAGACATGGAGGCGGTTCTGCGGAACGTTACTTGCCATGTGGGGCGACGAGCCGGGTGTTGTTTCCGTGGGGTTTCTCTGACCATGCCGGCTTTCTTCCACCTGCGTCAGCGACCCTCGGGTATTCCACAGAAGCTTTGTTACCGCCCTGTTGTGAAGCATGTGTCTATTCTTCGTGGGGTTTTCTTATCATGCCATTCGTAGCCACTAAACATACTTGGTGCCATCAGGAAGAACGTGTGCAGCCTTGGTCACGGACTTTGAGCCTAAGGAGTCCGAATTTCGCGTCTACTCTGAGCAAAATCGAGAGGACTACAGCCTACTTCGCACTGCGTTGCGCAGCAGTATAGCCCAGTCGGTGAGTACGGCATTGAGAACATTTATCGAAGTAGAACATGGACAATGATGTTCATTGGCACCTGCAGCATCCTGCCGCGTGTCGGGCGGCCTAACATACCTGCTTATGTGCTTCCGGTGCTGTGAAAATCGATCTCACGTTTGCACATCACAGCCATCCCTACCATCAAAACTTTCTGATTACATCAACATGGGAGCGCTCGAGTTCATCTGCGATCGAAGGTTTCACCGCAGTTTCGTGGTTCCCGCGAACCCCGAGTCCAACACATCCAAACCCTACCATGTGTCTTACTCCGACTTTGGCGACGCCGACAGCAAAGCAATCGTCTTGTTCTGTGGAGCTCTGTTCGGTCAGCGCTTATGTTACGCACCCTTGGACCAATTAGCAAAGGCCCACCATGTCAGAATCATCCATCCGGATCGACCTGGCGTTGGTGGTAGTGAAGCTGTGGAGCCTGAGAAGCGTGTACAGACCTGGCTGGGTAAGGCTAACAGTGTCCTTCTACGAAGTTAGCTGATTCATTGTTACAGAAATGGCCCCCAAGCTTCTGGCGCATTTGAAAATCTCGCATGTTTCGATTGCTAGTCACAGTGGAGGCGACATCTACCTCATGAACTTTATTCTCGCCTACCCACATCTGTTGAATCCCAATCATCCATATGTTGCTTTCTTTGCTCCATGGGTCCATTACTCGCATTCAAAGATGACGCATCTACAAGCTACTGAGCTTCTCCCTGCTTCGTGGATAGGTAAGTTTGGCTCACTCGGTAAATTTGTCAACCAGAATATCATTCCAATGGTCGGTTTGAGTGGCGCATTCGTGAAAGGGATTTCCGCACCACTTTCTCGTTCAGATCCTACCACAGCTCCTGTTGCACTCACAGTGTCTGGGAATTTCGACTCTGGAGGGCCGGAGGATGGCCCTCGCGACGTTTTCCAGGACATCGCACTCGAAGATCCCAAGGCTGTGGATGACTTGCGAGAACACATCACCAAGTTCGTCTTCGCCGAGAATGTGGACGGTGTCTCGGCAGACACCCAGTTGTTCCTAAAGCGCTCTGTTCCATGGAGTACACCCGTTGTCGAGTGGAAAGATTTCGATGACGCTGTGCAGCTTCTTTCGAAAACAATTGCTGAAGATGATCGACTGGCAGGCAGTAACAGGGTCTGGTCTATCGACTGCTTTCATGGTGAGCACGACCAGTTGGTTGGTGACAAAGGGAGGGATTGGTTCAATGCCATCTGGACGCCGAGTCAGAGCTATCAGTATCGGCCTGTAGTCATTGAAGGCACTGAGCATGATTTCTTAATGGATCCAACTTTCGGAGCGAGCGAACAATGGCTGCAGCGGGTCAGCGAGTCCTGGCAAACTTCACAGCCCGACGCAGCAGCTCCTTAGTGCTCAATTCATATCCCTGCCTTGCGGTGTTCTTTGTAGTATCTTATCTATAACGATTCGTAGTCAGGTCAAGATACTATTCCCTCCACTATGCAAAGAGGCTCGTTTTCCTAAGTACAGAACATAAAAGTACACCCTAAGAATACATCGTCATCAGTCGTTAGTCTTCAAACTCTGCAATTTAAAAGCTATGTAAGTCCCTCTACGGTAGTGATCAAGATACAGCTTAACTAAAGTGAGCTTCTTCGTACTGCCTACCTAGGTACAGTGACTCGTGCATCCCCCGGAGATAACGCCCAAACGCCGATCTGACGTCTTCACCGAAGCGAGCCGCAGGGCTGAACACGCGAACACCATCATAGCCCCGTTCCAACCATGGCCGAAGACATGCAGATAAATCCCCAACGCGTGAAGCAACTCGCCGAAAACATCGCCAGCATAACCTCGCGCATCAACGCCGTGAGCAAAGGCGGGAAACAGGTACGACCTCCCCAAATCTCTCGAGCCTACCAAAAACCCCCAGCCAACATCTCTGACGCGCCCCAGGTCCGCCTCATAGCCGTATCTAAACTCAAACCCGCAAACGACATCCTCGCCCTCCACCAACCCTCCAATCCCACGCAAACCCATTTCGGCGAAAACTACGTCCAGGAGCTCCTCGAGAAGAGCAAGATCCTCCCCCGCTCCATACAATGGCACATGATTGGCGGTCTGCAGTCGAACAAATGCAAGCAGCTGGCTGAGCAGATACCAAATCTGTGGTGCGTGTCCAGTGTAGACAGCGAGAAGAAGGCGAATGAGCTGGAGAAGGGAAGGAAAGCTTTGATCGAAAAGGATGGGGACAAGGTAGAGGGGAAGTTGCGCGTCAAGGTGCAAGTCAATACCTCAGGTGAAGAAGCGAAATCTGGCGTTGAGCCCTCGGATACACTATCCCTTTGCCGGCACATCATAGAAAAATGTCCGCACCTCCAGCTCTCCGGTCTAATGACCATTGGTGCGATTGCGAGGAGTAAGGAGACGACTGCGGAAAACGAGAACGAGGATTTCGTCACGTTGAAAGAGACGAGGGATCAGGTTATCAAGGAGCTGGGTTGGGGAGAAGAGCAATTGGAATTGAGTATGGGCATGAGTGCGGATTTTGAGGGCGCGGTTAAGATGGGAAGTGATGAGGTCAGGGTGGGAAGTCAGATTTTTGGAGAGAGGCCGCAGAAGAAGGATGCTGTCATCAAGGAGAAGGAGGCGCAAGAAAAGAGCTAGATGGTTAAGTGCAGGGGTGTGTTGGGCAGATACCCGAACGTCTTCTTCGCGCGCATTGAAGCAGGCAGTCGATCTCTTACATTCATGATAAGTGAGTGTAGCTTTCGATTGCTTGTTTGTGTTATCAGACAATCTTGAAATCCATCTCTACTGACTCTTCTTCATACAAATCATTGAGATTCCTGAGCCGCGAACCTATGTTCTCAGCGCCTGACTCTTCCATTATACCGATACGCATGTATTTCCCTTGTACTCCTTTTATGGCTCTCAGAATCAACCAATACTGTTCCACACTAGTTTTCCTTCCACAGGAACTCAGATTGGCAACCTCGAGAATCTTCAGAGCAACGATCTGCGCTCCGTCCTCGTGATGGACGGAATCCCAACTAGGATAGCATATGAATGACTTCGGTGACGTGCAAGGTCGTGATCCTTTCAACGTAATGCTACTAGGAAGATGTTCATCAGACGTTCGGGTGTCTTGTATCTGACCGACCAAATACCTTCCTTTCAGGTAAATAACTCCATAAGATATCTCGCCCATTGGATCGTCTCCTTTGGGTCTTGTCATGGCGCCGAGGATTTTAGCGCACGTCTGAATCTTACGATCACGCTCATAAAGTGGCCATATCACTTGCCCTTGAGCTGCAGCCCACGACCAGGACGGGGCACGCCATTCCTGGGGCTTTGTCTGCGCTGCCTCCATAGCATGCCAGCAGAGACTCTGGGCCAAGGTACTCTCCCAGTGTCCGGCAAGGTATCTACCCATACTCGATGGAACCAGCTTCGCCAGTCCTTGTAAAGCCGGAAAGATATCACTGGGAAATGTGAGTGATTTCTTCGTATATATCCGTACCAAGTGTTGCCAATTTCCTTCGATCTCATCGAACGAGCAGAACCCATTCATCCTCGCTATTTGGCCCATATTGAATATGTGAGTATCCTCGTTGTGACCCTTCAAACGACATTCGCAGGTGAGAGACTCCCGACATTCCCACCAGAGCTCTTGCCTCATGAAGTGAACAATCCTATTAGACAGCATGCGTTCCTGGAAAACCCAGCCTCTCTGAAGTAGTGGTGCTTCATCGAGTGAGGATTTTATTGTAGGGAGCCGTTGATGACAATGAAGCTCATATGTCTCGTCATCGGCATTTACGAAGTTCCTTGTACGCGATACGTATTGCTCGTCAGATGTCGCGAAACAGCCTTGAGAAGGATTCGCTGCCCAAGTAGATGATAAGGTCACGGATGCATTTGCGTAGATTTGCGACATCCGGCTTCCTTCGTGACGCCAATCATCGATTGAATCCTGCATGATACCTATGTCGCAGTCAGTCAGTCAGATGAATGGCTTCAGTTTGAGTTCCCATGAAATACTAACAGAGGGAGTCAATCCATAGGTACTTGAAGCCAAGACCATGCGCGAATTGAATAGCGTCTTGGAACGTCTGGGGCAACTCCTCCCAGGGAAGATTAGTGGTGAATTGCTCTAACGTTCTGGTAGTAGTCTGTATAACAGATTGCCCACCCCAGCAATGGCTTAGACAGGCATACGAAGCATGTTCGGCACTTGAAGTATGTAATCTAGCTTTGGTATTTCCTTCGATAAGGATGATCCTGGTTGGTAGTGGCGAACCTGAATTCGGAAGACAGCGTTTATGATTCACGAGGCACTCAGAATACCAATTCCGCGCCTTCTCAATAGCAGCCAAAGAGCCTGTATGACCGGTAATTTCAGGACCGATACGCGGAAAATTCCATGGACATGGAGAGTCTGTTACGGTCAGTAAAACCTGGAAGATTGGTATCGGACCAATAGTATTGACTCACTTGTCAACTCAGGAGACACGCCTTCCGTAGGCTGACATGGTTTACTCCGGATTAAAACATCTATAAGGGTTGTACGAGGGTTACCGCCACCCCAAAGATAGCCGCCATGGTGACTCTTAAGGTAAGGAAGTCCATTCACCATAATTCCTTTTCTTTCGCCTAACTCTTTGAGTTCTTTAAGCCACCCCTTGTAGGGTTCTAGAGCCCAAGCAATGATCTCACAACCCAAACAAAATGGTTTAGAAGTACAAACGACCCTTTCCGCAGGCATACAATCTCCCTCGTAGTTTTCAGGATTGAGGCACACCGGACAGACTTGCGGACTGCAGCGAATCCTGCGAGTGAAAAAGTTGAAACCCGTCTTGGTCAATTGCTGTGAACCAAACTTGGGAACAATCGAACCTTCTGAGCCTTTGATTGACACATGATGCGAATATTGACCTGCCTCCCAGATAAACTCTGTATGTACAGGCAGCTCCTGTAATGTCATTGGTAGCTCCAAATTGGTCGTGGGTAGCTTTGACGAGCTAGTCAAGCGTTTTCGTATTCTCAGAGGGTCCAGCGATCTTACAAGGCTCGGGAGTCAGTGTCTTTCCTCCGCGCTTCGACGTTCTTCACCGATGTACAGATGTAGCTTCCCAATGCCGTAAACGGAGATGAAGAAGAGTATAGATGAGGATAGCAAGGCGTAGAATGAACACGACAGTAGAAGAGGAACGGAAGGTCAAAATTCTGGTGCCTACACATTGAAGTGCGGCTGGGGAAGGCACCACCTAGCCTGATCACGCACATGTGGGGCGCAGGTATAGTCAGTCTAAGCCACGACACCACTAAAATTCGGCTCCAATCGTACATTTCATCATTACAAAACCATGGATAATTCTAATTCCCCCCATATAGTACATACACCTAAGCAGCAGGATCTAGAAATCCCTCCAACGTCTCGTAATTCAAAGGCCTAAATAGCTCATTACTCAAATCCGCCCCGCTACTTCCCAACAAACCCTCAAAGTTCTCAAACGCCGCATCGAAGTTCAACCAGTCCGGTGACTGTTCTGCAAAACCAAAGCCGGCAGGTGGACCCGCCATAGGTGCACGATCTGCGCGCTCGCTACTTGTCGGGTGTTGACCGGGTGTCGGAGCAGATATTGGGTTGAGCAGGCTGGTCATGGGCGAGTTGGCATGAGGGTGATGCTGTTGTTGCTGGAGTCGAGGATCGATAGGTGTATCACCCATATTCTGTGACCAAGGTTGCGACTGATTTTGTGGTGGCAGTTGGCTATGTGTAGCTTGCGGTGTTGGCGGCTCGGTCTTTGGCTCTGTTTGACGGGGTTCTGCCGGGGCAGGTACAGGCGTGTTGACAGCATTGGTGTTGCGTCCTGCAGCGTTGCTGAGCACGGCTCGTCCTAGATCCGCTGTCGTGCCTGCAGACCACCATGCGTTTCGTAAGCGATCGAGGAGGCGGACGCATTGCTTGAGTTCCTCGGTAGCGCGGTTGACGTGAACCTTTAGGCGGCGAGACCGGAAGTGACGATATACTACACTAAGAGCTACACCTAGCGCGTAGGGTACGATGGGGAGGGGTGGAAGTAGCTCGGGAGATTCAGCGTTGAGAAGGTGGATCACTCGCGTTGCTGAAAGACTTTGTCGGACGTAAGAGGGTGTCGATTTGACGGGCGCGTTGATAGAGAGGGACTTGTGCGAGGCCATGCACATGGTGTGATGGAAAAGTGACAGGAGGCCTACGAGAGTTAGCAAACATCGCGAGCTACAAAATAGTATGTCTTACTCATGATCGGACCATCGAGCTTGTCTTCACCGTCTCCCACCATCTCCTCAAAGCCTAAGAAGTCGTCGCCCTCCCATCCTGTCTCCTCAGCAGCTCTACCAGGCCTGTAGTAGTCGATGACCTTGTCCAGCATCTCTGAAATCTGTAGCCATATACCAAACGGACTGGATCGCTTCTCGGGGTCTGAGGGTAGCTGTCTCAAGCTGTTGTCGCGGTCGTGCATAAGCAACGGCCTTCCGTTCATACATGCGTTAATCTTGTCCAGACTCCACAAACACCAGAAGACGTCTTCCAGATTTCCTTGGGATTCTGAGCTTTGGTTCTTCCATTGGTGTCCGAACTGGAGGCCAAACGTATGCGCATGATGTATTGCTTGCGCTAGATGCATTGAAGATTGCTCAGCGCCTTCTGGACCCTCGCAATGGAGTGATATCAGAGCAAGTACTTGAATGAGCACGACGCGGTTCTTCTCCAGCTTTGCTTCGATACCAACAATGACCGCATTGTAGAGCCTTTGAGAGAACTCGCGTGGATTGAGCGGTTGGGTGTCATTTCCCAGACACAGATGTTTGGCAGCTGTTGCATGTTTTGAGGCCACGATACAGATCGCTTGCATCAGGATCCGCGGTTCTCGGCCATAGTTATATTGCTCATAGAATAGTTCCTTGTCAACGAGTGGAAGTAGTGGGTGTACGTAGCTAAAATATATTTCAAGAAGAGCCGTTTGATTTATGCGAGAAGGCAAGATGTCAACACCAACAGCGTCCAGGTAAGTCAGGAGAGCCCTAGATATTTGATCCTCTTGGTTGGAATGTGGACCTGTTTCTACAATCCGTGAAGAGCTTGACCCCGCTTGAGTCGAGGCTGGTCTTTGATCTCGTTCTTCGATCCATTGTCCTATTGGAGGGTGGTTGGGTGACTGAGCAGTTTTTCCGCGTTCAGAGTGAACTTGCTCTCGCAAGACAGCTTCGGGATTGAGATAGCCTAGAAAGTTGGGTGGTGTTGGGGCGGTATGATCCGAGGCCGGGCTTTGCGGCGGCGGCATTGTGGATTGAGCATGGCCGTAATCTCCACGGGCACCCCTGGGATCATGAGGATGGTAGTGTCCATTTGTTGTAGGGCTTTCTGTTGATGTCGGATTGCTTCCGCCACCACTTTGGGTATTGCTTCCGGGTTCGGCCTCGTCATCGAACGTATGTGAACAACGCTTCTAGTATAGAATTAGACGACAGCCACAGGCTTGCTGCATCCTTGGAACTTACTCTCCGCTTCTTGCATGATTCGCACGCGCGGTGGACTCCTGCGACGCTGTTAGCTGCGCGTTGCGACGTGCGCACGGTCTATGCGTACTTTTGCGCTTCCGGAAAAATTCGTTATTCGCAGCGAACGTAATCATTGTAGACATCTCAGAAGGATAGCGGTATGCGCGCTTTGTCCCGACAGCGTAAAAATGCGTGTATAGTTGGTAGTCTAAGGGGCGTTTGTTGTCCTCATGACACAAGGTCGCCCGGAGCTCGAGCTGGTGTTTCCTACACGTGATGATCCGGTCGCGCCTGCCGCCTCCGCATTTGGTGGCGCGCGTAGAGCCGAGGCGATTGGCTAGCAGAGCGGAACACGACCTGCTCCCAGCTCCGGTTACTATACATGCAGCCGGAGGCTTCATCAACCTTGCTTTTGACCGTTTACATAGTGTGGAGAAGCTATCGCTAAACTACATACTGTAGGTGTTCGCTACATCTATCACGCGGGCTGGCATGGCAAAATACGATGTATACCTTCAAGGTGTGCTTTCGTCATCTGTAGTACAACACAGGGAAACGCGCCTCTCCGTCGCTCACGCCAATACGGGTTCCCATCTCACATCACCTTGTACTCCGTCTGTCCGTCACGTTCCATTCCTAATGCGGTTGCGCTTCCTGCCGTCGATAGTGTCGCTGCTTTCGACTCGCTCCGATTGATTGTACTCAACCTCGCGCTTCTCCTCACCTGGCTACAAACGTACCACGGATATCAGCTCGAGTATGTTATTCCTGCGATAGCCTCCGCTTTGGAAAGACTTATTTTGCACAAGTGTTGTTTGAGTTACGGGTGTTGAGAATGACTGGTTCCTATCCGTCTTCTTGGCATATGGATGGCGACCCAGATATGGCAGCGCGCATACATTACTGGTTCGATGCACCCTTCACGTATGTCCTTCTCGTACGCAATACTCGCGCAAAGCTTCAGATAGTAGCGCGAAAAAGTGCCCGACGACCTTCAGCAGACTAAACCACGATTCCTACTGTATGGTATTGGTCGTATGCACCAATAAGCCCACCGGAAGATGAGGTACCCCCAAAGAACTCGCGGCCATCTTGTCACTTGGACCTAAGACAATAGGGTCCGAGTACCCTCGCTACATGGAGATACATGTGGTCTCGCAGGGATGCGACGATGCATCTGTCCAAAGACCCTTCATCGCATAGGACCAGCCGGATGCTGGTATTGTAAGTGTCACGCTGTTTTTCACCTGTCAGGTTTGCTCTACCATCCAGTCTGATGATGTCGACCACAAACAATTCGAAATCTCCTGTATAAATGAATCGGCACAGAGGCTGCTAGTCCATCCAACGCATATCCAGCATGGTCGAGCCAGAAGCCGGTATCTTACGCCTTGCAACCGAGTTGCGTCAGATGATTTACGATTACATTATCAGCGCCAACTCAGACCGAACCATCAAGGTGACACTAGATGAAGACGAGAAGATTCATTTCGAGAACTGCAAATTCATTCTGAATCTTGTCTGCACTGACACCATTTTTAGACAAGAAGTGCCCTCTTACTTGTTTGAGCATTTCACCTTCATATTGACAGACACCAAATGTATCTGTCACCGTATTGTCGAAGCTTTCTCCAAAGCCCTTTCACCGAGGCATCGCGTCTGTGTACGAAAAATTGTCATACCGTTCTTCACCAACCGAACCTCTTTCGTTCGCCCGCACCTTAGCAAACATTGGAAAGAAGACCCCGACGTACTCGAAAAACTAGACCGAAGAGGCCATATTAAAGTTGCGTCGACACTGCTGAAACTGTTGCGTCAGGACCTTTCCTATGCTCTCTCACTGCTAAACTCGATGCCGGCTCTTAAGAACCTCGAACTGGGTGTCGACGTCACCGAAGTCGTCGCGTATGATGCCAACAGTAAGACTTTCATCCCGCCTAGCAGTGCTCGGTTCCCCATATTACTGGCTACATTGCGGTCGTCTGGAACATTCGCTCTCAATCACCCTTTATCTATAGCGCTGCACTCGATCAAAAGTATGGGGAAGCTTCGACAAGTTGAATTGAAGTTGAAGTGGAGCAACTTTATCTTCGATTCATACAACAGGGCTGGTCGTAGATTTCCGCGGGAATGGACGCAGACTGTTAAAGAAGAATTGGAAGGGTTGTTCGAAGACTTCTTGCGGCGTGAGCCCTGGCCTGGGTGGCCTAGTCGGAGCGGAAATAAGCAGAGCCTAATTCCCACTTAGATGGCATATGACTTAATTCTATCTCAGCTTACGTCGACAAGAATTCATTCACTGACGATATACATCCTCAAAGACCCGTTCATCAATCTTACTTCTTCCCCTCCTCCCTGAACCGCGTTCTAACATCCATCAGCGCCCTTCCCAACAGATTCTGTCCCCATCTATGCCGATTCCTCTGTGCGTCTCTCTCCGCAAACCCCACGCCCCAAATGCGATCGGAAGGGCTAGCCTCAACCAACTCACGCTCACCAGTAGCTAGCAGCATGCGCCTCAGGTTTTCTGCATCATCACTAATCGTGAACTTGTGATATGTACCCTGTGTCACAATCTCTAGTTTACCTAGTTCATATTCAGCAATCTCTTCCTTCCTTCCTTTCGTTCCAGCGGGTGAAAAGAAGCACTTACGTTCATCCCAAACCTTCCCATCAAACCCCCTAACCTGTCGTCCCAAGTCTTTGTGTTCCTTCGGATTTGTAGTCTCTAGCATCTGTTTCGCAATCTTTTCGTCACCGAAGCAACGCGCTTTTTGTACCATCATCCACATTTCTGCTTGTGCGTAGGTTTCGTTGTCGACGGTGAACTTGGACCAGTACCATTGGGAGAGGTAGCCGTGGCCATCGTTTGGTTTCCAGAAGAAGACGGGTTTGGTGGAGGGTGTGGCGGAGGTAGGAGAAGAGGCCGAAGAGGAGGAGTTGGGGTGGGGGATTGTTGTTACCGGCATGTTGGAAGGATGTGGTATCGCGATTCGGTTGGTATGCGATATTGTATGAGTTATTGTGATTGTGTTGTGATATCCTATCTTTGAGTGATTGCAACGGTAAAAGGTTTATACAAGACTCGGTGTATCATTAATGTGGTAAGTGTTTGGCGATATGACTCAACCATGCTCATACTTTCCTAGGCAACATTGATACCTCAGGCACTAGCCGTGGTTTGAAGGCACTTGCGCCCTTACGCCCTTCTTGAGCGGTGCCACCCAAGGTACCGAAGGTAATTCGTCTCACGTTGAGATCACACATACAGAGGACTGTCGCAAACACCTCACTATCATAGTAGAAACCGTCTACCACAAAAAACAACGCTCCAATGTATATGATCATGCTACATGAACCAATTCAGAAAAAAAGGGTATGCGCCATATCTTGATGTTTTCCCCCCTTTCAAAACAAGCGCTACCACACATGCAGCCAGCCCAATCATCAAACAAACTCTCTCCTTCCCTCTCTTTCTCTTCCAACTTGCCCAGACCCAGACAAAAACATTAGTTTATGAAGAAAAAAATCGCGGTCTCGGGGAAATGTAGAAATAATCATGTTTTTGGTGGTGGTGGCGATGGTGGTAAGAAGTGAAGTAAAGAGTGGTGGTGGTGGCATGAACGAGAAAATAATTTACCCATTCTAAGCCATTCCCTCAATACCCTGCGAAAGCCGATCCTGCATAGCCTTGACCAGCACCGGCGGAACCGACTCATCAGTCGCCCTTATCGTAATGCGGTACATCTGTCTCATCGTTAGCTTGCTCAAGTTCCCACCAACATCGACATCATCATCACGTACCTGCGTCTCGAAATTCGGTTCCAACCTCAACAAACACCCAAACTTGCCCTCACTGCTATGTAGCACCGTGGCACCCACAATGTTCTTAACATTAGGATCCACACCCGTAACGATCCCCCACTTGAAACCCTTGACCACCTTCTGCACAAAGTCGCTATCCATGGTCCTATTCTTGTTTACCAGACCAAAGATACTCTGGTGTTCACGCGGTGCACCGCCGATTTGCTTCCACCGCTTGAAGAAGTCTTCGGCAGAGAGTTCGGCACCTTCCATGTACTTGTGTAGGAGGACGGGAAGCTGTAAAGTGAGACCCTGGAGGGCGCCTGCGAGGTACGAGATACGTATCGTAGGCGGATCGATGAAGACATTTTTGCATTCGAACATGATTGTTTGTTGGGTTTGGCCTTCGGGGGCGATAGTGGTGTCGGGGAGGCCCTTGATATCTGTTTTCAAGGTTTCTGCTGACCGGTTATCGAGTGTGGTTGTGAAGGAGCCCATGGAGAATTGCGACTTGTTCGTAAAGTAGAAGATGAGAGCACCCAGTTGTCCTCGGTACTCTGTTCGGAGGCCGACTTGTATCTGCTGGTCTTCGTAGAGTACGCCCTCTGGCCGCAGGAGCAGACGGGTGTATCCGACCTCCCAGTCGGGACTCAGATGAGCAGCGCTGGCAAGGTTCGGTGCTTTAGAAGCCTTGTTCATGTCGATGTTGAGATCCAGACCTTCCAAATCGCTTGATATTGCGGCAACGCCGTTGGCACCATTTGTCGCGCCAGTTTTGGCATCCTTTGGTACAGGCTCTGTGAAGCTTCTCTTGACGCCAGCGGACGTGTTCTGCCTTGCAAGACCAAACTCTTTGAGGTCCGCATTCGCGTCCTTGCCGCCAACCACCCACGTTCGCTTGTCGCTAGTGGTGGCGTGCTTCTGATGTAACCGTGAGAGCAGTGCCGACGTTCGTTCTGGGTAAGGAGGCATCTCGTCGCACACGGTGCGTAGTAGATCGTCCGTTGGCATGGTGGCGAGGGTGAGATATTCGCATGCTCTTTGTTGAAGTTCGGAATCAAGCGAGTGGCTGTAGGCGCGGAAAGCCTGGAGAAGCTGAGGCTTGATCTCGGGGAACAAGTTCACGTACTTGACGTAGCACGATAGGAGTATCGCCCGTGTAGTTGACGAGCAGCCTCGCATCTTCGCGCTCAACGCCATAAACTGCTCGATTGGGCTACATCCTTTGCTATCCGCGATCAAGTGGCCAAACTCTCCGAGCAGGTATCCGCCAATCTTCACAAGTGTCTCGTGGCAGTCCGACTTGATGTACTGCAGGATGGTTTGCGCAGCGTAAACTTGTAGCTCCTCGTTGTTCGTCGTAATCTGGATGACTCGCTGCCAGACTTCGTCGCTGACGTGGTCTCCAGCCATCGCGATCAGTCGCAGCGAAATATCCACGTACCACTGAACGTCCGTGGCGTACTTCTCTGTCAGAATGGCAATCTTTAGTACCATCTCTTCTCTTATCGCATAGTCGGCGGACTGTAGATATCGCAGGAGTTCGTTCACGATCGCTTGCGCATTCGTCGGATCGCACATGCTGTACAGCAGGTCCAGACCCTGTCTTCGCACACTGATATCCCTATCTCTTAACGACCCAATAATAATTGCCTGGTGCTTCTTGATAGGATCGAGGTTCTCAGTTCGAGCAGCTAGATGCGTCATGGCCTCCAATCCTAGATATCGCACGTTGGTTTCCCGAGATGCGATGAATTTGCCCAACCGTTGCGATATCTGAACCATCAGGTCTTGCTCTGTGTCGAGGTGTATTACGAGGTTGATCGCTTCGAAGAGGACGGCGTTCTGTGCGTTGTTCTGCTGTACGTTCTTCGGCATTTCCAGGGCGGAGTCCATGATCTTTTGGAGCGCTTCGCGAATCAATTTTCGAATATGGGAGTCCTCTGTTTCTGTCAGCGCACGTCTTTAGCAGCGGGAAGCGACACAAACCAGGTGGCGGGTAATACTGCAGCAGCTTGAGCAGCTTGACCAGTATCCACGGACATGGCACCTTGTAGTAGAAGTAGCCTTCAGCACACTCATTGTCCACGACGATCCGCTTCAGCCTATTCGCAGCTTTGATGTAGCTTCCCTTGTACTGCTCGGTGTTGTCTTGGACGAGTGCGGTGACCAACGAAGTGACCGAAAGCGCAACGCCCATGTCGGGGTCGTCCATGAGCGATATTATCCGTTCCGCCCATTCGTGTTGTACGATCGCAGGGTGTTTCCGGTATAGCCGTAGGAGTGTGAGAGCCGCCTTCTTCTTCACGAATGCCTTGGAGGCCCTGTCCAACGTCAGCTCGGCCATTGGAAGCGTTCTGTGCCACTCACGGTGATATGAGGAGCCTGTGGACTTCGGCGCTCAGTGCTTCTCCCAGTTCCTTTCCACCCACGTTGGCAATCGCATGCAGCGCCAAGCAGTTGTTGAGCTCATTGTGGTCCAGCAAGTCCTTCCTGATGCTGTTAACGACCAGGTGCAGCAATTCGTGCTCCTCGTGTAGGAATAGGGTAACGGCGAGATATCCGATCTGCTTTTCCGAGTACTTGGTCGCCGAGATGAGGTTCACCGCTTCGAGATGTCCGAAATCGACGTTCCAACCGAGTATGTATATGTATAGGAGCTGCGAGGGTCAGCAAATGGGGCATGGAGAGCGGTGAGTGGCGTGTATACCTTGCAGACGTATTTCTTCTTTTGATAGCCATTCAGGCCGGCATCTGGGGGGAATTCTGTTAGACCAAATCATGGGGGAAGCGTGTCCGAGAAGTACCTCTGAACTTTTGCCTGCAGCGCTGTTAGCCTTGGGGGACTTTGTGGAACGAGTTGGAGTACCCACCGTATGTTGGCCAATTCCTTGTTGATGCGCTTCTCTTCCAGTTCTCTTGCGCGAGCATTTCTCAGATCAGCGATGAATGAGACCAGTCCTGTCCAGATTTGTAAGCTTCCATCCCTGGCATCTCGTGGGCATGCCGTCATGTACCTCGCATCGTGGGCACGTTGCCCGACTGCTCCCGGCTGAAGAGGCCTCCACCAGCCCTCGCTGCCATCTTGGACGTGACCGAGGCCGCCATGCTGGTGGTAGTGGTCGTGGTGGGTGGGCGGTTCCCACCTGGTAGATAGCCCGACAATGCGGCGGCGGTAGTGGTGCGCTATGAGGGAATGGCGCGGTACGGGCCTCGAGGCAGGGTTTATGCTGGCGTGCGCGCTGCGGAGCGGAGGTGGATAGTTCGCGAAAGGGGCGCCCGTCAGCGGATTCTAGAGGCTGGCTGCAGGCTTAGGGCGCATAAAAGGGCAAGACATGGAATTGGAACGAGCGAGAAAGGCTCATAACACGACTAGAAGCTATTCAGCTGGTTCCCTGAATGCACAGGTGAAGGTGGGTATAAGTGGATGTTCTACACATGGATGCCAAGCAAACAGGGTCTAGCGTGGGTGGCTGCTGCACCGTGCAAAGACAGCATCCATCCCATCTATCCTGCGCATAGCATACAGCGGCCGATGCGTCCAGTCCAAGGTAAGACCAGATGGAACACCTCGAGACATTGCCACGAAACTCTACACATGCGTATATCCGATCGACCGTACCGCTGCGCTTCCCCGAGCTTGACCGCAAGCCGTCGACCGATGGAATGCCCTACACATGGAGATTGAGATCCTAGGCCAAAGGGGTACAGCCATATGCCGGAGAGATCTCATAGGAACGCCAAAGTTTCTAAGCTTTCCATAGCGACGCATTGCATGTCCAAGCTCGAGGTCCAAGACAAACGCGTCTCGACTTGGTCTGCAAACGCGTCCAAGCACTTCTTACATTGCGCTAAAGACATTATGGCACAATTCTGAACTTGAAGATTGTCATTTATTGGTATCAGGTATATCCACTCAGGCCAATATCAAACGCCAAAAACACCCTCCCATGTCACTTCGGTATCCCCGCGCTTCAAATGCATCATCATCGTACGCCATCACACATCCACCATTCCTAGCCATTTACTTCTGGGTAGTGAAGTCGGTCTCGAGGTTGGAGGTACCGTTGTTGTCGGCGCGACCGCAGTTGCACGCATCTTCAGTTCGCTTTCCGCAGGCACATGCTGAGGAGTCGGAGGGAAGCTTGTTCTCAGTAACAGCCTTCTCGCAAGCTGGAAATTGTCAGTACATGTTTAACAACTGGTAGGTGGTAGGTGAAAGACAGTGTTGTGGTAGAGCTGGAAGAAGGCACATGAAGGGAGGCATACTGCATTGAAGAGCGGGCTGCTTTCCACAGGAGCACTTTGCCTCTTGAGCGCACACGCAGGTGCCGTTGTTACGTCCGCAGCAGACCATTTTGATGTTGTAGTGTTGGTGAGTTGGGTTGGTGATTGGTAAAGGTAAGACGATTTGTTGACTTCGTAAGATTGTTTGTAGAGTGATTGAATCGTAGAGTTGAACTGGTAGCTGAATAACAATACATCGACCAGACAGCCCTTCTTTATACCCGTCACTCACTTCTACGACCTATGTCATGGACCCTGGATCCTAGCGGGAGAATCGCGTGAGTGGCTCATCTGGCCAATCAGAGGCCTCTTGATTACGCTGCAGTTACACGGTGAGGCTGGAACGCCACTGCCGCTTATTCACTGCCTTTTGCGTGTCCATTATTTGTTGGAGATCGTTTGAAGGTTATCTGATTGATATGGTCTTGTTGGAAAGTGGTGTGGTGGAGTGTTCTAGAGATTTCAGCCAAGATACATTCTTGGCACCATTACAATTGCAATACCACGAACACATTTCAGGCTTGGAGTGCTATCTCGACCAGGCATTATCGTGAACAAGTGGAGAGTGATTTATTAAGAATATGTAGATACAAAACATGACCATGTCGTAGAAATCATTGCGGTGCCGTATTCGTCCGTTTCATTCCCTTGCCCTTTAACCTTTCCCTTGCCGGCGATTCTTTAACCACCGTACGAGGAGATACCTCTTCAAACTCCTTGACAATTTCTCTCGCCAGGGGGGTCCGTGGACGCTCATCAGTACCATCCCCAACAAACGTAGAGCCCCTAGCCCTACCTGGAAACGTTCCAGGCGAATCTGTAGCTCTACGTGCCAGCTCCCTGACCCTCCCTGGTGATGCTCCACCAGGACTACCTAGTGTGCTCACATCACCCGAAGATCGACGCCCTTGGTGTTTAGACAGCGATTGCCTAATGCGAGAGTATTGCGTCCATTTGGTCAGCCTGGAAGTCCTTAGTACTTCCCCGACGGCTTCTTGGAGTTCTCTTACCGCATTGTTCTGCAGCGCCTGAAGCAGCACAATCGCGTTTTGGTGGTCTCTGCTAGCCGTTGATGGAGCTTGCTGTGCGAGACCTGCTTCTGTTGCATTGGCGTGCTCTTTGATCGTCTCAAGTAAGCCACTATCCTCCTTGATCTCTTCAGCGATAGCTGCGGCGCCCTCCAGTGTCTGTGCTAACAAGCCTAGGCCGAGCAGTCCTTCGGATCGCGCTTCGGGGTAGAAGCGCTGTCGGACTAGCTGGGCGATGGGTCGAGCAATCTGGGGTACTTGTAAGATCTGTATTTGTACTGCTTCAACGTCTTTTTCTGCGTTTGGTCGTCCAAGATATCGCAGCATGGCAACGATGGTACGGCCAAGCTCGATCATTGGGTTCTTCATTGTAGTGCTTGGTAGGGGTTTAGCCGGAGCAAGGGCTTGCTCGACGATGTGTGAGAAGATTACAGTATCGGCTGAGATGTCCGGGTCAATTGCTTCTGTGTCAGGGCCGACGGTCTCGTACATGACTTTCTCGATGTTGTAAAAGTTGCCAGTGACGAGCTTGCATAGCATGGCCGCTGCCTCGCCACGGACCGACGGATCGTCCAGTACGAGCATGCGACAGCATGCTTCCATGAGTCCGGCATCTGCAAGCAAAGCCCTGTTAGCCTCTGGAAACGTAAGATGCCGCATGAAACCTGCTGCGGCATATAGAAGAGCAGGCTTATGGCTCTTCTTAAGAATCAAAATCAGTCGAATATGTAGCTCCATGATCTTGACCATGTCAATGCAAACCTCATCAGACATGGCCAAATTTCCCACCATGACACAAGCGCATATCGTAGATGGGTATGCGCTGTCCCATGGTGCCCGTAGCTTTGCCTCTAGTCTCTCAATGACAGGACTTCTGACATTGAAATTCTGTGCAAAGACATCTGTAGCCGAGGCAGCAGATAGCAGCCCTATCAGTTGTGCCAGTAGGAGGACCTGGGCTTCATCTGACGTGACAGTATCGGCGTTCTTGCTGGTTGCGAGTTCCTCGAAAACAGCATCGATGTCTTCTGGCTCGAGTCGCGCCTCAAACTCCAGCATAAGGGTGACGAGATCGTCGAGCAGTTTTGGTGTTGCTATCCTTTGCTGGAATTCCGGATCTTGGAGGTAATGTACCAGAATAGCCACATATTCCAGATGATGGTCTTCATCGTACTGGAGTGCGACATTCAGCAAGCTCTTGAATGTCTCAAGTGAAACTTCGTCTTTGAACTGGTCGTCTGTCAAGTTGCTCGTGGTCCAGTTGAGCAGGTCCGTGGCATAGTCAAGCGCGGCCTCTGGTATTCTGTCAAGTACTAGGAAGGTGCATATTGTGGCGTCCAGTCTGATGGTGGCCGCCGCAGCTTTGGCGGGTTCTATTCGCATGAGCTGCATATCTGGAGGATCCCGTGGCATTGCTCACCAAAGTCATTGCAAAGATTGAAAAGTACGGCCAATGTGGTCAAGCGTAGCTCTGGCGATGGAAGGCAGCCAGCGATGGCTTGGAGCTCTCTTACGGCGAGCTCCCTGTTGGTATCTTGACTCCAGTCAGACTGTTTGCGTCGTACAAGGGTCTTTCCTAGGATACAGTACCATTATCAGCAACCGAGTTGCCGATGACTCTTAGGTATTGCTTCGCTATGGGATCTTCATGGCGCACGGTAGACAAACCGCGAAGAGCGTAAGCAAGGATTCCGCTGTCTCTGAAGGGCGCCTGCCATCTTTCTATACACTGTCAGCATGGTTGGCTTTGCACAGAAGCGTTACATACTACGACCGCCAACAGCCGTCCCGAACAGCTGCAAGGTCTTCTCTATCGCTTCGTTGTCCCCACTTGATGCAAACGCATCAAGCTTATGCACGTAACCTGTGAGGGCAGCGGTCTGACCTGCAGGGTTCCCTTGGAGTAGGCGCTCCAAAGACGCTATGTAGTCGCCAAGCTCCTCATTGGTTAAGGGCATATCGCAAAAGTGTGAAGATGAAGAAAGGCAGTCGCCGCAAAGTTGTGGCAAGGCTCAAGTCTGCATAGTGGCGGGCGAGATCGGGAGGAGGTAAACAGGCTACTCTCAGTCCGGAAGCAGGGCTACAAACAATAGCTACTGGCAGGATCGTGTTTGATTAACTCGATAAAAACTGCAATGGTTCAGCCACTTGTTTTTCTCAAACGCGGAAAGACGCGGTGACCTCCTCGGTCCTGCAGCAGCGTCGACCCACCCGCCGCGGTTGGCGTTGCCTTTGTCCGATTCCGTTCTGGACCCCTGGAAACAGATCCCTTGGCAACATTTGAGCCATCTGGCACCCAGCACTCAACACCGCACGACGTCAAGCATCACGCCCGAACACCTGCTCCGACCACCGACCCTCGTTTGACCCAGCTCCAACAACCAATTCGCCATCATGACGCGCGCTACCCAGACCATCAGCATTGGCATGCTCCTGACCTCCGTACAGCAGCCCCTTAGCTCTTGACATATCAAGACGTGTATGCTAACATGTGAAAGATCTACCTTTCCCTGTTCCTCCAAGTCGTCCCTCTGCCTCAGAAGATCCAAGAGGAGATTGTTCCTTTCGTAAGTCGCACCTCTGCGTGAATGTCTCGGCCCTACTACCTTCACCACTTACATCACCACCACCATCGTTCCCGGACTCTCGCTAACCAGACGGCAGCTTCCCTTCTGGGCTCTCATCTCCTTCGGCGCATACCTCCTCTTCAAGCTCGGCTGGGGAGTCTTCACCTTCAACGACGTACCCCAAGCGCACGCGGAGCTGATGCAGCAAATAGCAGAGGCGCGGAAAGACCTCCAGGCAAAGGGCGTAGATGTTGGTGAAGACTAGACAAGATAGATTTCCAGGGAGCAACATAATTAGTCTTGGTTTGGAGCACAAGGTGGGGATATCACAGAATCTGTAATGGATGGGTATTTGAACGTTCTACAAATGCTATGCCAAGACAACTTCTAGTCTGGCCAAATTCGAAGCTCATGCTGCCGCAGCGGCTTCCGCCTTCTTTTGTGCCTGCTTCAACTTCTTCTCCGTCCTCATGAACTCTCGAATGCCCACGGGTATGTCGTCGAACAGCTTGTCTTTATCCGCATCATCGAACCCAGTGTCCCAATTCGTTTCACTGCCACCACCATCGTCATCCATACTCGTAGCAACGTGACTCGGCGACTTGTCTCCCGCCACCATACTCCCTGTTCCTTTTCCTTCCTGCCTTTGAGCCTGCATCGCCGCTCTTGCTTGGGCGCTCTTCTCTGCCCACTCTTCCATCTCGTCCCGGTACATGTCCCACACACAATTCACGCATCCGGACATGCAGCAGTTATCCGGTTCTTCGGGTCGTGGGGGGACTAATACACCAGCAATATTTTGAGAGGAGTTCACAATCTCCTGTTTACGTTCCTCCAATGCAGTTGTGGAGCCGAAGATTATACGGGCTTTGGCAAATGTTTCCTCTTTCTGCGTTTTTGGCGGCTCTTTGGGTGGCTCGGGCGTCGTGTGAGATAGTGATTGTACTTCAGACAGTGGTTTCTTTAGCATATCTAGATATTGTTAGTTTTGGTCTTGCGAACAATGCGGATGAGAGTCCAACCTGCATAAAAGCCAGTGATAGGTCTGGCTTGTTCGCCTTCCGGTGCGATGTACCCTTTGAAGCGACGCTGTATCCGATCACTATTCTGGAGTCCGATCCTTCCTGCCTCTATCGAAGCACGCGGCCTGCGCCATGCTCTTGTGCATGAAGCGCAGAGTCTCTGGCGCAATGCCAGTGGGCCTGAGTATGCGATATGTTCCATTATCCCAAAGGAATGAGCGAAAGACGAAGCAGTCACAGATACTCCAGTGTGTCTCGTTATGACATGTCGATGTTGGCCACTTTGGTCGAATGCCAATTCGCAAGCTGATTGAAAGTACCGATTGACGGTTCGACGTCATTTTGCGCCGCCGTTCCGAATGTCGGCCAAAGCTGCAGCGAACGCCGACAGGGTAACAACACGCGACGCGTCGCATTCACTGTTATCGTCGCATACCCCACCAGCACATACACCAATCTATTCCTACCACGAGCACCCACAAATATCGCGCCGATACTACGACTGCAAACGATCCGCCATATGCGAACACGATGAACGAGCCACCGGCGAAGCGGAGGAGGACCATTTCGCCTGATGAACAAACATCAAGCCCTCTGAGGAAGCCTCCTCGACGACCGTCTTTCGCATCGCCTACAAAAGCCAGCCTTGCGCGGAACTACCCGAATCTCTTATCTTCGTCACCTCTCAAAGCATCTCCAAGACGCAACAGGCAAGCGGGGTTGTCAGCCAGACGTGGTCCTCGAGCAAGGGAAGAGAGCGATTCGGGACTACCGGGGGATGAAGATGAGCCAGAACTCCCGGGAACCCCTTCTCAGAACGACCGCGAAAATCCAAAGCAGCCGCGCCGAGGTATCCTCTTCTCCTCACCAAGCAAGCGACCTCCGCGTGTCAGAGATCCTGTAAAACAGCCTCCACCGACTTCGAGAGCACCAGCAGTACAGCCCGATGATATCACAGGGCCTATAGAGGATGGTCCTGTCGAAGACGTCACTCAGGAAGCGGTGCAAGAGAGACAACCTCCAGATCCAGAGATCGAGAGAAGGAGACAAGAGAAGGCACGTCTGCAGCGCGAGGTAGAAGAGTTGGAGGCTCAAGTATCAAGATGTATCGACGAGGTGGTCAAAGAGCAGCGTCGTGGTCCAGAGGATTCTTTACGGCCTCCAGAGCGCGACAGTTTGAAGTGAGTGTAATGATTCCCTATCATAGCGAAGCGATGACTGACGCAATACTAGGAAGTTCGTATCCGAGATCAGCGGTACTGATACAGAGCCGGAGAAGTCAGCACCAGTATCAAGTCTGCTTTCATCGTTCCTACCATTCGCCGCCCTTTCCGTTCCTCCACCACGCCCGAAACAAGCAGAAAAGCCAGTTCCGTCCCATCGGCCAGTGGAACTAGCAGATCCCTTGCCTTACCTAGAGATGTTTACATCGCTCAACTTCTCCACACAACTCAGCCTGCCTCGTAGCAAGATATCTCCGGCGTCGCAGCGCGTTCATCAGAAACACACCATCGATATTGCCGGCCCACAGAAGCTGTTGACGGCCCAGGTTTCGATTACAATCGACGCGTTGACGCACGAAATTATCGACATGCAGCTGCTTCGGATCTCACCATGGGCCGAGCGTGAATTAGGCACCTACATCCGCGCAAGAGCGCTCGAAAGAGATCTCGGTAATGCCTCCTGGGCCATGGACTCATACTGGCAAATCGCAAGGAAACGAGCGCAACACTGGCACAAGTGCGAAACCAACTTTGCGCATCTCCTCGTGGGTCGCACCGCGGAAGATACCGAGAACACTCAGCCAGTAAAATCCATCACGCGCAAGGATCTAAGCAGGAACTTGGGTCGCGATACCTTGATTCTACAAGATAAACACGTCTTACTGAAGCTCAATTGGCGGATCGGCTTCGATTGGACGGGCGAGGCGGAGTCGGATGTCATCGTGGAAGCCGCGTTTCCTCAGGTGTGGTCGGAAATAGGTGATGGTGCTGCTGCTTTTAAGAAGATACCCCAAACTTTTGCTTCTCTTGTTCGCACAAAGGGTGCTTTTCAGGCTACTAGTGTCATGGTAGCTTTGCTGTTTTCTCAGTAGATGGGATATTTATAACGCATCCTGAAGATATACTGCTTATTCTTGAGAGGGAATTCAGTTGTATTCCATATCATTGGCGAGTTCTTCATATTTGCTATACAATTCATTTGAGAGCGTCATTGCGTACGTGTAGGTATGCATTGCGGAACTTATGAGTGGCTCGTCGGTTCTGCGTCATCGCGGTACCATAGGATAAAGTGAAGTGGATGGTAACCACAGTATGCGCGTACACAGCGATTGTGAGTCGAAGATATCACTGGTGAGGAATTAGTCGCTCAACCATGGTACAGTTCAAGAAGGAGGAGCCATCTCATGTTGTTATTGGTACCTTCCATAGCTGTTAGCGTACTGCCTATATAGCCAAGTCCTCTATAGCATTCATTCCACCACTCTTATACTCCAACAACAGTTTAGGATACTGTTCTCGCTTTCGTATCTTCCAGCCTTCCATCTTTCCTTGACCTCCGCAACTAATAAACTCTACGAATACCTCCCGGGCCTATCTTCATCGCAACTTTTGTTGTCACAAGCACCTACATATTCTCCAAATCATCTTCCCAACTCTCGGTATCACCACCATGGCTGAACACAAGACCATCCAGAAGCACTTCCCTGCGGCCTTCCGCAGCATGCGCTGCCTCTCTTGTGGCCACGACACCACCAAGGGCAAGGTCTTCCGCAACATTCTTAAGCCCGTCTCTTCCAAGGCATGCCTTGGTGTAAAGAAAATTACACTACACTGCAAGTGTCCCGGTTGCGCCACCGCGATTATCATCGAAACTGATCCCAAGAACGGGGGCTACCGTATCGTAAAGGAAGCAAAGAGCTGATACGACGCATGGAGAGATAACGAACGGGCAAAAGACACTGAAGAGCAGCGCCTAGATCGTCTTGAATTCGAAAAACAGGGTGAATAAGATGTCGATCCGACTATGGAGACACTATAACGCCGAACTGATGACGCATAAGTCGAGGTCGCTGTTGCCGATGCGTTGGACGAGATCAGAGCAGCGGACGCACGAAGAGAAAAAGTTGATGCGAAAAGTACTGTGATTGCTCTTACGCTGTTGAAAGACGCTGAGCATGCTGAATATGCTGAGGTTGCGCGGGCTGCGTTCAAGGGTGCAAAGAGGAGCTTACCAGGCTCGGAGTCACAAGAGGAATCGTCGGGTGTGGAGTTTTCGGCATCTAGGCCGGCGAAGAAGGTTAAGAAGGATTTTGCGAAGGCGTTTAACATTGAGAGAAAGATGGATAGTATTTAGTAGCCAGCTGATAGGCGCACATTATGATACACAGAGGATTATTCCGATGGACTACTCAATAGAGGCACATCAGTCTGCAAATCTCAGTGAGTTCGAGTCCGATGCTGCTGATAAGCTGTCCATAAAAACCGATTCAGCCTGTTCTTTCTTGGTTGATCTGAAGTGCATCCATCGACGTGGACCTAATCGCCTAAGCTTCCTCATCCGTTCGTACCCCCCTGCCATCTCGTACCACATTTGACACTTGAGTAGGCAAACTTTTCCTGTTCTGCAGCCAAATTTGGGTGGATCTAGGATTAGAAAGATATTGAGTAGATAATGGCGAAATGCCTTTTGGTTGGTCTTGTGCATGTCCTTTTCGAGTGATGACTGCCAAAACCTTACCGCCATCATGCATGATTTCTGGCTCAGATGATTGAAGCCTCTGAATTCGCGCAGATTGTTCCGGTAAAGCTCATTCGTAGTACATATGCTTTCGACTATCTTCGGAAGAAGCATGATTAATACATCTTGCGGCTGCATTGAGTAATCAGGAAGTATCCGCAGTGACGGATGGAGCATACCCATCGTTCCGAATACTTTGTCCCGCACATCTGAGCATTCTGTATGTGAAGCGAGACTCCAGATATCCCACCAGTCCTCGCACATGTCATTCCGCGCACGGTTGATATCATATATTCGATCATTTGCATTGAGCACATCCATACCCTTCCATGAAGGATCCAGGCTTCCCCACGCGTCGTTCACTCTCTTCAACCCCGAATAGAATGTGTCCCATGATAGGATATTCGAGCCAACGCGTATATTGACAGCCTTACCGAGCACGATCTCTTGAGTGACCCATAGTCTTGACCAATATGGAAGGCACAGAAGGCGACGCAAACATGGTATATGTGTACTGAATCCCTGCTTATTCACACTCAGCTTTGGGCAGGGTTCCTGAGTCGAGAGAGCACTCTCATGGACGATCAAATCTATAAGCTCGTTGCTACCTTCGAACTCTGAACCAAGCCAGACCTCTACAGCAGTTGCGCTGTAGATTTCCGCCATTTGGCTGACCTGGTGGGTCTTTTCGTCGTCTTTTCCTTGATTGATGCAAATTTGATCGATCCAGAACCAGGTTGAGCCACAGGTTCGTCTGATTTTCAGAAAGTCGTACAGATTTTGCCGAACTGGAAGCCACCCTCGGCATTCCGGGCTTGTAACAAGTACGTCTTGCGCAGGAAACTCGGGGCCCCAAGTATACGATAATGCGACGAAAGGCAACGTTTCTTTGAAGAAGTCGTTATAGAGAGCCCCACTCCGCCATTTAGAACGCGGATGGCCCTGAGCTCTGAGTCTAGCTTTCTCCTCTTGGTAACGAGTGAGAGCATGAACATGACTACTAAAGTCTATGTGCTTTATGGTGATCTGAATTGGACTCTCCAGGTCGTAACTCGGTTCGATTGTCAGCAGGCGTATCTCCTTGTGTTTGAAGTTCAGCGGAGTGTGTGTGAATCGCACGTCGGTAGGCGGCAGCTCCATCGGTACGATGAGGCTATGTGCGGATGTTCGTTAGGTAAGCTGTCAATACGCGCGGCCCTTTGAAGCGAACCCTGGACTTCAGAGTGTGCGTTGATAACTTGCTCTCTCGCTAGACTGATCGTATAGTGGGCAGAATCCGTGGTGCAAATCGATTTGCGAGATCCGCATCGTGAAGCCCGTTGTCGTGTATGATAGACCAAGGCAGCTGTGGGTTCGAGCAGCATTGAGGCGGAGTAAACTCATGAGGCTGAAGCCCACACGCGGCTGACTTGGCCAGACCCTTGGCCCCACATTCCGTCTCTCAATATTAACTGGCTGCACGCCATCAGCAGCGTGTAGAACATCAGAAGACGACCTAAAACTCGGGTAATCAGTGCTTTTACACTTAGTAGCCACAAATTGAAATGGAAAAATCCTCTAATATCCTTTCATCACACCAAGGACGTGGCTTCTTCAGACTCCCGAGGTCACTTCCACCCGTATGGACCCTGTGCAGCTGACTAGCCCATCGGGATACCCGCGCACTAACCAAATCAGACTGACATCTGGAAAAGTGTGTACTTGACATCCCATTTAGGTCGACTTGACTACGAGCTAGAACAAATATTGTCCCCTTTAGCAATACCCAAAGATGAATGCCGAAGCTTCAATTATGTGGCGTGCTGAAGAGCTCGCCTACCCTTCATCTGTCAGGGATAGCAACGACTCGAGGACACAATCTCCAATGTCTACTAAGTATTTCCGGCAAGCTCAAGACGGCGTGCCCGTGTGCGGACAAACTGCATCGCTCTATAAGTAACCCAGTATGAGGACGTCCGCAAAGGCATCTTTCACTTCATATTTCTTTGACAAAACTTCCTTTCCATCTTTGAATTACTTCCCTCTTGTATATATTGTCTCACCATGGGCTTCTGGAGCGGTATTGCGGATGCCTTTTCACGCGATGGAAGCGCAACACTCTTCTGTGAGAAACTTCCAGTTGTTGGATATGTCACCGCAGGTGTTCAGTTCGTAGCAGGCAACCCTGAGCATGCGAAACGCGCTGCTGCTACAGCTACAAATTCCACACTCACGACTGGAGGCGCTGCCCTTGGGTTTATGGTTGGCGGACCTCCGGGTGCTGTGGCTGGTGCTATGCTGGGATCGACGGCTGGCATTGGGTGCGAGTACGGAATCAGCACGGCCATTAACGATGAGGGTGTGAAAGGGAATGTGGGCGAAGTGAGCATCAAGAAGATCGTTGTTGATGGAGCGCTGTCTGGAATACTCCCCGGAGGACAAACAGCAGTTAGCAGAACGCTTGATAGCGCAGTCGGTAGCATAGCCCCCAGGGAAGATGTAAAAACCGGCTAGCCCAGCGGTCTAAACATATCTTCTTACAGTTGTTTACACGTATGCTATCTTCAATACCAATCTAAGAACTTTCGCTGACCAGATCTAGTAGCCTAGTAGGTATCCCCCAAAACCGATTAAGCGATGTGATGGATAACGAACCAGACACAATTGAAGAGAAGGACCTAGTACGAGTAGCATGAGCAATGGTATCCAGGATCGTTCAGCTACTGTCAAATACTATCGCAATCGGAGGACCACAAACAGATGTTATGAGAGCTTCTAAGGTCTTAGTGATGGCGATTGATGTATCAAGGCATTCGATAGACAGATATGCTTCTATACGATGTGAGCCCGTTTGGACAATAGAGGCCGATTTTACGCTTTCCCTGAAGAAGGTCCATGTTGCTACTTGTAATGCGTCTGCCTGCTGATCTCTAACAGCCTTTGAATAAGGAAATATATTCTTCGCATTCTCAGGTTATAGTCCCCTATAGCAATGAGTTACTATCGTATACAGCATTGCTAAACAGTTTTGTGCTTGAATTTTAGCACCAACACGTTCATCGTAGCGATGTTGGAATATTCTGGTGGATCTTTTTTTTGTACTACTGCACAGCAGGTGTATCCTATCATGCAACTTAGTAGATATGCCAATCAAGGGTATTATTTATGCTTTACATCAACACTATAAAAGGAAAGCGGGTATGAAATTGGAGAATACATATCAGCAGTCTATAATTGTGTGAGGTCAATAGCATCCGCTCGAACTATTGAAAAATATGTCCGAAGGTGCCAGGCCATGAGCGCCGTACATCGGTGACTTTGCTGTATCTAGCAGGGAACATCAGTACATGTCGCTCTCATGCTACATTTTCGACGTCTTACTCGCTCGCTCAGCTGAGTTGAGGTGGCATGACGACTTCCAGGTGATGGACCGTCGGCGCACGCGAGACATCCACCAGCGACAAGGTATCAATTCGCCTTGTGAGTGCGTGACTGCCCACATCATCGGGCGTTTGATACTCAGAAGTTGGTGTTGCGTGTTCGTCGATGTGATCAGAACCTGAGGTATGCATATGGCAGCGGCAACGGTTCAAAAAAAAAGCCTTGCGATAGACACGCGTCTGCCACGAGCGTTTGCGGATGTTGCTCCGATCTTGAGTACCACTCCATAGGGGTTGAGTGAATCCACAGTCAACCATGACAACCGTCTCAGAACCATTAAAGATAGTGGTTGCTTAAACTGGTCGCCTGGGGCCTCGCCCCATCGACGCATTTGCCACAGCGCCTACTTACAGACCATCTACCTGGACCAGTTCTTCCCGCATCCGCAAGGCAGCCATGAACCACTTACCAACCCATACACGCGCGCTCTATTCATGGCGTTGAGGAATCGAGTGGATATGAAGCTGCATGAGCCAGTCACGCAACCGCCCGTCCCCTAAACAACGAGGGACCTTTTCTTAGGCCCACCCCCGCAGCGCCGCACAACCGCATCGATGACCTGCAGTAGTTTCTTACCCGTGCCGCTCCCTGGATCTCGAAAAAAAGAAGCCAGAGCCAGACGAGATGTAAACATGATCTTAGTGTTGATGACCCAAGGACCCAGACGGCCTCAGGGCGTAACGCGCACGCGTTGTTGGCGGCGCAATCCTCTTCGTCAGCTGTGCTGCATCATCAACCTCTCCGCGATATGACCGGTAAGGCAGTCAATCAGCCATCGCCATCCACCGTCCCAACTTCATGTCGTCAGCTGATAGGATGCGGGATGTGTACTGTAAAGAATGGGTGGGGTAAGGTATTGCTGCACTGCCAAAATATTTTTTGTAATGGTGAGGCTGTTTCATATTATGTTTTGTGCTGATGGGTAATGGGTGGAGAAGCGAGTGGTGAGGCGGAGATGGCCACCGCCGCATTGCCGACTTGAGCGAGGCGGTTGACGAGGATCCCGTGGCTATGTACACACCACGCAGTCGCCCAGCTAAGCGCGAGGGTTGACCTTGTGTGAGAGCCGGGTATGAGGCTGCTCGCCATTGCTGATGCATGGTGCGCGCTGTAGGAGTGCGAAACATGTGGGTAACGTCAGGCTGGCGCGGGTATTGGGCTTGCATGCGACGGGAGTTGGTGCTGGTGGAAGAAGTGGATAGGTAGAGATGTATTGGGGTCGTCAGGTGACAGTTAGTTATGCGGTGGGCGAAACATTTGATGTAGAGAGATGTGCTGGCTGTATTGGTGAGGCTGTAGTTGCTTCGTGGTGAAGTTTACAGTAAGACTGTGTAAGCAGCTCACATGCCGACTATCGGATTTGGACGACGTCTTGCGCTTTCCACAAGAGACTACATTGCACCTATGCCACTGGGAGACGCATGTCACATTCATAGCGATGTTGAGATGTATGTCACGATGTTCTTCCCGAGTCACCCACCGAGCATCCTACGACAGCTCAACAGAAAGCATGCAAAGACCGAGTGCGAAGCCCGAATGCGCAAGAATTTTCAATCATTGCACCGAACTTGCTCAGGGCACTTGACCACTTCACCATGCATTCTGATGATCCTGCGTCTCGCTGCCGGAGTTCTGCCTTCTAGTCGGACCTAACTGTGGAAAGAGACGGGAGATTACTCGTGGCCGCTGTGATCTGCAGACCCTCAGCGAGGCTCAGATCGAAAAATCCCATCATAATCACGACTAAGCTCAACGCGAGCAGCTGTACTCATCCAGAAAAGCCATGGAACAACACAAGGGAACCGCAAAAGGTCCGAAGTCCCTGCCGATCCAATCTCCTCACGGGCTGCTCGTCTGTAGAGTTTGGTTCGGTGGTTAGTTGCCGCCGACTAAAGGCTGCTAGGGACGAGTGTTTCGTCCATCTCGATTGCAACCGACGAGTTCAACCAAGATAGGGTCTCACAAGTGACGCGTTAAATTTCACACAGCGCCAATGAGCCGGGCCCCAGACGGACTCTCCAGATTCCGCTCCAGTGAACTATGGTGGAGAACACGGGCGGCTTTAATTCAACGCGTTTCGTGAGACCGCTTGACGAAGGTTCCATTCTGTCGTTATTGCTGGTCGGCCGCGCAGCACATGTTGTTGGGACTGACATATTGGCGGGGTGTATTGACGAGTAATCTAAAGATACAGGAGTTCTGGCATGGACTCCGGTTGCTGAGGTATCAATTCAAGAGCAATGTATTGGATGATTTGATGATGTTGGTTGAGATGAAGAACGTTTCTAGAACGGCTGATCAGACCCGGAATTCTCGCTGGTGCTGGGTGGATAGCTACGTCTCTGCTACAGAGCCCACAAAACCTGCGTAGGCATGTGGATGCTGATCGGACCCTTGAGATGCGGTCTCTTCGGAAGTGCGAGTTGTGTAAAGATCTGACCTCAGCATGCTGTATCAGAATAAAGTGATGTACAGGGTCTTGCATCACAGGCCGCCCAGCGTGATGACGTCCTGGGCGGGCATCAGCACTGAAGACGCGCAAGCTAACCCAAGCGATCATCAGCTAGTAAACGGCCTGCGTAAACCTTACAAGAAATCGTAAGATGGAATCCACCTGGGGGCAAACTTGGTGTGTCGGAACGGAACGCCCCAGATGTGTAGTTATTGTAATGCATGATGATACAGCCATATGACCCTTGGAAAGCTTCCGGAGTCGAGTCCATCCATAGCGACAGCGAAACGTTGATGCCTGCATGCCTGGAGATCGACCAAAGAACCTTGGAGAGTTCGGACCGACTGGGAGCGGTGTATACTATATTTTGCTATACGGCACGCTCGACCAATGGTAATGCAAATCGCCATAAGGCATGAGGTGGCGAATGGCGGTTTGCCGGCACTTGTTAATCGCCAGAGACTGCCATTCTAGTGGAGCCAAACAAAGGCTGAATAACACAAGGAAAACGAGGCTGTCATGCTGTCATTTGTTGACGACGAAAATCTTTGAGTGACCATAGGATCTGGAATTGACTGGACCTGCGAGTGGGTGAATGATCTTCTACTACGGTCACTGGCGCCGTCTGTTGTTGACTCCAGCCGCAGACGCCACGTCGCAGGATCTGTTAGCCATGTTGACTTCCCCGATGGGCACGACAGATCGATTGGATGTTTCCTTGATCACACAGCTGCCGTTAGAGTTTGAGGGCGCAGGAGGTTGAGATGGCGGGGCAGTTTTAGTTTTGGTGGGTGTCAGAGGTTTAGTTATCGATAAGGCTTATCCTGCAAAGTCCTTACCTGGCATTTGGCGGTGAAAGTGCGACTCTCGACCACCTCCACTGAAACGCTCGAGCTTTGTGGAGAACGCCTGTCCGGCAAGGAAAGCATGCACGATTCTGAATCAGCAGGATCGAGAGCGTGCATTGTGCAGCCTATGGCGGGTCGAACGGATCAAAGCAGACAGCACACGATACCTGGTAGTCACGGATGGGCACTATTGCAAATTGCATGTTGTTGTGCAGCGCGCTCACAACTTTCCAAGACACAAAATATGCGCTCTATGAAGAGATTGCTAGCGGCTTGACAAATTACCGCACACGTCGAGCGGCTGAGCTATCACCCGTGGCCACGTTCGTGGGAACGGTTCCTTCATCTCGAATACCAACAAAGTTTCTGGCCGTGATATTGACCCGCAACCAGCGCAAAGGAACAATTTCGCCCAGGACATGATCTTCGGTCCCTTTCACTCACAGACTCCCGCTCGTAGGTTTAGCCTACGGGAGGCGGACTTGGCTGGTATCTGTGCTTGTGCACGGATGACGCTGGAGAGCAGAAAAAGAATTGAAAGCTGCAGGTGCTTTGCACGGCTATCTCGCTTGTGCTGGGGTCAGCATCGTAATCTGTCACCCATCCCAGCGCCTGCGACTCATATGTGTACAAGATGAGTCGGCTATTCTTCCAACGGGCATGGATACGGGATGAGATACGAGCCGGTAGAACGCTCTCTCGATCTGGAAGTCTTGGAACATGTTCTATTCGATGGCAGCTGTACGATCGATGACTGGTAAACGACAGATGAACAAAAGTTCGCCCCAAGGTATTGCGCAATAAGCCACGACATCAACAGCTGAGCGAATAGCCGGTGTGGGTGGAACAGCAAGACAATCATAGGCGGTGACTGCCAGGTCACAAGGCCATGACTGGATCTAAACAACACGTAGGTCTAAGGGATGACTCGAATGATGATTGGCACAAAAGTACAAAATAATCTCCGCATTAATTGGCTAGGCGGAGCAGTCTCGAAAATTCTGGTGGATGCTGGTGCGCCACTGGCGGGCCCAAATCGTCCAGACAAGATTGCCCACGGAGCCGAGCGACAGGGTGTGCTCATGGCGAACGGTTCGGTTAGTCATCGAGGAGAAGCAATATATTGGGCAAGCCAATGACAAGCAGCTACACAAACAGGGCGAAGGCCGGCGCAACAAGGTTGGAGGACGTGGGAATAGACTGGGCCCAATCGGGCATCAAGTGCCATGTGTCATCGCCAACGCTCTTTTGGCGGTCCCAATACTGGAAGCAGCTCGCCCTGGCACGCTGCAGCAGTGCAGCAACGGCAATAGAAGAAAATTGAAGGACAAAGAACGATGATCAGAAGCGCCGGAAAACGAAAGACAGGCCCACCAACTCGAAACCCGAAACGTGACCGCGGGTTGGTGACAGGCACTGTGCCGTCCTCTAGACACAACACCGGGTTCAGGCAGACGGGACGAAAGGTCGTCTGGCGGCATGACAGTCAGAGATGCAGAGCAGTGCCGCAGCGTTGCGAGATCGTCGTTTGGACGGGCTGCATTCGTCATGGGCCCTCGGAGCCAGCGAAGACTATCGAACGCCGCCCGTGCGCTCGCGGCTTTTCGAGACGTCGTAAGCCTGGGCAGGCTTTGCAGCGTGTTTAGGGAGGCTAAGCAGCGCTAGGCAAGGAACTGCATAGCTGCGTCTGCTTGGGGCGAGGCGCGGTCGTTTGGGAGGCTTGGTGGGCCCGTCTAATCGGCCGGTGACTTTGTGCTGAGATCAGGGGGCCGCGCTCTGGCAGAGGCTGGGGAGGCAACGAATGAGAGGGTCGAGCTGGGCCAGAATTGCCTTTGACATGTGTCCTCTCACTGCGGGCTGACGAGCGCGTGTGGAGCGAGCAGTGAATGGCCACGGTGGAGCGACAATCGAGGCGCCACACACACAGCGCGCGGGTCCGCTTGCACCGTCTTGCACGTAGCTCTCTGCACTTGTCGCGTCGAGAGCAGGCCTGTGTGTCACCCTCTCGGTGCTGACAGGCGTCTGATTCGCCCCAAGTCACAGCCGCCCGGTGAGCAGCGGAGTCGCAGGCGGCATGATTCAGGTGAATCAAGGACAGGCCCCGGCCGCTCGGTAGCTGCATGACTGTCTTTGTTGGACACGGCCTAGCGTCCAACTGGGTAAAGACGGCTCACACCACTGCACACCCCGGCTGCTTTCACTCTCGCCTCCCTGCGCGCGTTGAGACGAGCTTGCGAGCCAGGGTGGGTTGCGCGAGTGGAACCACACGTTAGCGTCTGAATGTGCGTGCCGGAGGCCATGGCACACATCGCTGATGGCCTGCACTCGCTCTGTAGCCCCATCCTTCTTCGTCATAGCGCCGCTCCTTCCCTATATTTACGAAAAACCGGGGCCTCCAGTCGAGCCAATAGCCACCTGGGCCCTCCTGCGAAGCCTCTCTTTATCACTGCTGCCCAGCCGTCCGTCCTCATACACATACATCATATCCCGCCTCATCCTCTACCACTACCACCACCACAACAACCACTACCTTCCTCCTACTACTACTCTACCTCCTCCCAACACATTCCTTCTTCAACCACAACCCAACAACTTCTTCGCTCTCTGTCAAGCACTCTTCACACCACAGCCTCTTAAACTCACTCAACCGTCTCCACCTCCAAGTCACCTGACTTGCCGGATCCGGTTACTGCTCTATAATACGTTCTTCTCTTTTCTGACTATTCCATCCGGGACTGTTTGCTGTTTCCACACGGACCAGGTCAACCTCCATTCTCCGGATCACTCTAACATCGTCCTTGAGGCCTTCATTGGACCTGCGAGGACTTCTTCCACTTCCCTCTTACAATATGTACCCAACTCCCCCAGCATCCCCAACCCAAAATGGATTCTGCGCACCCGAAGACCGCCTAGGTCAAGTTCTAGCTGGTCGACTCCAGTTGACTGGCATTCTCGGTGTAGGAGCTTACGGCGTCGTGTACACAGCCGTGGACATCCAGACCAACATCCCATATGCCGTAAAGGCACTCAACAAGGTCGGTCTTGAGCCTCGCCAGAGGAAGTTCCAGCAACGGGAGATCCAGCTCCACCACCAGGCCAGCGCTCACCCCAACGTTGTCTCTCTAGTCAAGATTATGGACGCTCCTGACTGCACATACGTTGTCATTGAATACTGCCCAGAAGGTGACTTGTTCTCCAACATCACCGAGCAGGGCAAGTACGTGGGTAACGATGCCATGGCCAAGCGCGCTTTCCTCCAGGTTTTGGATGCCGTTGAATACTGCCACTCTATTGGAATCTACCACCGGGACCTCAAGCCAGAGAACGTACTAGTCACTGACCAAGGAATGACTTGCAAACTTGCCGACTTTGGACTTGCCACTACCGACCACGTCACCTCTGACTTTGGATGCGGCTCGACTTTCTACATGTCTCCAGGTATGTTGATCTAACCTGACTCAGCGAGTCACGTGCTAACTTTGGGCAGAATGCCAGACATCGGCACCCAAGGCCTACTCATGCTACGCCTCAGCGCCCAACGATGTTTGGAGTCTGGGAGTCATGCTTGTCAACCTCACATGCGGACGCAACCCATGGAAGCGAGCTTCTTTCGAGGACAGCACCTTCCGCGCCTTCATGAAGGACCCCAAGTTTTTGAGGACCATCCTTCCTGTTTCCACCGAGCTCGACGCCATTCTCAGGCGCATGTTCGAGTTCAACCCTGCCAACAGGGCAACCATTCCCGAGATTCGTGAGATGATTCTCCGATGCTCATCTTTCACTGCCACAAAGTCAGCGGTCGCAACGCCTCTGTCTTCTCCTCCTTTCAGCCCAGTGGACTACAGCCGGGATGCCGCATACAACGCCTACTACCAGGCTCCTGCGGTACCCCAGTTTGCTCCTCTCCCCGGCTCAGCCTACGCCCCATCACCCTTTCAGCACTCTACCTCATCTGGAAGCTCTAACTCGGACAACGACTCTGTCTTCTCCGCGTGTTCATCTGCTTCATCCGCATCCTCGACATCTTCGTACCAACACGTTTCCTCTTCTCAGGTTCCCAAATTTTCTTCCCGAGTACCGCAGCCTCAACAACAATACGTTTCTCAGCCCCCTGCCAATACGTGGTTCCAGCCATTCATCCAGGCGGCCAACCTGGTCAAGCATGTGTCCTTCCAGCCTTCTATGATGGCCCCGGTCCACGTCTACTAGGCCGCTCTTCTCTTCTGGCCCTTTGGATCCTTTTTATTACGATATGCTTCTTCACGATGTGTTTATACAATTTTCGAAAAAGTCACGATGACACGAACAGCGATTGATTTCTCGTTCGGTGTTGGTGCGGTTTGTTTTCTTTTGGCGTTATAAAACTAGACCAGTCCGGACGATACTCCGGCTCTGGACTTTTAGAACTATCTGGCTACTACGTTTAACTTGGGCAATCGCCTTGATGGCACGGAGTTTGAAATTGGGGTGGCAATCAACAATGTCTGCCACGTATATTAGGAGTGGGGTCAATGGGCATTTCCCGGAGTTGTTCTTGTTGGGCTTTGAACCAATAGAGGTTCATTACCATCACGTTCGTTCGAATTTCACATCAAGAGATACCAGAGCACTAGCTCAAAACTGTATGGTAGTAGGTCCCACAAGGAGGACAGCAATATTTGCACTGCGCAAACTCAAACAAATGCAAAAACATACAAGCGGTCGCCGCGACGACAGTCGCGAGCAGACTAAGAAAGCCACATATTCAAATCCCATCACTTGACCTGCCTTCGCTTTGTTGACATTGCCTTAGCCCATGTTTCTCTCCACGATGTTCACACCGAATCTGCGCTTCGACCACACCCAACGTTGTCGACCCACTCACACAACGCATCAATCTGCAGCCACCCTGCCGCAGTTCTGCACCCAACCCAAATCGTGCATACACTTGCGCAAGAGATCAATCTCGTACCCAACCACTTGTCTTGTCACCCCACCCAGGCTCCACGGCCTGGGCATCATCCACATGCATCCGTAAAGTCTCCATCGCGATGAACGCTGTAAGCCTAGAGATATCAGCGAATCACAGGTTTCACCAAGGCCGATGTGTGCATGGCCATCTGCGTGCTGAGCATGCAAGTGTGCAGTAGCCTGCTTGACTCGACGGGGACTATCACGCCGGGATTGCGCCCTGCCTCATCGATCTAACTGCTAGAGGTCTAAACAGATGTGTAAGATTACTAGGCGCACATCCAAGGGGAATTATGGATGGAAGGCTGCGGATACCGGATGCAGGTCGTGGCCGATTGATGACCTGAATGAGGGATCGAGACTCATCTCTGCGCTTTCTGTCATGCCCTTAGCGCATATCTTTGTTGGGAGAATGGAGGCGGCCGCCTAAACGGATTCCTCAGGCCACGCGATGTACAACTAAATGGAGGTTGGCGAGGCTATGCTAAGCTACTTGTGGCTGAGATGGTGTACTGTTGTTATTGACATGCTGTTGGACCTGCGCGGCAGTCGTCTCAGGATCTGATCCTGCTGCTGTTAGAGGCATACCACGAAACGACACGCAGGCAGTCGTAAAAATGTCTCGGCCATACGAACGCCATCACCATGGTCCTTGTCTCGCTTGTTGGCCGGTCAGCTGGCCATCGAGGAGGGCTGAATCTCCAGTCAACCATCAAACGTTCTTCAGCTTCCGTCGCCCTTGTGTCGTGTCGGCTACCGATGCTTCCAAGACACCTTAGCATGTCGCGTAAAATGTACATCCGCGTACAGTTGCAGTGAGGCGTCACCGGAAAACTTGGTCGACACCAATCGGCACACGGATTCAGGCAAGGAAGGGCACCGTTGCAAAGAATTTGTTTTTGCGGCCGCCAATCCTTCGTCATATGACAAGCATGGTGGATATCCGAAGAGGGAAAAGCAACGGCCATCGCTACCGAAAATCTCTCAGCAATCAGCAAATACGTGCTCATTTCGTGTGGTGCTGCGCGCGGGTAATGGCGTCGAGTGACGTGCAGAAGGCTGACGGAGCAAACTGGTGTAAGGATGACATTATGCCAAGGACCGCGGCTGGTACGTGTGGCAATCATCATCACCAGCCCACACCAGCCCGCGCCGTTCCTTCTGCCGCTAGCCACTTTCCAGGAAGAAATCCCTCAACTCCATCCTTTTGCATCATATGCATCCCACCCCGCGGCCCTTTCGTCAGACAATGTGCATACCTACAACAAGCTTATTGTTCGTTATTGATCCAGCTGCGCAAGTGTGGCGATGGCCGCTCAACGTCTCGCCGAAACCAGGTCCAGACTTATTGATGCGATTCAAGTGCCTTTGCCCATTCGCTGGGTGAATTGCATGCATGTATAGGTATGCTAATCTTGTTCTGACTTAGGCCATATCCAGCAGGAAAATGGTCTTAGAAATTTTAGCATACGATAGGAACAAGTGCCCTGGTCGCTCAACGGCGTCAAAGATCTGCTATCAGCTCATATTGAACTTTATCGACAAATCCGACCCTAGAGAGCGTTGAAATCTCGCTTCGTACGGAATGACATCGTCCTTCGGCTTTGCAAAAATGGTGGCTGTTCGTCAATCACATGGACGTTGCATGTCACCCGTATACCGTACTTGCATCAATTTTCTTCTTCCGACTTCCGTACGCACCCCAGAAGTATGCTTTTTTCACGCCACGAATGCGCCTCGAATAGTCCTTTTCCTTAGGCGAAGCTCGCAGAACTTTGTTCGCTTAAGTTATGCGAGTGCGAGAATGCGATGGGCACTTTTCGGCGTCACAGATAGACGAATGAGCACGGTAAGCCGCATATTGGCAACTGACATCTGGTCGGGGATTGCTATCCTAGCTGATGTCAAGGCTTGAAAGTAAGGAGCGAATCTTGCGCAGCAAGCTTCGTGGCTTACTTGCCTTGTGTCACTGTGTCACAGTAAGTTGGGCCAACTCATCGGGTCTGCCGAGCGACATCCAGCCTTGCGGGTAGCTGTGCTTTTGGGACCTGATGCTCGGAATTCTGCTCTTTCTTCTAGCTGAGGCACGTCCTTTGCGCTGTGATCTTCCCTTTCCCAGGATTGGTACTATCAAAAGCATACATGCGTCGTCATGCGGCTATTCTACGCTACATGCCGACGGTACTTCGATCAGTCATCGTGTCAGACTACGAACAGCGTTGCCTCACGCTATAGACTCGAAACGTACGATCATGAGCTCACTTTTTTTCCTCGGACACCGGAGATACATAGCCAAGGTCACTAAAACTCCAGATATTCAACTTCTCCGCACGGTTGCTTCTCCTAGAGCGACCTCGAACCTAGTCGGTCATACAAACAACATGCAATGGCGCTACATGGTAACACGGTAGCCATCCATGTCTGCCTCCTCAGCCACTTGCGAGAAACCTTCCACAACACGACCAGATCGCTGCTCAATACTAGCACGATATCCCCACACATGGTACAGCATAACGCCGCCTCTCGACATATGCTGGTCCATCCCCCGTAACGGGACGCTCCTTGCTGCAATGAGCACCCCTGGAACCCCAGGTAATACAACGATAGTCCCCATCTAGCCTGCTGCAGACGACCGCTGTCTACAAGCGTATCACTACGTCTGAGTTTGCTACACTCGCCACACGAATAATTGGACATACCCTCTCATCCGCAGTCCCGCCCTAGAGACACAAGCGGCTTCCCGTACACATATGATCGGACCGAGAGAAGTGGTCAGAGTCCAGTAACACAACCCCCACAGCAAGGGGCCTTTGCATCTGGTTCTGTACGCATGAAGGACAGGTGTGAGACTGACAGCGGGGAGGTGTTCCGATGGGTGTGTATGCAACTAGGCGGTCTCCGAAAGGTACTCAAGGTCTTTCGCTGCTCAGCCTCTTCGCGCGCTGTACCATCTGCAACGGTTTGACAGCTCATACCGTTTCCATGCTTTTTCAAGATTGGCGAGGCCGCGAAGAAACCAACGTCGAAAATCGTCTGTAGGTTCTTTTTGCTTCTCCAATTAGTAAGGTTTGGCTTTAGGGCACCAACTTGCTGGCTACCCACGCGAAGCTGCACGGCCGTACGATCGACCTATGAGCACAGGGCGTTGGGCATACGAGAACATCGTACGAGCGCCCTCGTGGCCGGTGCCTAGCGCTTCAAAAGACGACTTGTCTTCTTTTCTTTCCAAGGTTCTCTTCACGTCATTCTAGATTCGATTCTACACGCCCAAACCTTACGCGAAGGTGCATGAACCGGGTAGCGCGAACCAAAGATCGGAACACTATTATCGTCAACACCGCCTCCCAACCAATACGCTCATAGGTGCTGCCTGTCGCCGGGATGACCGCATGGGTAAGGAAGCAGCTACCGGGCCCGCAAACGATCTGACAACGTAAAACGAGGATGCAGCGAGCCCGGCCAGGATCTACTGCACGCCAGCTAGGCATCCTTCCAGCTATGGGCCTCGCATATATCCGCCCGAAGGTATTCTAAGGATAGGCTTCCTGCGTCTGTAGCGGACAAGGCAACAGAAGAAAAGTTTGGGCGGAAGCATATGCAGCAACCGACCGAACGCTGGTCGGCAAACCGTGACTCACCTCTGAACCACTATACTGACCAGATAGTGCTCATTTCAATGTAGCTGTGTTACCGCATGGCGAGTATACACCTTGCGCAGTGTATGTACGCTGAAACAAATCATCTCTCCAGCCTGTCATTCACAGCCAAACACCCAACCCCCACCCACAACTTCACGTTCGCGCATCCCAGCACCCCATCCACTTCAAAAGCAAACAATAGGCTCAAAATCCAAGCCGCTTGCCCAAAGTCTGGATTCGTTTCCTGCACAAGGCACCTTGCATGCGCTATCTTCGCCCTACAAGCACCAGTCGTTCAGCGGCCATGCAGCGAGCGCTGTGCCTAGCCGCCTAGGAACCGTGCTTTACGCTCGAGTCTGTCACACGACACGATGCGGCGCGACAGCATGCCAGAAGGCTGATTGCATCGGGGAATTATGTTGCGCTAGGAGCGTTGGGCTGAGGTTGTCAGTGCGGATGGGGAGGGTTGGTGTTGTGTGACGGTGGTGTTCTAGGTAGTGCGGACGGTTGTCTTGTGTGCTTGGTTAGGCGCCAAGCTAGAAGAGGTATGCTAGTCATCGCATGGTGTTGTGAGCATGGTTGGTATGGACGTGGGAGATTAGGTATGTGTACAGTGTTTGGGTCTTTGTGGTGGTGATAAGCTGGCACTTTATCAAAGAGAGAAACTCAACATCTTCTTAGAGCAGTGTACTTCTTCCTATTACAATAAAGCGTGTTAAGAACTACACAGATATAGACTAAGAATATAGAAGTCTGTAATACTATTAATCTTTATGAGTTTTCTTATCATGAGCTATTGTAAGCTGTAAGGTGAAGCTTGTTATCTGTACACCTGTTCCGTTGTTCCCTTGTATACGGTGCTGATGAGAATACTGTATCATGAATGAGCGAACTAGAGAGTTACCATCAATAACAAATGCAGTCGCTAAATATCTACACGATTGTCTGAATGGTCTATACGGACAACACTGCGGTGTACTGAAGCCCGGCAAAAGTTAGTTATTGTTCAGCCCAACGTCTATATCTTCCCAGAAGTTCTAATCCTGATCTCCTTCTGCATCTTGGGGTGCCGCCTCCTCGCCTTCAGACTCTCCATCTACAACCGTGCTTCTATCACTGTCAACGCCCTCCTCAATCTTTCCACCCTCGCCCCCAGCATTACTCGACGCTTGCTCTAAATAGTGAACTCCATCCCCACGTGTACTTCCATTCGATCCTTCCAGTCTGAGTGTGAGCCTAGGACGTCGCGTCGCCGGCTCCATCTCCAGCTCTTCATCTGCCTCAACCTCTTCTACCTTGATCTTGATCTTATCAACAGCCTCCTTTCTGACTACAGCACCCCCACTACTCTCACCTCCTGGCCCACCAACGAATTGTATACCGACCGGGTTAAGATAAGTATTAATGTTCTTGAGCAAAGATGTCCTCCACCAATGCTGCACATCAGAAGTCTTGGCGATATGGAAGTGAAAGTCCGGGTACATGTCACATACTTGTCGCCATGTGGTGCTATCACCAGGAACATCGTTCTTGTTGCTACCACCGCCGCGTGGTGAGCCTTCCGTGCCGAGGTAAATCACATCACTACGTGTCCAGTGTGAAGCCAGGGCGTCAAAGAAGAGTGTGCGGAGTCCTTTCATGGCGCCGACATCGTGACTGTGGTAGCCTCTCTTGAGGGGTGCAGGAGGAGCGCCGGAGGAACCATCATCGGTCGTGAGCTTGATCTGCGGGTTCAAGGGATTGTCGCTTGTAAGAGGTTCCGAGTTGATGGTTACCACACGTCGTAGGTTCTCTTCTGTGGTATTGACACATACGTATGCAATATCACCGGCTCGAATAAGAGATTGTTTGGCGTCAGATCTTCTAGATTTGGCGAACGGTAGGAATAGATCGTATAGTTTTCGCATTGCTGCTTCCCAGTACTCATCTGCTTCTAGCTTAGCGGCAAGGAGACATGAATCCGCGTGTGCTCGTATACCACGGTACCCGGCGACCTGTGTGTTGATGCTGTAAATGTTTGAGTGCATGAATGAGACGAACTCGGCAAAGGAGTTGGGACTGATAGTTGGCAGTTCAACTTCTGATACTGTGTCGTCTGCGGCGATGATGGATTTGAAAATGTCAGAGTACCGTGACAACTTCGCTTTAGGCAGATACCAGGTTCGTTGGTTATTTGGCTCTGGCTCTGGCCCGACGATGATCTTCATAGTGCCTGGGATGGACGGAACACTTTCCTTGCGTGTGTCGGCGGAACGGTAGACACGTGGACCTTGAGACACTGTCTCAGACCTTGTATCGAACACTGGTACCATCAATGTGTTTCGAGGGTCTCTGTTCCTTTGCACTTTGGCGAGGGGCGAGGACGGAAGCATCGAATCGGCTTGTGCGAGTCTTTGCTGGCCGGTTGATGGTGATACAGGGCGCGGGATGCGAGAGTTCATGCGATATCTGTGAGATCGCAAGGGAGGGGATATATCATGGGAAATACTGCTGAACAAGTACGGATGACAGGTACAAACGGGCAGGTTGTCGCGTGTGTGCCCTTGGTGACTAGCGATAGTGAAAGAGACGTTAAAGAAGCTTTGTGGGGCTCAAGACAAGTGAGGTCGTACGTATGCGTTCTGGGAAAATTATATGATGATGGTTGTTTATGGAAGCATGAAGCTGCAGAGTAAGATGGAAATGCGTGGATGAGCCATCGAGAGAAGAGCTTGTAAGGTGTATGTCGGATCAGGCAGCTGCCCAATGTAGATGGTATAGGCAGTGACGATTCGGATCAATGTGACAGCAGTAAATATTGACTGCGTCACAAATTGAAGACATTGCGATGGGGTTCAAGCTCAATCATTGTTTGAGGATAACCACGACTCAGTCACTTATATGCCCAGCCTCGTCGGAGAGCACCGTCTTTTTACACAAGTCTAGACAGAGCCCAACTACGACTGCTGAGAAGGTAGTCTGCTGGCTATCGCTGTTTAATACCGCAGTTCCCTCGAATACCGTTGTACTAAGCATGCCGTCATCCAGAGATATCACCCATGCGCCCTACCCTCTGCTTCCAACGCCACATCCAGCGTACTGCTCTGCTCTGTACTCAATCCATCAACCTCAGCCTGCCCACCATAACGCTCTCTAGCACGCCACTTTTCGCCAAAAGTATAGAACACCCATGGTACCTAGATGATGGTGCACAAAGTCAACGTATGTCTCATATGCAATTTGTCTAGGGTCATTTCTTACCGGCGTGAATGCAAGGGCAATGAGCGCAAGTAACGAGAATGACCAGCCCACATCAAGCTTTTGGTACATCTTATGCGAGAAAAGAGGCGCAAGACCACCGACAAGCGAACGCATGACAGAACAGGCAGCCATGCCAGATGCAGAATGCAGCGGGTAGGCGTCGAGAATGTATGTACCTGTAAAGAACTAGACTGCAGATCAGCGACGGTGAACTCAGATTTGAGACTGAACTCAGAATGAAGCACTTTGGGGCGACATGAGACTTACGATAGCGCTCATAGCCCCAGCACCAAAAATCGCTGTTCCAATCAGCGGCACGATCCAGTGCATCCCATGTTGCGCAGTCCAAGCATATATGAACAAACCGATGCTCACAAGCGGCCACCAAAATACCATAGGTAGCAATCGGTTCTCCGGTCGTGTGTCACCTTTCAGTGCTCTTCGCTTGACAATGCCATCGCTAATCGCAGCGCCCCCAAGCATACCAATGAGGTTGCCGACTGCAGTGCCCAGATAGGCGAGGCCCAGACTTTTCGGCGCCCACTTGTATGTTTCGACAAACGTGGTTGGGAGGGTCGTGTACAGGACATAGATGTATCCGTAACCGATAGCAGTAAGGAGTGAGGTAAAGAAGATCGGACGTGACAAGAATAGCATGCGGAGCGGCATAAGCATCGCACTGCGAAAAGCTTCCAGCTTATCTTCTGCAATGTCCGCATCAGATCTTACTCGCAGGTTCTTATTCCCAGTCTCTTTCCGCAGTCGCACTGCTTTCCGCCGAAGTAGAACCGGCTCGTAGGTTTCCGACAAACATAGCATACTAAGGACTGTACCTATCCCACCAAGGATAGCAGTGAGATAGAAGATCCATCGCCATCCTTTCGCAGCATTGAGGTAGCTGCCTGCTGTAGGACTAATTGCTGGACCAAGGTTATATGCCAGACCTATCAATGCCATGACGCCTCCCCGCTTCTCTTTCACCATGAGGTCTCCGAGGCTTGATGGTGCAAGAGCGAATACACTACTTCCGCCCACACCAGCAAAGAACCGGAAAACAGCCAAGACACCAAGTGAGTTTGCGCGCCCGCAGGCCAAAGTGCATATGGTGAAGAGCACGTTGCACAGGTGGTACAAAGGCAGTCGGCCATACTGCTCGGAGAGGGGGCTAATGAGGAGTGGTCCAAAAGCGTAGCCTAGGACGTAGATACTCAGGACGAAGGCGGACAGGTAAGCGTCGGTGGATCTGAAGTCTTTCATGATCTCTGGAATCGCTGGGGCGACCACAGAAGACGTGAATGGCCTCCTACATGTCAGCGATTCATAGCTGCGATGCATCTAGGGTGTGATACTTACGAGACAAAAGACATGAAGAATATACAGGCGATGTTGATAGTCTTCTTCCATGAGGCGAAGTTTCTGGGGTTTGCCGCATCGTCATTACCATGCCAGTCGACTACACTTACCTGCCTCTCTTTCTCAGACACGAGTGAGGTGGGTGGGCTCTCCATGGTACTGCAATGTGACATGTAAATTCTCGGTAGGACTTCGCTCTGATATAGGTTCAAAGCTAGCAATAGTGGTAAGGGGTGAGTAACAAAGAGTTTTGGATGCAGTTGGTATGGACGTTGGGAAGCAATGAGTCTCGGAATGTAGCCTCAGTCTTTGTGTGTCCAATGTTCTAATGCCGCCTCCCATAAACATCTTTATAACAGGGTTGCCTTGTAATTACGTCGCTCGAGGTAAACACGGCTTGACGAATCGAGTGCCGGAATGTGTCGGGCTGGTATCGGAAGATAGAAAGAAAGCGAACGGCTGCAACTCCGGTGCCATGAACATGTCAAATTTAGGGCGATACCGGCTCTTGTTCTTACTGACGGGCTTCCAATTCTACGCATTTAGCAACATATGTGCCACAATGCACTGCTGCCGACTACTTAGGCGAGCATAGGATTCGATGGTTACGAACCAAGTAAGCATGAACAACCCTGAAGTCTATGTGGTGCTGTCAACTGCCACAGGGTACTTCTCCAGGCTCTCGTACCATTGAAGCGTGCTCCCTATCATGAAAGCCCAACTACCCCAAAAGGTGCTAAGAGAAGCCTGATATTGCGCCCAACTCCTGCTATCATACCCAAAAGCCGGACACAATGTGAAGCCTACACCTCCTACGAGATTCCAGGCGCCGACCCACCAACCGAGTGTCCGGGGAGCCGGTTTCCACCACTTGGACTGTGTCTCGATCATGAAGAGAGCGCCGGAAATGACGAAACCTAGACCGCCAAGAACTTGGGGAGTCCAGTAGAAAATGATGGTAAGCGTCTGCGACATGCGATTGTAAATGCCTGGTAGCGCTGTCAGACCCGCAACCCAGAAGATTGTTGCACCGAGCAGCTGGGAGAAGGAAGCTATGAACCCGAGATTGTGGATGTAGTGGGTTCGCAGTTCTTCGTTTGACGGCCACCATATCCACAAACGCTCTTGGGGCGCCAAATCGGACTTTGATTGTGTAAATTGCCGGGTGTCGACGGACATCTGTTTGTTGTGGTGGTGTGTGCAATGCGACTTTGACGGCCGCAGTGCTACGCGTTCTCCGCTTTCCTCTTCATGCGATAGAACCTGCTCCACTGCCCATCCGAAGCATCCCGATCTACCCTCATTCACAGCTTCTGCCACGAGCAGGAACGACCCCACTTCGAAAACAGTCACTCCGACAAACGCGGTTATGCCCCCACCATACAATTCCTCATTCGCGAATTCAGAACCCGGTCGCACCAACGGCAGATATACGAAGAAGGCATTGAATATCCATATCACACTGCCTATTGTGAAGACAAAGGCAACGTCGAATGACACGTCCCATATCGGAAAGTACGTGAACATGCGCCAGATGTTGCGTGCAACACTACGAAGGGAGGTAGTTGGGCGTGGGGTATCGTGCTTTGTCGAAGCGGTAGCCTGTTTGGATTCGATGTCTACTGCATGTCGTCCTTTGCGGTCATTCCGGGAAGTCCATTTGTACCGCACATCAGGACGCTGGTCGTGGCGGTAATGCGCTCGCGTAGGGTTGAGGAACGGTATCGGACCAGTGACGCGATCATGTTCGAGACGTAGGCCATCCCCGTGTCTCACGGGTTCACGAGCCGGGTGGAAGGTGTTGTTGCGTCGCGTTTTGCGCGTGTCTGGGCCATCGCGACTTGTCATATCAGCCTAGTCGTCTTCAGTTCGCATGAGCGTTGCTGTGTCGTTAGCATTGATCAAAGCTTTCTGTATCTCGCGAGAAAACCGGCAGAAAGCGACTTTGAACCCATGTTCAGACGCGTAGATGCTGCCAGCCTGCGTCATAGTCTCGGACAGATGTAGCGTTGCAGTTAGTCTGTTGATAGCCGACGCCGGCAGTGCTGAGTCAGCCAGTCCACTGCCTCGCAAACACCTCGCGAACCAGGTACCCTCAAATTGAGTGCTTGCTCTGGGATGACGCGCTACATGCGGATCATCCGCATAGCTGCCGTAGCTGTATCACCTACTTTCGGGTTCAATTTTTGGATTTTTTCTGTTCTGGCAAACATTTACTGGATTCTTCATAGCCTATACGTGGCTCGCACAGCTGCTTTGATTGTTGCGTCAATGGAGGAGGAGCGGCCCCAAGGTAGCAAGTGTCGAGGTCAGTAGTACAAGCTAACCGAGCTCCTTCAGTCGGCTGATACCAAATCAGAGCGATGCCAGCTCATCAGGCTGGAATCACACATCCCAGCCAAGGCAGCTTCACCTGAGTACATCTTTTCTCTCGCCTATAAGAAGCCCGTAAGTATACAACATTATATATCGGTCAGACCTGATGGTCTACAGCGGCCTATACCCAAAACCTGGGAATGGATGGGAACTAAGAATGGTACTGGTCTTCTCGATCTCCCACGGGAGTTGAGAGACATAATTTATGGCTACGTCTGCGACGATATGATCCACGACGGATATGGATGGCGCAAAGAAGACGAATGGGCCGATGACTTCGATCCGGGTGCTGAGGAGGATGAGGAACTTATATTTTACCAAAACTGCAACATTATGAGGATATGCCGACAAGTGCACTGGGAATTTACTGAAGTGCTCTATGCGCGGCCGCTACAACTTACCGGCGTCCCACCGTTCGGCATAGCCCATCATATCGTTGTTACGGGATCACATATCCTTCCGTTATCAAGAACATACGCACATTTTGTCAAGAAGCTGGCATTTATCCATAGCATAGGCCTTCAAGACTATTTAGGCGTGGAATCGCGAGGAGAGCACAAGGTTAGTGCTGAAGTTCTTTGGCTCGATGTTGTTACAGCAACGAGGACACTGCTGAAGCTTTTCCCTGCTCTACAAATCTTGCGCATTCTTATCACCAACGAGCCAATCGAGCCTGTGAATGACGTATTGCTGGCCATGCTCGGGATGCGCACGGATAGAAGAGAAGAGCCGGTCGAGATCGCAGAGGATGTAATCCAGGTAGTGCGCCAGAGCGACACGAGGCCTATTAAAGTTCCGCAGCAGCTGGAATTGTTATATTTGGAAGAAGACAATGGCATTGTAAGGGAGATGCCTTTGAGCGAGGCCTTGAGGAATGTACAAGCAGCAGAGCTCCACAAGAAAGAGCTTAGAGAAAAATCCTGAGACTGAGCTAAGATCAAGCTGAAGATGGTGAAAAATGGTGTGGTTCGCACTTAAAGAACTGAGTGTACAAATGTTGAACATGATTTTGATGTAAACTGCTAGTATCAAAACCGAAGACCGTATACACGTTCCAAGGCGTCGCAAGATTGTCGCTGAACGCCATCGCTGTGCTAATCATACAAATACAAACAACAGGACCAGCCTGATCGTCATGCCGCAAGCGACATCAGTTCACCTTTCCCTCTTTCTTCTCCTTCCTGCCCTTCTGCCTCTCATCAATCTTCAGCCCCCTAACCAGCTGCCTTCCCATCATCCTCGAGATCTCCTTGGCATAGTCCTTCATCCTCATGTTATTTTGCTCATCTGCGCTCTTCCCTTCATACTGCTTCTCACTGTATGGCGGTGGCGCATCCGTATACCGCGCGTACTCTGCTTCGATGCGCTGAGCACTCGAGTTGGTTGAGAAGTTGGAATCAGAGCGGTGCGCCGAGTGGTCTGACGAGTGCGTTGAAGGCGATGGGAACGAATGGTAGGATGATGCTCGCGCTGCTGTGTTATCTTCGGTGTCGATTGTAGCGGGTCTTTGGTGAGCAGCAGCGGCAGCGGCTTTGGCAACTGATGATGCTGAGTCGTGGCGAGAGGACATTCTAGAGGAAGGGGTTTCGCGTTCGTTGACGCTGACTTCTGGGTAGTGATCCATGATTCGTGTTTCGGTGGTGACTCAATGCCGACTCGTAGTGGTAGTGTAGGATCTAGAAACCACAATATAGGATGTTTTGAGCAATGTAAACGTGTATAGTATGGAGTGTGACTGTTAGCGTCCTCAATGATGAGTATGCTTATTGGTGCGGCCGAATGATGCCATCAGGTCGATGATGCAGGTCAGGACCTTTAAACGGTTGCCTACTCACACAACGCACATGATGTACCTGACACAGACCCATAGCAATCCTGTAAGACATACTAAAGACGTCATTGCAGCGCCATCGCGCAGCCCAGCCACGCTTTGCCTGTCGCAGTCCAGGATAGGAAATGATGTGTGGCTCATCAGAAGATCATGCCTTCCAGGCAGAATGCGGATACAACTCTTCTGCCCTAACAGGCTGGTCGATATGCTCCGCGGATGCAGAAATCCTTCATGAACCATACCATGACACGTGGAATGATGTTGGAGATGAACGTTGTCGGGGAGACGGCGAGGGAGCGAAAAGCGAGGCGCAAGCGAAGCGAAGGATGTGTGGCGTTCAGCATGGACGGGGCCGATGATGTCATTCATCACGATCGGCCGTGCCGTGTCGCACAAGAAGACCTGAAAGCTGATGTAGATCACAAGAGGAGACAAATAATTGGCATACGAACGATTGGGTATCTTAGTCCTCAAAGCGGACAGTGCGTGCAACGTGACAGAGCGTGAAATGGGTGAACAGGACGAGAAGCAGGTGCTGAGCCCCCAACAAACCTCTCACACCCTAACCAGACCCCTGACAGCGTTCTTGAGTTTCCCCAGACCACGTGAACTCTTCTTGAAGTCCTTCTGTCGCTCCAACTCCATGTCCGTCGGCGCGTTGAAGTTACCGCTTATTCTTCGAATCTGTCCCTGCGAGTTGTGGTGTGCTGGCGACGGCGAATAGTAATGCTCAGCTGATGAGAATCTCCTTGGACGTCCCGTGTCATCATCAGAGTATGACGATCTCAGATATGCAGAAATGACAGCTTGTTGAGACAGTTGCCCCTCGTCGGATGATCGTTGCGCATATGGTGGAGTCAATGTCTGGGGTTGATGCGACTCTGCGCGCTTGCGGGATGATGACATGGCTGCAGTACGTTGATTTGGGTCCTCGGGTATATCGCTCATGGAGTATCGTGCTGATCTAGAGTCAAAGAAGGATTTGTGGAGAGTGTAGAAATTGCTTACGACCATGTTGGGACCGCTCTCGCTGCTGTTGTCTTGTCTGTTTTTCCATGGTTGCACTTCGTTTCGCAAACCAATTCGTGTCGTATAAGAGTGGGCTGCTCTTCAATTTGGCACGAGAAGCTTGAGTAGATATCAAAGACGCAAATCGCAACGCTTGAATGTGATGGATCAAAGCAACCCCGAATTCTCGCAAGGGCCCTACCTGTTCATACTTATCAACATAGCCTTCAGGTACCTTCGGCCAATGCACGTGGTACCATGGTAATGCCAAAATCTAACGTCATTGACCCTGTCTCCCAATCAACTCTTCCATGCAGGAAACTACGAGACTCAAACTGCGGATCGGGGACAAGACGGGTAACCGGGCATTGTCTGCCTCGGGCGTCCCGCATGTTGCCAACTTGGCGGTAGTTGATGTCCAGTTAAGGTTGCCTTGCATGGCATAGTACTTTGTAGTGTTGGTGTCATCCGGAAAGTCGTTTCCGCGGATGAAACGGACGCAGGACGATATGACTGGTGGGGTTGGACGCAGGGCAGCCTTAGCGATGTTGCAAGCTCTAGATACGAGGAGATCAGCGCAAGGCTGTGATGGACATGCGAGATGGAGGGTTGAACGAGTGAAGTGTTGGACACATGGATTGATGGGCTATCATTGCGATATCTGCACGAAGGGCTGGTTGCGACTGGTCAAGCGACCTTCTTCGAAGAAGTAGCTATTGCAGCAGCCAATGAGCGATTCGGCTACCATCAGGATGCATCTGTAGAAGACTAAACGAATCGCATAGCAGGATGTAGAGAGGTGCAAAAATCTCCAATGCGACCAGTATGTGGAAGAAGAAGAGACGGACTTCCGGGCACTTCACTTCGCTATAGAAGTAATATCCATGTAGGTCCGATTCGTCCGAATAGCACCTCAAGATCTCCATCACCTGATTTACAGCATTTCCTGCGAAGGTGCGATCTTCGAGATCAAGATCTTTCATTTCGGCAAAGAAACATCTCAAACATCGGTTCCGCCCTGATTTGCAGGGGCTCATCTCCTCTTCCTCGCTTCGCACCCTCGTCACCCAGCCCAAAGTGGCAAAAAATCCTGCCAAACGGTCCAAACCCCTCGTCTCCCCTAACCCAACCTGCACAGCCAACGTTTCCCCGCGCTCTGCCCAGCACTGCTTTTCTGCGCAGCAAAAGATAATCCGCCCATCTGACCTTTCTTCTCGAACGAACAACTAGTATCCTAAACATAGTAACACACGTGCAGCCACCTCAAGATTTGCGAGGCTACGTTGGCGATTTGCTTAAGGCCGGCCGAGGCGCAGCAAGCCGTGCGGACGGTCTCGGATGCCTGACCGCAACGCGTCCCACAGTGGGCCTCCGAGATGATGATGAATGTGCGCTGACGCGGTGTTGCTCGACGGCTCAACTGCGACTCAGCCCATGTGGATATTTCAATAAATAGGAGAAGGATGGTACCACTTGGTGGTGGTTTCGACGAATTTTGTTATTACCGGCATTTCAAACATATATCGCATTGAGACTATTGGAAATCTTCAGCATAACATATAATCGCGCTACATCAAACGGTGTATTGCTTCTTCTCGCGTTCACAAACCAAGAAGGAAAGAGACAGTTACTTGAAGTAGCAACTTTCAGGTTTTCCGTACGTAGCAGTAGCACCTCCACATTCCAGATCCTGCCATCCCGCACCCGGGTTTCCGGCTGAGCAACGAAAAAGCCCTCAACAAGCATCATCCCTAACCCATTCCAGGGGTCCACGCAACTCTTCCAAGGCATTCATAAGCTCTGGAACCACGCCGACTATCCACGAACCAGTATCGGCGAACCCACTGGGACCCTGACAACCAAAAGCCCACTTCGTTCCTTACAGCTGTAAACAAAGGCAAAGCGAGGCTTCCGATCCCGAGCACGTATAGTACATTAGCATACCCGCAGATCGTTTTTACAAAGATCTCGTATTCAGAGCGGTACACTACTACCACAAACTTTCGGCTCTACCCACGCTACCCTACTGTACAACCAAAGAACAACGATCGACATACAACGGACCTGAAAATGGACGTCACTACCACTATCAACACACAATCGTCATCAGCGTCATCGTTACGAAGCTCATCGCCTACTACACCCATAACACCTTCCTCGCCTGCATCATCGGCAGGCGCTTCATACTTCAACGCACCAAACTCGCCGCAAATCCCTTACCACATCATCGTCACGTTCGACGGTAAAGTGCGCGAGATGATGAGGATAGAAAGGCAGGTCGAATATCCAGTCCAGGAACGCCGATCGCGGAGGCCGGCACCTAGGCCGAGGTACTACGCGAAGAATGCGGAGGAGCAAAGACCAGAGGCTAAGAGGGTTGACAGCGGGTTCAGCGGGATGTAAAAGGTCAAGGCTTGGTTTGGGAGGTTGGCAAAAACGGCGTTTACGATTTTGATGACTTTCTTCATGGGTACAACGGAAAAGGATCATACCACGGCTGTCGTCGTTGGCAGTCGGCGGGAATGCAAAAGGCTGGAGGCTACCTAGCTGGAATACTGTCAGTAATTGTAAACGTAATCAAGAACAATGGAGGTCTTACTGTGCTATCCAATGGATCCAATTCGAGAAGAATCCTCCTCACTCGCCAGCCTATTCTGCGATCATTCCGATTTTGGCTTCTTAGACGCAACTAAGACATCTCGATGCCAATGGTGCGCATCTCTTGCGCTAAATGTGAAGAGGCGGCCGAAGTCAGAACCGTTGGCGCCGTTGCGCGGGCTCTTGAGTCAGTGTGCCGCCAGCCAGGAACATGTCGTGCAACCGCTGGACTCGTGTATCCTGGGTGAGAGCGAAGGATCTGTCTGCTTCACTCATATCTTTGCGGGCTAGCACGATGATAGTGCTGACAAGGAGAGTTTGTAACGGGGTGAGACGAAGCGACTGAAGTTTCCGAAAGTAGGAGTGCCGTCCTGAGCTGCTTATCTTGCCGAGTAGTCTTATGTGTATCAGCTCTTGTAGCAAACCACGTAGCGAAGGCGGTAAAAATTGCCGGCGTAGTGTGCTGGTGCACTGAGTGGAAGAAGAATGCACAGGTGTTGTACAGTTGTATTTAAGAAGCTAAAGGAGTGTAGTTATACCTCTGTCGGCTGCTAATATACAAGATAAAGTTTAAAAACTAATAATTGCATGTTGTGTCTAGTTCTCTCCTCAGGTGTACAAGAAGCACTGAGGTTATCTTCCTCCGTACTGACTTTGCCTTAGTCGTGCTGAGGTGATGCTTTGACATCCTCGTGATAGTGTCTTCATACACTCCAACACCCGTACAGTAGTTCCGGACGGACATGAGAATCCAGCCAACGTTGACACGAGTGAGGCATCTCGTGGCGAATTAGTGTCGATGACAAAGTAAAGGTTCCTGGTGTCGACGACAAAGTAAAGGTTCCTGGTGTCGACGACAAAGTAAAGGTTCCTGGTGTCGACGACAAAGTAAAGGTTCTTGGTGTCGATGACAAAGTAAAGGTTCTTGGTGTCGATAACGAAGTAAAGGTTCACCCTTCATGTTGTCTTTTGTTACTGTTCGGGTTACCAGTCTGGCCGAGTACTCTATGTACGCTTTTCGATTCGAACAACCCATCTCTTCCGACCTTGGCCTGCATCTATCATCCAGATCCTGATCTTGTCCGAGACACAGTTACAACAGATGATGTGTATCCTGTCTTCTCGACCGACAACCTCGTTCGTCAGCTGTCTCGATGTAGGACCAAAGGGGGGATCCATTCCGCGACGACTGCGCGATAGAAGGACTCGAAGTCTCTTCAACTCCTCAGCCAAGGATGTCATGCCCTCGTATTTGAGACGGAGAGCCGCCCAATTCATCGAAACGAACAAAAGCAACTCATCGTAATCGGAGCGTGGTTCGCCGTCCACGGTGATGAAGTCTTGAAGGGCAAGACTTTCTGCGAGATCATTCGGCGATGCGACGGATCCGATCTTTGGCCATGTGATGAAGTGGAAGGGAAGCTCTTCCCGCTGAAGAAGTTCATAACGAAGGTTACTTGGATATCGTGGCTGGTAGTGTCTCTTGGTAAGCGCATTTCTTCCAAGCGGTTCTTCTGGGCGCTTATGAGAGGCCTCCTTCGTGTCCTTGTCGTCGAACGTCCGATCCCTGATGGTGCGCACAAGAGTGGGGAGTTGGACGTGACAGTTTTGATCAAAGAGCCATCTCTGCTCCGCCATAGGAAGATCAGCGTAGAGATAATACCACATCCATCTTGTAATAAAGGTTGGTGACGGCTTGTATTGACGGCATACGCTGGGCATTTTCATCAACAGAGGAGAAGCCAAAAGACACTGCATGCTCTCTTGCATCCAGGCAACCTCGCTGTCTACCACCGCTTCGAAGAGCTTGTACAACTGTGACAAGTCGCGAAGGTCAAAGTCTTGTCGGTCATGTTGCCCGAACAGTGTCACTGTTGAATCTGGGCTCTTTGCCGGGCGATTTACCCTGATGAGCGCACGCTGGCTGATATTGCTTGTATTTGGCATCTGAAACAATGGTCAGATTCTTATCTAGGAAGTCTTGTCGGCTTAGTTGCGTAAACTTACACTCAAGTACATGAACAACTGGTCCTTAGTTAGAGACCACGATGCTCCAGGCCAGAGGACACATGCAATGAGCCTTGTAGCATGATCACGTTTGGTGGCGGAGAAGGCGTCTTGCACCAGCCACGTACACGCTACCTGGAGGTATGGAGTAACGATCTCCTGTTTCCGGAGTTCTTCGAAGTAGCTCAAGTATTGGGCTCGACCGAGCGCGAAAAGCTTGTCCCCAAGGGTCATGGCATAAACCGGGTCACTGCCAGATGTGCTTGACGTACTTTGGTTTCCAGGAAGAGGAAGGGAGTAACTTATTCCGTTAGAAGTTGCCATAATTACGTCGAGCGAAGCCGGCCAGGGTGTGCGGAGTTTCCTGATGATCCGGGGATGAACAGTTGGGAGTTATGGGAAGAGAGAAGGCGATGGAAAGAGCGGTCAGTCGATAGTTGGGAGTGGATGCTGTCAAGTTTGCTATGAGCGAGCGGTGGAGTGTAGGAACCTGAAAGGCGCTGTGAACGAGATAGTTCTTTGCCGGATGATGAGGTTGAGTGGAGATAGCTTGGTAGTCGTGTTGGTCTGCGAGCGCGGAGGATACCGCTGTGAATTTTGATGGCTGCTCACTCGTATCGAGTAGCAGAGACACGTACGATGTCAGTGACTGTCAACATTCGTGTACTCGTGGTCGATGTTATCGAACAACCTCAGTTCTGTGCATAGAATTGAGTCGAGTGAAGAACATTAGTAAGATAAGCCAGTAGACAGGTTGGTTTGTGAGTAGTAAGAAGTAAGAAGGTTGACTGGAGAGGAAAGGAGAAGTAGTTGCTGGAGAGGAAAGAAGAAGTAGTTGCTGGGGGTAAGGGCTTCCGTTGAAGCGCATGAACCACCGGGGCGCCGTTATGTCAGCAGCAGCGAGGAGAGCTATGAACAGTGGGTTGAACACGAATAGTGATGCAAGTGAGGGGCTCTAAAGTCTCTGGTATATGCAGGAAGAGTATCCAAAGTGACCCATGCCGGTCCACATAGATATAAAGGCTTGGCCAAGCCAACAACTTGACCCAACATAGCGATCAACCTTGCAGTCTCAGTGGCATACCACCCAAAAAACCCATGAATATACGGGAAGGTCTGTAGGGTCTTCCAAGAATGTGGGGTTTCAAGGCTCCCTTGGTGGTTTTCATAACCTCAGAAATGTCTCACGGACCCCAGCATCTTCACCATACCATCATCACTTAAGATGGCACGGTCTTCTTTTCATGCCATAACCACCATAGCATCGCTCTTGATATCTTGGAAGCGGACGTTTCCCAGAATCTTATGTTCATTGCGACTGGTCTGTTACTCGAAACGATACGATACCAGTCAGGGACGACCACGCAGCAGCAGCCCTGAACACATATCCAGACGCATGACTAGCTTGTCCAGAGAAACGTCCTGTTGACGAAATGAAACAAGGACGCAAATCTTGGAGTTGCGCACATATAACCAAGCGCCAGCTTTTCACCTAAGCTGAAGTCAAAGCAGCTTACCTAAATCTATGTACATCCCTCGTTTCTGACAGCCTCCAGTAGTTGTCAACTTAAAAATCATTACTACGAACGTCAGAGCCTTTAGAGTACGGAGAGCGCTAATCAAGCATCGTGCCGAGTAGATACATACGTCACTATCATTTCAGCAACGGACTTTGGTAATCTGGACGTGCTCCGTGCTTGCTCTGTGGTCAAGTGTACTTGGATCGCGGATCCTAACCGTCCCAAACAAACGAATATCCAATCGTCGATTCGGCATGTGCAACCACTTGCCTACATGGGCTGCGAATCTTAAGTGGGTGCTTACCTCAGTCGACCGTCATGGAGTTCCAGCGGAAGCGAAGTAGGTATCCCGTCCTTCCTGTTGGGCGGCCACTGTACCGAGATTTCCTCCTCAAGATGCGACTCGAGGCCATGGATGCTAGACTAACATATATTCATTTGGTAGACACGAGGCTATAACCGAGCCCTGCGCAGGAGCCTAGAACACGGGAAGCGGCAAGGGATAGCCCGGGTCTTAGGCAGCCAAGAATACTTTTCATTCGTGCTAGTAGTACGATACCTGTTGCTACTGGTAAACGACCATTCCTCAATGCATTCGAAGTATCTCGTTTCCGGAGTCAGTGGCCATGTACAATTTCCCATTCATCGTAGAATGATCTGGAGCTATATACGTTGCTGATTAAGCCTATGTGACACGTCGCCATCCCATCTCACTCTCCAAAAAAAGTAAACTTACCATCAAAGAAGATTTACACCTCCAACGCCCAACAACAAGAACGAGGGTATGTGCAAACGCATCGCTGAATCGTAAAAAAGCATCGGTCGAAACCGTCAAAAGTTTCCATCCATTCGTCCTTCCATCCAGCTCATTCACAAAGTCCCAACGTTCAGCATGGCTGGAGGTAGTTCGAAGGCACAAGACCAGGCCGACCAGTGTTACCCACAGGTTCAGCCTCCCACCACCCATCATCCTGCAACCTAAGCACAGCAAGAATGTCTCCCTTTTGGAAACCTAGTTCCTCTGGGATCTGTGCCGCATAGGAATACATCGCGCGTGCTGTTATAATCTGTTAGTAAAAGCCCCTTCCTTCTTCCTGTGATGACAAAGTTGGAAGTAAAACTTACAGTAATTCAAAATCAATCTCCCCTGACTGTTGTAATTCTTCGGCTCAGCCAAACTCTTACTGCGCGCCCTGCTCTCAGCTCTCACACTTCCAATCACACTCCCCGCACTCCCACCACTGGCCCCAAATCCAAACTCACTTCCACCGCCCATGTAGGAAGATTGCGGTCGCGCTGTACTAGCAGTACCGGGCCTCACTGAAGATCCAGAGGTCGTAGGGCGCGCCGAGGTAGCAGTTCCAGGACGACCACGCACACTGCCTCCGTATTGACTGCCGCCGTAGACACTACCATCGCCGCGTACGCTACCCGCAGTCGACAGAGCGAGGTCCATGCCAGCGCCACTGTGAGAACTGGGTGGACGATCTGAAGCAGCAGAGTTGCGGAAAGCCGGGTTCGGACTTGCAGCTCTGGAAGCCGGACCAGGTGCCGCGCGAGACTGGGGTCGGGATTGTGATTGTGCGTAGGCTGGTTGAGGGGGCTGCTGTGGGGGAAGAGGTGATGCAGTTCGCGGTGCTGGGGATGGTGCGCCGCGGGCTGGTTGTTGGAACGAGTTACGTCCTACCGGTGCGCCGTAAGCTTGAGCGGCGGCGGTAGTTGTTTGCGCTCTGGGCCTGCTGCCGGCACTCGATGCGGCATATGGATTGGGTGATGCGGTGCGGCTGAATGAAGTTGCGGGAGAGGCTTGCTGTTGTGCCCTTTGCTGTTGCTGCTGCTGCTGGAGCCTCGATGCTGGTCGTGGGGCTTGTTGTTGCGGCGGTTGCTGGGGCTGCTGTTGTGCTCGTGGTGCTGGTTGAGCTACAGGCTGTTGGCGTGGTGCAGGTTGTGTTGCTTGTGGTTGCGCCCTTGGTGCTGGTTGCGCAGCTGGTGGTTGCTGTCGTTGCGCAGGCTGGTATGTAGAAGGCGAATTGGGCTGTGAACGGTATGAGTTTTGAGGCGCCTGTTGTGTGGTATTGATTGTGGGCCGGGGGCTGATAGCACGTGGAGGTTGTGCGGGAGAGGCAGTCCGTGGTGGTTCTTGCTTTGTGGGACTGCGGCTAGAGGATCGAGACGCCTGACCAGTGTTGAACATGTTCACTTTCTGGTTGACATACATCTGGGTGGTCTTTTGCATTGCACGCGAAGTATGTGCTGGCTTAGGAGCTCCCAAGCGCGACATAGCTGGCTGCTCTGGTGGTTGCTGTGGTGGTTGTTGCGGTTGCTGTCGCGGTTGCTCCCGTGGTTGCTCCCGTGGTTGCTCCCGTGGCTGCTCTCGTGGTTGCTCTCGTGGTTGCTCTCGTGGTTGCTCTCGTGGTGGCTGATCGTATTGTGGAGGAGGTGTGCCTCGCTTTGCAGCATTCAGGTCTGCTACGTTAGAAAGGGGAGTTGGCTTGCCGCCTGCCAGCCTCGAGCTGATACCAGGCGTGCCCGGAGGAGCAGGCGTTGCAAGACCCATGTAACGATCTGCTGTCTGGCGGGAACCGGCCTGTTTGCGATCATCTGTCTGACGAACAGACGTCTGTTTAGTGACACCCCTCAATTCCTCCAGGGCCTGCGCAATCGGGTCAAGCTCCTCCCCTGGCTCTGGTTCCTGCTCTTGTTGCTTCTTCTTGTCTGGCGTGGCTACGTCGAAAACATTGTTACCGACGTTGAGCTGGAAGGTGGCTCGAGGATCAGCTGGTTCTGGACTGGGCGAGGGCGCACGACTTTGAATAGCCCGAGTAACAGGTGCTCTACTGGCAAAGCTCTTGGTGGGGCTGGTATTCTCCTCCGTGGTTTTGCGCGGGGACGGTGCCCATGTGTTGCGATTGCGATTGGCAGGCATAAGAGCTGCCGGAGTCTCGACGTCGTGTTTGCTCTTTCTCCGCGCGAATGGACTGCTGTTGAAAAAGCCTCTCTTCTTTGCAAACGATTGCTCTTCAGGCCCAGGCGGGCTAGTTTCACGGACCGGAGACTGTGCCATTGGCTTACCAGGGGAAGCGGAACCACTTGGTGCCTCAATGCTAGAGAACGACGTAGGGTTTGAATATTCACTTTGCGAATCCTCCCTGCTAGCAGGTCGAACGGGGCTTGGGATTGAGCTGCGATCAGATGGTGCATCAATACGGCAGAATTGTGTCATCCCATCAGCAGGATAGTCGTTGTGTGGGACCTGGTTTTGTTGATACTGTTGGCGAGCTTGTTGCTGTGCTTGAACCAACCGGGGATCTGGCTGCACTGCGCGTGTGATTTGCGGTGATGGAGGTGCTTGTTGTGGCTCTGGCTGTCTTGGTGGCTCCACGTGCTGTCGCAGAGGTTCGATATGGTGTTGTTGTCTTAGTGGTTCGGTGTGCTGTCTCAGAGGCTCAATGCGCTCTTGCTGTCTTGGGGGATCTGTATGTTGCCTCAACGGCTGCACCTGCTGTCTTGGCTGCTCTGCACGTTGTCTCAGTGGCTCGACTTGCTGGTATCGCGGATCCACTTGATGTATAGATTCAGCATGTCGGGAATCAGCACGCGGTCGGGACTGAGCACGCTGTCGGGTAGATTCTACGGATTGACGGCGAGACTCCATGCGCGGTCGAGGAGATTCATGACGCTGCCGGGGAGAATCCATACGCTGCTGCGGTTCGTCCATCAGTGGTGGCGGAGGTTCAATCGGCTGTCTGAACGAATCTACAGACTGTCTGAACGAATCTTTAGACTGTCGGAATGATTCTACAGATTGCCGTGGCATATCTATCGACTGCCTGGGCGACTGTCGGGCGTTGTCGAGAGAGGGCTGTGGTAGCATGATGTCGTCGGGAGCTATTGGGCGTGTCGACTGTGGAAGGCCCAGCTCTCGTACTAGCGGATTGTTCGGATCATTGTGCGAAGAGAATGTGGAAGGCGCTGGTGAGGAAGCGCGGTAGGCTGGATTTAGGGTTCTAGCGAACTGGGCGACTGAGTAGTTCTCGTCCTCCTCGGAGGCTATCGATGAGGTTTCGGCATCTCCCCTGCAGAAGTTGATGAACTTGGGAGGATCAGGAATCTCCTGGCCTGTGCCCGACTCCTTGATGAAGCCGAAGATGTCCTTTTCTACGTCACAGTCTTCGAGTGAGAGGCGCATCTTCTCGCATGAGGCATCGTCACTGACGCATACTGTGGAGGCAATGTTGGCAAAGTTCCAGAGACTGCTCTTCGTGTAGTCGATGCGCTCCTCTTCGAGGTCCTGGAACTTGTCGCAGGCGGCTTTCCAGTCCCGGTTCCACCTGCCCGTGGTCTCTTCGAGGACCTTGACTGCGGCCTCGTATTCACTGCTCGTGGTCGCTAGGTTGATCTGTGTCTTCTCCAGCTTTGCCTTGTTCTTTCGCTCTTCATGTCCCATGACCATGTGTGCCTGCGCTAGGAAACCCTTGATCTTGAGACAGTCTTGCTCGTATCGGTCGCGTGCCTTGTTGACCGTCGATGTCTGCTGCATCTTCAGCTTGAGCAGCTTCTCGATGCCATTCTGAACAATCTTCCTCCGCTCCTTCATTCCTCCGGCGAAAGCGGCTAGCGGCTCCTCCAGCTCCGTCTTCATCTGCTGTGATATGCTCTGATGTGCCTTGCCCATGGACTCGACCTCGGCTCGGATGACATCGCACGACAGTCGTAGAGTGCCCGTTTCGCAGGATCCTAGGGGCTTACGGGAGAGATTGAGGAGTTTCCGCGAGTATTCTTCTTCGATTGCGGCTCGGGCTGCATAGAAGTTCTTGAGTTCGTCGTTGGTGACTTTGGCCGCATGCATGCGGTCGAGCATAGGACCGACGCCCGCGTCATCTTTGCCCCAGAAGTTGTTGGCGACTGCATTGTCAGCATGGTCAGTTTCGAGGTGCTATCTATTTCACATACACGATAGGGAGACCGAAGGCGGCTCCGTCGCCGCTGCACCACCCATGGCGCCTTGTGTTTACTGCTTCAGCGACAGGGAATTGAGAGAGCTAGCAAAATGGGCGAGAAAGCGAATGCTCGCATGTGTTTTGGGGGAAGAATATGGGGTATCTGATATGCAGTCGAGAAGACTGAGCCAGGTGTTGACAGTGGACCAGGGTGCGCTGGCGGTGTACCAGTGGACACCTGTGTTGACGGCCAGCAACATCACCATAGCGACGCGAGCGCCGAGGGGTAGCGCTAACCGCAGGCTATGACGAACCGCCGCCTATGAACTACCACCCCTATTGCGACGTGTTATTGGAGAAGATTGGTTTCTTTTGCCCTGCGTTCCTGATGCGTTCCCTGATGCGGTCCAGGAGGGCTACTACATTGCCATAGCCATCGTCATAATGCAAAGAAGCAAGCCCAACGCAGGGACTTGTTCAGCAAAGGACGTATCCGGGCATCAGCTCTGTCGGAGATATTGGACCTGTGCAAGAGACAGACAGCGCCGTGTGTATGCGGGTGCTGAATGCTGAATGCATGACCCCCGGCCAGTCTCTGTCGTCCATGCCGTCGTGGGTTGAGGTCGCGCAGTTGTGCCCAGGTAGTTAGCTGCGAAAGAACGGATTAGATTACATCATCATCAAGGAGCGACCTGGACTGGCTCTCAGTCGTACAACAGCAATTCATCAGACACGAGATAACTGGAAGGTCCCGGGAGACGTCTGTGACGGGAATTGGATCGAAGAGAGAACAGTCATGAGCATTGAGGTGGAGAGTGGGGTATATAGCAAGAGGGCGCCTCATCGTGTATTTCCATGTCGCAGTGTCTAGCAGCGCAACATTGATAATACGGAGATTGGAACACGGCATCTGAGAAGAGAATGCATCATCTACACTGCTTCGAACTTGGAATCAACCAACCTCTGTGTGCGCGGTCTTGGTGACTGCGCAGAGTGTCATGTCCAACGTGGCAGGTCGCTCTACCACAGGCGCTAGTGCCAAGACCTCGCTCTTCCTGCCTGCATGGCCGACTGAACGTCTGGTTATCACACCCGTGCCCAAAACCCCATCACCACTCCAATCACCCCCCTTCACCCCCACCCGCCACGCGCTACTCATGGAAAGACTCTTTCGATGAGCCAGCAACACCCCTGGGGCGCCCCGAGACCAAACCAAAGCACACGCCTCACGCCCATATCCACGGCAATTGCCCACGAGCAGCGCATCACCAACACGCCCTCACCCAGCAACTCGCGGCCCGCCCAGTCGCCCGCCACAGCAAACTTCCCCTCGCTGCCGCCCGCGTCTTCATCGCGCCTCGTCCGCAGCCGCAAGTCGTCGGCCGCCTCGTCGACGTCGTCGCCCTTCTCGCCCCAAGCAGGACAGCAGCTCCCCGCCAGCCAGCTGCTGTCCTCGAGAGGGTCCAGGACCATAGCGCCCCAAGCTGCCTCGCACTTGGCTTCCTCCGCCGCAGCCGCTACCAACGGCCCAGGTGCACAGTCAAGTAGCGGCGGAGGAGCCTCCAAGCTTGTCCGCGCCTCGCCTTCACTCTCCACCTCGAGCACCACGGGCTCCCCCAGCACAGCCACCAACCCCTCTGGCCCCTCGTCCCAGAACCTTTCTCGCATTGTCATCGCCCAGATATTTCTGCTGCTCAGTCAGTTTGGCCCTGTAAAGGACGACAAAGACCGCGCCAAGTGGGACACGCAAACCGAGCAGATCAGGAAGGTTCGTCTGACCCCGTTTGCGCGCTTGCCCTGCACTCCCTTGCTTGCGCCCCGTCCCTTCCCCATTTACTGACGCGCCCAGCTGGTCGACTCAAACGGCATGGAGGTCTTTTCAAAATACTTCCGCCGCGTGCTGCAGAACAATGCAGCCACCATCTTCGGCACCGGCGCCCGCAACGCCGACAGCAACGGCAGCTACCAGATCCTCCTCACCGAGGTGCACAAAATACGGAAGGAGCCCGAGCAGGCAGACAAGATTGCAGAGTCAATAAGCTCCAGCGAGGGCGACTTGTTCCGCGACTTCGACCTGCAGGCCTTCATATCCCACTTCAAGCTCGACTCGGTCGCGAAGACGATGCTAGCCCTCGCCTGCAGGAAGACAGATCTCCGGACTAAAGGTGGGCATCTCAGCCCCAATTGGCTCCCCCACTGACTTGACGCTAACTTTCACCAGCCGATGCTGTACTGTCCACTGTAGGCGATGACCTGCTAATGGCCGTCGCGCAACCCACCCAGCCAGAGGACATGAGCCACGAATACCTCGCCGCCCTCGTCGAACGCTTACTGCAAGATCCACCACAAGGCTGGGATGAAGAGAAAAAGATGAGCCTAGCGTACGCCGTTCAGATGCGATACCAGCAGACACACCAACAGATCCCCGGCATCGTCGAATCGAAACTGATACTCGTCGAGCTCACAGATGGCTCACGGAATCCTCTGGTCAAGCTGGTCAAACAGGCGGGTCCACAAGGCACAGCTACGGTGGAGGCATGCAAAGAGGTGCTCGCTTCTGCCGAGACGCGCGACATCAGCTACCAGCAAGTTGCCGCGGTGCTCCTCTATCTCGCGCTCTCTACTGGATACAACGCGAAGAACTTTGTTGCCGCACTACGCGAACACCGGACCGGGCAGCGGATAGACTGGCAGGATGTCGTGTTGGCTTTTGACCGGGACCACCTACGCATCGAGAAGCACCAGTTCCTAGCTATATACAACGCGTTGCTCCCTGTTGCCCAAGACACGGAGAAGTTCGACATACAAGCACTATGGGGAGGGCAATGGCAGCACGACTTGACACAGTTATACTTCGTAGTCGCTTTCCTGTCCTCTACACGACAAGAGCTGGACGTGACACAGATCCCTAGGTTACGCACCTCTTACTCGTTGAAGACGTTCGAGAACGCGTCCGATGACGCCAAATCCTTCGCCGAGGAAGCAACCAAACACCCCTTTGTCTCGCTCGACGCGACAGCCGCGCTGTTCAACATGATCTTCCAGACATCCGAGACCTATCACACGGCCCAGCTGATGGGCATACCCGATTTGGTGATCAATCCACACACGGCGGAGTTCCTCGTAGCGGCAGCGGCAGTCCCAAAGCCTTGGGGTGCCTTGCAGGAACAGGCATTGAAACAATTATTTGATCCGTACTTCCTCAAGAAGCTACCCATCTACAACTTCGTCCTCTACGGCCTTTGGAAACAGGATTCCCAATGGCTTACAGATCGATTTGTCGATGCCTACAACGCCGACTCAATGACCCTCAGTCTGGTACTCGAGCACGCGGAGACGAACAACTGGTTAGAGCAACTGATTCGCAGTAATACTGACATCAGCTTGGATTTGGCTGCACAAGCGCACGCGCGCGGCAAGTTCGAGCTTGGTACCTGGCTTGAGCAGACATTCGAGCAGGCCGGGCCGCTATTCCGTCGCATCCTGACTAACTTTCTGAGTGCGCGGGCTGCAGAAGAAATGCAACGAGCACGAGACGACCATCAACCTCTTAACCTACCGCTTGCTGTCAAGACAGTATACCCACTGCTCTGGTTCCTTGCACAGTGCGGTCTCCCTGAGCCGGAACTGCTGCCCTTACAGCGGAACTGCATACAGGCATACCCGAGGTTGATCAACTACGGCGAAGGCGTGGATGACATTATCGACGCCAACGGCCAGAACGGAAACTCGCTTCCAGAAGAGGCAGATAAGAAGATGCAAGAGCATTTCAAGAACATGTACAGCGGTGACAGTGATGTAAGAGACATCATCTCAGCACTCAAGAAGTACAAGGAGTCGCGTGATCCCGCGGACCAAGATTTGTTCGCATGCATGATCCACGGCCTTTTCGATGAGTACAACTGCTTCGGGGAATATCCTCTAGAAGCCTTAGCCACGACTGCTGTGCTTTTCGGAGGTATCATCAACTTCAACCTCTTGTCCCGAATTGCACTTCAGGTTGCGCTGGCTATGGTTCTAGAAGCTGTTCAGGAATATCGACCCGAGGACAGTATGTACAAGTTCGGCCTCCAAGCTCTCATACACTTCTCGAACCGACTGCACGAGTGGCCCAACTACTGCGATCAGCTCCTCATTGTCCCTGGGCTCCAAGGAACTGAGATTTTTGCTAAGGCTGAAGAAGTTGTAGGTCAGCAAGTCGGCGAAGTTAACGGCGATGGTCACAACGGTGTGGGACTGACAAACGGTAACGGTATCGATGATGCTCTCCACCAGGAGCCGGCCATACCCAAGTTCAGCTGCCTCTACGTCGATCCCCCACTCCGCCCAGAGCTGTACGAGGACCCCGACGAAGACGTTCAAGACAAAGTTCTGTTCGTATTGAACAACGTCTCCGAGCGCAACTTGCGCGACAAGATCAGCGATCTCACCGAAGCCGTCGAAGAGAGGCATCACCAGTGGTTCGCAAACTATCTTGTCGAGGAGCGCGCCAAAATGCAGCCTAATTTCCAGCAACTCTACCTCGACATGCTCGACCTGTTCAACGATAAGACACTTTGGGCTGAGGTGCTCCGTGAGACGTACGCGAGCGTCATCCGTATGCTGAATACTGACTCCACGCTGGGTTCTACGGAGCGTGGCCATCTTAAGAATCTGGGTTCTTGGCTTGGTTCATTGACTATTGCCCGAGACCAGCCGATCAAATTCCGCAACATCTCATTCAAGGACTTGTTGCATGAGGGTTACGATACTGATCGCCTTCTTCTTGTCATTCCTTTCACCTGCAAGGTGCTTGTACAAGCTGCCAAGTCTTCCATCTTCAGGCCTCCCAATCCTTGGATCATGGAGATGCTGGGAGTCCTTATGGAACTTTACCACTTTGCAGACCTAAAGTTGAACCAGAAATTCGAGATCGAAGTTCTCTGCAAAGGCCTAGAGCTTGACCACAAGGAAATTGAGCCCACAAACAGTATCCGAGGACGACCCCCAACGGATGAAGAGTTCCTTGGATCCATGGTTCCTGAAGGATTAGAAGCATTCAGTGATCTCTCGATTATGGGCCTGAACCGTGGCGCCCGAGGTCCGAACGAACGATTCTCGTCAGCAGCAATCACGGCAGCTCTGCCCGATTTCACCAACCAGCTCCAGTACCCGCCCTCTGGAAACAGCGCGGTCCCTCCAGCGGCATTGAAGAAGATCTTCCTTACTGCTGTCAACCAAGCCATCCAGGAGATCATCGCTCCGGTAGTAGAGCGCTCTGTCACTATTGCCGCCATCTCAACATCGCAGTTGATCAACAAGGACTTTGCTATGGAACCCGACGAGGAGAAGCTTCGCAATGCAGCACACACTGTTGTCAAGGCTCTTTCTGGTGCCTTGGCCCTTGTTACTTGCAAGGAGCCATTACGCATGAGTATTCAAAACCACATCCGTGTAACAGCTAGAGACCTTCCCGACCAAGCGTTGCCAGAGGGCCATATCATCATGTTCGTGAACGACAATCTTGACCTCGTCTGCAATACGGTTGAGCAGGCCGCTGAAATGTCGTCTCTTGCGGAGATTGACATGCAGATCGAGGAAGCAGTCCGCATTCGCCGAATGTTCCGCAGCTCTCGTCCGAATGAGCCATTCAAGGATGCAAACATCAGCCCATGGGCATTCTATATCCCTGAACCATACAAGCAGATGCCTGGTGGTCTGAATCGCGAGCAGCTGGCCATCTACGAAGATTTCGGTAGGCAGTCACGAGGTGCTCCGCACACGAATAACACGTCCCAAGACGGTGGACGTCAGCTTCCAGACGTCCTCCAAGACCAGTTCGCAGCGGTACCGAACCTCCCAACTCCAGGTGCTGCACCAGCAGAGCCACGCCAACCAGCACAGCAAGCCCGGCTACAGAGTCTTCAAGCCCCTCATGCACCTTTGACACAACAACAACCAAACGGCTACATGGAAGCTCCAGGCTTGGAGCGTGGCCAGCGTGGTGTTGAGGATCTTTTGCTCGAACTGACTCGCGTTATCAAGGAGGCGCCAGAGGAACGTATCAGCGAACTTCAGCCTGGTAGCAGCAATGTTCACCAGGTTTTCGACCAGCTCATCACAAGTGTTGAGTACGCGGGTCCTAACAAGGAGACCTGGGCTTTCCGCATCGCAGGTCAAGTCACTAACCATCTCTTTTCCGACTCATTGAGCCGCTTGGAGGTCGAGGTGATGGCGCATCTACTAAGTCATCTCTGCCAATTGTCTGTCCAGACTTCGCGGCAGGTACTTATGTGGTTGGCGACTCTACACGACGACGACAGGATTTTCAAGTCCACAGTCATGGTCGCTTTGATGGAAGTTAGCCTGATGGATATGCACCGCCTGAACACGACTATCGCTAAGGCCATTCAAGAACGACGTGTCGCCGCAGTGGAGATGCTGTCTAGCTTGATGGAGGAGCTCCTACTTAACGAACATCCAAGTGCGTTCCGTGCCGACTTCGCCATGTCCATCGATGCTCTTACCACATGGCTAGCAGAGGACCCATCCTTCGAGCTTGGGAAGCGTGTGCTCGGCAACCTTCAGGTACCATCCAACGAGCCGATGCTTACGCCACCAGGATCCGGACACAAGGATCAACTTGAATATGTCTTCGATGAGTGGGTGCATCTCCAAATGGAAAGCATGCCAAAGAAGACAGTTGGCGCATTCATCTACCAGCTCCACCAGCAGAAGGTGATGGAAACTCAGGAATCATCTGTTGCATTCATTCGCACCTGCATCGACTCTTCAGTAGCCGCATACGAACAGGAACATTCCGCACCGTTTGGTAACGGTAATGAAGACATTGCGACCGTCAAGATCGATGCACTTGGCCGACTAGTGGTGGACCTTGTCGTTTACCAAGGCGAGCAAGACGGAGCTGTCAAGGAAAGCAAGGCTAGGTATCTGGATCAGATACTCGTCGTTGTCGTGCTCGTTCTCTGCAACCATCACAGCACACGAGGCGATGCCTTCAACCAGAAGGTCTTCTTCAGGTTGTTCTCTGCCATCCTTTTCCACCTGAACGACGCGGTAAAGGAAGAGGCTCTAGCTGACCAGAAGGCTGACGTCTTCCTTGCTGTAGCCAGGGCTTTGTTGGTTCTCCAACCCTCGCACCTCCAGCGATTCACATTCTCGTGGCTGGCACTAGTTGCTCACCGTATCTTCGTACCTGCTATGCTAGAAGAGGGCCAAGGAGACAAGCGATGGGACGTCTACGCTCAGCTTATCGAGACGCTCTTGATCTTTACGGGCAAGCTCATCAAGCCTACAGGAGAGACGGTCATGGCTGAACAGTTCTACCGCGGTGTCCTGCGAGTTCTGCTAGTGATACACCACGACTTCCCTGAGTTCCTGGTCGAGAACCACTTCCGGTTCTGCAACAGTATTCCCATGCACTGCACACAACTCCGCAATCTCATTGTCAGCGCCTACCCTTCCACCATCCTCGAAATGCCAGACCCGTTCACAGCTGGACTTAAAGCTGATCGACTAGAGCATGACCTTCAAGCACCGGTCATCCGTGCCGACATCGCGCAGGTGCTTTCAGATGCAGGTATCAAGGATGCTATAGACAACCTCCTAAAGGGCTCAGAGTTGAAGAACAAGGACGTTGACAAGGTGTGCCAAGCAGTCTACTACGCAGAGGCTCAATCAGCAGCGTTTGAGCTCGTCTCCACGACAGCGAACCCAACGTTGATACATGCAATTACTCTGTACATTGGCATCGCGACTCTAGGGACCGGTCCCGCTAGCGTTCCGATCTTTGATGCAGAGAGCCCAGCTACCAAGGTCATCGAGAGGCTTGTCAAAGACTTCCACCCGGAGGCCAGGTTCCACTTCATCAGCGCCATCGCGAACCAGCTCCGCTTCCCGAACACGCATACTCATTTCTACAGCTACATGCTGCTCCACCTCTTCGGACCCCCTAACGACGATTCGCTCGCATTGGAGATCCAAGAGACCATTACCCGCGTGTTATTAGAGCGCCTGCTAGTCCACCGCCCACATCCCTGGGGACTCATTATCACGCTGTTGGAGATCTTGAAGAACCCAACCTACACGTTCTGGGACTTGCCGTTTGTCAAAGCAGCTCCTGAAGTACGTAATCTTCTACTTGCTTTGCTGTCCAACCATACTGACTCGTCTTCTTCTTTTGAAGGTTGAGCGGTTGCTTAATGCACTGTTTACGCATGCGCAGGCGAGTCCGCGTCCGCTGGCTTAGGCGGCTGGTGGTAGGAACTCGGAGTTTTGCAGCAGAGTGTATTTGATGGGTACTAATAACCTTCCTCCGTTGTTTTTGAGGAAGACTTAAGTAGTTGATCTCCTTCTTCCCTTTTTCCTATGTGGGCATTCGGGTTACTTCTCAACCTGCTTACGGGTATCACGACTCCTATTGGGCTGGCCGGCAAAAAAAAAACAAGGGGGTTAATGACACGTATGTGGAAGGGATCCGAGATGAGCATGGGAACGCAGAAGATGACGTTCGCGGTTTTTGGTATCGTTTTCTATTTCTGGTCCATGATACAAAAGCACGGAGTTCTTCGGAATCGTCACTTGGGGGTATTGCTATACCATTCATGGGGATGCTGCGTTACTAGTCATGTTCATTGCTGTCGCGCATTTCTTGTAGAATAAGCATTGCGAGGCGAATACTTTGTACTGGGTGGATGAGGCGCTCAATGCGAGGTTTCTTACCGTCAAGTGCATACTTTGTAGGATATTATGAATGGTGTTTCCTGCTTCGTCCACGTCGCTTTGGTTTCTTGGTCTATCTGCTTGTGTGAGCTGTGTATCGTGAAGGTGATGTAATGTAAGGATGTGAAGAGGAGGGAAGGTGAGATGGGTATGTATGTTGCAGCTGCTCTTTTCACTTCTCTGTCAGTTCTGGGAGGCGCGTTATCGGTCGTCTTCATCTGTCAACACAGAGTGCATTACGCAAACGCACGCAGCAACAACATCAACAAACAGATGCCTTTTCACTTCTCACCACTCAACCGCCGTGACAACGAGTCCAGGCTCGGCCTTCACCACGTTCGCCTCTACTTGGCTCTTTCCTCTTACTCTGCTTTTTTCTGCCCACAAAACGGTTGTCGTGCTCCTCTCACTCTCAACCGCTATCGCAATCGCTCTCGGAGCTTCTACCTCTTGGGATTCATTATAACGACACGATGACTTCGCAGCTTCAGATTGACGCATCGCCTTCCCCAGGTTACCCCATAGCGTATTTTCTCTGCGATGGCGTTACCGACGCTAAGACTCTCAAGGTGAGTTCTGTTTCTATTACTGCGTTTGCTTGTTGGCATGGATAGAGGAGTTCTAGCAACAGCGTTTACCGTTGTGAGGTCTACACCACCACATTCAATATCCTCTGAATTATCCGGGACAACTCTTCATTCCCACACACTTGACAACTCACCATCCTCGCTAACACTACAAATTACCCTTTCAGACCGCGCTCTCCCTCTCACGCACACCCAAGCTCCGCAAAGCGCGTATCGAAGATTACCGCCGCTCCATCCGTTCAGGCCACGGGGCTAGCACACTAGCATTTGACGCCCGCAATTGGGGCGAGTGGTGCGGCACAGAAACCGTCAAAGGTGTGATTTTCGAGGCCTTGAGTTTGGAGGAGGAAAGGGCGCTGATCCAGTATGTGGGTGGAACTGGAGAGGTCAAGACTGAGAAGATTGAGGTTGCTTGCCCGAGTCTGCTGGGCAAGGTGGGGATGATGAAGACGATCAGGGGCAGGATCTTCGTGCCAGAGGTAAGTCAATGATCGAGGATTGAATGGAGGGTTTAGGCTGACAAGTTGCTTCAACTGACAGGGCGATGGAGATACGCTTGTAGGGAGTACGAGGAGCTTCATGCATAGCGAAAGGAGGCTAGAGCCGGATGAGACCGATACAGTTGTCAGCAGTGGCAGGTCGGCTGAGGGTTCGGCTATGGAGCAAGAGCCCAACAGCGGCGACTTCTCCGAGACAGGCTCGATAGCTGTTGTTGACGGACATCCGACACCACGCATATCGCCTTCAATCGCGACGTTGCACGACACGGATGTTCCGCACCAGTCTCTCGATGAGCTTCCGTTAGCCGACAGTGACGAGTATCTGGAGCCTCTCGCTTACGAGCATCCAGCTGATCCGAGGATTGAGACCAAGGACTGGGCGGCGACTAGCGAGGCTCCGACTACGGGAATCGATGACATCAAGGATACTAGGATCTACCAGGAACTCGTAGAGATGCAGAAACCCAGCAAGGCCGAGGCAGTCGAAGGTTCAAGCGAGATTGAGACTCCGCAAGTCAAGGACATCAAAGATACCAAAGTCTTCAAGGCAATTATGGAGGCTAAGGAACCGCAGAAGGTCGAGGCAATTGAGGAGGCCCAAGCGACTGCCGAGACCACTGACAGCTACAAGCCCTGCCACATGGAGGAGATCAAAGAGATTGACGACATCGACGACGGCAGGGACATCCAGGTGGAATCTGAATACCAGCGGTTTCTTCTGGCAGAGCAGAGAAGATCAAGGGCTGTCTCGATGAACACGTTCGTTTCTGGTACAAGCACCGCGATCGGTGATGAGCGAAGCGTGTCAGCGTCCGCGACACAGCCATGGTCCCCATCTACCCCATGGCGAAAGGAGCATGCTACCGCACCTGTCCGTTCAATTCTCACAGCGACGTCTCCCAGCCAGTCTATGGGCACTGCTACTCGTATGCGGAAGACTAGTGATAGCATCAAGTCCTTGGTTGGAAAATTCGAGAACTTGACTCCTCAAAACACCCAGAGCAAGGGTGCTTGATCGGCGCGAGGGCTTCGCATGGTATGCGACAACACCGTTGGAAAGTGCTACGTCTTCGATGGAAAAAGAAGTTATACACGTATCTGGATGTTCGGAAAGGTATATAGTGGACTCTCTGTGTCTGCTAAGCGAGGCGTTTCGGCGTCCTTTTGTACTTTTCCAGCTACACTACCTGTATTATTGCTTGCTTACCTGTTTGCTTCATTGCTTTATGTCCAGAGTATATCGATGCAAAACGACATGTTTGTTTGCTTCATCTCCCGATCTCCTTGTCTTTCTCGCATGCTGTAATCACATCATCACCGACTTCCAAACTCTTCACAACCGACGCCGCCTAGCTGAAGGTTGTCAAAGCTGAACCGTAGGACTCAAGTCCACACAGCTTCAGAATCGCGAATTCCTCCAACCTCTCGATCAAGATGGAAAGAGAAACTGGTAGAATGTGCTACTGGTATTCGGTTAATACTGCGTGCTGCATCGACCCCGCCTTCCCAAACATAGCTAGGCTGTGTAACTTCAGGCAGCCAGTCACCACGTTGTATTTAATCTGTTTTCCGGCCTTGCGACTGTTGTCTCCTCTTTCTCTTTTCTCCTCTTGAATCTGCTTACATCGTGAGACCAACAAGCAGGTTTTGAGAAGTGTTTGGAGAATTCGGAATTCCAACCCCTTTTTTGCTTACCTCATTCAAGTTACCCCTCCTCTCGGCCCACTTGACGCTATGCCTACAGTTGTCATCAAGCCTGGTGCTACTGTCTTCGTGACGGGTGTCAATGGGCTTATCGGAAGCCATGTTGTCGATCAGCTGCTGAAGCGAGGATACAATGTTCGTGGTGCGGTCAGACAAGTCCAGAAGCACGGATATCTGATCGAGTACTTCAACGATAAGTACCAAGAAGCGAAGTTCGAGCTGGTCGATGTGCCGGATATGACTGCTGGGGGATGCTACGATAAGGTCGTCAATGGTATGTTGAGGTCAGACTCGCTCCTGATACGCCCAGCAAAGCTAAGATGTCTTGATCTCTAGGTATCGAAGGATTCATCCACGTCGCATCACCCATCGGAGGCATCTCAGATGTCCACGAAGCGATCGCGCTAGCTACTAACGCAGGCCTGAATGCACTCAAGGCTTGCGCAAAGGTCCCTTCGTGCAAAAGCTTCGTCTTTACATCATCTTCCCTTGCTGCAACGTTCCCCCACCCCAATGTTGAGTTTTCAATCGACGAAAATACCTACAACGACGAAGCATTGAAGATTTTGGAGAAAGAACCGGGTAAACCAGGATTGTTCGTCTACGCAGCCATGAAGACGGAGACTGAAAAAGCGATAATGAGATGGATGGAAGAGAATCAACCCGATTTCGTACTCAACCGCGTCGTAAGCAGAATCTCTCACCTACTGGGAAGAACGGTGCTAACATTCGAAAAGTTGCCAAACGCAAACTTCGGCGCTGTCTTGATTCCTGAGCACCAAGGCTTTCCGTCAACCATCGAATGGGCCCACGATGCTTGGAAAGGCATACAGTCAGAGAGATGGACAACTTCCGTTGGACCACAGTGGTACATTCATCCTGTCGACGATGCACTTCTGCATATCTCCGCATTGATCCATAGCGATGTGAAAACGGAGCGTCTCTTCGGTTTCGCAGAGCCGTGGAGCTACAACAAGATGATGGACATATGGCGTAAGCTTTATCCCGAGAGAGAATTCCCGGATAACATCGAGGGCATGGGTGTTGATCGGATGAGCTTGCCAAACGCCAGGGCTGAGGAGGTGATGAGCTGGTTGAAAGGACCGGGATCGGGATGGGATAGTCTTGAGAAGGGATTGCGGGAGATGACTGAGAACTGGGATTGAGCGAGCTTCCTTCTTTGTATGTTTGCCAGTTTAGGTGATGCTCAGGTCTTGTCGCTCCATTGGTGGAATGCATGGTTTTGGTCGCCACACATACTCCAGCTATCCAACTAGACATTGTGACCCCATTGCGATCTTGGAGTGTCGATAGTGTGAAAACTGTGCCGTCGCTGCTGTAATTGTGAGAGGATGACTGTGTCACCACTTTGTCAACATGATCGTAGTTGTGGCATTATTTGTGCCACCTCGTCAGTCAATGCTTCGAACAGATACTTCACTTGTACATCAACAATCATTCGTCAGCAAAGCTTCGTTTCCTTTTCCTTCAGTCGATGGTGCGGGAGTGTCTGCGCAACATGAAGATGAGAGATCTCGAAGCGCGGCCGCGGTAAACCTACCCCGTACCTCAAGCCACCACAACCGCATGACCGCTCAGGGCGCAGGAAAATTAGACCCTTGTCCCCCGCAGGCACAGGCTAAGAAACCCAAGATACGCGGGGGAGGAAAGTCGGGGTTGGCGAAAACAAGCCGCCAAGTCGCGGGGTTATTCGTGGAGAAATGCCGCCGATTGTGACCAACGCGAGGCGTTCACTTGGCGACGCATCTCATAGTCTGGGGATTCATCGGTTAAAGATGCGCCAAGTCTGTTACACCACCATCCTCGCATCGTCACTCGCGGAAAGTACATGGATGACATTTCTTCCGCTGGCTTGGGGGCGCAGATGCTGGGGTAGCTTTGGGGAAGCTATGCCCCTGTGCGCCTACACGAGCATATCAAAAGAGATGGTAGCAGGATTTCGCGCGGGATCGCGTGTGGAAAGTGTGCGTGATGAGGCTTCTGGACGGACGGAGAGCTGGGCGAGCAGGTGGTGTGGGAGATATAAAAGCTAGGGCAGCTGCATGCGTTGTAAAGTACCTCTCCTGCACCTCTGCAGTCCTCAATTGACCCAGAATCTCGGTCACAAGAGTTCAATTCCTCTCACAATCAAGATCCAGTCGTCAAAATGAAGCTCTCTACCTCTGTCATCCTCCCTCTTCTTCCTGCCCTCTCAACGGCGGCAGTGATACGTCGTCAAAATGGCGATGGACCACAAGGAGGTGCAGACTCAACCCAGGGCGACCTCGGCGCACGACCTCTTCCACGATTCCCATTCCCGGTGACCAAGTTTCCGGTACCGACTGAGACTGTCGTTCTCAACGAGACCATGTACATCGGCCCTGGTCAGGTCTTCGATGGACAGATGAAGCGATATGAGCGTGAAGAAGGATCATGCAACGAGCAGGCAGAAGGAACCGACGCTGATGCTGTCTTCAACCTCTTGCCCGGAGCCACAATCAGGAACGTAGTCATTGGCAAGCACCAGAGCGAGGGTATCCACGCGCTGGGCGATGCATGGGTCGAGAATGGTAAGCTCCCTGGACTTGGATTGATCGCATTGGTATACTGACGATCCTACGACAGTTTGGTGGGAGGACGTTTGCGAAGATGCCCTTACTTCCAAGGGTCTCAACACCCAGCTCCGCGTCATCGGAGGTGGTGCGCGAAGCGCAACCGACAAGATCTTCCAGGACAACTCGCTAGGTGGAAAGGTCAACATCACCGGTTTCTTCGCCGAGACCTTTGGTACCTTTTACCAGTCGTGCGGTAACTGCTTGAACCAAGCGAAGCGCAATGTTACCATCCAGAACGTCATTGCCATCAACGGTACCCGCATGGGCATAGTAAGCATCCAAAATTCCTTCTCTTTAGATGTTGCTCGACTAACATGTTTCCAGATTTCACCCAACTACGGCGATGAGTACCGCATCAAGGACGCACAGGTCGCTGACGTCGAGCGCTGGGTGGACAAGGAGATTGGAAACAACGTTCAGACCGTCCCATACACTGTCGGCACAGGCCCTGATGAGAAGTACGCGCTGTACAACCTTACTCGCGACCACCTTACCGACTACGAGGGCGAGATTTTGAACCAATACACTCCCGAGGACCCATATGAGTGGCTGGATGAGTTCTGGCCAGAGGGTACTGGTGCCGCGAGGAAGTAGAACGTTAATGTAATAGTCTAGTTGAGCTAATCATTAAACATGACATGGAGCTCCATAGTGCCCCGTGCAACGATGATTCGCATATCTTATTATCGGCAGACGATCCGTGCGAACGTACGCTTACTGTGTGCAGGTTCAGCCTCGTCTATGCTTGCAATCTACAGCACCGGTGGATACGGATGCATACGAAAGCCCCAACAGCTCCGTCGTTATTATGAAGCGCTTGATCAACTAAGTTCGACTCAGAACTGTTGCGAGATGGCGAGACAGGCATGTGCGCCTGCTCATCGTCCAGGGAAGTTGGTGATCACCGGTAACGTAGCCGTGCGCACAACACCTCCAGTGTCCGCGCAATGTTCAGGCAACATCAAAACCTCATTCTAAAAGAAGGGCTACGCATGTGCTAATAATAGCTGTACCGATGATGTTTCTATCGATGGCTGTTTATTTGATCTTGAAGGTTGCAAGGCTGCGACCGAATCGAGGCTGCATTTATCGTTATTGGTGGCGTCGGTGTATGCCTTGTTCCAAAGCGACTTCATCATTATACACGGCTCAGTCGCTTCTTTTTGCCTATTTCTCATATGGAGGACTCATTTGCCCCCACACCACAACATCAGCCTTCTCTTAGCACCTTGATCATAGCTTCTAATTGTACGGTTAATGTGTCCTAGCACTCCGAGCAGTTATTTCTTATCCAATCATCCGTGAGAACATACGAGCTGGACTCAATTAACTTGGCCCTTCTGCGCGTGGCGAGGGGGAAGTTCAGCCCCCACGTGGAAGGACTTCGGTCTACGAATGGTTATGAACATGCCCCGATCTCCGCATGCCTGCTCGAACACTGGAGTGAACATTGCGTTGCTCATCTCAGAACTTACAACAAACTCTTGTCCAGCATACTGTGTCTCTATCACTTCCAAGACTGCGTATGTTGGTGGTCTACCTATATTGTTACATTCATCGCTAACCGCTTTGCTTATAGAAACTCAACCCCGTCTTCGTCCTAATGAATGGCCTAGACCAATCCGTCAGTCGTGCACCTACACCAAGGCCGCCAGAACAAGATCATGCACCTGTTGCAAATGGAGAACCGTTGGGGCCAACGACCAGGCAGGACCCGGTGACGAATCCTGAAGAGCCCGTGAAGAAGACCGAGGAGCCCATGGAAAAGAATGAGGAGCCCATTGAGAGTGTTAAGCAAGAGTCTATCCTGTCTAGCAGAGATGATTTCATCTTGATGCTCAAACACACACTGCCTGACGCGCTTGACTCCCTCTTTTCTGGATTTCAACCCAAGGGCAGCTCGAAGAGCGTCAAGCAATCAGTCGATCATCCAGCAGCAAATGACTCAGTTCTTGAAGGGACGTCTGATGAGCTTTACAGGGTCCGCCTTGTGAGGTCTGACGAGAAGCGGCCGGATCAGGTCAGAATCGCGGAAGAGCATTTTGAATACACGAATGCAGACAACAATATGAAGAAGCTTCATCGAAAGATTGAATACATGGAAGATATCCATGTGGTTCCGAGGAGATCCCCTGCGACTGGAGTCGAGTACCAACAGCGGGTTCTTCAAGGAGAAACCTGGAGCAACATAGACGAAGATTTCTACGTGCACAGCGTCAGAGATCCCCTCATCAAGATCCAAGACAAAGGTTTTCGCTACATATTGAATCAAGTCTGCGACTATTATCCAGGCCAAAGTTTATTCGGCGTGATCTACATTCACTACCCCTTCCGCATTTTATGGCACTACTACGACGATATACTGAGAGAAGCTCGGCTTACCAGAGATGAGATCGAAGTCGATAAATGCCCTCCCGAGTTGGACGAAACCCAATCAGTTGTTTATAAGGTATTCAAGATGATGAGACTGAAGCGGGATACATGGGACGAACTTCGAAACGAACGACAGTGCTACGAGGAGAAGAAAGAAGCCGGATGGGAACATCTGTGGCTACTTTACACACCTGGTACTGACGTTTATGCGAAAGTTGATGGCCATTGGGCACGTTTCGTTGTTGTAAAGACCATGAAGATCAAGAAGGCCTGGCACATCATTACTTGGCTCTTAGCTTATGACCCGCCGTGCTTGCGCCGTGTGAAGCATCGTTTTGTCATCCAAGAATACAACGGGGAGAAGAGAATATGTTCACTCGAAGTCTTTCCTTGCGAGTATCTTGACAGTCTCTCTTCACGGGATGAAGATGGAATCGACACAGATGCGAAGACCAAGAGAAAATTGACAGAGCTTGGTAAAACCTACTGGGACATTCTACGAGCGCGATCAAGGTACATGTCACACAGCGGGTTCGCACTCGGTGACAAAGAGAATGGGACATCAGCTAAGCGGGTAAGCAGGCTGCCTTGATTCTAACCTGAATTTATCGCTCCACAGTCTGAGAATTTGAAAGCTTACTTATGTTTAGCACGACGGTCTGGTGATTGCAGACCCAAAGGGCTACTACGATGTAAAACACCAAGCGAAGCCGGATAAAGAGGGAATGACAGTTTTTGCTCCGTTCTCTTTCTTCATGGATGAAAATGGTACGGACGTTAAAGTGTCCAATGATCTCTCTCCGCCAGATGAAGACTACCCAGACAAGTGGGCTGAGCTACGCGATCTCGATCCAGCAGACGAACAAAGAGCTTTCGATTCCGCGAAGCTTGAAGAGCATTTTTGTAGGTTCTCTCGCCGAATTCCTGGCTTCGCTCTTGGAGAGAAGGAATGGCGTAAGTTGTGCCGGTCGTTCAGTCGTTGACTGCTCCTTTGTACATGAAGACGCTTACGTATGATCAGTTCTCTTTGACATCAGTAATCTTCGAGAAGTGACGAACGTCCCTGGCGCAGACGACATCAAAGACCGTCTCAAACTTCCAGGAAAGGATATAGAATGTCTTACAAGCGTTTTGGAACGATTCAAACACGATGCTGCAACTCCACACACTTTCCAACTGGATGATATTCCCAAGAAGGGGGCAGGAAAAAGCTTTCTGCTCCACGGTAAGCTTCCTTTGGGACTCTCCCCGCTCTTGCTAAGAGTCTATAGGACCACCAGGAACGGGTAAGACATACACAGCTGGTGAGTTTCATGTACGCATAAGTCTTCAACTTGTAGACTGACTACCGCAGAATGTATTGCACAATGGGCCAAGAGACCTTTACTCCACCTCAATGCAGCAGATATAGGGAGTAATGCCAAAGAGATGGAAGCTGCACTTAGCGAATGGTTCAATCTCGCGGAACGTTGGAGAGCGATTGTACTGTTGGACGAGGCTGACTCATTCTTCAATCAGCGTAGGGCAGACGGAAACTCACGTGACGCCCTCGTTTGTGGTAGGTGATCCTAGCAACATGCGGTGACTTCGTTCAGGGTGCTAACTAGCTAAGCCTTTCTTCGACAAATGGAATATTTTCCTGGAGTCTTGTTCTTGGTAAGCCTTCCATATGGGAAGATGCTGGAAAGTATGGAAACTTACCTCGATTCATCAGACAACGAATCTCCCAGGTTTCATCGACGAAGCAATTGTTGCGAGAATCCAAATTCCCATTGGGTACACCCATAACGAAGCTTGTCTCAAAGCCATATGGAACAAGTTCTTTCAGGTAATCAATAACGACTGGGGAAGGCATGGCAATGGGGACATAACACAGGCTGTGATGGTGAGCCGTAAAGCACAGATATGGGCATTGCAGAACGTGGAAGACGAGTTCGAAAAGTTGAAAGCTTGGGAAAAGCAGAGTGACAAGGGAGAAACAGGATCCAAACGTCCCGAGATATTCTGGAACGGCAGAGAGATTCGGAATGGTGAGTTCTTTTATACCATGCATTGCAATGTCTTGCTGACCATTGTTCTTGTGCTTATAGTTCTGGAAATTGCAAAGAGCGTTGCGCTCCAACGAAGTGGCAGTAGCACAGTTGCAGAGATCGAAGACGAGGATTTAGAATCAGCAAAGCAGCGCAAGGTGGAGTTCAACGACTACATCAGCAATGTGTTCCACCAGGAAACAACACCGCGAAATTTGAGGCCGACTTTCCCTCAGTACCATCCAAGCCAAGCGAATGGCATATGAATAAGTCACCACTTGTACGATGATTAGTAGTACTTTCACTCCACAAGCATATAGTCAGGATACATCCAGGAGTACGTCTCTCAAGTAAATGAGCCTGTGCTTTTCCTCCTTACTCTAGTGATCGAACATGTTCGGGATGAGCGACTTTTGGAGGCGAGCTCGCTACTAACAACATTGTGATCATATAGATACATGATATTACGGTTCCTCATAGCAGAAGGCTTTGTACAAGGTTGCCCTTTCCATGGCTGACCTGATCAGTGTTACTCTGACGTGTCACATATGTAACCAGAATGCGGATACTTCGGCCCAGCTGTGCACTCGCACCCATGGTATAATCTTGAAGAGCTTCCTTGACGTCCTTCACCAGACTACCCACGTCATCTAGGCAGGACACCACAATGACAAGGCGAGGGTTTGAGGGAGAATTCGTTTTCCTATCTCCAGAAAGCTCGTATTGAGCGGGTCGTGACGGAACAGTAGCCTGAAGAGCAGGCCTGACGATCTCAAGTATAGCATCTATGACTTGACGAGATGACAACGAACTTCTCGGAAGTGCAGAGCAATCGCAAGACACTATCTTCAAAGTGTTCCTGACATCTGGCATGTTCTCCAGAGACAGTATTCCTCTGGCGACACCTTCTAGAAGTGCTTTTTCATGGTGGTTTTGACTCAGGGTGAGAACACGGGTGGTTTCGCCGCACCACCAGTCCTTCAGCCTTCTTGAGGTATTGGGATCGATGGAGGGAGCATAGAAATTGTCTGGCACGTGTACTGCCCCAAAAGTGAAGCTTGAAGCCTGGTGGTAGCTTCCCAGGACCAGAGTGTCTGGCAAGCTGCGTATGCTTTCGGATTCCGCTGGTGCAGTGCTGGCTTCTTTACTCATTCCCGACTCATCCTGCTCCGATGAATTCTGGAGTATGTTTGAGTCCGTATCCTCAGGCAGCAAGCCGATGATGGTATGTATTTCATCCAGCACTTTCGAAGCGTCCCATCTGTTTTTGGCACGGATCTTTAACATACTTTCCACTAACATCTTCAACTTCTCCTTGGCCCCTTGCGGAAGTTCTGCAGTTGCGTGCATGGTTTTTAACCAATTCGTCACGTGCGGATTCACCTTCCCTAGGAAAGCGCTTTTACTTTCTGGATAGAAGCGGTAGAAATAATCGTCTCGAAATTCGCTCTCTCCATCTTCATGTGTGGCGCGCAAATCGTTCAGCTTCGAAACCTCTTTGCGACCCCCAAGCGCGTAGACTAGAACCTGAACCAACACGCAACCCAATGACCAAATGTCACCCTTCCTGCCAACCTTGAATCTTGAACCGTCTGGTTCGCACTCGCACACTTCTGGCGGTTGAAATGGTCCAGCATATTGCATCGACTTTGTGCGAATCGTTGTTCCGTCTTTCTCGCGCCGAAGCGTTCGCTCCTTGGAGATGCCAAAATCGGCCAATTTCCAAACTCCGGCAGGTTGATCAGGATTAAGCGTTGAATATACCAAGATGTTGTTGGGCTTGATATCCATGTGGCAGAGCGCAAGCTGTTCCTCGCTGGTGCCCCGATGGCGACTTGCACCTTCATGAACGAAGTCTAGAGCATCGGTGAGCCAGTACATTTCCCAAAGATAGGAAGAAATGTGTGTCGTTGCGTTCGTAGGTCGATCTTCAACCATAAAGTCTGCCAAATCGCACTGCGCCCTCTCGAAGAGTACATAAAGTTTGCCATTGACATCTGCTCCAGCGAGATGATATGCAATGTTCTCATGTTTTTTTCGATTGCTCGCCAGTAAATTCAAGATCTGCGTCTCGGTCTCGGAATCAGGTCTTCTTTTGAACGTCTTACAAGCAACAATGTGTCCCTAGACCACTGTCAATGGAATCGCAGTCCTGCTTTCAAGTCTGGTACTTACTTCTTTGTTAGAGTATGCCTTTGGCCCATAAGCCGCTTCAAGAAGGCCCAAGGGGATTTTAACAGTCTCTACGCTCCCTTGACCACCTTTGGAAGGCTTGAGATGAGTCTTCAAGCATTCGAAGGGTAGCTGTCGAGGAACGTCATACTTCTCCACACAGCCCTCCCTTATGATAATAGGTTTAAAGTTATTCTGACGTTCCTTGAAATCGTCCCATTCTGACTTTGACAAATACTCCGGCCCTGTGGTTTCTTGGAATGGAAGGCCTTTATCTTTCCAATGAGTTCTGGTATCGTTCTCTCTCCAGCTTCCATTGTCGAAATAATGCACAACAAATCTTGGCCAATCGTGGAAACCTATGTACAGAAGGATAGAAACGACTGTTATCATGTTTTTTTCGATCGTATCGATCATTGTTGGCAGTATGTTACCCACGAGTGAGTCAAACAGATACTGAAGTCGACAACAACCGTGAAAATCGTGATCTCTCCAGAACTCAATCAAACGTTGCCGTGATGTAAACCTATTATTGGAATTGCCTTTGTACCATATTGTTGCGCTCATCGCACCTTTCAACTGCAATAATTTGTTCTCTGCCATCCTACAAAGAATGAGTAGAAGTATTGGTAAGGCAAAATGTTAAGGCGAAAAGAATTGTAACGTATTTTCGGACAGTTCTCGTGAACAATGAAGGTAGATGTATACGATAACCAAGTTTTATGATGAAGGGTTCGATAGCCTTTGGAAACCGTCTCCAAGTTACCACGTAGCACAGCATCTGGACGGAATCAGTACCTATTCATAACAAACTTCGCAGAATGTTGGGTTTCCAGGCAAATACAATCAACCAAGTCATGTGTAACAAGATATGACCGGTTTTTACGCGTTCAGGCAATTATGGGGCTGTGTCATCGTAGGATTCACAGCTGCGCCTTTTGGCGTTCCGAGGGCGATGAAAATCAAAAGCCATGCCTAAGTGATGACAATCGAATTGGTGAGGTGTTGCTGATGGTGGGGGCTGTGTCGTTGCACAATATGCAGCCGCGCCCACCGTAACAACTTGAAGGGCTGGCACCTTCACCGGACCCCGCTATTTCGTCATAGATAAGCATACAGTATCTGCCTCGCTTATCCGATCCCATCTACCATATCACAGCAGTCGGCTGAGGTCTTGACTTGCTACGAACTCTGAACACTTATAATTGCATTTCCCTGCAGTACCATTCGCAAAGCCTCAAATCAACGTTATGGACAACCCACAGCCAAATGTCGTTGGAAAAGATCAGACTGATTACATTTCTAGAGAACATCTTGAAGGCCTCTTAAGGAGTCTGTTCTCGAATGTGACAGACACTGCAGACTTCAACATCCGGGTAGGTAGCATCATTCGTTTCTAACTATAGCCAACTTACGATAGAAGCATATCAACGATAGATGGGTTTTCAATACCCCGAACAGAGTTGTGACCTACGTACGTACTCTATCCAAGACTAACAGTTCTTGAGCATCAAAATTAATTCTTTCCAGGAAGAGTTGCAGTGAGTGTTGACATATCACGTTACCGACGTTTAAAATTAAGTGGTCTTGTAGGTCCATCGAGAGACGCTGAAACTTGCGTCGGTCTAGGGTTGTCCCAAGCGCACTTGCTTAACGCGTCAGTTTAGATAACATGTTGTACATGCGCGTTAGTAGTACAAAATTTAACTCCATCGATGCTACACATCGTGTACCAATTGTCATGATATATCGCATAGCCTTTCTCATTCGATTCGACGCATCAAGAAAGGGATAGAAAGCTCACCTCTTGGCATTTGCTTGTGACCAGTGATGCGTTACTATACTACTACTAATCCCGACATTACTAGCGCACTACGATAACCGAGATCACGAGGGGGCTGTGCCTGGCCTTACGTTTGCCTACTCAAGCCTCTATTCTAAGGAAGTTCCTATAACAGGCTCGTTTTCACTGGTTTTCTACCCCTTGTCTCAAGGTCTCTAAGCCTGCTGAGGTTCAGGCTTCGTATATAACCTTTGCTTCGCACCTTGCCTAGTGTAAGGGTCTCACGAAACGTCTCGAAACCATCATATCTGGATAGCGCGTACCGGGAATGCTCAGCGCAGCTTACAAGATTTAGATCCCCAATGTCTCTGATGAATCACAGCAATGATCAGCTAGCGGTGGCAAATCAGTCAACCAGCCTCTGGACTCAGTTGCGTCGTGCCTGCTTCGCTACTGCTGGCCCAGAAAACCTTTCCATTCTGGACTTGGGTAAGGATTCAGTGCGCCACACAGTACTTCATGAGGAACAAGTTTCTGAAGATGGCCAACATTGCATATGGACCGAATGCGACAGCCCGCAGATGCTTCACAAATATCTGGTCCAGACTGCGTGGAACTCATCACGTATTGTGTAAGTCATGTCAACCTTCTGGTGCGATTCAACTTGCTAAGTTACAGTTCTTCTTACTCCAAGAGCTCTATGCTGCCTGTGCGATTGAGTGCAGAATCCTTTGAGCTTATACTATCCTATCATAGCGTTGGTGGTAGCGTAGTAGAGTCTATGTTGGGCTTTTGTCGACGACCAAAGCCACATTCTGCAGGTAGAGGAGCATTGAAGTTCATGGTTCATCCAGATGAGTCTATCGGTGCGTGGAATTGTTGGCTAGTCACCGCGTAGCGACTGACGAGTGACTAGATCTGAACTACTGCCTTGTTCACACCGAACGCGTAGGCGGAAAAGGCGAAAGTCAAGAATCGTGGCCAATGCGACACACCATCGTAATACAGAAGATACGACAAAGACCACAATCCAATCTCTTTTTGGTCATACACCCAAACCAAGAGTCGGCAGATCGAGTGAAGGCCGACTATACATCATGCAGCTCAAGGACAAAGAAAGAGCTATGGAGTTATGGACACATTTCACTCCTTATGTTCTACACAAAGAATTGGTGTTCATACCTTGAAACTGTTGGAAACCGGATTGAGAGAATCGTGAGGTCTCATCTATGCTCGAGGTCAAAGATGATACAGCTAATTCCTTTAGAACGACTTTGCGTTGACCTACGATACTACAGACTTCTCTATCACTAGGGAAAGTTCGAAACAACTTGCAGAGCTCAGATTTTTGTTGGACGAGGTATACAACGCTATTTCCCACATTACAGCGTCACTAAAGACTCTGCATAGACTCGAAGAAGTAAACAATATGCTGCATGCGAAGATTCAAATCAATACCGAGGAGTGGGAGTATACAAAGCATGCGCTCCTAACACCAACCTTCCAGCTGGAAGGGTGTGAGGAGAGTGCTTCACTCTCTGAGAAAAAGATCAAAGCCCTCATAAACCTTGTGAGTTAGTGGGGATCAGAGACATTGTCCGCTTTGCTGATACACTATACTTGGTTAGCAAGAAGTTCGACTGCAGGTTGATAATAACAACCTAGCGTCTGGCCTCAACGCACATACATTAAAGCTAGCAGAAAGCTCAGCAAGCGACAGTGCTGCTATACGAACGATTACTTTCATCACTCTGATATTTCTGCCTCTGAACCTTCTCGTGGTTAGTGCAGCCGATAGCTGTTCAAACAATTGCCGCTAACTACTCCTGCAGGCTTTTGCAGGAACGAATTTCCTCAACTACGATGTGCAAGATGATAAGCTCGGGTTATCACCAAAGATGTGGATACTTTTCGCTATCGCTGCCCTAACTCTTGCAGCTACCATCGGAGGTTGGCAGATCTACATGCGCCGAGTCAATCGTTTGCGAAGAGCGACATCAAGCAGTGTTTGAAGGGGTTCACTATCAAGTTAGTGGCCCTATATTATCGCAGGATCTACGCAATAATGCCAACGAAAGAAAATGCGCCTTTCCTTAGAATGCTATCGGATGATTCCTTTCTTCGCTGGTCGCAAAAGGTGTTTTCTGGTATGCGGCATGGCTGAAAGAGGTTTGAGGTGCAACAGCGTTAGTCAAGTTACAACAACGGAACGTTGTAGTGCAAGCCACAATGGCCTTGTATCGAAGTATGGTTTTCAACAAGATCTGTTGATGCCTTCCACATACGGTAGCTGTACCTTGCTTCGCAGCAACGCGGGTAGTGTCTCTCTACGCGCGTCACTTTCCTGGACTTCTTTCTATTGTGAACCTGCCGGGGCACCGCGCACACGGACACAGTACGCGTAAAAGTGCAGCAGAAACACAGGCATCCCGACATCGTGATGTAAGCCAGGTAAGATCACAGTGCGATGACGCACTTGCGAACATGGTACGTCCGCTCGTAAGACATCGCTGTCTTTCCAAAGCTGATACGTTTAACAGATCCAAGTCTCTGGATCGATCTCAATCCTCTATGGTTGTGGTAGTTTGTGCTCGTTCGTTCGTACTGACGATGGCCTCAACCGGTGACCGATTCGGTAGCGTTATGGTACGGGTAGCGGTGCTGATGCCATGCATACAAGGCGCTGTTCTATCCCATTTGGTCGGTTTCGATCTCGAGAAATGGTATCTTTTGGTGAATAATCTAGGTAGATGTCAGCCAGAAGGCGTAGTAGATGCAAGACTTGGGCATACCTAGGAAAATACTGTTCTGTTCGTCCCTACGTAGCACATTCTTGAGCAACATCGCAGCTTCCTCCTACATGCCGTAAATCGCTCATGCGATGGGTTTCGAAACCCACAGGTGAGTAGAGAAAGACCTCCGATACGTTTGCTCGTAAAGCGATGTTTCGTGCTGTCGCAGCTTGTACACCGATAGTGTATGGAGTGTGAAGTCCGGTTGCGACTGTGACGACACTTGCCGAAAGTCTTACGCGCCAGGACCGGAACCGTGCGCAGTCGCGTCTCCCCAACAATCTACATACCTCACCCCCACGCCATTGGGCGTCTGCTGCCGGAGACCTTGCGAGCTATCCATTCGACGTCCTCCGCTTTAGCGTACGCTTAACTGTCACATCAATCACATTCCTGAGTTCCGGTCTTGAATTCCACCACCTCTGTCCTCCACCTCCAACCCTTAGCGGTCGGCGAAAGCCGTATAGTCTTCGCCATCCGTTTTCCTAATCACACCAGACCTCGCTTTCATCGTACTATCGAGATATCTAGAGGCTTAACTTTATGTGTCGCCCTACGACGTCGAGTATGACGTTAATCCCTCCATCCATCGTCCGTACATGTCATCTCTGAGTTCACCTGCGAACGAGCACACTAGTACAGGCTATGCTGCACCAAATCTTTTCGTGCCCAATTCATTTTCGCTCATTCCATCGCACCAGTCAAGTTTACAAGACTTGAGAACACAATCAGCCAGGACACTGCTAGACCAAATACCGATAACACCCTTTGAGATTCGACCCCGAGTCCAAGTCGAACCCATGGATCAGTCTCGTTCCTTTCACTGTTCCGCTTCCAAGCGGAAGATATACTGCAACGACCGCAGTCGAAAGAGACCTTATCATTTCTGGAAGCACGCTTACTGTAGACATCTGCTTACTGTAGACATCTGGGCGCCTCACTCAAAGGACCGCGCCACTGACACCGGCTCGAGCAACACCACACAATCTAAGCGAAACACCGATTTCACTGTAGACCCTTCCGTTTCTGCAGATTGTCTGCGCTCCGCTACACCTTACATTGAGGGCCGACATTCCATCCAACGAGCCTTTCCAGTGCGACTACTGCGATGTCTCTTTCTATCGTACATGCGACTTGAAGTGGGTAATTGATATCGCAGAGAATATGGCAATCAAGCTGACAACTTCATCCTTGGTACCCATGTACACCGTAAACACGAGACGGGACATCACTGTCAAATCTTACATGTGCAAAGGCTGTCGGCCTACGCGCAGATCCAGAGCGACACCGCTAGGGTCATGAGCTACCTAAAGCACGAAGTCACTTCCGGTGTTCTAAGCCTGGCTGCAGTAAATCCCATCCAAAGAAGAGCAATATGCTCAAATATGTCAGCAGAAATCATGGGTGAACTTTTCCATCTCCACTGATGCACTCCCCGAACTTGCGTATGGCTTACCAGCATTTTGCTTCGAAGCGCATCACCATCACGTCTTTGATCTGCATTCCATTCCTTCGAGCAGCCGTTCTTCCCATCTTCACTAGGTTCACTAACAGGGATACGGTTGAAGCATACGCTAGAAAGAAGTGCACAGCGACATTAAGATTCTCAGAAAACAAGAACCTGCTTTTCTGATTGAAGAACAGAAACTTTGGACTGCATTTCTTCTCGCTATAGCTTCCGTCCCCACCATCTCGCCATCGCTAGCCTTTCTTCGTGGACCTACCCCACCTAAAAATTTCTCTCGAATCACATCCCGCATCTCCGCCCAACACCAACAAATCTCAGTTTACGGCACTTCCAGATTTTCGACAGCTTTCAGAATTTTCATTGACGATATAATATTTTTATCTTCCCAACTTCTCATCAAGCAACCAACCAATCACATGGTTCGGTGAGATGGCCGAGTTGGTTATGGCGCCAGGTTAAGGTTATCTTAACACATATTCCTGGTCACGAAAGTGGCGTGGGTTCGAGTCCCACTCTCATCAGCATTCGTCTGGCTTCAGTCAGATACCCCAGGTTCTTTTTTTGCCAATCGTTAGTACGTACAGTAACGAGCATGAAGGTGGGGAAGAGAGGCGAAGGGAAGAAGCACGCCTCGCTTCGAGTTGGCACACTTCTTTTTTGTGTCTTGGAGGTCATCAACTTATCAAATGTAACCACTAGACTTGAAGACTATCGTCTGACATTCATTTGCTTTGTGCACCTACAGTACACGCAACCCAATTCTACATCTCCAACGTCCCAATCCTACTCCCCACATTCCCACTATCCCCCCAAACACCATCGCCTACCCTCCTCCTCACCATAGCCAAAACATCCTGCCTACCTTCCACCTCCTCCAACTTCCTGCCCAGCGTCTTCAGCACCTCAAACTTAGCCATCGCAACGATATACGCCGCATTCTCCGCATCACCCCTGCCACCAACAAGGTTCGAAAAAGTCGTTGCTGGCTTAAGCAGTGAAGGAAGGACACCCCCGCTTATCGTAGGGTCCAAGATGACGTCGACACCGAATTTGGGAAAGGCGTTTAGACGAGCATAGGTTGGGTCTGTTGAAGGGATATCAGGGAGAGCAGCGGTAGACCAAGATGACGTGATGAGAGCGCCGACAAGTGTTAGAGCCGCCAGCGCGTTCTCCTGCATAGCAATAGTCTCCATGTGATTTGTTATATCAGCAAACATATTGGGTTTCTTGCTGTAGAAGAGCGCAGTGAGTATCCTCGCATACGCTGCTTCCGTCTCCGTGCGCTTCGTGTCCCCACCTATAGCTTCAGTTTGCGGGAAGGTGATTTCTTCTTTCGGCGGCCCGTGGAAGATGGCAGCGAGGGTTTTCAGCGCGTCTGGATTTGTGCGTGTGATGGGCATGTCGGTGATGACGCAGTCGTCCCAGGCTAGACCTGAAGCGCGGCGCGGTATGAGTGTTGAGCGGGGCATTGAGGCAATGATGTTGAGGTTGCTGGCTTCGCACTTGCGGATGTTGCGGTGGACGTAGTTTCTAATGACGGGCATCTCCTCGCTTTTCTCAAAGTTCTCGGGGTAGTGCGATGCGTAATCGCTGATGTATTGTGCTGTCCGGCTGCTTAAGAAAGAATGGTCGAGACTGGGGTTCTCGGAGGTATGGAAGTCGACGATGCCTTTGTGTACGTCTTCTTCTTTCAAGAAGTCGAGAGCGAGACTTGAGTCGTAGTGTGAGAGATGTGGCTTTGTCTTGACCGTGGTGATGAGTGTGCTGTAGAATTGGAGTAGGGTCATGTGCATGAGCATGTCGTCCTCGGTGTCCACCATTTTCAGGGCGGCGTAATGGAGCAGACCCTGGCCTTCCTTTAATCCGGCCTCTTTCTCAACATCGAGACCGTATGTGGATGCTATGGCATTCCAGTCCATAGCAGCAACGCGTGGTAGCCACGACAACAGCCTAGCTTGTGAGATGGTCTTATCACGCTTGTTTAAAAGTGGAGGAGGTGGTGATGTGAGCTGTTTGAGAGATGTGTAATGGTAGTACAGCGAACTGATGTCTCGATCACTCAACAGGCGCCTCCAAATTGGACCAGTGCCGTATGTATGCAACGAAGACTTGCCATCTATTGACACGGGTTCGTTTTTCGACACTTTCAGCAGTGAGGTAAGAAGATCTTCGGCCTGGTTTGCAACTCCCGCATCATGGGTGCAAAGCCACAGACGAACAATGGCCAACATGACTGCTGGCCGGTTCGCAAGTGTTTGGGCATCGGTGCTACTTGTGGTGGCCTTTTCGAGCAATGTGAGGATCAGATTATGGAATGGAGTAGCCTGCAGGTCCAAGCCAATCTCGAAGTCGATGTCCTTGATATCGTCGAATCGGTATGGCTCAGCCAACTTGACGATGAAATGAGTGAGTGGCGCAGGGTCTTGTTGAAGCTTTGGCAGTAAGACTGCTATCTGAAGAAAGAGTGGCCTTGTCTCCTTCCATATTTGATTTCGGTACTCTGGCGTGTTGATGGAGAGCTCGCATCGCTCAAGTAGATCTGTGTCAAGTGGAGTGGCTGGATCTTGGTCGATCTTTTGCAGGTGCTCTGACAGTTCGGTGAGCGTAGTAGTTGACGCGGCCATTTTGGACGTTTGTATGTGACACTCTGAAAGCGAAACTTGGATGAGCTGGAACGGCGATGTTCGATAGTAGCCCTGGCTGGGAGCGTGGCGGTTACTAAGGACTGTAAGAAGGTTCTAGGCCGCTCATGTGATTGCGCGTAGAGGTCGAATGCACGCGTTCCCTGTAGCCTGATGCACGGTGCTGGCGTCGCAGTGCTGACTGGAGTTGTTCGACTTTGGAACTTTTCGAGATGGTGTGGCTACTCAGCGATAATCACTCTATCTAGGCTTGTAGACGGCCTGGTCCTTGTAACTTTGTCGTAACGACTTCGGGTACTAGTGTGGTGTTCATGTAGTGAGGTGGCGGGGCTTTGGGTACAAGTTCGGTTTGGGGGCCCCACCCTCAGCCTCAGTCGTGCTAGCAGAGGCCGCGGTCCCAGCTGTACCGAAATAATTTCTGACTCCACAACTCTCTCCAATCTCTCATTCGACGACACCTGACGACTGTTTAGACCGTTTCTCCAGACGTGCACCAATCCTCCAGTCAACCGTAGAAGATAGATATGGCGGGAAGAGGAGGAAGAGGAGGTGGACGCGGAGGCGCGCGCGGTGCCTTCAATCCCGCACGAGGAACCGTGACGATTGCCGGAACTGAGCTCAACTGGGATCTGACTGGCCTCGACATCCAGAAGGGGCCTGCCGAGCGCTTTCCAGTGAGCATCTCCCTTTCTTCCGGCGCATGTCTCTCGCCCTTGTAGCTGCTGCTTTGCGCATCGCCGCAGTCTTTCGGTAGCATTGCGCATTTGTACATAATGTTGTCGCAATCACCATGCTTCGCCAGTCGCCATCGCAGCAGTCTACCAGCACCACGCACCTCAGGAGCGCATCCTTGATTCACCCACTAAGCCATGCACAGGAAGCACCCCCACCCCAAGCGCCTCCACCAACCGACAGTGAGCTCGGCATGGTCAAGCACCACCTCGCAGTCCGCGACCGCATCCACGAAGGCCCCTTCTACACCATCCTCAATGACGGCATGAAGAACGGGCTGAAGCGAAAAGCCAACGAGCCTGCACCCACCGAAGCCTCGCTCTTCGACCCCTTCACCGGAAACCAGACATACTCGGCGAAATACCTCAAAGTGCGGAGGAGACTACCAAAGTTGGATGCGCGGCCATACGGTGAGTTGAAATGAACAAAGCCAGAAAGGAAATCCAGCGCTCATTCACACAACAGTCGTCGATCTCTTCCCCGCAGAACTCCGTCCCACACTAGACGGCACACGAGCCGACTCCACCTCGACCAAGAAGCGCAGGACGCTCGGCGTCACAAAAGTAAACGGCCTATCCCAGATCGAGCGCCTAATCAAGTCCGAGCAAGAACGCACAAACGAAGCGGAAGCCCGCGCAGAAGAAGAAGCAGACGACGAGGATGCCGAAGAAGACGAGGAAATCGATGAGGATAAACCTGATGCCGTTGACGAGGAAGATAATTGGTCGGCTGCGAGTACGGACTCGGAGGAATCGGACGACGATTATAATGCCGAGCAGTACTTTGACAACGGCGAGGATGATGATATCGATGATGCCGATCCTTATGAGAATACGTATGAATAGATCTAGGGAGCGCTGGCGTTTAGTTAGGCATAGCACGGCGTATGGATGGCATATCGCAGCAAGTAAGCGAGCGAGCATCATAGGCGTTCAGTTGAGTAGATACCCCAAATTTACATTCTTAACCAGTCACCCATTGCTTGTGGAATCAACCTATGGATTACATTCCATACAAGCTCACGCAGTGCAAGCATTGAATTTGTGAAAGAGGTCAAAGGAACAGGTTGAATTGATAACTATGTACTCACTACTACCAGAATACGCAAAGCAACTGTTTTGGTCTCGTACATGATATGAGAATAGGCAGGTTCGATGTGTATTTAAGGGAAACCCGCGGGCGAAGGAGAGATGGATTGCAGGGATGTCGATGGAAGGTAGGATCTCAATGAATGGTGGAATCCCAATGGATGGTGGCATCTCGATGGATACTAGGATCTCGAGGATCTTAAGGATCTTGTGAGTTGTTTGCGCCCTCCCGATGCTGTGTGGTCGTGCCATAGTCTGCGTGAGACGCCTAGTATTGCTACACTCACACGGCGCCATGGACGGCTCGTACGACAGCATAGGCAGTGGCTGCCACGGTTCCAAAGGTAGCTCACTATACGGCACCAAAGGCAGCGCCACGGACGGCATCTCATACAGCGCCACGGACGGCTCGTACGACCACATAGGCAGCGGCTGCCACGGTTCCAAAGGCA